ATGGACGGCTCCCCACTCCAAAGACGCCAGGAAGGCCCCGCGGGCACTGAGAGCCCTGTCCGGCCCTCGCTGTCCATGTGGCAGCCTAGTACCCAGGGACTCCTTCTGTCAGCCTATTTCCAACCACCAAGTGGACCCACTGTGGGACCAGAGTGACTACGGCTGAGAAGGAGTGCTGGCCCAGAACCACGGTCAGACGGACACCGAGGGGCAACAGAGGCGACTATCATCACTCCCAGAGAGCCACAGTGACAGGAGACATATCCGCTCTTAGGGGAAGCAACGACCAGAGATAAATAACGACGCTCCCTCATAGCGAGCCACGGCCCCACCCACTTTCTATTGCCAGGATAGACTCTCACCGAACCAGGACCACCAGTGGAGCCGAAGTCCCAACGGCTACTGCCGTTGAGTCAGGTGGAAGCGATGTAAAACGAACGCAAAGGCCCGCCCTCGCCTGTTGTGAAGGATGGCTAAAGGGGAGGTCGCCACTAGCGGACCACACGAGGCTGTGAGAAGGTCAGAACTCTGGACAGACTGGCGTGCGAGCATCTCTGGAGGCACGCTCGGCCTGGGCACACGCCTGTGGAGCGATCGAAGGAGGCACCAGGCTCTGGACGTACTGATAGAGGAAACCTTTCACTATGCTATCCGCGATCACCCTTCCCTCCGGCCGTGACCAGGAAGCGGGGAGGCCCGCTCGTGAGGTCTCCGAATGCACCTGCAGGCCCCAGCAGCACAGCGCACTTCTCATGAGAACTGGACGGCATCCAATTTTCGCTTTTGGAGTCCAGAGAGGTGAGTGAGCAGAAGAGCCCCAATAAAAGGCTCCATTCACAAACTGGACCCAGTGCAGAATCTATCGTTGGCAATCATAGTACTAGCACTAGTTGCTTTTTACGCGTTGCTTCTGGATATGCGGGTCTTCAATGTATGGTACAGGCACTCTGCAACTGACTAGTGTGTCCGGCCACAGGCAAGCACCGAAAAACATCAGCAATTAAAAATCTACTAATGCTGGTATTATTGTTCCTCGCCGTGTTCTCTGGCAGCCCAGACAGACGACAGGCCTACTCCAGACAGGGGTACTCACTACGGTGTCTGTGAGGAGGACCAGCCTGATTGTGTGGAAATAGGTGCGCCATGCTCGCTCACGGGAGGCCTCCATGTACCGAATGCAAAGCCGGAAAAATCCCTATCGACGGAGAGCGTGTGGAGCCAGCGCACCAGGCATAGCTGTGTGTGAACAAGAAGGTGTTAGTGGCAGTGGAACACGCTGTAAGTCATGTGCTGGTGGAAATGGAAGTAGGAATACTGGTGACGGCGTAGGTTATTTTCTATTTTATGGGGGCTGCTACAATAATGATGAGTGGCCTGGCACAGACATCTGCGAGACCGTTTCAAACGGGGTATGCACAGTTTGTGATACTGAGTATGGGGCTATTTTTACGAATCCAGATACTACCACCGATGAAAGACGTATCCTATGTCGTGATACGCTATCCGGAATGGAAGGCTGTGCGACCCGTGTGTCCCTTCCTCAGAATCCTGCGCCAGACAATGCAAAAGGCGCCACCAATCTCCAATGTACTTCCTGCTTAGATGAGACCAAAGCCCCAATCGATGGAGTATGCGCAACCTTTGGCTCTAACAGGTGCAGAAAGGATACTGTACTCATTGTGTAGTTGGTGCTTGTCTAGGAGCGGATGCTCGGTAGCAGTAAGGAGGGAGCTAAAGTATGTGCTGAGGTCAACCAAACAGAGATGGGTGGCTATTCTGCTTGTGCAGTGCACCAACACTAGTGAGGCCCACACAATGGAAACTGTAGGCAGGTAAGTATTTTACACAGCTGCCAAAAGGATAGCTCAGCCGGAATGTGCGCAGCTTGCAACCAGCATTTCTATGGTCGCCCTATCTTCCTGTACAAGGGCGGCTGCTACGTCATCACTGACCCATTGGAGACACCATATGCAAAAAGACGTTCAACGGTAAATGTACTATTTGCAATGAGGACCAAGGGTACTTCATGAAGGATTCGCCATGTACTAGATGCGATGAGTTTGTCCCCGGTTGCGCTGTGTGCACCCCTAGCCCTGATGCCTCCAGTGCTCCTGTGTGTGCCAGTTGCAAGGCCGGGAAATATGCAACTGTAGACGTGCTTCCTGTGTCGACTCATGTCCATCGGGTAGCTCAGGTAGCTGCGATAAAAATAATGTCTGTAGCTGTAAGTGCAGTACAGGAACCTACTTGGATACTGTCACAAATACACATAGCACATGCAATTCAGCCTGTACGGGTCCTGGGGCTGATAAGTGCACGTCCTGTGTCTCAGGAAAATATCTCAAGCGTGATGCACCTGGTGCCATTGAATGTGTAGATTCTGTTGACTGTGGTGAGGGGTATTATGCAGATAGTGCCACTAACACTTGTTCTTCGTGTGGTATTGACAAGTGCCAGACGTGTGTGTCTGATAGTGGTGTGGTAAAGTGTATGAAGTGCCTTTCTGGGTATCTTTCCATCGATAGCCTTTCATGTCAGTCCCAGTGTGATGGACCAAATCAGCAAGGACATGCCAATGGCAAATCCGTTTGCGAATGCATTGCAGGGGCTTATCTGGAGGGCTGTGTCCAGTGCGACTCAGCACGCCTGGAGTGGGTCCAGGGTCTGATCACTGCACAAGTGCTCCTCGGGAAAGTACACCAAGATGAATGGTTCTGACACGGCCACATGTGTCGACGCGTCTGGCTGTGGCGATGGATACTATGCGGATCCAGAAGAGCTCCAGTGTGCCACATGTGGAATTGAGAGCTGTCAAGCATGCACTCCTAAGGATAACAACCTCGTGTGCACACGGTGCTCCCCCGGACTTGTCTCCGTCGATGGCTTCTCGTGCCCACTCACATGCACGGAGCTGGATCAGAGAGAGGAGGATGGAAGGTGCGTCTGTGCAGAGGGCTTCGAGCCCAGCAGTGACGGCGCATGCATCGCTAGGAACACCTGCCCGTCAGACGCCACGGGGTGCTCGAGTTGCAACACAAATGGCGAGTGTCTTTCATGTGCAGACAGCAGCCACAATGTCCAGCCGAGCAAGAGATCCTGCGCCTCAGGCTGTCCAAGCGGATCACAATCAGTCGGCTCTCTCTGCATATGCATAGAGGGGTACACCCTCAGGGGTGACACATGCGTCTCTCAGACCAGGAAGGCCGGCTCCAGCTCCACGACGATCATCGTGGCAGTCGTTGTCTCTCTTCTCATCATAGTGGCCGTCGCCCTCGCATGCTGGTTCGTCCTGCGGAGGCGGAGAGAATCGAGGGCAGCTTTGAAGACAAGGGTGATAGCTGAGAATATGAAGCTCGTGGGGACGGTGGACGAGCTCTGACTCTGTGGCCATGCGAGCCGCAGCTCATAACGAGTGAATGCTCAGTGATCCACAACGGGCTCAGGCAACCGCCTAGACTAGCAGATGCTTGGCTCCCGTGTGTATGCCTTCTGAGCCATCGGCTTGGGGCAGACTCAGTCCCAGAAGCAGAGGGCGCCGGCCAGTGGAGAAGGCCTCACAGGCCTGTGCAGCCCGGACGGTGTGTGCGAAGCGCCGCCTCAGGCCAGGGAATCGTGTTCACCCCCACGGCGACAAGACTGGGGTGTAGCAGAGCTATGGTGCCATCCTAGCTGCCCCGAGAATAGTACGCGCCCCTGCTCTCATGCCCTCCTCCCCATTATGCGTGCCATAGGGATGCTTGTCCCGTTAGGTTCCGGGGGCCCAGCACGCCTCATCCCCCATCGTGACACCTTACCTGGCAACACGCACTGTGCTGTAGACTCTACGGTGGACCGTCGAGCTGCCACCTGCGATTGATTGCGGTGTCTTAGGAGGTCGATAGCCAGGTTCCCCGCACGGTGGCCTATCTCAGTGAGCGCTCGCAGAAGCCACAGAGCCGCTGGGGACGGCCTAGCTGGCCCAGAGCATCGACTCCCGTCAGAATCAATAAATAATGCGCAGGACGAGGAGCTCAGCTTTCGGCGTCTCGGCCCCATCGGATGGCCCTGCAGTCTTTGTGGGAGTGGGTTGCCCTGCTGCGTAGCAATGCCACGCCTTCGCGTAGAGTCGACCCGGGCTAAAGCTCACGTGCTGGGGCCCACACAGGATGCTTGACCTTGCCTGGCGCCGGGCTGTGTTTCTTCAGTCAGATAGGAACAGACGAGCCTTGCAGGCAGTGATGGGGTGTGCCAACGACCCTGATCTCGGTGAGCGACGTGCGGTGCATGCAAGTGTGGGCTCAGACCATGGGTGGTGCTGTCCTGGCCTTGTTCAGTCGCCCCACACAGGCCCAGAGGTCTCACTCGCACGGAGCAGAGCGAGGATGCGGCCCCCGCTCTGTTGCCGCGCTGTTGATCGGGAAAGCCGTTATCTATTCCTAAGAGGCTCTCCATCGGTGTCAGTGTCGACGCCTCCCACTCCAGCTGATATGCACACTGGCCAAAGATGCGATAAAGGACCTCCGATCCTTGTAGCGCTACGATTGTGCCTCGCAGGTCGGGGGTAGTGGCGCTTGTGGAACTGTTCCTCGGTATCGGGTCCACGTTGGGTAAGCGTGAGGCACGCAACGAATGCCCCGATAGCACCACGGGATGGATGCCGCCACCATGGACAACACGTCGAAGCACCTGGCTTCTTCACCCATTGGAACACATTTAGCATGGTGCCCATAGCCAGTAGCTCAAGGGCCACAAGCGACTGGCACGCTATGATAATGACACTGTGCACATGAGCAGGCACGGAGCCAGTAACAGCCCGTCGCTAACCAGGACCAAACGAGAACGGGGCTTCTGCACTTTTAACTTATGTTATTGAGATGTGACACACCAAGCTTGCTCTCGGTCCACAAGGCTGGTATCAGCGCCTCATGACAGTGAAACAGAGCACGCGCTAGTAGTATCCAGCATGCGGACCCAAAGGTCTTTTGGCGTATGTGTTGTTAATAGGATAATAATTTCTCTGAATGCTAGTACTACTACTATTTTCTATTGCTTTGGGATGTGCCTTGGGTACACCTTTTACTAACGAACCTGAACATGGAATGGGGGTCCGCTTCACCCGACGCGGACTGGAGAAGTTCTGCCAGAAGGGCTACTCTATCATTCCTGACGTTATCTCTGCTCTTCCAGCGTTTCCAGAGATACCCATAACTGTCGGGTCTTTGAAGCTTACCCTCTCGAATGTGAGGCCTCGTGCAGTGCGTGTTTCAACCATGAAGGTCTACTTGCAAGACAACAACTTTGTCAAGATGGAGGCCCGGGACGGCATCATGCAGATCTCGATGCGGCTTAAAACTACCATCACTGGGATCACCGGGACCGTCGACTGCATCTTCACCCTCAAGGACTTCGGGGCAGACATCTCTCTGAGGCTCGGAGACGACCCCACCTGCCCCTACCACTTCGGGCTCTCCGAGATATCGAACGTCGTGTACTCGTCTGGGCTCGACATCGATGCGATCGGACTCGACACAGGCGGGTCTGTCCTTGCAACTGCCATCCAGGGCATGGCGCCCACGTTGGAGGATTTGATGAAGAACACCGTGTTGCAACTCCTCTTTAACACAATCTTCAATTCAATAAAGCAGTCAATGCTCAACCTGCCCTTAGTTGTCCAGATCGGTGATGACTATCTGACTGACCAGCGCTACATCAACGGCATCAATGTCGTCGATAACAAGATAGTGGCAGACCAGGGTGGGTTTTCAATGATCGCTACTATCCCAGATTGGTCGGTCAGAGCTCTCTATCCAAACAAGATCACCTCTCCCCCTCCGAAGACAGTCTACACCGACAGGGACTATGAGTTCTATGTAGACAGGGAATCAGTTAACTCCTACCTGTATGCCTGGCACGTGGCGTATGACAAGTTCAAGGCAGACGGTCTCACTGTCCCGTACAGCACCATCAGGGCGCAGAACATACCCGGCCTTGCAGAGGCTCTTGTGAAGGCCGGACTACTAAGCACTGTTAACGACCTTGGACTCGGGGTCACCCTGACCCTGTCTGTCAGTCCCTCCAAGGATGCCGCACCCCACATACCGTGGATCGGGGCGGCTGCACTACCGGTCAACCTCACGGGGGCACTCGTTGTGACAGCTAGCAAGGTATCAGACCAAACCCCTGTAACTCTGGCCAACCTTGAGGGCGACGTGCTCTTCTCTTCTGCGCTCAAGCTTAAGAAGTTTACCTATGGATTTAACAACGACCAAGTTCGTGCATATGTAGAGCTTCTTGGAGTGCACGATATCGCCACCAAGAAGCACAGCGAAGGGATGGATGATCCTGTTCCTCTGCTGAAGCGTCTTCTTCTAGATAAGTACCTCCCCCTTGTTAACCCGATCCTGGCCGAGACAGGGGTGGCCCTCATGAACGGGAACTTCATCGACTATGCCACTGTCGACGTCATTTATCTGTGCAGCGAGGACAGGGTGCTCTTCGTTGCCGACATTGAGAAAAACCAGTACTTTGCTTGAATGCTGTACCGCAGACTATCTACTCGTGCAGACCGGGGCTATACCGTACTAGTAGCCCTACTCGGACGAGGGGCGTCACTCTCAATCCAATATTCAGATATAAGCACTTGTGTACACTCCTAACCAGTATGCTAGTCATAATAGTAGCTGTCTGATTACCAATATGATGCGCCAATTGACTGTATAAGCGGGGGTTACACTTGCTGCTCTGATAGCGGTTATAGACAGGATGCTCCGACAGATACACGTCTAGCAGGCTTGATTATCCAGCATACTGAGACTCCAGGATACAGAGCAGACCCATACAGAGACACGCCCACTACGTGCTATGTGCTGTGTTGCCGGATCCCCTGCCTGTGGATATGGCCCACGACTTCACGAGTAAACCCACGGAACTTTGGCTATGTCTGAAAATAGAGGCATGCCTTTATGAAAAAGTTGGTTGTTATTACATTGTGGGCCTGTTCTCCTGTCCCCGTCACTGTGGTGGGGCTCCTTATTAACGACTCCCGCCGGCTAGAAGCAGATCGCACCGGGTGACGGGTCCAGTCCATCCCACAGGTCAGCTCGTCGGTACTCATTTCGTGGTACGTGTACGCGTTGACTGCTCGGCTACCTAGCTTGTAATGACGATACTGAAGGGGAGCTCAACTCTAACAGAAGCTTTCTCTGTCTCTGGGCCAGATGAGCAGCACAAGGATTGCCAGCCGGCTCAACCTCAAGGCGGCGTAACATCTCCTAAGCACACCCCTTGTAGTTGTAGCAGAATACACGAGAAACGAGAAAACCCGGGAGACTATATCCTCACAAGGGGATGCACTAGCCAGTGGCTTGCACAAGGCCCATTCGTTTTGCAAACTAGCAGATCATTACTCAGGGGCACACAGGGTTGTGAAGTCACTAATATCCCTTTGACTAACTGCAAAAACTACTGGCGCCTCTCTACGCCACGGTAGGGGTTAGCAGGTCTGTGGAGGGCGCGAGACTTAGCTATCTGCGTTTAGACGAGATCCGATCCTTGCTTTGTGTCGCCTAAGAAGTCAGGGCTCTACTCGACGGCAGACATAGTTTAGAGACTAATCGACACACTAGAAACGACAGATGTAAAAAGTTTGCAATATGACAAGTGGTATGGATCGCGACACAGCCTTTCTCTGCCTTGGACAGGCGCGTCTGGGAGTAGGACAGGCGCGGACATCTTGCCATGGCCTAGCTGGCGGGTGCCTGGGCATGTTCAGTGATATAGACTACTCTCGCAGTGTGTGTAGATGCGTCGGTACTGCGTAAGAGTGGCGCATAAAGACGGTAATTTGCTATGAAAATCCGCCAATCCATCCACTGTAATAAGCACGGGCTAGTTGAAGATCTGCTGGACCATCTTTACAGGCACCGCCTTCAGCAAGTGGCCTTTTCTGGACCAAGAGCGTGACAGGCCCTTTGTCCTTGGCCCCTTCTGTCCGCCTGCAGCGCTTTCGTGACCCGGCTAAGGGGAGCAAGCTGTACACCCTTTACCAGGGAGCGATGAGCTGAGCATCAGACAGTCAACTGTAGATGTTTCTGTAGCCCTTGTTCTCATTACTCTGTAGAGGGTTACCACACACCTTTTCTACTCTGTGCAGGATGGCGCTCCGGCGCACATGAGGTAGCATGGAGATGCACCAGAACAACTGGCAGTCTTCGAAGCGTAGTGCTAACCAGTCAACGCTGCTGTCTATTCTGGCCTTCCACAATGGAGAAGGGGCCAGAGCAGAGCCAAGGGAAGCTAACCTTTGACCCTTTGCCCTGGCGTCGGCAACCAGAAGGACCAACAAGGGAGCGCCCTACTGAGCTCTTAGGCATATTAATGTGAAGGAATATCTGGACCGCTGATTTGGGTGGACGGCTAGATGAGCCCTCGGAACCAAGTTGCATCATGCATCAGGGTGTGCGGCGGCAGGCTGATAAGACTCGGGGCAAGCATGCGCAACAAAAACCTCGAAGGCTTAAACGGCATAGACCCTGACACACGATAATGCCCTACTTTATCTTTTGGCTTTTCGGGCCTCGGAGAGATAGCGACAGGATAGCAGTCAGCCACATGCCTTTCATAGATACATACTGCAGTACTTACAAGTGTCTGATCCTAACATTTAGTGGCCTATCACTCGAGCGGACGCCAGCCCCTGTCTCCATGGTACCTACACTAATGAGCCCTTCTCCGAGCATAGTAGTAGTGATGATTTCATCGATGCCTTGCTACTGTGTGCACTTCTACAGCTCTTAAGGAGATGACAGCCGCTGAATGTACGCATCCATATTACCTCTACACACTGTTCTTCAAGGCTCATCTGCACTCTTTGGGCTCCTACTCATCCCTTGGCCCTTTGGTCTGCAATTGCTTGTCTCGTGGTTATTCGAATCTTTATTGTCTGCTACGGCGATCTTGGATTGCCGCATACATTGCACGCCTGACAGATTCCTTTAGGATTGACAACGCAAGGCTCTGGCTCCTAGATCGTAAGTAGGCACGATCATTGATTACCTGTGTGGATGCTAGCTCGTACCATCGCAGCTGCTTCTGTAATGAATTACCTCGGGCGGTGGATCGACAGCATTGACGCACAGCTCACTGTGCCACTGTGCACTTTGTAATCTCATGGTGGCTAATATTTAATGTTAGAGGATCTCCAAGTCAGATACAAGACGATGATTTTGTAGTGCCGTAGTGTCGTTCGGATGCAACAGAGCGCAAAGGCCAGCCCATATCGAGGTCGAGACCGAGAGCAATCAAATAGCAGCCAGGAGATTCACTGCGCATTCCTGTCGCCTTTTGCCAAGATGGAGTGCCAAGTGGGCCCACGAACAGGGGCTGTCGGACTGTTCTTTGCTCGCTGCCCTCTAGTTAGCCCTAGGCTTCAAGGTTCGGGGTATTCTTCTGCCATATGAGATTCAGCATGTAACTTAGAGCACTCTGTTACTGGCCGAGTGTTCAGGGTCTTGTTGTACCGCGATATCCAGGATCTCAGGACATACGTCCAGGAGTGAGGACCCGAGTAATAATGGCAGGCTGAGTAAGAACAGACTTCACCCGCACATTGGGCGCCGACAGCTTGCCGGTTCCTCAAAGGAAATTTATCAGCTATCCAGTACACAATCGTCCATTCGCACTCTGGGGAACGCAGCATTCTGTTTGGTTGTTCACCATAGGGTCGGTTGTATGGAGCCCATGATCAGCAGGCGGATGAGCCTCCTCATCATCCTGGCTAGCTAGGGACGATTCTTTGGCGCTAAAGGTCACAAAGGGACGAACGAGTGCCAGCGAGCAAGAACATCAGAATGTGCTACAGCTGCTTTTATGGGACTCGTACCCTCAAGAAGGTATACTTATCTCTGCTCTGACCTACCAAGCTAGATCATGGCCACTGTGCCTCTTGGGATACGACACGTTACAGCACTTGCGTACCCAGATGATGCTGCACAAAAAGTTGTATTATCGACTGATGCCTCGCGTTGGTCATTCATCAAGCCCGGGGGCCATGGAGAGGGCCACACCACCAGCGAGGTCTAGTCCCATCAAACCTTCTTGTTACATGATACAGAGTGCAGCGAACAGGGGAGTAGGAACCTCTCAGGATTGTGGCACTTAGGGTTCTACCGCCCAGCCGTGCCACATGGATGTCAAGGGTCAGCCACAATCACTCCGCTTAAGGATTTATTTTTGTACTTCTCATTGACTACAGACACAATGCCATGCAACATAGACCTCAGATACCGTATCTTACTCCTCGTTGCAGCGATGATGACGGCAGGCGCCCTTGGTATTCTTCAGAAAGGTCTCATACTATATGAAGGGCAAGAATGTCGAAGGCCAGCTGGAGCTGTACGACAAGGTGTGGATTCCAGCCTTTTTCATGTTCCTTGGTGAGAGTATCGGCCTGGGAGTTTTCTGCATAAAGCGGTGCGTCATTAAAAGGAGCATCTCCAAATCGTCTCCTGATATGGCTGCCGATAGTGCAACGAACTTCGAGCAAGAGAATAGCACAGCCCTCAAGACATCATGCACACATCTGTCTATGCAGAGGCAGCTCCCTCCGCAGATCGCTCGAAAGAAAGCAAGGAAGCTTATGGTGGGTCCACTGCCTTGTTGGAAGTTCGTGCTTGCGACGGCCTTCAACACTGCTATGCTATACATCTCGGTGTCTGCGGCCCAAAGCCTTCGGGGGTTCACCATCGTCTTTTGCCAGATCCTTGCAATCCCCCTGTTAAAAAGGAGACCGGAGAGGTGGGAGATCATGGGTGTTTGCTTTGCGTTTCTAGGACTTCTCCTAGTAGACGTCGCCATTGCGATCCAGAAGCGGGAGCACGGAGACACCCTCGAGACTACCATAGGGGTCCTGCTCGTCGTCGGCGGACAGATCTTCTCTGCCACGCAATACCTTCTAGAAGAGAAGACCTTCAAGAGCCGGGCCATAGACTCTCTGCTAGGTGTTGGCTGGGAGGGTGTCTGTGGCGTGATCCTGTCGCTGTGCGTTGCGTGCCCGCTGGCACACGTGATGCCTGGCAGCGACCACGGGAGCCTGGAGAACTATGCCAACTCGCTGTACATGTCCTTTGTCAACGGAAACATACTAGCCATGAATCTCCTATATGCGCTATCCATTCTACTCTTTAAATGGTCCGGGCTGGTTGTCGGGAAGATTCTTACTTCAACCCATCTGTCTCTATTTGATAACTTGAGATCACTGCTGATATGGGCCATCATGGTCATAGTATACTACTCGACGAGGCACTACAGTCGCCCATATGGAGAGCCCCTCACTCCGTATTCGCTTCTGGAGCTGCTGGGGTTCGGTGTACTAGTCTTGGGCATCGTGGTCCACAACAATGTTCGTGGACTCGGCGTAAGGGCCACTTGCAGGGGTGAGCGGAGGATAACGCCGGGCTCCCCCAAATAACAGCCTGGCTGGAGTGACCGGGCCACTGACTATTGTAATCCTGTCTTCGCACAGCGACGTGCCCCGTACTGTGCATATTGTCATAAAGCGGGGAGGGCCATCCTCCTGACCCAGTAAATTATGGGAAGCCCAATTGAAACCTGAAGCGTCGAGTGGCCTGATCGAGACAGTGACCATTCCTAGAGCTGTATTTGTGTTTCCTATCTTTTACTAGATTGGTATGCATCAGTCTGGAGCATTAACATCTGTAGGGAATATAGTTGTCGTGCCATGGTCATTGAAGGTAGCGGCTACACGGTCCGTCAGGCAATATGCAGTACACCATATGCCCCTATGTGACCTGCAGCGATGCGTGAGCCTGCGTATGGTGAGTCACTCTCCCATAGACTGCCTCCAGGCCGTGCTTCATCTTCTATCTGGCTGGACACCTAATTAGTCACCCTACATTCGCTGACTGACATGTATGGCCTCTAGTCTGACTGCTGGAGCTACTTGTCTTGGTCTTGAGCTCTGCATTGAACTTCTCTGACAGGTAAGGCACAGACAGACGACCATGCCATGCCCGTAGCCTTCTCTCATGCAGCCAAGGCTCTGCATCCGATGGCCAGACCTTAACGGCCATCTACCGAGCTCGGGCACATCCTAGGTCCAGCACAGCACTAGGCGTTACTGGCAGGAGTACCTTGTATCTCACAACTTTACTGATGTCCGTTATAGATTATACTAATGGGCCCTCATACTCCCAGTTTACAACTAGAGCATATAGAGTCCTGCAGTTACCGTCTCAACTGAGTACTACGTCCCTCGTAGATAGTAGCGGCATTAAGGCTGGACGCCAGAGCTGGCCCCAGACAGCTGAGTTAGCAAGGACACGTTACCATGGAACGGTGCGTTAGAGGTTGCCTATGTGGTGCCTGTTCAGTCTGAGCGTAGGCGTCAGGGGATTTCGCATCTGGTCTGTTGAGGTCCAGCCCTCTGCAATCTCGGGTAGACTCTAGGTGGTACCTCCCCTATGACATGTCTGGTGGGCGAGGGATAAGGGCACTGCTGGCCTTTCCAGGTGTTCCCATCTGTCTCGGTTGCAGCCATTGGTGGCCCTGGTCATACGGGCCCGTCCATGATCAAAAGCACACTGACAGAAGGCAGTCGCTCTGAGTGGCCTCGTCGGGTGCTCACTCCCTATAGGTGGCGTAAGGCCATGGACAGAGGACTCCTCGAGGTGCTTCTTGGACTTGGGGTGGAGGGATCCGTCTGTCTCGTCCTTGTACTTCTTGACCTTCTCGCTGTGGTATCCATGCGGTTGCTGGATGACACCCACGCCCACCGCCTTGCATCTGTCGACGAGCCAGATGTCGGGCTTCTGGTTCTGGTTCTGGTCGCCGGGCTGGTCTGATCTCTGGCCCATGTTGCATTCCCCGAGACACAGAGGCAACGATTGCACGGGGCCCCTAGTTGTCGCTTTGCACCAGTGGAAGGGAGCCCCTGCTTGCCGTCTACGATCATCCCATCCTCAGAGAGCCTGGCCTGGGCGGGCTCTGAGTGCGCCTCAGGCGGGCCCAGCAGCACAGCCCTAGAGGTGGCCGGGTGGAGTGAATCATCGTGGGATGCACGTAAGGAGCGCACAGGTCCGGGGCGCCCGAACAGGCCCAGCCCTCGCACCGGCTCCCCCGGTCGCCTCAGTCGCGGCGCTAACAGGAAGACGCGTGTCCTGTTCGACGACCCGGCACACGGACCGACGGCCGGCGGACCGCATGGCAAGGTGGAATAAAAAGTTTGAAACGTCGGCGCTCGCGCGAATCGGAATGCGGCGTTCTCCGGGCTGGGAGGCCGTGCGTGCGGGCATTACCTCTAGCATGTTCCTCACCACGGTCCCAGGCTGATGGGCGGCCGAGGCCTTGTCAGCGTCACGCACGCCTCTTGCCGGCATTGGGCCGCCCGGGATCGTACATAGGCAGGGCTGCAGAGGCCTTCCGCGGCTCCTGCGGGCAGTCGCCTGCTGCGGAGAGCACGCCCAGCTTGGGAGCTCCTCAGGATCACCGTGCAGGTCATCGAGACCGGTTCGACGGGCCCACGTTGAAGGAGGCGCATGGGCCGGTGAGCGTGCCGTCTTTGCAGGCAGGCTCTCGCTGGCCGGGTGGCGGGGCTCTCCTGTATCTCCGCCGGAGGACGCCCTATCTACTGGCAGCATTTCCACAGTTGCAACGCTACAGGGGCGGGCTGCAGCTCTTCCGCAGGACCTCGTCGGACGGGCAGTTGGCGTACTCTCACGTGCACTCGCAGGAGCTCCCCGCCCTCGTAGAATAGCACCCCGCGCGCCCCAAAAAGCCAAATCGAAATGCAGCAGGTGCAGTCGACTCTTCTCGGGTTGTGGCGCTGATCCAATCAGACGCCGCGGCACGCCCCGAGCAGGCCTCGTCCAGCAGCGGGTGCTCTAGCCGCGCCCCTGAGGCAAGTCTGCTTCTGACCCCGTCCCTGTGCCGACCCCAGCGAGCCCCCGACGGCGCTGGAGAAGGAGCGCCTTGCGGAGCCCCTTACTGGCCCCTCGGTGCAGGAGGATCCCCGGATTACCGATTTGCGTGCGGCAGCCGGCGGGGCGCCCCGGGCCATCCTTACATCTACATGTCCAGCGAGTGCCGCAGCGGGCCGAGATGAAGCCGCGGGCGCCGATGCCGGGGCGCTGGCCACGGAGGCTGCAGCGTTAGTAGCCAGGCGAACCCCTTGGTTCGCGTTTTAGTTTTTGGGGTCCCAAGTTAGCGCCCCCGGAGCAGCACCGGCTGTACACTGTTCACTGCACTCGGTCGGCCGGATGGTGTAGCAGCTACGGCTACTCTAATTACGGCGCTTGATGTGTTTACTGCTGGGGGGTGCTGCTCTCCGTTCTACGGGGTGGCAGGAGTGCTCCCGCGTGCAGGTAGTACCAGTGGACGCCCCTCAGCTGCCGGGCCGGAGCGGCTCTTGGATGGGTGGACCTATCCTCCTCCGTGCGGCCGTCCCTCGGGCCTAGTAGACGTGCCTTGCTGTGTCCCGCAGCCCGGATCCTTGCCTTCAGACGCCAGCACGGAACTCTCTAAATTTGTCCTCCTGTGACATCCTATGCTGCCATGCACACTTCGTTTCTAGCAGGCCCTTAAGGTTGCAGCCCAGGACTACCGGCCCCCACATCATCAGATATGGTTGCTGACTGCGGCCGCCTACGCAGTCGCAGCTGGTTCCGCACTGGCCCTGTATCGGTAGCCTTGGCCTGCATCGCCGGTGTGCGGCCCACTTCGCTCTGCGGGTGTACCACGTATAGTTACCAGCCTCGTGATGTGGTGCACCGCTGGGGCAGATCCTAGCGGCAGTAATCCTGCAGCCCCATGTGGTCGTCTGGCAGTGGATGCGAAGGTTTGCAGGCGGGAGCGGAAGGTCGGGATGCTCTTGCCCACGTCACCGGGCGCCGTGGTCAAGGGCTCCGAAGACATGCCCAGCCCTCCGCTGGACGAGGATCGATGGGCCGCTCAGAGCCCCGCAAGCTGCGTCCAGGCTGGTATTAGGTGGCCCAATGACGTGGCGACGGGAGTTGTGAGGCGAGACCGCCACACGCCGAGCGTCGGGCCATTGCTACACCGACTCCCCAAAGGGACACACTCAGCCCGGGGCCGGATGTCCGCTTGTGTCCCAGAGTGAGCGCCTTGCATGCTTGCCGCGAGCAGCTATCTAGGGCTCGAGGTTAGCGGGCGGGCTCCAGCTATCGCCCCCTCATTGTCTCGGCCACCGGGACAGAACTCCCTTCTCCGGAGACGTGATCCTCGGGCCTGTGTGGCTCCCCTTCTTTGGAACGGGCTGGCTGTAGCCCTTCCGTATCATAGCCAGTGCTCTCTGAGGCCCTGATGACGCGCGGCTGTGTCTTGCACGTGTCGCTACAGTGGGACCCGCGCCTGTCCGTCCTTGCGTCGCCTACGGTGTAACCAGGGGCGACCCGGGCACGCTCCTATCGGCACATGGCGCCCTCCGCTGTGCTGGCTCCTGACGGCAGCCCACTCTACCGGGTCTGGTACTGCAAGGACCACCTATAGTGGGGGCAGGCGGGTGCGTCTACGCATCACCTCTGCGCTGTAGACAGTAGACGGCACGCCATCAGTTAGCACAAGATCCGGTCCGCGTCTTCTCCGGCTCTGTATCCATCGGGCTATGCTAACCATTACTATAGCCGCCCTATGACAGAACTAGGCCTTGCTTCGCAGAAATCCAAAAACAGGGGTCGTAGATCGGGCGGCGCGGGTCGCCCTCGGGCTAATCCACTGCCGCGGCACGGCCACTGCGGGCCCGTCCAGGTGGCCATGGAGCTGGGGGCGGCCTCGGTCGAGGATCATCGCTCGACGCGCCTCTCCTGCAGCGGCCAGGGCGTCCCGGCCGGTCTCGGGCGACGAGGACGCTATTGAGGCACGGAGAAGTACGGTGGCCCACAGGATTCGGCGGGGGGCCGGATCGCGCAGAGCTGGTTGAGGAGACTAGAGCGCCAGCCAGGCCGGGGCGCCGCCGGGGAGGCTGATATGGGTTTAGGTTACAGCGGGGGCATCTGGGCCGTCGTCTGCTGGCTCCAGGGCAGAAGAGCGGTAGACATGCCGGGCGGTCCCGCTGCTTATTTTTGGATTTTCTACTCTTTCACGCTGCATAGAAGGGGTGAGATCTTAGGAAAAACCGGGCTTTGAGGGTCTACTGGCATCGTGAAAGAGCAGTAGGCTGTACAGTGACGCGTTTACTACCTAAGTGGATGCCACTTACGCCTTCCCCCGACAGATGAACCACCAGCAGAGGAACCCTATGAGGCCCCCGACGACGACGATGGCTGCGACGGAGATCCCCGCGATGGCGCCAGTGCTGAGGCCGCTCTTGTTCATACTGTCTCCTCCAGTGTCTCCGCCGGTGCCATCGTCAGTCTTTTGTTGTGTCAAATAACAAGTAACAGCCCCGGAAGAACTGGCTGGCTCCTTGCAGCTCAGACAGTTTGGTACGCCTTTAATGCTTCCATCATCCTTGTCGCATGCTACGCACTTTGTTCCGGACTTATAGTATCCCGGGAAGCACTCCGAACACTGCTGTGAAGGAGCACTTCCTGTACATTTTGAGCAGCCAGCTGGACATGTCGGACAGACCTTTCCACTGGGCTGTTGTCCGTTCGCGCAAGTAGTGCACTCTCCATTGTTAGCTGCCGTGCAGACAGCCTTTCCAGGAAGCTTCGCCACACCATAGCATCCACCAGAAATGAGGGCGTATGCTCCTGTGCACGCCGTGCACTTCCCGCTTGCAGCTGTGCATACACTCGCGTCTCTCCCAATTTTTACTGCTGTGCACACTCCGTCGATTGGGGCATATCCCTCCTTGCACTGGGCACAGTACTTCGCGCCCCCCACGTCAGCCGTGCACTGCCCGTCTGCACAGTTGGTAATGAACGCACCAGTGCATTCCTTGACGCACCTCCCAGTCGCTCCGTTGGCCTCATACAGAAGGGAGTGTCCAGGGTAGCAGGCCGTGCAGGAGGTCTCCTTGTCGTCGGTCTGGCAGCTGGCACACGACGAGTGGCAGGGGGTGCAGACGTTTTGCTTGTCGTATGTCCCGGCGGGGCAGTTGTCCATGCACTCGTCCTTGAGGGGGCTGACCTTCTTACTAGCATGACACTTAGAGCAGGTGACCTTGACTCCTGCTTCAGGAGCAGGTGCTCTAGGTATGCATAGTTCGCAGTCTTCTATGCCACCGCTTCCAGCTTCACTACAGCCAGCACACTTCTTAACACCGTCGACGATTGTCGGGAAGAAGCCCTCGCCGCATCCTGATTCCGCGACGCACTCCATAACGCCTCTATCTATTTTCAAGTAGAGGTCTGCGGCACATTTGGTGCATATGGCGGCCTTAGTGCCACCAATTGATAGTTGCCCTGGCTGAGTACAGGTGACGCACTCGGCCACGCCCGTGTACTTCTTATCGCCAGTAAGCGTCACGCCCGTTGTATCCCCGCACGAAACAACCGAGTCGTGTGCGTTATCAGTGCCCGGCGGCAGGAAGTATCCTTCCTTAGCCTGTGTGCACACTCCAGCATTTGCTGTTTCACACATCGTGTTGCCAGGTGCCTGGCTATCCTTGTAGCATCCGCCCTTGTACATGAAGGACTTATTAGCGCACTGTGTGCACTTCCCATCTTGCTTCCGGGTACACTCGTTATTGTCTGCTGAGCACACTCCGTCCGTTGGGGCAGATTGAGACCCACCGCCGTTGCACTGCGAGCAGTATTTCTTGCCGTTGACGACGGCGCTACAGGCCTTGCAAGTGTTGGGCTCACTGCTAGCTACCTCTTCGCATTCGTCTCCGGCTTGCGCTGCCCGTACTAGCTCGAGTGCGAGACCGGTCAGCAAAAATGCATAGAACATTGCGGCCCGCGCAGCCCTGTCACGCAAGGTTATGGCAGCTCCACTTACCGCGCTTATACCCTTTCATGACGCTTGCCTATGCTGTATGACACACTGACAGAGATTACCCTTCATGTGGGCCTGCGTTGAGAGGTGGGGCCGTGCTGATTCCACCTTCGTGTGACTGGCCGGCTGTGAAACGGACCGATCGATGTAAGCTTCCTCCCTTGTGTTGCAAGGCATACCATAGTAACGGCTACACGGCGGTCATGTTTCGCTCTTCGCTGTGATGTGAGGGTTTCCTGGCGACCAGCTCTCCTGCTGTGCCAGTCACAAGGTCTGCCAAGGGACTCCTAGATTCTCCTGAATGCCTGACCAGCGACCCGATGGAGCCAGCCGTGCAATGTCCAGCAGCCCCGAGCCACGGGTCACCAGTGCATGCCTCGAACACTGTCCCCCCGAGATTCCACTGTTGAAGCCCGGCAGGAGCGATGCCCCGTGGAGGATGGCTACGTTCTATCGCGACGCACTGTGACTGTCCCCCTGCTCAGGGACGCCGTCTGTCATACGACCCAACCCGCTTGCACCACAGACTATTGGTGAACCCGCCCCCTGTCGACTCCCACGCACTGAAGGGCCCTACTGACCACTTTAGAGACCGTCCTTCGCCGGTCGCAGGCCCCTCTAAAGGAACTGGTGCCTCACCTGTTCCTATCTGGGATGGTTCCGCTACGGTGGACAGCCTTCGGGCACGCAATGATGTCCCAGCACCCCTAAAATGGTGGTTCCCCACTTGACCGGCTCTAGCCAGCCGCACCACAGCGTCTCCCAGACACGAGGGGTACCTCCGCGCACTAGAGAAGAGGCAACACTGGGGAGGCTTGATGCTATTCGGGCTGCCCGCTCCCTGCTGGCGAGGGGTAGTAGGGCCGTAGACAAACCAAACCGTTGCTATGCCTCTGGTCGGGTGCCCGGTTCCTCGAGTCGTGGCCGAGGGTGATCATCCAGCCGATACGCAGGGCGGCCACTGATACTGCCATCAATGAAATGCTCTTGTGCGCGAAACTCTCCTAGCAAGGCTAGTCCTCAACTAGCTGGCCAGAGGGCGGGCTACGTGCTATCTGAGAGGATAGCTAAATCTATGTTTTGTCGTAACGGGAAGGTTGGCACCGGATCAGCTCTTTGGGTCTTTGGCATCTTTGACGCGATATCTAACAAGTGCGTTACTGAATGGCTACTTAGAGAATAGAGTCACTGGTGAAATGTCTGCTTACGCTAGCAGTGCCTCGATGGGCCTCAATGTTATTAACAGCCTTTTATATTGTGCTGGGCTCCTTTGCAGCACCTTGCCAGCAAGACGGAGACCACATAGTGACCTGTCAGGTCAATAAGTGCGAGACGGTCGGGTCAGCCGAGATTTGTACCGAGTGCAAGGTCGGAGGCGTCCCGGTCGACGGCTTCTGCCGACCCTTCGGCTCCATCCAGGCCGCGGCGGCCGGGTGCACCAAAGCAGACGGGGCTGCTCTCGACAAGATGACAGCAACCTGCGAGAAGTGCGGCGACGGGTACTTCCTCTTCATGGGCGGGTGCTACAAGACAACCGACGGGCCCGGCAGCGAGATATGCACAAAGGCTGAGGGAGGACTGTGCACTGAGTGTAAGACAGCTAACGGCCTGTTCAAGAACCCGGCTACACCTCAGAAACCTGGTAGCGAGTGCATCTTGTGCCATGATGCCACAAATAGAAACGGGGTCATGGGAGTGGATAACTGTCTCAAGTGCACGGCACCTGGTGGCAATACAGGAGCGGCCACGTGTACTGAGTGCATGGCTGGAACGTATAAGAAGAGTGATACAGAGTGTGCTGCATGCCACAGCGACTGTGCCACATGCAGTGGAGCCAATCAAAATCAGTGCACATCGTGCGAGACAGGGAAGTACCTGAAAGGGACTGAGTGTGTAGACAAAGGTACGTGTAACAACAATCACTACCCCGATGACACTAGCATGACCTGCGTTGCCTGTACTGTCCTCGATGCCAACTGTGCAACATGCTCATTTGATAGTGCAACGGCAAAGGGCAAGTGTCTGACTTGTAATTCAAATAAGATTCCCAGGACAACCCTCGACGGAACCTCGACCTGTGTGGAAAATTCTTATGCTGGGTGTCAAGGAGCTGATAACGAGCTGTTCATGAAGGAGGACCAATCGGCGTGCTTATTATGCGGAGATACTAAAGACGTGGATAATAACAATAAAGGCAAAGAAGGGTGTAAGACATGCACTAAGAGTGCAGATGGCTCCCCTCCAACTTGCACAGCTTGCCTCGATGGATACTTCTTTGAACAGTCATCAAACACTTGTGAGGCTTGTGGGGCCAACTGTGTCACATGTTCAGCTAAAACAGATGAGACTAAATGTAAAACGTGCAAGGAGGGGTTCTTCCTGGCCGGCACCGGCGAAGGAAAGTGCATCTCGTGCGAGAATGGTAATGATAGTGGCTACAGCGGGCTTGCAGGATGCCTCTCTTGCACAGCCCCAGCCGCCCCGGGCCCGGCCAGCTGCAACCGCTGCAAGATCGGCTACAAGTTACAGGGAACAACGTGTGTGAAGACCTGCGAGGATACAACGGCTTGTGGGGGTACTTCTGGCGCCTGTGATGCTATAGTAATAGATGATAAGGGCAACACAAAGCATTATTGTTCCTACTGTGGGGATAGTGGTAAGTTCCCTATTGATGGTATATGCACTGATAGCAAAGGAACAAATGCTGGGTGTACTGATCACATTTGCAGCTATTGTGCTCAAGGGTACTTCCTATACATGGGTGGCTGCTATAGTACAGCAAGTCCACCTGGCAACTATATGTGCAAGACAGCTGAAGGTGGCAAGTGCACTGCTGTTAATGATGGTAATAGGTACTTCATAGTCCCAGAAGCAAAGGCTACTGATCAGTCTGTGTTGGCTTGTAGTAACCCCCTAGGCACACTAGTAGGCACTGATAGTGCTGCTAAGGCATATGTGGGGGTACTCAACTGTTCACAGTGTAAGGCCCCAGCAGCTCTGACTGAGGCTGGTATGACTGCTGCTGTCTGTACCTCCTGTGACAGTGGTAAGAAGCCCAACAGGGATGGCAGTGGGTGTGTGACATGCTCTGTGGGTGATTGCAAGAGCTGTGTGATGGATGATGTGTGTGGGGAGTGCAGTGATGGGTACAGTCTGGAGGGTGGTAAGTGTGTGTCCTCTGGCAGTAATAGGAGCGGGCTCTCCACGGGGGCCATCGCGGGGATCTCCGTCGCTGTCATCGTCGTCGTGGGGGGCCTCATAGGGTTCCTCTGCTGGTGGTTCATCTGTCGGGGGAAGGCGTAAGTGGCATCCACTTAGGTAGTAAACGCGTCACTGTACAGCCTACTGCTCTTTCACGATGCCAGTAGACCCTCAAAGCCCGGTTTTTCCTAAGATCTCACCCCTTCTATGCAGCGTGAAAGAGTAGAAAATCCAAAAATAAGCAGCGGGACCGCCCGGCATGTCTACCGCTCTTCTGCCCTGGAGCCAGCAGACGACGGCCCAGATGCCCCCGCTGTAACCTAAACCCATATCAGCCTTCCCGGCGGCGCCCCGGCCTGGCTGGCGCTCTAGTCTCCTCAACCAGCTCTGCGCGATCCGGCCCCCCGCCGAATCCTGTGGGCCACCGTACTTCTCCGTGCCTCAATAGCGTCCTCGTCGCCCGAGACCGGCCGGGACGCCCTGGCCGCTGCAGGAGAGGCGCGTCGAGCGATGATCCTCGACCGAGGCCGCCCCCAGCTCCATGGCCATCTGAACGTGCCCGCAGTGGCCGTGCCGCGGCAGTGGATTAGCCCGAGGGCGACCCGTGCCGCCCGATCTACGACCCCTGTTTTTGGATTTCTGCGAAGCAAGGCCTAGTTCTGTCATAGGGCGGCTATAGTAATGGTTAGCATAGCCCGATGGATACAGAGCCGGAGAAGACGCGGACCGGATCTTGTGCTAACTGATGGCGTGCCGTCTACTGTCTACAGCGCAGAGGTGATGCGTAGACGCACCCGCCTGCCCCCACTATAGGTGGTCCTTGCAGTACCAGACCCGGTAGAGTGGGCTGCCGTCAGGAGCCAGCACAGCGGAGGGCGCCATGTGCCGATAGGAGCGTGCCCGGGTCGCCCCTGGTTACACCGTAGGCGACGCAAGGACGGACAGGCGCGGGTCCCACTGTAGCGACACGTGCAAGACACAGCCGCGCGTCATCAGGGCCTCAGAGAGCACTGGCTATGATACGGAAGGGCTACAGCCAGCCCGTTCCAAAGAAGGGGAGCCACACAGGCCCGAGGATCACGTCTCCGGAGAAGGGAGTTCTGTCCCGGTGGCCGAGACAATGAGGGGGCGATAGCTGGAGCCCGCCCGCTAACCTCGAGCCCTAGATAGCTGCTCGCGGCAAGCATGCAAGGCGCTCACTCTGGGACACAAGCGGACATCCGGCCCCGGGCTGAGTGTGTCCCTTTGGGGAGTCGGTGTAGCAATGGCCCGACGCTCGGCGTGTGGCGGTCTCGCCTCACAACTCCCGTCGCCACGTCATTGGGCCACCTAATACCAGCCTGGACGCAGCTTGCGGGGCTCTGAGCGGCCCATCGATCCTCGTCCAGCGGAGGGCTGGGCATGTCTTCGGAGCCCTTGACCACGGCGCCCGGTGACGTGGGCAAGAGCATCCCGACCTTCCGCTCCCGCCTGCAAACCTTCGCATCCACTGCCAGACGACCACATGGGGCTGCAGGATTACTGCCGCTAGGATCTGCCCCAGCGGTGCACCACATCACGAGGCTGGTAACTATACGTGGTACACCCGCAGAGCGAAGTGGGCCGCACACCGGCGATGCAGGCCAAGGCTACCGATACAGGGCCAGTGCGGAACCAGCTGCGACTGCGTAGGCGGCCGCAGTCAGCAACCATATCTGATGATGTGGGGGCCGGTAGTCCTGGGCTGCAACCTTAAGGGCCTGCTAGAAACGAAGTGTGCATGGCAGCATAGGATGTCACAGGAGGACAAATTTAGAGAGTTCCGTGCTGGCGTCTGAAGGCAAGGATCCGGGCTGCGGGACACAGCAAGGCACGTCTACTAGGCCCGAGGGACGGCCGCACGGAGGAGGATAGGTCCACCCATCCAAGAGCCGCTCCGGCCCGGCAGCTGAGGGGCGTCCACTGGTACTACCTGCACGCGGGAGCACTCCTGCCACCCCGTAGAACGGAGAGCAGCACCCCCCAGCAGTAAACACATCAAGCGCCGTAATTAGAGTAGCCGTAGCTGCTACACCATCCGGCCGACCGAGTGCAGTGAACAGTGTACAGCCGGTGCTGCTCCGGGGGCGCTAACTTGGGACCCCAAAAACTAAAACGCGAACCAAGGGGTTCGCCTGGCTACTAACGCTGCAGCCTCCGTGGCCAGCGCCCCGGCATCGGCGCCCGCGGCTTCATCTCGGCCCGCTGCGGCACTCGCTGGACATGTAGATGTAAGGATGGCCCGGGGCGCCCCGCCGGCTGCCGCACGCAAATCGGTAATCCGGGGATCCTCCTGCACCGAGGGGCCAGTAAGGGGCTCCGCAAGGCGCTCCTTCTCCAGCGCCGTCGGGGGCTCGCTGGGGTCGGCACAGGGACGGGGTCAGAAGCAGACTTGCCTCAGGGGCGCGGCTAGAGCACCCGCTGCTGGACGAGGCCTGCTCGGGGCGTGCCGCGGCGTCTGATTGGATCAGCGCCACAACCCGAGAAGAGTCGACTGCACCTGCTGCATTTCGATTTGGCTTTTTGGGGCGCGCGGGGTGCTATTCTACGAGGGCGGGGAGCTCCTGCGAGTGCACGTGAGAGTACGCCAACTGCCCGTCCGACGAGGTCCTGCGGAAGAGCTGCAGCCCGCCCCTGTAGCGTTGCAACTGTGGAAATGCTGCCAGTAGATAGGGCGTCCTCCGGCGGAGATACAGGAGAGCCCCGCCACCCGGCCAGCGAGAGCCTGCCTGCAAAGACGGCACGCTCACCGGCCCATGCGCCTCCTTCAACGTGGGCCCGTCGAACCGGTCTCGATGACCTGCACGGTGATCCTGAGGAGCTCCCAAGCTGGGCGTGCTCTCCGCAGCAGGCGACTGCCCGCAGGAGCCGCGGAAGGCCTCTGCAGCCCTGCCTATGTACGATCCCGGGCGGCCCAATGCCGGCAAGAGGCGTGCGTGACGCTGACAAGGCCTCGGCCGCCCATCAGCCTGGGACCGTGGTGAGGAACATGCTAGAGGTAATGCCCGCACGCACGGCCTCCCAGCCCGGAGAACGCCGCATTCCGATTCGCGCGAGCGCCGACGTTTCAAACTTTTTATTCCACCTTGCCATGTGCATTCGCCGGCCGTCGGTCCGTGTGCCGGGTCGTCGAACAGGACACGCGTCTTCCTGTTAGCGCCGCGACTGAGGCGACCGGGGGAGCCGGTGCGAGGGCTGGGCCTGTTTGGGCGCCCCCGCGGCTAGCGCTGGCCACTCCTGCGCCCACTGGAGGGACGTCGCAGGCTCTCGCTGCCTTCTACCACGAACGGGTCCGCCGCATCCCTCCGAGTGGCAGGGCGACAGTCCGCGGCAGCATGCACGCACTCGAGGTCCATCTTATATGCTGCAGACCATACTGGGAGACTACTTCTTGCCCGGAGCTACCAGCCTGGACCAGCAACTTCTAGCACGACTACGCGTCTCCTCGTCGAGTTGTGCAGTTGTTTTGGAAGCATCCTCCGAGGGTTGGAATGGTACCCAACGCTACCTTCTAGTGCAGCTTGAAGCTATCCTTACCTCGGCTCACCGCTCCACCTGGATAGCCTTAGGAGTCTACAAGCTACGCCTGATCTACCCATCGAGCCACTGCCCGTTAGTACCATGAACATCTGGTCCTTCCACTGTAGAACGCTACCTATGGGCATGGAGACTACTGGCATTGCTAATACCACCGGGTCCTTATTTACTGCCTCTCCTTAGGTTCTCATATCGTCTCGTCCATCCGTCACCTATAGTGTGGGGATGTGCGCCTCGTTGCTTCATCTGTATACCGAAGTTCTCAATACGATGGGAAGGCACTTTGTCCAGCAAACCATCCTATTGATCTGCTGGTTGTATGCATCGTGATATCACAACCTTTGGGAACGTGTATGTAACGGCTAACATGGTACTGCCCTTCCATAGCCGCAAGGGAGCTGAGCTTCATGCGTGGCCATCCCCAGTTCTTGCTCGGTCCCAGGCGTTTCGAGTTTTGTCAGAAGGATTGCGCTATCCTGCACGCTCGTATATCGGTCCTGCATGCACCATCTCCCTTTTAGACGCCATTCTCACCGACTCCATTGTGTTGTCTGCTACCTCGCCTGTATTGTGGCTCTAGGAAGGCCACTGGAGTCCCGTGCATAAGTGAAGTGGATTTGCTTTCTTTCATTGTGCAGGACGTCAAAAATTTGCACTCTCATACTTTCGCACACTCACCCGCTTTTTTGTCATCCTATCCATACCCCGGCTATCTCAGTGGTTGCTCTGGACAACCAGGCGATAGAGAATGTCGATGAAAGCAATCATATAACTGGCAGGATCGTCCCTTTGTCCGGTTAATTCTCCCAATCCCATGACTCCCTAGCTGTAGTAGGTACTGTATTAGTTCCTTTACTAAGGCGTACATTTTCCTCAGCACATAGCTTATAAGTTTACAGTTTTCTTAATTCCGTTAGCCAACTCAGCAAGTAGGATATCTTAAGCGTTAAGAACCATCAGGGACCTCTACGATGAAGTCCTTGAGTCGCTTATCACCGTTGGTCGCAGAGCAGGTCCGCTTGAGCTCAGATTCTATCACCTCAACCATACTATTCCAAGCCGCAGAGTCTTGGGTATTGTAGTATTGACAGAGATCGGTCTTATCTATGCTAGCTAGTGATAGGCTAGTGGATCGTGGCTCAGATGCAAGGCCCGAGCGTTCCCACAGTCGAAATAGACTGCCCGAAGCTTCAGAAGAGACCTGAATCTGCGCGTCTGTCATTGGAATTAGAGCCGATTGGTGCGATTCTGTACGCATGTTATCAGCCGTTGTTTCTAGAATAGAATAGTTAGCAATAGTAGAATAGCCAGAGTAATGCGGGACAGTCGGCTTGTGGCCGAGAGTATCTGGTACGCGCAGGTTGGCTTGAAGAGACATCATGTTAAGTACTTCTGTACTCCGCGAGGCACTCTTGGCGGAAGCATACCCAGAAGTAATGTACGGAAAGAACTTAACAGGAAGTAGTAGTATCAGGATGAAGACAAACACATTGTAAGTAGAGTGGGAATCCGATGCAGTGGGAGAGCTCCCGAAGCCTGTATAGGTATCTGTACCTGTTAGTGACCCAGAGTCATATGCCCCCTGCGGATAAACTGAGTCACTTGGTGGCGGCAGTGGTAGTACGTCGCCATTCAATGGCAGTTGGAGGGGTCCACTGAGGCAATTATCATAAGCATAGTTATCTCCATAGTAGCTCTCGCCTGGACGCACGGGGCATTCATGGCCCTGCGTGGTAGCTATAAGTGTGTCCTGGTTCAGAGTATTATAGCCCACATTTCGTGAATGAGAGATTGTCCTAATGAACATCAAGATTCCGTCTATGCTACGAAGTATCTTTTCTGTGTGAACGTTGAGAATCTTCTGGAGGGCGGCGTTTTCTTCCCTCAGTCGCAGGTTATCTTCCCGCAGCTTTTGCAGATCCTCCTTGAGGAGTATCTGATCCTCCTTGACCCGCTCCCGGTACCGCTTGGCGGCCAGGCGGCCATTCTCCTTCCGCTTGTCAGTGTCCAGATCCGGTTTACACTTGTACGGCTCCGGTCCCCACGTCCCCGAGCCAGGATCAGAGGCCAGGTGCCCATAGTAAGGTTGTTGTGGGGACCCGACCCTGCCCAGCTCGGAGGAAACCCCCAAAGAGGGATCAAATGTAAAGGGTAGTGTCATTTATTTTTGCTCCTGTTTCTGCTGTGACCTAATCTGACGTCAAATGTATCAGGGAGTACGGGCGCCTTTAATTCCTATGTGACCTTTGCGGCCTCTGGCTGCTTGAGCGTGTCTATGACCTCTTGTCGCGCTTCCACTATGTGCTTCTGCAAAGACTTTAGCAGCTCCAGCTTACCGCCGGCGGCTTTTATTGTCTCTTTGTCAATTTTGAGGTATCCCAGATCGTGCGCCTCCACCGCGCCCTTGGGATAGCGCTTGTCCCGATCGGCCAGGACCTGGGCCGACGGATAGACCTTTCGTACCGCTGCCTCTATTTCCGCCAACGACGGCCGTGGCACGCTGTGCTCCAATCCCAGGCGCCGTCCGTCTTTCAAGGACGCTTCTGAATCCATGTAGCGCGGGTATATGATGCATGCCTTGCCCATTTTTTTGTATGCCACAATAATCAAAACATAGGTCGATGGTCTCCGTTGTTTTTGAAAACGACGACTACACAGTTATCAACAAGCCCCCAAATCTTCATATAGATGGGGACTACCCCCAGACTGTCCGCTCGTGGTATCTGGCGACCAGAGGGAGAGCGCCTCGCTTTGTCAACCAACTCGACTATCCTACCTCGGGGCTTATGGTTATAGCGTCGAGTAGAAAGGCTGCTGGATTTGCCGGCCGCGAGTTTCAAGCACGAGCCGTCGCAAAGACGTACGTCGCCTTAGTAGTTGGTGATGTCGCCAGCCAAACAATCTCGGCCCCAATAGCAGATGATGCGGCTGATCCTCGGCAGTTTTGCATGTGCATTAGTGAAACGGGAAAACATTCAGAGACACACGTGGAGCGGATTGCGGCTATCCCCGAAGACTTGCGTGAGCTCAGCCCTTCACTGCCACAAGGCCTTTATACGCTCGTTGTTCTTCGCCCTGTCACAGGCAGGAGACACCAGCTTCGGCTTCATTTGGCGCATATTGGTCACCCCATCGTCGGGGATCAGCTCTATGGAGGCGGACTGACGGATACCAATCAATGTGGTGAAGAAGAACGCCTCTGCCTTCATGCCCTTATGCTCTCCATTCCAAATCTATCGGGACTACCTCTTTTAGAGGCACCTCTGGAGTTTCCAAGTGATTTACTTGCGATAGTGTTCAATAAATATAAGCATACAATTGAGAGCATGCCTGTACGTGTCAGTACCCCTTGTACTGACCTTCCCTCAAGCTAGGGTTGCTTGTCTAAGGCCTTTAGCTTAGTGAGGGCCTTGCTTATTCATATTTTTAGTCAAAGCGTTATACAGCTGTGTTTGTAGCTCCTCGTTGACAGGCAGAGATGTCTCCACCTGGGCTCCTAACGTGCGCTGAATCACAGAGGACAAAAGATCCGACCTTTCCCGGCTCAAGGAAAGCTCCTGACTTCTCACCAAAGCGTCGCCCTCGGCAGTATTGTCGTGAATTGCCAAGAGTTGACCGGGCATAGCATATGCGTGCGCTTTCTTTGGCTCCTGCAGCATGGATGAATCCACTATCGGCGCCTGTGGGCTATGAGCCGCGGTGTGTAGGTATATCTTGGTGATGTTTCTATTGGATGCCTCTGTCATCCTTCTCGACGGAGAGCTGGGCAATGCAGTCGGCCCAGAATCGTTTAAGTCAGCAGCGAGCAAAGGGAGCTTATCAAATGCGTCTATAGAGAGATCCTTTGATAAGCGGCCCGTTCCAGCCGGTGATAAAGGGAAGACGTCCTTTGGATCGACTATCGAGGCGGGCAGCTTTCTGGTCTTCCGTTTCTTGTTTGTCACCAGCTCTTGCAAATCGGCGGCAAGGTCATTGAGAATTCGGCCATGCGGTTCGCTCTTCTCTCCGCCGCTGGTTCGAATGTGAGGAGTTGTCTCCAAGTTGTGTGGAAAGAGGATTGGAGACAGAGTTGTGGGAAGCTCCACCTGTTGTTGAGGACGGGAACTGCTATCGTCAATCATCGGTTGCTGGTATGGTTGGACGTGGGAAGTGTACTCCCTTATCTCAGGGCTTTTCTCGGAGATGGTTATAGACGGCGTTTGCTGCGTAGATTCTCTTGTTGGCGAGATAGGTAGAGTGCTTTTAGAGACGGGCTGGCTCTCTTCTGTATCTGATACGTGCCTCTGCTGTGCCACGGGCCCCAGCGTGGTAACTGTCGACCCGAAGCTTTTATGAATATCAACCTCGGGTGCAGAGGTCCCTAATGCCGTAGCAGATTGTCTACTGGTAGCACTTACACGAATATCTAGTGTATCGTTATTGGGCTTACCTCCGTCCTGCTCTACTCTGTTCTTAAGCTGATATTGCCTTGAGCCGGCCCTCTTTGCATTGTCCTTTTTGGCGGAAGTTGGGCGCTTTTCTTTAGTGATGCTTGAAGATGGTAGCTTGACGGATTTTTCTACACCTACTGCAGGCTTTGGCCTGGCACTTTGCGGTCGCCTTCCACGTGTAGCATTAGATGATTCTCTGTTGCTCCTGTTATCAGCATTTTCTCTTTGCGTGGATATATGTGAGTGTGCCTCCTCTGCGCCCTGGCATGCCTCTTTGTTGCTGATAGACGTATGCGCTTTGTTGCCTGATCGAGACCTTGAATCAGTAGTTGCTGATGGTCTATGATCGGGCTTCCATGGCCTCTGAGGGGCCTCCGGTATTGTGTGTGTTGCAGCCTCTGAGAAAGCAGCACCGCTCCCAGAAGCATGGCCGATAACCGTTGGGGCTTTATCATCGCTGGGAATACGATAACGTTCCAATTGTTCAGAGAGGGTTTCTGGTTTAGTGAGAGAATTAGACTGTCTTCTTTGCTGAGGAAAGCGTGCGCACGGTCTTTGCACTGTGTTTAGTACACCTTCTTGGCAAGCGGCCTCATCTAGCTCCTGTTTATAACTTGCCATGCTGTTATATTGCCTATTCCATTGTATTGTTTGGATACTGTATCTCTTAATGAAGGACCCATCCTCCCTGCTCCTCCCTGCACCATCTGAAGGGTCTGCTTCTTCGCTATAGTCATACAACTGCTGCGTATCGTTCTTACCATATTTCTTCAAGAGATCTACGGATGCTGCCTGTGTCTCCGGGGCAGTCCCACAATTATCTGCAAGACCTTTATCTCTGGGTTGATTGGCATCCGAGACCAATGCTTTCACTGGTTCGTTGATGATTATATTCTTCTTTGTATACGTTTCTGCATCGCCCTCGTTGCTCTCTAGTTTCATGTTATGTCGCCACGGCTTTGCATAGTCCCTTTGATCTTCCCAAATGTCATGCCTGTTTCTAAATACCTTGTGGTCTCTGCAATTGTCTTCAACGTAAGCCATTGCAAGGTCTGTTGCCAGCATATCCATAACGACATGGTTGTTAGTCTGCTTGAGCGTCCTTTCATGTGTGTCGTTTTCATGATCCAAAAGGAGGTTTTGCTTATACTCAAGAGAATTGTAATTGGATCGTGTGGAAGACGGGCGTTTAACATTGGCTCCGTGAGCACTTGTGACGTTCTGCATGATTGCTTTTTTATACGCCAAGTAACTATTGGTACTAGGAAGAGACACGGATGTGGCCATGCTTCCCGAAATGTGTGGTTTAGGCGACCCTTGTCGCGACGGTTGCTTGGACGCAGGAGGTGTCAGGCCTTCCTGCCGCTGGGGGGACTGAGGGACAGACGCTTGGCTCGCCATTTCGCCCTTTGACTCACGTGGTGATGAGGTTGGTGACACACTTCTTTCCTGCTTCTGGGACGCGTCGGGCTCTTTAGATTTAGAGGAAGATCGACTAGCGGTTTTCTGTTGACTCTTCCCAAGTGACCTCCGAGGACTTTTAGAGGTTGGTGTGCTGGCTTTAGAGTTGCTCTTCACATTAGATGACTTGCTGTTAATGGTTGAGCACGACGCAGTCCTATGGCTTTGGTGCATACTTCCGACTCTACTCGTTGACCGTGAGTCTAGATATGAAAGGCGATATTGCATTAAGCGCTTGTCAAACGTTTCAGACTTATCAAAGCTCAGTCTATCAAGATATCGTTCCGGAAAGCTGAGTCGGAACTGATCCTTCAGCTTGTCCTCCGGGAGCCTTACACGCCGTATGTCTCCGTTATCCGTATACTCCTTGGCCAACTGCAGCGACCCTGCCATGCTCCTACTGGACTTTGTCCGCGCATCCTTGGGCATTAATTCTGGGATTGAAGTCTTTTTCCAGAATTTGTTCCTTTCAGTGTTTAGTGTCTTTGTCTTTTATCTTAGCTTTTCTATTAATTGAAAGTCGAAAATAAAGTGATGATTCGAATTACCGCCCGAGGGCCCTCGGGCTCCGCTGAGGACATGCTGGTCTGACTCCTTTGCTCAACCTTTCCCTCTCCCTGTGACCGCGCGTGGCTCCTGCAGTGAATGCCTCTGTCTGTTTTCCATTTTTTACTCTGCGCTCGTCCGATGAGGTGCTGCAAAAAGGTGGACACCCAGGAAGACAACCATATTGCTCCGCTTGCTCCCAAGATGGCAGAACGTCTTGCAAATAGCATCTATCCTCCCTGTCTCAGGGCTCCCTGCACTTCCCCCGGCGATTCAGATGCGCCCAAGTCGACCTCTATCAAGCCAGCATTGGAGGACATGGTCATTGACGGAGTTCGTGGTAATTTGGTATGGAGAGGGCCTGGCTCCCTCTCTGGCACAGAACTTCGTATATCCAATTGCCACGACTCCACAATAGTCCTCCTTGATAACGTCAGCACAGTCACCGTCGACGACTGTGTGGGTTGTGACATTGTCCTTGTTGCAAGCAGCCAGAGCACATTCCTCCGCTCCTCCACAAGGTGCCGCTTCGCTGTCTCCTCTGGCCAACTACGCACCCGAGACCTAACTGCTTGCTCCATTTTCCTCCACTGCAACACAGATCCCATTATTGAGTCCTCCGAGGATCTCACCTTCATGCCGTTTTGCATTGGCATAAATCTGCCCGATGCCTTCTCCGACAACTCCAAGGTAGAGCAAGTAGTTTACTACATTAACTACGCAATCCAGAGCGCCCAGGCGCGTGCTTCACTGATAGGACTGAAGAATCGTTTTGAGAGAGTGTACAACTTCACCCCTGAGAAGAACACCTATAAGGTGGTTCTTCAGCCATCTGCAAATTGCACAGATATCGAGAAGCCACCAACTGTTCGATTCCCGTCTAATACATCGGATCTGTGGAATGATGCCAACGTACTGACTACTTATAATGCCCCAAAGACTGGAGATCTGGGGAAGGCTATAGTGACCACGTCCGGCGGAATGGTCCATGGAATGATGAGGCCTACGTCGCTAGCTCAAACAAATCTTTTCGGCGATGAGCACTGCTACTTCTGGGTAGACGGTATTGATACCACGCTTCCCTCACGTGAGTATAGTATACGATACAGCCAGGCATCGTTGTGGTGGTCTTCACAGCTGTATGGCCTGCTGGCAATGCACAAGTTGTATATTCGCCAGGTTGCAGCTGTACTCCCAAGTCCAACCGTGGAGCGTGGCGGCATCCCGGTTAGTCACGGATTCATCGTTGACGTTTCGGCTCCTAATAACACACTTCAAGCACTGGTAGAGGCGACCCAGAAGTTCAAACAGTGCAGTCTAGAGCTTCCACCAGTGAAGATCCTGAGTGGTGCGGATATATTCAGAGCACATGAATTGATTGCGTTCTGGAATAGTGAAATGAGCCTTGCCTAGAAATCTACTGGGTAATGGGGCTTAGAAGTAAGAGATCGCGTAAATACGGTTCTTTAAGTAACTGATTTAGTTTAGAGACAGATTGCACGCTACAAGGGTCAGTATGTCTCCGTGCTGAGACTACTTCTGAGAGTAGCCTACGACCTTATAGCGTTTTTCTCCGGCAGAAATCATCACATTTCCGTGTATATGCTCATAGTTCTTTGAGTATACCCCCTTCAGCTGCCTTAGATCAACAGGAGACCGTAGTGCTCTCTGCTCACAGTCAGCTCCGTTGAAGGCCTCTTCCTTGCTGCCTATCTGGCCTGAACTGGCCGGCTCAGACATCCCAATTAGCTTCTGCTTGATAAGATTTCTCAGATCATTGTGCAATCTATCATTCTGCGTTGCAATGGATCCCCTTAGCTGGTTATCGTGAGACTGTAGCTCGAATCGCGGAGATGCCGCAATATTCCGGGGAACGAGGGAGTCTATTGTTATCGGAGTTCTCTGCTGCGGGGAGTCTAGAGGATAGTCTGGCTCATTCTGAGTGTGGGCACTCGATGGGCGGCTTGCAATGAAGCTAGAGTTCCTACTTGCTGAGCGCGAGGAAGCACGGCTGTTGATCCGACCCTTCGGCTTAGACTTGCTAGCGGAAAGAGGTCGTTGACGCTGCCTAGAGCTTCCTTGCGTACAAGTTTCCCCATTGTCTGAGTGAGCTGCATCTTTGGCTCTGGTTTGTTGCATCTGGTTTAACGATCTAGGCGGAAACATGGGTTCAGTGCCCATCACTGTACCCACAGCGCTTTGCGCGTACACCTTCTGCTGTGGAATCATTGGCCAGCTGTCGTTATTCTTTGGAACATAGTTGTAACTCATTCCCTCTGGATTAGTGACATGCGGCGAGGCCTTCGGGAACTTAATCACAGTCTGAGGGCTTTTCGGCTGCCCCACGTCATACTTGGTGTACTGGTGATGCGTAGTTGAGGAAGCGCTGTATACAGGGCTGGCTTCTACATCTGTCATTGAAGTATTTGCACTCTCTGACATCATACTTGTCTGCTTGCTAGCATACCCTGTCGTCGTACTTGTCGACCGTGCAACCCGCTTGGACGTAGATGGCTTTCTTAAAGGAGATTTAGACTTTCCCATTGACGCTCTGTGACTTCCTGCTCGTTTTTTGCTCGAAGATTTGCCCCCAGTTGTGCTCTTTTTCAATGACTTTCCGCTCTTAGAAGCATTTAGTTTTGTGAACGATGAACTAACTGACAAATGAGTACTGGTGTGTCGATGCGAATTACTATCTCCTCTCCGTGACGAAGCATGTGATTTTCGAAGTCCATTGGTAGAACCAGCACTGCCTATTCCAGAAATAATTGAAGAGGCTAGAGTGTGGGTGGCGCCTCCCCGTACACCACTCTGAGAAACTTGATGAAGTCGTGAACGAGAGGAGGCACGTGAGCAAACGGGAGAGCTAAACTTTCTAGATTGCTTGCTAGCAGATCTGCCTCTTTTCGGCTTGTGGATAGTGGGAGCTGTTTCATCCTCTATTAAATCCGTCATCTTATAAACATCCGGGGCTGTTGCCATTGCTGACACTGCTGATGTTCGCGGAGAAAATGGATTTGCTGTGGGCTTGTTCTGTGGGCTTTGCGAGTAAACTGGATGAGAATAGTAGTCATAGGACTGAGGGAAGACGAAGTTATTGATGCCTTGGCTAAGAGTCGAAGGCAGCTCTGGAAGAGGTTGGTACCCAGTAAAAGACGTAGAGCCTAGATCTCCAGTGGACTGAGTGCGGTTGACAGAGTGGCCAGGATAGTGAGTCATACTAGCAGACGATGGTCGATTGTGCGGGCGCAGCAGGGGAGTGCCCATGGAATGCGGGCTACTACCTTCCTCTGTAATGTCCCCCAGACTCTCGTGCAGCATTCCATAAGAGGATCCGGGATTCTTTCCCTCAAGGAACTGTGTCACCTGGCCTATCTGAGATTGTGTAGGATGTATCTCGACACCGTGATCAAGAATACTGGCCAGACCACTGCCGATCATTTCATGTTGCTCGTTGCGGTCTGGCAGTGGAGCAGTTTGCGTATCTTCTATGAGGCAATAATTCCTATTTCTCTCCGAGGTATCTGCTATTTTCTCGTAGAGTGGAGCAGATAAGTGGTCTGAGAGCGCAGAAAATTTGGGATATGGTTTAAAGGAACGTCCAAGATCATTCGTTGTCCCATAGAGTTCCATTTCGAGAATGAGATCGGCGTTTCCAGTGACCTTTTCACTTGGCACTATCTCATCGACTTCATTGGTCGCGTTGGGCCGTTTTGTTTGCAGGCCAGTGCCATGAATTTGGTGTGGAGCAGCTAAAGGCCCACGCAGGTCAGGGACGTGATCCTGCCCCAGATAGGACCCAGGTGTATTGGCAGACGACCTTCCTGATGGAGGAAGGTTGAGTGTGTTTGCTGTAGGCTTGGGCCTTGTATCCTTGGTCAGCGTGTCTATGGTGACGGCAGCAAGGCCAGGTCCAGTGCTTATCACGTTATCCATGCATCTAGAGTCAGATTTGTGCAGAGACAATGAAACCTCTGGAGATATGTCACTCTTTCCGCCGTACAAACTACCCCCTGTTGCCCCAGAATCTGCCTCAAGGAGATCTGTCAGATAGTTTGTTTTTATGAGGCTATCCCTAACTGCATGGTGCGCAGCATGGGCCCCAGCAGCGTTGCCTGAATGCTCATCCATCTGAACCCCATCAGAGTCCTCCCCGTAATGCCTTGGAGGTGTATCCATGCCAGTAAGAGATGATGCCGGGAGTTGGGATAAGTCGAGAATGCGATGCGTTTTAGTTCGAGAATAGCTGGGGTGGGAAATTACTACTGACCCAGAAGTGGGCTCTGAACCGTACTTGGACTCAACGGATTCCTCTAGCATATGCGAAATCGAGTCCAGACGCATTGTGTTCTCCGGAGACGCCTCTAGAAGGTCAGCATATGTCGACCGTTTTCTACTTAAAAGCCTTGACCTGGCCTGCTTTCCATCACTCGTAGTACTAAAGATACCATCCTGCTGAGACAAGCCCGTAGAATTTTCGCTAGCTTCGAGAGCGTATCGAGCTTCAAAGGACATTAATCGTCAAACGAAGTATTGGAATTTTAAAAACGCTTTAGAGAGAAGACTTTAGAGAGAAGAGAAAGAAGCGGATGACTATGCTACGATCTCTTCCATCCGGGTACCGGATTACAGAGAAAATCAGTGACGGCCCTTACGATACCCTTTATCTAGGGACCAACGCTAAGTACAAAGACTTGGTGGTATTTAGGCATATCGTTCTTCCAGAGGCCCGCCGCACACGGACTGAGCTAGTGCACTCGCAGACAACCCTCGTCCCTGCTCTGAGGCATCCTCACATTATACCACAACTACAGACAGAGCAGGCACCCAATAATGATATTATTACAACCACTCCCTATTATGAAAACGGATCTCTTCAGTTACTGATCAACGTTCTTAAAAAAGACAGAAAAAGGGTAAGCAAAAGCTGTTTCTTTTCTTATACCTATCAGCTGCTAACAGCCCTTTCTTATTTGCATTGCCCAAGGAAGGACGAGACATATCAAGGACCAACTGGCACCACCATCTCCATCAAGAGGGTGGTACACGGGGCCATTAGACCAGCCTCTGTGTTGATTGATAATAATGGGAAGAAGGTCATCCTCGGGAACATGACACACTGCCAGGAAATCACTAACTCTACTCTTACCGTTAAGCTGGCAGCAACAGGAGTTAACGTATACTATTCGTCTCCAGAGCAAGTCAAGGGGATGCCTCTCTCAGAGACAACAGACATCTGGAGCCTCGGCGCGACCCTCTATGAGTTCTTTACTCTAACACCTCTGACTTACCTATCCCAATTAGAGTCAGCCGGGAAGCTAATCATGGACTCACCAGACAGGAAGTATCCCCCGAATCCTGACTTGTCAGTGATCACAGATAAGGATGTGCGGTTCCTACTTTCCGTCATGCTCTGCATGGATCCTGCAGAGCGCATCTCTGCCGCGGAACTCTTAACCCTAGACGCCTTCACTCCATACTTTGAAGCCCCTGACAAACAAGACTTAGTAGAGGACGGGGAGCACGTCATCTCTCAGTCCGACTTTTTCATGGCATATAGTAAGCCACTTGTCACTAACGATATGTTGTCCGGGGACACCGTGATAGCGCAAGATGAAATCTCAAACTCCTGTATCTCCGTGAGTACATCTGTCAGCACTGATTGTGCAAGCACACAACTGAGCCACCAGAGCTACATGTCTGGATCCACCACCTCTCAGTCCAAACCAAAGAAGCCGGACGGGTCTCCATCCAACCTGATTCCATCGTCTAGTACATCTAGTTGTTACCTGTACAGGCCTCCAAAGATTGTTTATAAGGATATTTGCAAATGTATAGCGAATAAAGATCTGGAATCCCTTACGGCCATGAAGGATGAGGCAAACACGCTGCCGGCTAAGTACCCCACTATCCTCTACCTAGCTGCGGAGGCAGGGTGGGTAGACGGCTGCAGAGAATTTATATACCAGGCTGGGCGCCATGTGCGTCACACAGGACGTGGATACCTTAATCCGACTGCGCTAATGCGTGCTGCACGTAAGGGGGTTGTCGGCACGACACAGCTCCTCGCTGGGATAGAAAAAGGGCTGCGGGACGAGTACATGGGGAGAACAGCGTTAATGCTTGCAGCAGAAAAAAATCAGACACGTACTGTGGAGATTTTAATCAACTATGAAGCAAGGTTGACAGACAAACACGGCAATACCGCCCTTATTCTCGCCACAATGAACAATAGTATTGAATCTATCAAGATCCTCTGTAAGAAAGAAAGCAACATAGAGAACAGAGCTCGTCAAGTATCACTTCTCATTGCGGCCCACAAAGGCAACCTGGAAGCTATACGTCTATTGGCACCCTACGAAGCAAAGAACTATGCAAGCGCCGCCCTTGATAAAGTCTCCCGTGCAATTTTTCTTTCAACAGAGACCAAGAGTGAGATAATGAACTTTCTTTCTCAGTATATTGGCTATTACAGACTTCAAAGTAAACAATAGGCGCGTGTTTCCGAGTGCTCTGGTGGTTGAGCTATCCGTACTTGGCTAAGAGAGGGATAAGGCCTTAAGAATAAAATGGGCTCGGGAGACTTCTCCATTAACGATCTAGACGTACTCAAACAGATCAAAAGCGCAAAGGAGGATAAGTTCCAGGTTGTTCTGCTAATAATCCGATACGTCATAGAGCTGGTGAAGAAGTTAGAGTTTTCTTCCGCAGAGGACATTGTGCTAAAGATGGACAGCAGAATAGCTCGTCTCCAATCCTTCCTGCCTCTTAACCTTCTCATTACCAACGTCGGCAAACGGTGTATCGCCTGTGTAGTGGAGGTACTGCACGAGAGCGGTATTATCCAGTCCACGGTTCCACTGTTTGAGCAGCGCAAGTCTCCTGACGATTTTACTATGTCTCCTAGGCTGCAGAGCCGCATGATAGACAGGCTCCATAGCTACGAGGAACACATTTGCAGTATACGCCTAAAGCCATGCGACCTAAATCCACGGGCATACAACACGGGGGCTTCCATGGGATACTGCTCACCAAGCGAGCTTATGGGATCCCTGACAACGCGAGCAAGCGTTAAACCGACAATGCGTGGTGCCATGAATAGCTCAGATGACGAGTACAGAGGTATCCGCAACAAGTTCTCCCAGGGAATAATACACGGTGACATCGTGCTGGTCGTCAGTCCGGGCATCCAACTATGTAATTACTTAACTGACCTATATGCAAGCGGGGTGGGCTTTGAGCTGGTAGTGTTGGAGAACGAGCCGCTCCGAGATGGCCTCCACGCAGCCCTCTACTTTTCAAGCCTTGGAATACCTACTTCTCTGATTGCCGATTCTGCCTTGATGATTTTCCTTCCCAAGATTGCAGTACTCTTTCTTGAGCCAGAGTTTGTCTTCAACAACGGGGCTGCAGTTGCCTCATCTGGCTCCGTTCTAGCAGCCATGGCAGCTAAAATATATAACATACCCGTTAACTGCCTCTGCGAAACCTTCCAGTTCTGCACTGCATATCCCTCTTCTCTGTCTACGTTGATATTGTCCGCCAATCCATCTGAGATACTGCCCGATGCAGATAGTTATGACACATTTAAAAAGGTAACAATAAAAGCCCCCCTTGCGGGCTATATCGAGCCAGATTGCATTGATTACTATATCACATCTGAAGGGATATTCAAGCCCAAGGCAATCTTCCAATTGCTGCAGGCCATAATGAATATTTGAATGCGTCAGATCTGCTTTTCATTGCATCTACCGTGCCCTTCAGGTCACGTGGGTCTAGAACGGCGTCCACTGTCTGTACGAAGTAGATCTGTTTGCTGTGATATGCGTTTACGCTTGTGCACCTGAGTATCTGCTCAATGGCCGATTCAAGGCCTAGGGCAGAGCCTGCAGGTATATAAAAGACTGCTACTGCAAGCGAAAAGATAGGGCAAGCCATCTGGATCCACGGGTCAGTTTTGAAGATGCAGCGCCTTGAACAGAGGAGATCCTTGAGCTTTTCCAGGGCGCTGCTTAGAAAGCTCTGCTCCTTTTTAGTGTGGTAGAGTCCTGTGCTAATAAACACCTGGGCGTAGAGGAGAGGCTCCATGTAATGAAGCTTGCTGCTTCCTATAGCATTCGTGAGTAGAGTGTTGGCATGAAAGCGGAGGTAGTGGGACTTCTGGTAACACTTATAATCTAGTACAACTATCTGCAGATTGTAAAACGATATTGAGCTGTTCTCAGCTTCTTTGGAAATGGCCTCTTTCAAGGCATCAACTAAAGTGCTTGGGTGCGTCAGCTGGCTGCTCAATGCTATTGATCCTTCGCCTGAATTAACAATGTCACAGCGCATTGTTCCATCAACGATACTATAGAAGTCATTTGCGTACAACGTTGCGATTTGATCATACACGGAAGTTTGAGGATTCAATGTGGCAAGTAGCTCATTGCGCTTTTGTGGCCCAGTCACGTAGCCCCAGACTTTGGGTGGTGGAGATTCACGTAGTATTACAGAAATAGTAAAGCTAAGTATACCACGGAGTTCATCAAGATACACTTTTAGTTGAGTGGGGTTTTGTGATGTATGTGAAACGCGCTTACTTAGTACTGGAAGCAGTGGGAGAGTCTGGATAGTGGACTCCTCTTGTTTCAGAAGCTTTTGGGCCAAGAAATTCTGCGCCACCAAGTAGAGAATTGACAGGAAGAGGTTTAACGTGTACTCTCCTCTTGTTCTTACTTCTAAGACGTTGGCTTGGTGTGTAGGTTGGAGGCTAAGTCCAGAAAAATATATAGATAATTGCAGAGCATCTGGAACCAGAGGGGCTGGAACCTGGCTGTGTGTCACGTATGGATAGAAGGTAGACTTCTGCTTAAGGGACTTGATCCAATCAACCGTATCACCTCTGTGCTGCGGTGAAATCAGAATCATGAATATAGTATCGGCAGGGATAATAGAGAGTCTTTTTAAGGATCCATCAGACTCTTCTATCAGCGGCCCGAGGGCACCTACTCCTAGGAGCTCGCTCCATTGGCTCTCACTGCCTACTAGTGCTGACGGTGCATAGAAGATATAAGCAGACCAAGGTGCACATAACTTGTATGGACAGCAACATAAAAAAAGGTGCCGAAGATTTTCTGAAGTAACAGTGATTGGTAGTTTGGCAGACATGTATTTAGGAATGCACGCTATTAGATCTCTTGGAGTAAATTCGGTACCATTTAAGAGAGAGCTGACAATGCGCTCAAATGTTGCAGGCGAGTCTAGTCTATCATTAGGTGATCTCTGAACGCTTGCCAGACAATATGCCTTCAAACAATTGTAGTAGCACAAAAGAGTCTGATGGCCCATGGAGTCTTTGAGCCAAGGATAGTCTCTGCAAAGGGCGTCCTCAAGAGCCTCTATTTGAAGACGAAGATGTAGTGCAACATACTGTATTAAACAGCACTGGTTAGCCCCCTTCTTACGTATTCGAGTGACTTCTGCATAACAGAATTTGTCTATATTACTAAATGCCAAAATGCATGTGGGTGATGACCAAGTATGAACGCTGTCATGCACTGTCGTTAATCTATCTTCAAGTGCACTTAAGTACATATTATGGTCAGGTTGAAGCCCAGCGCAGAGATTGACCAATAGAATGACAGTTCTTAGGCGAGAGCAAATGGAAATGCTCTCTGGTAGCTGCTGTGGATGTCCTGGGGTGTCTAGGAAAAAGACAATATACGTTGGTGATGCATTATTTCGAGACACCTTGCAATAGCTCCGCCAGGCCTCGACAAACACAGTCCGTTTAAGCCCTTGGTTGACCGTCTTGCTCATAGAAGCGTTGACAGAAGAGGCGATCCTCTGTGAAAGGTAACTAGCTAGTGTTGTCTTTCCACTTTGGTTGGGGCCCAAAATCCCAATTGTTGCCGTGCGGCCTGCTGCATAGAGTTGTAGGTTAAATTCTGAGTCTGCTCCGATAGTCCATTCCTCTCTAGCGCTGTGTAGCTCGTACCTAGAAACCTGAAGGTCGGCTGCAGGCAGATCTAGAGCCACATCCTCCTCATTAATTTGAACAAAAGAGTCGCTGGTGCTTTCTAATGTGCTGTAAGATGAGTCAGTCATATTGTCCGTTATATGTTGCCTCCTTATAATTCTTCAGCTAGTAGGTTTTATTTCTTACAGACTAGTCGGCCTGGCAGACGCAGAGAAGATTAACAAGAGGAAAACCGGGGACATTTACTCTTAGGAGCGCTCGGGTTGAGACATGAATGCCTCAAAGATGACGCTGGCCTTTGTGCAGTCCCAAGGCCTTTTATCTGGTCGTGCCCTTAAGAGCCTAGGAAGTCTCAGGGATATCCCTTGGCCAGTTTCTGGATTAAAGCACAGGGTATGCTTCATACTCAAGCTGAGATTGGCACACTTCACCTCCCAGACCTGCGACGTCTCGGGATCGAACCACATATCTGGCTCCTTATCCAGCCGCGCCTCAATAGACGCGGGCTTCTCTTTCATGCCACATTTGACAAAGCTGTCATGAAATACGGCTAAGTCAGCATCACTAAAACCTGTCCCAAGCTGACACACGGTTTCCCACTGGTCGCACTCCTCGTTGAATGACGCTAATAGATATGCTCCAAGAACCCCGGTACGCTTCCCAGTTCCCATCCACGCGGCAACAGGCACCAGATCAAAGCTATCGCCAACGTCTTCCAGGTAATCCTTCTTTAGCTTTAGCCAAGCATGAGATCTCTCGTCTGGCCGATACCACGAGTCTCTAGACCTGAGTATCTTCACTATGAGGCCTTCTGTTTTGTTCTGGACAGCCTCTTCCAATAGATCTTTGAGGTTGGTGTCCTGTGTGCAAGTAACTGCCCTTGCAAACTCAAATCTGCGTGGCAAGACTGCAAACGCATAGTAAAGAGCCTCTTTCCTATCTGCAAGATCAACTGATAAGTAGTCCCTGGAGTTGAGAAAAAGTATGTCGAATGCGTACATCACAATTTCTGTTCGAGTCTTCACCTCCTTCACCTGCTTTGCATCCTTCTGTGCCTTGAGGATGTCTTTTTCGCGCCGGGACAGATACTGAAATGGAAGAACAAGGCCTGTGTCGGCATTTATGGGGCAGATCTCTCCGTCTATGACAAAGTTTGCGTTCTCTCTTTCTTCAACTGTCATCCCAGCAAACAGCTTGCTCTCTTGGAACGAATTCATAACAGACTCAGAAACATCGGGAAACCGCTTGGACATGTTCTCAAGAGACCGTGAAAAGATCTGAATTTTGTTGGTAGAAGCTCGTGCATCGTAGTGCACTTGCGCCCTGAATCCATCGTATTTATATTCGGCACTGAAGGACTGCTCACAACTGATACGTTGGATGATTTCGCCGTAGCTTGTGGTCGGCCGAGCAAGCATGGATAGCACGGGGACTCCTGGCTTGATGGTCATTGAGTAGAGTGCTGCAAGCACGCCTTCTATGTTTGTCTGATTCTTGTTCCTCTCTGAGCCTTCGCCACAGTGAGCGATGATTTGGTTGAGGATAACCTCGAAGCTTGGGCACGAGCTATACGCCTTGGAGATGACTATGTGACAGTGAGTGCGTAGCTCCTTGCTATTAATGGACAGGAGGTCGCCGTGGAGACTCTCAAACTGGTCACCAATAGCCCCAATAGATACAGAATCGCTAGAGTATTCGTAGACATCACTATCATCGCTACGAGAGACATTGTCTATATCGAGATCATCATCTTTTCTACCACTCTTGTTGCTGTGGTTATCGTCACCGGTTTTGCCCTTCTTCCCAGTCAGCTCAACAGCAGTGTCAGCTGCCTTGATGATAGGAACCCTTCCGTAACCCAGTAATGTGTCGTAAACCTCGCTGATGCGATCTTTCGTTGCAAATCCTTTAATTTTGCATAGAATTATGCAGCACAGTAGGTCAGCAAGAGTGGACACAATGGACTTTTTCTGAATTCCAAGCCGGAACTTCCCAGCGATAAGTCGTGAGATGTATCTAGTATCTAGCGTGGTCCCGTTGTATAGTAAGTTTGAGATAATCGTCGACTTGTCATCCATCGAAGAGGCTCCGGACGTGTCTGCTATTTGTAGAAGCTTTTGGTAAACGTCGGAAACGTTAAGGGGCCTCCGAGGAGCAAATGTAGCGCTCTGTGACTTTTTGACCTTTTCCGCCACGGCTCCTATGTCGCCATGCTTCTCTATGAGCTTCTGTATAGTTGTGGGATCAGATCCAAAGGTCTTTGAAATGACCTTACGCAAACTGATTTCGGCAAAGTTCAACACAGATGGAAGGTCGGACCATGGTTCTCTGAGTTGATTTGTAGAAAGTAAAACAGCTGGTACAATATCTTTGGTAGATTCTAAGTAGATTTGCAAGAGCATCTGAACCATTTCGCGGCTCTTCTCAAGACGCTTGGTGGTATCCTCTATCCGCTTCCAGGCCGCAGACAGAGATGCAAAAGGAAAAGAAATATCCTTTTCTACCTCCTGGCCGTTGCTTGCAACTATATTACTAGTACTCATCTGTGAGGAAGTGCCAAGATCTGCCTTAGTTGCTGTGGGAGTTGTAGAGGATGAAGAAGCAACGTTCTTCGCTTTCCGGGGTGGCTCGCCATTGCTACGGCTATGTGATTGCAGAAATGCATCAATAGAAAGCTGCATTGGGGCTACGCACGTATAGACAGAAGCTTGATTACGCCGATAACTTTTTTAGTTGCTTCATCAAGGTCGCTTATATCGACGTCGCTCGGAGTCACCAGTACCACCTGCACAGAGGTTTGAAGGATGGCGTCCAGCATTAGTTTGAAGGCCCTCTTTCGGCGGGTCGCATCCATAAATACGTCCCACTCATCAATCTGGGCGTATCGCGTTTTTATTACAAGCCAGCATGAGACCATAAAGCATAGGGATATGAACGTGCTTTCACCTCCGCTGAGGCTTGTCGCTCCACGCGTAGTCGATCGGATATCAATAGATCCTTTGGATGAAGCGATTGTCGTAATCGGTTGTTGATTGGCATCGTCGGAGGTCTCATCTACATTGACGTGTGATCTGCTTGGTGGTTCTACACTCCACGAGGCATGTAGTTGAGCACCACATATGTCGTAGTATCTATCTGTGACTTGCTTGTCAATGAGCTCGAGCAGTTTAGGGGAGACAACGGGGAGCGCAGGGAACTGGAAGTACAATCGCTGGTTAATACCAGTGATCTCAGACGTCTGCATAAAATGAAAGCTTATGTCATGCTCTGCGTATGAGCGAATAGATGTCAATTTGATTAATTGCCGCACAGCAATCTCCCCAAGTGAGGATATCTCCTGCAATATAGCAGTGTACTCTTTGGTCTGCGCTCGGATTTCATCCTCTATCCTCAATAGATGCTGCTTTTCTGCCTCTATGTCGCCATTGAATTCCTGTGCCAATTCATGCTTCTTCTCCTCTATTCGCTGGATCTCTTCAGACACAGCAGATAGTAAGTTATTTATGTTAATGAGAAGTTGCTCATTGTCTTCATAAGAGCTATCAGGAATGCTCTTTATATCTTTGGCATCTTGTCCTTCGGCAAAGATGGAGTAATCTGCAAGGAAATCTACCAAGAGAAACGCTAAGCGGGTGACAGGATTGTAATAAGAGGAATCGATGTTCTCGTTTGCACACAATATCGCATATAGCTCCCGGAACGGTGAATGGTTTTGGTCCACCACATGCTCTGCAGAGCTCAAACCGTTGTCAATTGGAGGATTACATGGCTGTGCTCCTCTCAGTGACAGTGACTCAGAAAAAACAGTAGCCTGCCTTTCTCTGTACTCAGGTACCAAATTGGACAAATTCTCAAATACTTCTAGAAATGTTTGCAAGTCGTTCAAAGTAGCGCTCTGAGCTGAGGTCAAGAAAGCCCTCAGTGTCTTGACTTTCGCTTTGCATGTAGTAATAGCATTTTCGGTTTGACTTATCTGCTTGTCCAAGTCTTCGGCCTGTATACTCTCCCTGTGAGCAATCTTCTCTGAGAGCCTGTCTTCTAGCACAACTACGTCAGCCTCGCACTTATCATATGTCTTTTGTTGTTGTTCAACTATGTCCTGCTTATTTTTAAGAGAGGCATTTGATCTTTCTAGATCACTTGTCATCTCGGCTAGCTTGCTTTCCAGGGTTGCGAGTTTCAACCCAGACGATTCTACGATTGCACGAGAGCGCTCCAATTGTCTTCTCGCACTTTGCATCTCTCGTTGCTGTGCGTTATAGCATTCAACACTTTGTGCATACTGCTGCTTGAGGTGAATTAATCTACTATTATTGGCCTCCATTGTCTGCAGGACTCGGGCCGCTTCTGCGGAAATGGATTCCAACTCTGCTTGAAGCTCGCTCTTCTTCAGAGTTTCCTGGGCCTCTATTACGCTCAGTTTGGCCACTGAATAATTGGACTCAAACTCGGCCTTTGCCATCTCATAAGCGCGCTGCTGGCGTTGAATCTCTGATTGTAGGTTTGATTGGTTGGTGGTAGCTGAATAAAGACTCTGGGCCTTGATTGACCCTTGATTACTATATGCTGGTTTCATAATAACGCTATTTTTGGCGCCGATAAACATGATGCATTCTCTGTCCTTAGGAAGGCATTGAAAAGACACATGCAGCTTCTTTCCTACCTCCAAGACAGTGCGTGCGACCTCGAGGGTCTCGCAGATGACTAATCTGGATAGTTGGACCTTTAGCTGGAGGACTTCTAGAGCGAAGGGAGAAGAATTACCAAGGCACTGCATCACAGACAGGACCTTATCTCTATAGACTGGACCCAGCTCATGAACAAGCATGTTGTACTCATCCATGGTAGGAATGGTCGACCTCAAGAGATTCATAAGCTGTATGCTTCGGCCTAAAATATTTCTGAGCCTATGCTCGTCATTCTTATCCCTATATGCTATTGTATTTAAAAGGCTTGGGCCTATAACACGTCTGATTATTGGTGCAAAAGCTGATGACGACTCCTTTACCCATATATATGCCGCAAGCGGGGCTACCACACCACCCGAAAAGGACTCTGCTTTGACTTTAGTATAAATTTGATAGTTTGCTGGGTACAACGAGCTGATGCATTTCTCTGGCGCGGTAGTGCCAGAGGCCTCCAACTCTAGCTGTCGTTGCAAATAGTTCAATTGGTTTTTTGCGTTCTCGCACTTTTGGCGAGCTTCTGCCTCCCTGTCTTGTCTCCACTCTCTCTGCTTGAATACGCTCAATAGTGCAGACTCCAGTTTGCTCTTTTGCGTCTGCAGTTGCATCAGCTTCAGTTGCAAAGAGTGCTCCTCTGCTTCTAACCTCTTGTGTTCTTCGCTCTTCTCCGGAGGGGCAAGACACTCCTGCGCATCTGCTACCTTGCTGAGAAACTCAGTGTGCTGGGCAATTTCCTTCTTTAGCAATGCCGCGTCTTCATGTCCAGTCTTCATCATGCTCTCCAGGGTATTAATGTGTCTTGCAGTTGCTTCTAACTCACTCTTCTGTGCAGTTAATTCATCAACGAGATCCATCAACTGCTTCTTGCCTTCGTCTAAATGCACAGTTAGCTCATCTATTTCTATATTGCAACGCTTTAGATATGGCTCTAGATTTGCTTTTGCATCCTGCTGGCGTTCATATTCGGCAAAGAGCTGCGCAAGCTCCCTCTTCTCTGCTTGTTCAACATCGAGTCGGTGATTTTGGACATGCACCCGGTGTTTCTGAATGGATAAAGCGACCTTCTTCAGGCCCACCTTATTGAGATTTACGTCTGCCTCATGGTATTCCTTCATTGCCTTGATTCTTCTTCCAACGCGCTTTCTATCCTGCATAAGATGCTTGAGGCCTCCTGCTATGCGCCTGCTACCTGCGATGGAGTTTTCCAAAGAGAGCTGAGAGTTTGCTAGATTCGCTTCTATCTCATCAAAAGACATGGCCGTGCTGAAGATCTTGTATCGATCAACTGGCTTCATGCGCACAAGGACCTTCATTCTCGATTGAGAGACCATCGTGATCTCATTGTCTGGAAAGTGGCCCATGTCAACCAGGATAGAGTGGGCCCGCTCGAAGGATATTCGCTCAAATTGGGGAGTGGATTTGGTGCTGGGGGGAAAGCTTGTACACAAAAAAAAATTGGTGACTTCGTTTGTGACCGTCCGCTTCAATCCAATAATCGGCCCAGAAAATTCAGAGCCCCCTTCATAATAGAAGTAGGCAATCACAGAACATTGTGTAGTTTGTACATTTGTACTTGTGTCTTTTAGGCAAACTACTGTTTTTAAATTCGAAAATCTCTCGCAGTTATCACGGATATTTTTTGCCTTTCCACCTAGGACAAAGTGGATGGCCTGGAGGATGGACGACTTCCCCGCACCGTTTGGGCCATGAATAAGAGATACCGGGCATTCAAAGTCCACCACCTTGTCTCTATGTGTAAGGAAGTTCGTTATGTGCAGCCGAAGAATGTATCCTGTTCTAGTATACATCACTGGGTGCCTCGGAACATTGAATATGTCAGCGACTGTTTTATTTGGATGACGCGCCAGGGCTGCAATTTCGTCTGGAAGAGTAGCATTAAGATTGTCCTGGTGGTTCATTTTGTTTAATGCAGAAGATTGGAAATCTCACAGCATCACTAAACAACCCTGTTAAACGATTGGAGGATCTCTCTAGCAGAATATCCTGTGAGAGCATAGCAGCACCATTCATTATCTCCTAGTAGAGTGGGGGAGAGCGCCTGAAGAGCTTGGCAAAGTTCTGGTGGCTGTTGACCAATTCGGTCCATAAGAATGCTCACCAGTAATTCAACATAGCTCTTAGCAAGTGTGTAGCAGGACTCTGTGTCGACTTCCTTCAAAAAGCTCTCAAGGCTGTTCTTGTCTGGAAACAAATCCCATCTTCTGATTATGTCTAATATTTCCTTATAGTTTTGATCGCTTTGTGCCAAGAGCACCAATATATGGGGAGCAAGAACCAATGCATCATTGCTTATTCCAAACATGTGGTCACTCAGAAGTTCCGCAAGCTTCTTTGAATGCACCTCCTGACCAGAGACTCTATAAAAGATATCGCGGCTTAGATACTGCGAACTGAGCAAATTGTAATAGCAGGATAGCATCTTAGCGACCAGTAATTTCCCAATATCAACACATATAAGAGCTAGCTCCTTGCTTTGGAGGAATCCCAAGAGCATGTTGGTCCCTTCGCTACTGAACATGGTGGTGGCGCCACACAGTATGGGCCTTGTATCCCTATTGAGAGCTGGAAGTGTGCCTGGATTGTACGCAGCAGGAAGACTATCTATAAGTCTTTGAATGCCTATACTTGCCAAAGCACGACGAGACCTCTTGCTATACTCACCAAATTCTTTGTCAAAGAAAGCCATGTAATTCAGCGGTTCAGCATTCTGTGCCTGGATATCCTGAACCTGTTGAATAATTACCACATCGTCTGTTATAGCAGTATCAGATATGTCTGTAGTCTGATTTTCTTTACTTTCCCTATCACAGTCTACTTGTTTCCCCTCTCCTTCTTGATCATGGGAATCAATGTGATGAGAGAGCTGAAGTGGAGGACTGCATGGAGCCGATGTTTGGGTGTTTGGTGGCTCTCTCTCACGTGGGGTTCTCTGCACGTTTTCAAATCGAAGAATTGAGACCATTGAAGGATCATGCCTTTGCTTGTACAGGGGGCTGCTTGTGCCTTTGAACGACGAGTCCAGAGTATTAATCAGCCGATTGCTTTTCTGAACTGAGTTATCAGTAGGTGCCAATCGGGGCCGAAGCTTTGTTTTAGGTTGAGATAATAACTGTTCCGCTGTTTTCACATGATGCTCCTTCATGTGCTGTGTTAGCATATCAATAACTGCTGTGTATATCACTTCTTCCTCGAGGAGTAGTACCCTCTCTTTGGAAGGGTGAACATTGGGGTCACAGCCACCAGGATCAACTGCAATCCATAGTATCCCTGCCTGAATGGTGCTAAAAGCAGATAGATATATATCAACTACACTCTGAACGGCATTCTTTAGACGTGGGTACTGTACCCTTCGACCATTAATAAATATCAGAAGATTAATAAGGCGTTTGTCTTGTCGTGAATGATCTACTGGATCAACGAAGTAGAAAGATAGCTCTCTGCATGTATCACAAGGATAGTGCTTGACGAGAGACTGAACCTGCAGCGGCTCGGTCCCACAACCTTTAGTTTGACTTAATAATGCAGTCAATACTTGGAGGAACCGCTGGTACCTTGTCGTCGTAGAGCTGAAGTGGAGGGTTGCAGTTCCAAACTCAATAGTGTATGAAATAAGCGATAGCATGCCGGATATGTGTTGTGTGTCGTTGAGCCAAGATTGAATCTCTCTTTGAATGGCCTGGGGATTATCTATAAACGAAATAGAATATTCTCTCGTAGGGTTAGCAGCAGAAATAGATATTAAGAGCTCTTGCAAATCTAAACTAGTTTTCGAACTGCGGATTTGATTACGCCTAATTGGTTCTGCATAGAAGAGATCGGTAACACAAATTATGGTGAAAGAATCCGCCTTTAAGGTGCTGATGAAGAAGTCAGTGTGCTCAGATGTAAGTGTCTTTGGGTCGAAGTGAAGCTTTCCGTCTATGTACACGGCCACGTATGCAGGTTGATTCTTTGTTTTGGAAACAACTATCATACGGCTTACATAACTAATAGATGAAAGAGCCTCTCCTCTGAAACCAAAGGACTGGATACTGTAAATGTCACTAAAGGTTTCAATCTTGCTCGTTGCAAACCGGTGGCAGAGGAGGGAGTAGTCTGTCCGTTCTATGCCGTGGCCTGTGTCGCAAACCATTAGCAGATCATAGCAATTGCTGCTAACGAACAACCTGATTGTTGGTGCATCTGCATCAGTCGCGTTTTCTACCAGCTCCTTGGCAACGTTAAATGGTCGCTGGATCACCTCTCCTGCAGCCATTTTGGCTACTGTTTCGGGGTCCAAAATGCGGATCGGGGGCATTTTCGAGGATCTTGAGGGTCAAGAAGGCCTAAAAAGGCTCAAAAGTAGCAATAATTAAAAAAGATCATGACAGATGTCTATCACCACGACCAGGAGGAATCGGAGTCTCTTATTTCGAAGTATCTCGGATCGGACAGCGAGGAGTCGTCTGAGGATACCAGTCGCGCCACTCCCGAAGAGCAAGCCCATCAAGTCATCAATAAAAGTGTAGAGGCCATCGCAGAATCCATCGAAACGGGAAGATGGGATATCATATATTCCTCCTTTTCAACCCTCAGCGACTCCTTTGGAAAGTACCATCGCATGCTGCGCGGCGAGATGCCCAGAAATTGGCTTCTAGCCATGCATCGTGTTTTGGAAACCTTTGCTGAATGCTCATCAAGCGGAGCATCCACCATAGCGAGATCTAACCGGAAGTATTTCAACGCGCTTAAGACGTTTCTTGAAGACGAGAAGAACCGGCCTGTGGTCTCTTATGTGCGTGCTGAGTATGATGCATATCTAAAGAAGCAGCTAGAAGATGCCTCAGAGGCTCAGGCAGTAGGGGCGATGGTCCCCATGGTGGAGATAAAAAGGGATGACGGACTGAACGTAGCAAGGATACTGAGCTTCTTCCGAATATCTTTTGAGTCTGAGGATGAGCATCTGGCCATTGTTCAAGATGAAGTGGCTGCACCAAATGCACAGGAAGCCACTACTTTGACCATTTCAGGCCATGAGATTTTCAAAGTGGCGACTCTGCACATAAACAAGCATAATTTCTCCCAGTTGCATGCACACCTTCTTCGTTCTGATTCTCCCCGGCATATCTTACATGCATACGTCCTATTTCTCGAGAGATTGGCTGCAAGCGGGTGTGTGGACTACCCCTCCGATGTGCAGGCATGCCTAAGGTGCATCCTTGCGCTTTTGCAGCAGAATGACAACAAGAGCTTGCTGGGACAGACGTATGATAGCACTGCTCAGGAGCCGAGCTTGTCCACACCATTTATTACTAGACTCCTGACGGGACTGTCCAGCCTGAGTAATCTATATGAGCTGAAGGACGTAATATACTACATTTACTTGTCTGTTTTCATATCTTATTATTCCACCAATGGGAAACTAGAGTCCGCCATATTTCGCACTGTGGCCAACTACGCTAAGAATCTGTTGCGCGATGGATGCTCTGCCACTGTGCGCTATGGGGATGTTCTCAGTACCTGTTCCAATGCTTCTAAGTCCGCATCTGTTGACCCTCTGACCCTGGTGCCCACATGCAGCGACGATGTTGCGCCTGTCCCCCAAAGTAGTGAGCTGTTGAGGGCAGAGTTTACCAGAACCTTCCCAGAGGCTTCTAAGATCTTCACTACTTATCTGGCTGGGCACGTGTTCTTTAGGTCCAAGTATCTATATTTGCTTTACGTAGCAGGAACCCAACGTCCAGGCTCTCTTGCTGGCAATGCAGCTATTCCCTTGCCGGAGATCACCGAGGAGGTTACCCGTAAAGCCCCACGAGAGGGAGTTTCGTTTCCGTTCACTAAAGAGGCTATTAGTGAAGATCGAGGCATTTCAGAGAGCGGAGACAAGTACGACGAGGTTATGGAGAGGAGGCATTGGCAGCTATCGTATGTTAGGCTGGCCATCGCTTGCTCCCTCGATAACGAGCTGTCACCGTACACATATGACCTCTTCATGTCTGAGCAAGAGCGTACCGTGGAGGACGCGAGGAAAGTGCGCGATTCTCGTCACACCGACGAAGTCAGTCTCCTGGCACTCAATCATACTGACATAGACTACATCTTTCTGCGCTTGCACTACTGCATTGGAATCAAGGCATTCGCCAATGGCCGGATGCATCAGGCCTCAACGCATCTCCTTTTGATCAGCAGTCTTTTCAAGGGCGAGCGCCAGACGATATCCCCTTTTCTACCCTCTGTGCACGCCTTCGAAGCGGAGAGCATCGTATCGTGGCTAGACAGCGACCTGATAGAGGCCGCCTGCCTTCTATCTACGCTCTGTAGTAAGTTCGCTCTACTTCATAACCGGGCACACACAGTGGCTAACCAGCACCTGACCCCTCTTCAGAGGCTAGTTTTACAGAAGATTCTGCAGCTCGTTGACGTCGGTCGCCAAGTTAACGCCACTCCATATGAGTACGCTATTGCTCTTGCGTTCAAGTGCTTATCGCACAACAACCATGACGGGGCCATAAGCGCAATCATCACATGCCCCACGTGGCGCTGTTTAAGGTACTACAATACACATTATGAAAGGTGCTTAGAGGAAGCCATAAAGGTCTTGTCACTAAAGTTTTGGATAATGAACTATCATGCAGTGGTATCTTCAATCTATCTAATTGACCTTGCAAAGACCTACGGGCTCTCAGAGGATAAGATCAAGACCTGTCTCAGGGGCGTGTCCAATATTCATATCAAGGAGGACATTGTAGAGTTCCGCATTCAGTAAACTACCCGTAGTAGCATGCACGGGCACAATCAAGTGCATGCCCTGCAACGTGCGTCTGGGTTTGAGTGCGCTGCTCATGCGTCTATGCAAGGCATATGAAAAACCTCCAGGCTACTCACTTAGCGCTTTAGGAGCACACGTCTAGTACGTTATAGAAATTTAAATAAACGCATTGAACAGGGGGCAATATCTTTAGACAAGATTATCCTATTATACTATACACTACAATTTGGTTACACAGAGGGCGACGGCATCATACAGAGCTTGTACTACGAGTGTCACATCTTACGATTCTGTTAACGGATACTATATACCCTCCCGCCTGTAGCTTTTCCGAAAACCAAGTGTTGCTGAGATTCGTCGTGAGCAATGCTTGGGCTTTTATCACTACAAATTGGTTGTCTAGGAGCCGGATGCATAAACCTGTGTGCTTCTGGATCAGATATATGTGCTCCAGATGGAATTTGTCGTATTACATGTAATAAACAAGACGAGTGCTCTGAAAAACTGGGTCTTCCGTCTCGGTTAGTAGGATGCATAAGTCAAGCATGCTATCAAGCATGCTCTTACCAGGGCACGTGCATTTACCCTGCAGGCCAGAAGTGCACCAATGGGCACTGCTCCATGGGATGTACTAATAACCAGGGATGCGGAAAGGATCAGCGCTGCATCACCTCTGGTTCTGCTGAAGGAGTGTGCGGCTGGAGCTGCAAAGGGTCTTGTGCAGGCCGGACCTCTTGCGGAATAGACGGCATCTGTCGCCAGACATGTGCTAGTGACACCGACTGTCCCACTGGCTCCGTCTGTAGAGACGAGTCTTGCTTCAGGACATGCACGGAATCCAAGGAGTGCTTATCAGAGGGGAGGCTTCACTGCTGGAATGGCGTCTGCAGGCAGAAGTGCGCCCAGGCCACCGACTGCCCCAGTGGCTACATGTGCTCGCTCGCAGGAGACTGCGAAAAGGTCTGCCACTTCAACGCGGACTGCAGCGTTATCACTGGAGAGGCGTGTATTAATGGGCACTGCAAAGACGGGTGCAAGGATGATGCTGACTGTTCTTCCTCACAAACCTGCAACATCTCCACCTCATCAAGTACGGGCACCTGTGTCTGGAAGTGTAGCACCGATTGCTCTGCAGATCAGGTTTGCGGGGCTGACGGTATCTGCCGCAACCAATGCAGCAAGTGCCAGGACAAGGAAGAATGCCTCTACGGCTCTTGCTTTAAGAAGTGTAACAGTGATATTGACTGCACAGGAACCCCAAATCTGTCCTGCATAGGCTTCCACTGCATGGCTGTCTGCGTCAGCAACGTGGATTGCACAGGCGGCCGGCTGTGCTCCTTCGAGGGAACCTGCAACTACCAATGCAAGGGCGTTGCCTGCCCACACCCTTCCCTGTGTGCACTGGATGGGGTGTGTCGCTTCAAGACCGAGACGTGCCAAGATGGTTACACCAAGGGCCTGGATGACGGATTCTGCTATCTGACATGTGACTCCAAAAACAGCGACAGTCCCTGCGATCCAATGAGGACAGGCACAAACAATAAGCCCTTGGACCCCAGTGTTTTCGAGAGCAACGCCAATTACAATCCTCAGCAGCTGGCTGCCCAAGCCACATCTCCCCTGAACCAGATCTCTATGACCTGTGCCGGCGGTAACCTGTGCAAGGCTGGCTGCATCATCGACAGCGACTGCCCGCTGCTGAGCGTGTGCGACCAGGAGACCCACAGATGCGTGCGGCGAGCGGACGCCCCCGTTTTGGCAGAGATAAAGGGCTGTTGGCACGAGGACATCAGCCTGCAAGCAAGCTATGGAAACCTATCATTCACTTTAAACGTGCGTCCCAGAAACACCGCCGAGTGCAGGGCAGCGTTTTCCACGATGGCCATTGTCCGACTCAACCTATCAGACTACGAAGACACCATAGTGCAGACTCTATCCGATTTTAGCTTCTCAAATACAAACATGATAAGGCTCGCGTGTAATCCCAGCTCCTTGCAGAGCTGCAAGCTGGCGATGATAACAAGCACGTCCGCCTCTGTTTCCATAGAGTCAGCGACGCATATCATGTCGACTATTATAAGTGACACAGTTCTCGATAAGTACGACTATAACACTTGCTTTGTACCCATGCAATCTGCGATCAATCTGATTAAGTTGCTCGACGGTAGTCCAACACAACTATGTGTATTTATCGCATGGAATAGGTCGTGTCCGTATCTCTATAGTAACAAGCTTATAGCGTCGACCCTTGTCGTCCACTCTGATAATGGTTCGGTCTCTCAAGATGACAAGTATCACCTTCCTCCAGAGATCATGTTACCTTCAAAGGAAGTATATTGCACGGTAATAGATGAGAGTGATGAGAACATAGCCAACAAGGTTACGACTTACTTTAATGAAATATGGCTATCTGGTATCCTGTTCTTGGATTTACTGATCGATGAAGTGCAAACAGAGATACAAATTGAGCTATCCGGACTCACCACAACTTTTATGAAGGCTTGCATGCAAAGTGTCGGTGTCATTATTTCGCCTGTCAGTATTTTCAGTATAGTGAAGGGACATGAATCTGCCAATGGGGAATCCTGTGTTATCCCAGAAGCTATTCAACGAATTGTGCTAACAACAGTTGTTAAGGATTATGATATAAACGAATTTATAGTCTCAGAAAGAATCTTATCTTCTTTCTCTTATGCCTCGACAACATCATTGGTATCTATCTGTGGCACAGGATATCGCAGGACGACACCTTCTAAGGACTGTTATAACTTTTTCAGCAGTATCTCCAGTACAAATCTAAGTACCTTAGATGGGTATATGCGCATAGCACTATATGATACCATAGATAGCATGTCCACTAATCCAGTAATTAGATCTATCTTCTATTACACAACATACAACCTTGGGTGCTATAACGGAACCGTAGTCATAGTGGAACCCACAGTCCTCAGCCTGCGCCTCCAAGAGTCTGGGGCCAAGGATTGCAGCATCCCTACCCTGGAGCAGGCCGCCATCTGGCAGGGAGTCGACCTTGTCAACGTGTCAAGTACCCGTCTGAATGAGGCCGGCGCCCTCGTCTACACGATCACTGCCGAGATATACACCAACTCCTCCATGCTCCTTTCAATGGGGAAGCTTGCAAAGCAAGGCACCTTCAGCAGAGATACAGACGTGCTCAGGTTCTCGTGCGAAACAGACTGGGTACCGGGTTTTGGCACGGAGTACGCTGGAATGAGTTGCCAGAGAGTCCTTGCCGAATTGTGGAACAAAAAGGAGACAGCCCTCGTGGGCCTCACCATAGACGGCGTCACTAACACTAGTATACACTCGGGGTTCATCCCCAGCATCACAATCCAATCCCAGGACTACAACACCACGTACATCATCACCTTCTCCGTTGCCGCGGCCTTTGCTGTGGCGCTGAACGCTATGGCAATCGTTTTGTGGGTCCGGCTAAATAAAGATGTCAAGGCCCTAAACCTTAAGATAAAAAACCGACATTATCAAAGAAATCAACACAACCAGGGGGTTAACAGTATTGTATTAGGTTCTAATTAGTGTATGCTTTTCGGTATAACTGTAAATGAAGTTTATCTAGCTTTAGATGGCTTTGTATATATCTAGTACTACAACTGGTACATTAATGTAAGCCTAAAGTAAAAAGCATAATATACAATACCACCAGCATTCAGAGATAGGCCCTTGTAACAAGAGTGGTATTGGTAGACATATGGACACTACTACAAGCAGTTTCAAAAGATTCATATTGTATTATAATACAATTTAAACATGAATAAGAACAGTTATGTCCAAAACCCCAGTGACTACAATCTCGTGAGCAGTCACTGTCGCAAGATTCATGCACATAAATTAGTTGACAGTGTTCAGTATGTTTGGTTATCCTTTAAAAAGTATTATGGTAGATTCAATTGTGCCTACTCCAAGCGTACTTCTACCAAGATACTGCCTCAAGAAAGTGCTTGGGGCAGGGTCATATGGTAAAGTTTACTTGGCGATGGACCTAGAAAATGATACGGAGGTTGCAATTAAACTAATTAACTATAGCGAGCTTCCACAGAGCCTAAAGGTTATACAGGATGAGGAGATAACATTGCTCAAAACCATACGGCACCCACACATTGTCAGGATGATTGACTCCTATCATGACAGGCAGCAAAACCTGATCTGCACAGTGCTTCCTCTGTTTCCCCGCGGAGACCTTGCTAGATTTATCAGACACAATAGAGAAACACCGATTCCTGAGCCACAAATATGGTGGCTGCTGGCTCAGATGGGCAGCGCCCTGAGATTTTTGCACAGTGGAGGCAACGGAGCTTGCAGAGGGATCATTCACAGAGACGTTAAGCCAGCTAACATCCTCATCGACAACAATCTGTCGGTATATCTAACAGATTTTGGGATCTTTCGCTACATAGACGGTAACACTAAAGCTCTGACGTTCGCGGGTACCAGATGCTATATGGCCCCAGAGCAACTGTACAGACAAGCATATGACTGCAAGGTAGACATCTGGGCGCTAGGAGTAACGCTCTATGAAATAATGTGTAGGAAGGCTCTGTTCAAGCTCTCGGATGACGAATTCATCAAGAAAAGCATCAAGGCGATCAGGCCGCTTCTTGACTCTATCTCCATCTACAGTACAGAACTGAAGGAGGTACTAAAGAAGCTATTGACGATTAATCCAACGCAGAGGATTTCTACTGAAGAGTTATGTGAGCACCCCATTCTAGCAGGACTTGTGAAGCTAGCGGAGAGTGGACAAGTGCCACCACAGGACTTATATGCAGCCCTTCCTGTTATAGAAACAGCTACTCAGCACCACCCTAACTCGAGCTCACTTACCTTACTTAAGATACCTACCATTGATGTTGACGATCCCGAGATTGATGCTCTTGACAGGACGCCTATTATGCGGGCGGTCATCTTGGGTGGTCCTGTGACCATTGATCCCAGGTACACTAGATTTTCAACTTCACACGGGGTCACGGCATTAATGTTCGCAGCCGCCTATGGGAACACGCGTGCTGTGGAGCTGCTTGTGCAACACGAAGCAAAAATGGTGGACTCTGACGGGTTGTCTGCCATATTCTATGCTGTATATGCGAATGCCTTGGATGCCGTAAAGTTGCTCTTGGATGCAGAGCATGACATGCGTGACAACCGTGGATGTACTCCACTGGTAACAGCGGCACGGCAAGGTCGCAAAGAAATCGTTGCCTTTCTTGCACCGCGCATGGCTGGACTGCAGGGGAGAAGTGGCTGGACTGCACTGATGGCCGCAGCAACTAGCGACTCGGTTGATTGTATAAACGAGCTAGTCACATATGAGAAAGGGCTTATTGATAGCCACGGAGAAACTGCACTTATGAAGGCGGCAAGGTGCGACAGCGTAAATGCTATTAGTCTCTTACTCCCATATGAAGGCGACATTATCCGAAAAGATGGCAAGACAGCCCTGATGTCTGCAGCAGAACTGAGCAAAAACAATGCTTTACACCTTCTTCTTTGGCAAGCAGGGCTAGCCAAGCATGATGGAATGACTGCCTTAATGTTTGCCGCAAGAAAGGGTAACATAGAGGGAGTCGAGGTTTTACTACCTCTCGAAAAGACTCTGCAAAACTCTCGAGGCAACACGGCTCTGATTGAGGCGATCCTCACCAAGCAAGTGGTCGCTGCATACTGTCTTGTGCCCCATGAAGGGCATATTGCAGATCATTCCGGGACTACCCCGCTTATGCATGCGCAGATGCAGGGCCTTTTGGATCTCTGCCAGCTCCTTCAACAGAATTAAAAATGCGCCTTTGTCTAAAGAGTGGTTCCTGGTACCCTTTACCAAAGGAGGCAAAGGCTCAGGTTGCAGCTTTTCTCAGGAAAGCTGGAGAGGCAGTGCATCCAGATGCAAACGTTAGGTTCATTATCGCCCCACATGCCGGTCTGGTGTACAGTGGCTTGACTGCGGCGCACTCTTATTCATCCATCGACCCTACACGTTATACCTCAGTTGTTATGTTAGGTGTTTGCCACGCTTTTCATCAACGAGGCCTGTCTACGAGCCCATTTGCGTCCTGGGCCAATCCGTTGATGGAAAAGGGGTCGCCATCCCTCTCTATGGAGACAATTCCGGGTCTTCCTAGTTGCCAAAAAGATGATTGTGAGGAAGAACATAGTCTAGAGTTGCAAATACCTTTCCTCGCACACGTGTTTGCTAACCAAATTGAGGCTGGTACCGTCAAGTTTTCCGCGGTGTACTGCAGCTATGGTGCTACAAGGACAGAGATTGACTCCCTGATGGACTATGTCACCGAACACAACTCGCTTATCGTCGTGTCCAGTGACTTTTGTCACTATGGTCCACGGTTCCAATTTACACCGATGATACAAGGTAAAACAGCGAATGAAACAGTCACAATGCTGGATAATAAGTGCATAAATGGAGTTATGCTGGGCGCAAACTCGTTTGAAGAGGCTTTGAAAGAAACCCAAAACACCGTTTGCGGACAATACACCATATTGACGTGTCTGCGTGTTTTAGAGGGACTCAAATTGGACGTTAAGAAGGAGTTATTGTTCTACACCAAATCTGATGAGCCAAGGACGGCCCGTGACCACTCTGTTTCTTATGTCTCCATGCGAGGTATACAGGCATGCTGAAGTAGTTATGCCCGTAGTAAATGCTTGATAAAGGATGCTCTAGATACTATTAGTTGGCTAGATGTAGAAGGTAGAGTGTGTGCCCATAACTAGATGTGAAATGCGTGTTCACGAGACTGGCTCTAGTGGCTGAGCAATCCGACCTGCCTTATGTTCCATGACATAGGTCTCCTGCACCAGGCCATCGAACCACCAGTACGAAGCTGGCTTCAGCTGGGAAAAGTCGATGACGAGACGTCCGGACTCGTCACACGCCGTTTCTAGTTCTAGCATAAGTGCGCTTATGCACCCAGCCATGGCCTTGGGAGGAAGTTGCTCTAGACGCTGTACCAGTTCTTGCACTTCATCATAATAGGGCGACCGGAGACTTTTCTTTCGATTGAGACACTTGGGGAGCTTTCCTGGGGTGAAGTACTTGAAAATGGCGTTTATCATGTCATCCGGCGTGTCGAATAAAGCGACTGCAGAAGAGGGGGTAACACTTTGGTTGTACTTTGTTATGATGTCGTTTATAACGCCCAATACAGCTTGCGAATAAATACGGACTTGTTCTAGGATCACAGTGTTCGACTTATTGAACGTCATTGCGTTGCTTATTGTAAGACACAAATCACAAAACACGTCGCCAATGTGTGTGTACGTGTTCCCACTGCGGTTAGAAAGGCGTTGCTTTATCTCGGAAAGGCTACAAGGAAACTCTATAACGGCTTCATACTGCTGCTTCAGGTCTGGGTAATCGACGACCACAGGGTTTTGAAAGAGGGTAAAGCTATCCAGAGGCTTCATGCTATCTCGCAGAACCGTTCGGATGTTGAACTTATTCATGGTCTCCTTGATCTCTCTGATCAGCATGGTAACGAGATTGTTCTCGTCCTGCTTCATGTGCGTTCACGGTTTTACAGTAGAATCCATGGCAATTTCAACTAAAATAGCTAAAGTATTGATTTACATTTCAGTTATTTTTTGCATATCTCCACTTGTTTTTCATACCCAAATCTGCCAAATCCGCTCTTGTTAAACTAAAACCAGATAGTCAGCGGCATGCTATCTTTGACTACCATCAAGCCTAGGGACAGAGATTGCTACTCGATTACTAAGCAGCTTACTGAGCAGACTGCGATCCTCAAGGACAGTCAGGACTTTTCTTTAGCCGAATCTCTACAACGCGAAATCCAAAAGGCAAAGCAAGACATTCTTCAGAAGCTTAGCGTAGCAGAGGATGCACGGCAGGCTTTTGAGCGTGATTGTTTAGAGCAAGCTCAAAAGCTAGCCATGACGTCCGAACAGAAAGCGTGGGCCGAAAACGAGGCTCTTCTTCAAAAGGAGATAGAGGAGAGCATTGCACAACTCCAAGAGGACCAAGAGGTCGAGCTAAGGCGTCTAGAGTCTAAACTTTCATCAGACAACCCGAAGGTCTATTTTTCCTCTAAGGTTCTTGGGTTACGGAAGGAAGCAGCCACCCTCTTTAAGCTCAAAGAGTTTGAGAGAGCCAAGGAGTCTGCTGCTCTGGCGGACAAGGAGGAGAAGGCCTTTCTGGCCCAGCTAGAGCGTGAGCGGGTGAAGAAAGCGGACATCGAAAGGAAAAAGCTTTATGACAAGCACGATAAGGAGATAGCTGTGCTAGAGTATAGAAACTATCTCAAATTCTGTGAGTTCTGGACCACACGAAACGCGGCCTTGGCTGCTACAGCACAGAGGGGAAAGAATTTCAAGCAAGATCTAGACATCGCGCACAAAGAGGAGTACATCAACTTGCGAGCTCGTTGTGTTGATAGGGACATTGTTTCCAATCGTAAAAGCTATCAATCGGCATCAGCAACGTTTCGAGGCTCTTCCTTTCTCAAGCTCGCTCGCACACACGCCAGTGCGAACGAGTAAACTGGCGGAACAAGACAGTGAAGAAATAAATAACACAGAGCTAGTTTACATTACTGGATGGCGCCTCTTCAGGGTCGGCGAGTAGAGCCTGTTTAGCTGCATTCCTCTTAACCTCTTGAAGCAAGAGGATTTCTCGTATCTCTTCGGTAGTATCCATATCTAAAACTGTTTTATTGTCGATATTCTTTATGAGCAGCTCATAGGGGGCTAACAGCTTGACACAGTCCGGTGCCTTGGATGAAACAGCAGCCATCAGCGCGGTGGTTCCAACGGTCGTCTTCATCCCGCGCTCGTACCTGCAAAGAATCTTTGCGCACTCATACTGCCGATTGAAGCATGCAAACATCAACGCTGTGGTGCCCGGGGCTCTATTAAACGTGTTTGTTACCCTCTTGGAAAGCGTTTTGGCGAGAAGCTTGACTATCTTCGCGTGCCCCTTCTTGGCCGCAAGCATGAGACCCGTATACCCGCTGTTACTGACTATCTCTTCCTCAAAGTCCAGCAGAAAGTCTACTATTTGATAGTTTCCTCTGTCAGAAGCATACAAGAATGCAGTGAAGCCATCAATATCCTGTTTCTTCTGCTCACAAGGTGCGAGTATCTTAACCGCCTCCAAGTGGTTGCATTGTGCGGCAATCATCATTGCAGTTTGCAGGCCGTTAGATTGCAAGCCAGCTTCTTTATCCAACAGGGCCAGAATACACTCTGTATTGTTTCCGTGAGCTGCGTACATCAATGCTGACCATCCATTATCATCCTTCATTCCTGCCTCGTAGGGTATGAGCATATTGACGGCTTGAACATTGTTCGCCCTGGCTGCAGCCATCAGTGCGGTGTAATCGTTACAGTTAGACATTCCTGCTTCTCGTTCGATAAGATAGTCTAGCATGTCGTTCTTATTGTTGGCTGCAGCAACCATCAACGCGGTAAAGCCTCTGTTGTCTTGCTGCCCCAGATCAGTGCTGAGGAAGTTCTTATTGAGTTCCGTGAATGTAAATACTGTGCCAATCATCAGTGTTGTCCATCCAAAGTGACGAAGAAGCCGAAATTCGTCTATGAACAGCTCATTTGCGCACTCGGTCTTCCCCGACACCGTGGCCAAGCGAAGGGCAAAGTGCCCAGACTCTGTGGATATATTACGTTCGTAGGGCTTAAGAAGGCTCACGATCCCATGATTCCCGTTTCTTGCGGCAAACATCAGGGCTGTCATCCCACGCCATTCACCATTGGCAACAATCTGGTATCTGCATTCGTATCGCACTAGGCACTTAGCAATCTCAATATAACCGTTTTCTGCTGCATGTATTAAGGCTGTCTTGCCTGAGCGCTCAGCAAGACCCGCTTGATATGGAATCAAATTCATAACTGTGTCTATATCGTTTCTTAGAACAGCATTCATTAACTCTGTTCGGTTATTGACCCCCAGGACAATACCTCTGCGGGTGTTTAGATCAGCTACATGATCTGCTATTAGATGGTTCTTTAGCAGATTTGTGGCGGATGGACGATGCTCTTCCTCACTGGTTGCCATGAGCTGTACAACGTTATAGAGCTCATTACTATATTTGAGGCTTATTTCTGGAAAAGGATAGAGCATCCGTAGCTCAGCAGTCGAGATTGAAGGGTCAGAACAAAAGTGGTGATCGACAGTGGCCAAGCTGTGAATAAGTTTCGCCAGCGAATAGGTATCTGACACGTGAGATCGTGTACCTGTGAGCTTCACTTCGGGCGCGTCATACATCTGAGGTTGCTGTGCAGCGGACGTACTGGCAGCGTTGATACAACTCTGAGCCAAATTGCCTATCTTAAGGACCCCGAAGCTGTCGAAGTAGATGTGCTTGGGATCTAAACACCCATGAGGAAAGGAGTGGAGGCCGTCAAGGTTCTTCCAATTGTGAATATAAGAGAGACCGGCTAGACACTGCACTAAAATGTCCCATATCTCTTCTTCTGAAAAGGGCTCCTGGTGAAAAATACGGTCATCAATAACGTCCTGAAGAGAGCATCCAAAGGTCATGTCGGTGTAGACGTCATAAAATAAATTGGATACATTGTTCCGGTACGGGCTATACTTAACAAGATTGATGTGGTTTAAGAGGGATATTTTGTTGATATACGTGCTAATCTTCTCTTTGTACTTGTGTTTAAACCGTTTTAACGAGATCCTCTCGCAATAACAAACTCGGCCATTTAGATCATTAACGACCGTGCACAAGGGTTTTCCTTCGTTAATAACGGTATAGGAAAATTCGCTCTTATCATCTATCGATTTCATGACACAGCTCGCTTCTACTCAAATTCTGAACTTTTTCATTTCAATTAATCCACCTTAGATGGTCTATGCTCCGGCACTCTACGCTAACCGAGCTTCAGTATCTCGAAGAAACTTAAGAGATCAGTAGATTCAACTCTGGAATCATTGCCTAGCACATTTCTGTGGAATCCGCGCTCACCCTTTCCGCAGGTATATTTGATCCCTCTGATGGTGGTGTCAAACCGCACTTTTCTATCTTTCTCTGTAAACTCGAAGTGGGAATCGTCAGCTATTTGACGCTCGAACCGCTGCGCCCCGTGAATGAGGATGTCTAGTCCCTGGGGCGTCCGCAGCTCGCTATGCATGGACGACCTGCGTCTCAGGGGGCTGCAGGCAGTGCACTCTCTAATGACTGATGCTGATGCTATTTTACGCATGGACCCTGTTGTGGGAGAGACAAGCTTGGGTGACTCCATAGGAACGGTTAGTGCCATGGTCGGTGATTGAAGAGACGGAGTGATGGCAGCATGGCCTACCTCATTAATGACGTTGGAGTGGTGAAGGGGTGGGAGAGGAGAGGGAGCAGTTGATAGCGGTGAGAGCTGTCCCTCAGGTGACGCCCAGGCAGTCAGAATGGATGGAGGTGCAGATGTAAAGGTAGGTGTATGGTTTGCCTCTGTTGTTGCAATTAGAGATTCCTGGTAATGCCTATCCGCTAATTGCAATATAGTAGACGGCTTATTTATTCGCTCCTCATTTTTACGAACATCCAAAGGTGTAAGTCGCTTCTGTCCGGAGACTACTATATCAAGTTCTGCATCCATACTAACTAGGAACTGTACAAAGTCTGTTACTGTATCATTCTTAAATTCGCGTTGAAACTGCTTTAATTGATTGATGAAGAAATCCCTAAGTGCTATTGAAATGTCAAGCTGCCGTAACTTTCCTATCACAGTGTTGTATGTCTGCGCGCTGTGTATAGAAAAGTTGACATCCTTATCAATATATTGCAAGTACACCAGTATTAGTAGGGCCTCGATTGCCATGTGGTTTAAAGGTCTTAATAGAATAATAAATATTTGGGAATATATTGCCTCTCTATGCTGAGTAAGACTCTCCATCAATTCCTTTGTAGCCTTTTTCATCTCGCTAGACGTGCAGTATTTCTTCTTCATATACCGAAACAGAAAACAGTTAAAGTCGTCTGAAATAGAGCAATCTTCTTTCTTATTTGCACCCAGAAATAGCTCCTTATACCTATCTGACGTGATTGCAGAAATCAGCTTATGCAGCCAGAGTGCCGACCGGGTTGTTGCACGAGGCTTTCGTTGCTGAGCAGCGTTTAGAGCTGGCCAGGCTTCTTTTGTGTATATTCTATATTCTTTTCCGTTGGCTTGTTTATACGTGGTAATAAACAGATTGGCAGCAGAGTCGAAAATAGAGCTGCGCGATATAGCAGCAGTTAATTGCTTTCTGATGGCCACCTGGTCACGAGGTGTCATATTATGAAAAACTGGATACACAGTTTTCTCTTCTTGTGCAGGTTCCCGTGCAGATCCGGGGCTTTCTGCAGGTGCGTTTGATTTATGATCGCTAATGGTAACGTTCTGTGTAGAGTCTTGTATAAGCTCATTCGATGATCTAGAGGATGCTCGCTTTGCGTGATCCAAGGGCTTATTGAGAGGAAGAACAGCAAGTGCAGATTGAGTTCGCAGAGGTCTAGAGACAGACACAAGACCCGTGATAGGAGGCGCAGAGAAAACTGGAGAAGGCATGGTATGTCTGTCCGAATCCGAAGAGCCATCTTCTATCTCGGTATTCGATGCGGTGTGGCCTAGAAAGGAATGTTCTGTCTTCACATCACTTATATCAAATGAAGCTTTTCGTGGAGGAAGCCCAGAATGTGCCCTCACAGGGTCCTTTTCAAGCGAGTCAGAGACGCGCTCATCGAGCTTGTAGATTCTGGTTATTGCCTGAGCAGGTAAATTTGGAAGTGTACCGAGAGTAAATGCCCGCTGTCTAATACTTGAACTTTCTCGTTCATGAAGGACTGCATCTGCTTTCAGAGAGGAATTACTATTAAGAGAAATGCCCGTGCTGTTGGATCTAGGGGGTCCTTTGTCTCTCCGAGGTAGACTGATTGGTGGCGGCGGGGGTGTCTTTAAAGCCTGATCTGGGACATTGGTGGCTAGAGATGTGCCCGACAACGCTCGATTGTTGCTGTGTGCGGCAAACTTCGTTAGCAGACTTCGCATGCTCAAACCAAGATTTTGGTGAGTAACAGGAATAGTAAGGAGACAAGATTTACACGGTGCGACATTAGTGCTCCTCTATCTTGAAGTTATACAACGGGGTAAGGTACTTATCCTCCACACCCATACTCTTGAGCTCTTCTATCTTCTTCCAGCGATAGTCATCAAACATGTTCTTTCTCGCCTCCAGCTCGCTGCGTATCCTCTCGTTTTCAGCACTAACTGCCTCTTTCCCTGTGAGTTTTTCTTTTAGCGCAAGGTGTTCATCCAATTGTCGCTTGGTCTCTTCCGCTATAAGTTTCTGACGCAGCTTCTCGCGTTCCTTTTCTTTCTGAAGCTCTTCATAGCATCGCTTATTTCGTTCTAGGTCAGCTAAGTACTCTTCGCGCTCGCGTCTAGCCTCCTCCGCTTTGACTGCGAGGCGGAGGTCGAGAGCTTCTTTCTGTTCGCGCTGGAACCGGATCTGCTTCTCCTGTTCTTCTCGGAGCCTTGCCTCGCGTGCTCTCTCCTTCTTTTCCAAGGTAGCTCGCAGGCGCGCCTCTTCAATCTCTGCCATCTTATTGTCCTTCTTTGCTTGCTGCTGCTGGAGGGCAGCAAACTCGATGTTCTTGCGCCTTTCCTCAATGATCCTTTCTTCCTCCTTCTTCCTTTCCTCGATCTCCTTTTGACGAAGCATGGCAGCAAGTCGCAAGTCCTCCTCACGCTCAAGCATCTTCTCACGCTCCTTAAGACGCATAGTTTCAGCGTTAATGGCATCAGCTTCACGTCGAAGGCGCCTTTCGTTAGCTTCCTTGGCTTCTTGAATGGCTTTGCTCTTGGCCTCCTCTGCCTTTATATATGCTGCCAGCTGCTCTGCTTCTCGAAGCTCCGCTTCCTTCTCAAGTAATGCATTCTGCTGACGAATAAGCATGTCATTCTCCATATGTATGCGGAGGCTTTCCTTCTCCTGGGCCTCTTTATCACGCAACCTCTTCTTTTCATCTTCGATTTCCTTGAGAACGCGCTCAACACGTTCCTTTTCATCGAGTGCTTCCATTTTTTCTTCAATAATCTTTCGTTCAGCAGCAGCAATCTGCCGGTCGCGAACTGTGTAGACCTTGGCCTGCATGGCAAGACTATCAATCTGTCGAACAATTCCCTCCTGCTGAAGCTTAGCAGCAGTGAACTGGGAATTAAGTTCGTTGCGTCGCGCGGTCATCTGTTTTTCCTCAGATGATGGGGCTTTATTGGCTTTGCGTTGTGTTTCTATGGCTTCTATTTTGTCGGCACGAGTTGCTGCAGCCTTATTTCTCGCAGCTACGTGCTCCCTTTTACGCTCCCTCACTTGATCTTCTTTGAAATGATCAGAAATCGCATTAGTGCGCATACGTGCGAGGTCATCCTCTGTGATGAGTTGTGCCTTATCGGAATTTGGCGGCAAAAGAGCCTTCAGCGTAGAGGTTAAAATGATATTACCTCTCATCGACCTACGGATCAAATTATTTTTGGAATTTCCTGTCTCCTACCGAACTTTGTAAAAAAGCATTGAACAGTGGACAGCGCGGTATCCATGCTGCGAGTATGTCTCTGATATCCTATTACTGCGACGTTACCATCTGGATGCTTCCTCGCATAGAAAGGCCGGCACTCATCCATGTACACGGATTCGAAAGGCTGCAAGTTGCGGCCTCAGCAGAACCTCCAGTCTTTTACAGGAGAACTATAGACTGTCTGCAGCCTCTTAGGATAATTTATCTATTTTCGCACTTCAGTACCCCATCCACGACGATGACCAGTAGACAGCAGCGACTCCTGCCTCGGACATAGCGCTAGATGCCGCCCAGCTCAGAACTCGTCAGCTAACATGTTCTGCCCGAACGGGAGAGGCGCTTGGACAGCTGAGTGCAGAGGGAGCTATCTGTTGAGGTTATCCAATGGTTGTATCACCACGCACTCTTCCTTCATCGCTTCCATTTCTAAGACTTGCAGGAGAAGTCACAGACCCTATAGCAGCAGGGTAACGCTTGTTCAGACGATGCGCTCACCCCGCCCCTGAGCGTACTGGATGAATCGGTGCTGATCTTCTTGTCTCTAGTAGTTGACCCTGATCACTACAGCAGGTGTAGAACTTGTATGGTGGTGGACCTTATCCCGCCGCATAGGCTTAGATTTAAGGAGTAGAACATGCAGAGCTTCTTGGGGCCCGGCAGCTCGTTGCAGGCGGTGACAGAAGGGTCTCTCTGGCCAGTTGGGCAAGCATCATCCTATGCTTGCCACGGCCGCTGGGAATGCCGGTGTCACGTGTGTAGCTCGTAGGGTGAGCTCTTTTCGGAGCGCCCAATCTCCTTTTTATTCGTGAAGGCGAGACCCGTTCACAACAGACCAATGACGACAGATAGATGGCTCCATACTGTTCACTCAGGCTGTCTACCCCAAGCAGTAGGGCCGTTCTCCTTCGTAAGGCAGAGGAGACCATACGTTCACAAAGATACCCTTAAGTGAAGTGGCTTGGATGTGATATGTGTTTTCGGAGACTCTGGTGTACACAGTTGCTCATCCTCCGATACCAGACTGCTCCATAGGCCGCCGGCCACGCTGGAGTGCCCCAAGGCGGGCCCAGATGAGAGTGCGTGTGCTGATAGCTTGTCCACCAGACCCTCCTGGCAGCAGAGCGCCGTCGTGGCAGGAGAGCCTGCCCCTTGCATCGGCCGGTCGGTTGCTGAGGAACCCCTGGTGCTCTGTCTGTGAGAGGAGACTGCCCATGAGGGCCCTGTACGCTGCTCCCCTGCACCGACTGGCACAGCAGGGGAGCCGGATGCCGAGGGACACCTCCAGAGTCTCGGGTCTCTACAGGACAGGACACACGGCAGAGACATCTGCATGCGGGCCGGGAGTCCTGCTCGGCCCCGTCCCTCGTCTGACATCTTGGTTCCTCGGGAGCCCTGTCAGCACCACCGGAGGCAGGAGCTCTCCAGGAGCGCTGGACTGGGCCCGCATGGAGTGGATGGCCCCACAGCCACTGCACGGGCCTCCAGGGCAGGGGGTCTCTGCTGCCATTGCAAGCTATAGCAGCGTGGGGGCCGCCCCGTGTGCTGCCCCCTCTGCCGTGGCGGGGCTTCAGGCATGCCATCGGGACTGTCCGACGGTCACCGGTTGGGCCCTGTGTGACAGCAACAGACGAGAAGGCTGCCCCACAACGACATGCCCTCGCTGGAGGACTGTCAGCAGGGGGGAGGAAGCTGTGACCCACTGGGGGGAGTGAACGATCTCCGTGGGTCCAGGCGCGCTGCACTGTGGGTCCGTCGGCTCGGCCTCTGACGGGAAGGCTGGGGCCCTCGCTGATGGTCGAGCAGAGTCACCACAGGGGGGCACGAGCTCGAGTAAGTGGGGGCCTTCTAGCAGGGTGCATGTCAACCGAGCGAGGAGAACGACACGGCAGTCACGAAAGGAGCCATGAACTCCTGAGTCCTCTGAGGTTTGTACTAGGCTCGCTGGGCTTATCAATCTCAGGCTCTAGTTCGCTCGAGTGAGCACTGCAAGGGTGAGAAGGGAACCTAAATGGAGATAAGCCTCCACAAGTGGCGGACAGAGTATCTGTGATCGACGCTTGCCACTGATGCTGTCTGGCAACTTAGCTTTGCAGAGGCCCATTGAGTAAGCACTCCAGGCAGTAACAACGCAGCCAACTAGCCACTGCTCTAGACTGCTCCTGAAGACCTGCAGCGAGAGAAGGCGAAGTCCCCAGAGCTTGCTGATGCAGTGCCAGAGCTTATGCTCTTCTTCGATGATCTGCTGAGGATATCTCAACGGCTCCAAGACTGTGGAGAGGGAAGCTTGATAGTAGGAATTCATAACCAGTGTTCCTTGGGCCCCGTAGGCCCTCCTCTCCAGTCATGGCGAGCTGCCGGGCCCTGAGAACGTCGGAGGGCCTTGCTGATGTGCATGGGCAGTGGGCAAGAGGATCCCCAACGTCTACGGTTCACAGGAGCTGTTTTACTACAGGCTGTCAGGCTTCTTCCCCGACATCACAGGGTTTTTGAAGCAGAGGCCTGGCAGAAAGAAGGTGGTGATAAGATAGCCAGGTCTCCAGCAGTGCAACAGAGAAGACCCTTGCTCTATCAGCGATGACTCGCTTCTGTTTCCTGACACAATCGAGCATTGACTGAAGTTACTTACGGGATCCTTGGGGTGTGCTCGTAGGCAAGGGTCCTAGCAGTACAACGCTGAAGGTGACTGGTAGATGGAATGAACAAATCCAAAGCTCTAGTGCCTACCCTGCACTGGTGCCCAGCCGGCTACAACCCCACAATTGAAGTCATCTCTCGTTGGGCACTTACCACACAAGGCAAGAAGGGCAGAGGGGATCCAGGGCGTACAATCTGTGTTTGGTGCGCTATCTGGATGATCTGTAAACAATACCGTGAATCGCAAGTTTACCAGTGCACGCGTTTCCTTTGTGACCATGGAATAAAAATGTCGTCTACAGATGATTCAGATCACTGCTCTCAGGAGCACGACGACACCCCGCCCCTCATGTCTGAGAAGGACACAGATGAGGAGGATGTGGGCGAGAACAGCCCCGCTAGGCCTCCGCGAGCAATTGGTGAGGATGAGGATGGCGTCACCGACCTCATGAAGGCGGCCAAGCGAAACGACGTGGATGCAGTGAAGCGCTACATTCCTCAGCAGGCAAGGATGGTGGCGAAGCTTGTCAGGGCAGGGATGGTAGAGATATACGAGGGGACAGCCATGATGGTCGCCGCGGTGCTCGGACACGTTGAGGCGGTGAAGCTGCTGATGAAGCACGAGCGTTGCATGAGGAGTAACAATGAGTACACGGCCCTCATGTGGGCGACAGCCAACGAGCGTATCGAGGTTGTGAGGCTACTCCTGGATGCTGAGGGCTGCATGGAGAGGGACAGGGGCTGGACTGCCCTCACAATTGCAGCATACTTTGGTTGTTTGGAGTGTGTCAAATTGCTGTTGGAGAAGGAGAAGTACATAAGCAGCAGGTCTGCTCTTTGCGTAGCTGATATGAACGGTCATTCCAAAGTGGTGTCTCTTCTCAAGAGTGAAGGCGTTGGACTGGAGGAGCCCTGTCTACGGATGCCGCCCAGAAAGCCCGTGAGTGAACGCGCCTAACTGTTGGTTGCATTTGATGATAGATCGGATTCCCCTCAAGCTGTGCAGCAAACAGACACCCTAATGAAGTGGTGGCTGTTAGTGGGTCACACAGCCACCCGTTTCCGCAGAGGCCAGGGGGAACAGACCTTCTCACCCTCGGTCAGCGCTAGGACACCGGTGGGTGAAACGGTCGCACAGGTGGCCTTCTCGCTCCTGATGCAGAAGCCCTCCGCAAGTATTGGACCACTACAGATCTGTAGACATAAACTCCTGTGGAAACGGATCGTTTCCAAAACTGTAGATTACCAAAATAATAAAACCAGGATGCACGCTGCTTCGTCTGGATCCGCAACAATAGCTTTCAGTGTCCCACCGTTCACTCTCAGAGGGCTCTACAAGCAACTGAATGACGTGCTTAATGAAAGTCCCGCGGGAACAGTCTACTCTCTCAAGGATTATCTGGGCCTCGCCGTAAAGGAGGTCCTGCTCGACGGCCTGGACAAGGGGGATCTGGACACCATCAGACTAGAGCTGGCCACCCTTCTCGACCTCTCCCATCCGGGGGTCCTCAAGCACCATCAAGTGGTCGAGGATGATGACTTCATCTACGTCGTCACGGACCGCCACGACAAGACTCTCGAGTGCCTCCTCACTGAACACAAGCGAAGGAAGATCCCCGTCCCTATCGCTGTGATTCTCTCCGTCCTGAGGCAGGTCGCTGCCGCCCTCGCCTATCTCTACGGCCTCAGTGGGATAGGTACTAGGGGGCTCGTCCACCGCGACCTCAGGCCTGCCAATATATTTATCAGCGCAGATGGTGAGTACTTCGTCATCGCTGGTCTCGGCCTCTGCAGGAACGCCCTGAGAGGCGGGAGCATCACCGCGATAACAAGGCCGTACATGGCCCCCGAGGTGCTCCTCCACAACGAGACCAGCCCTGCCTCCGATGTGTGGAGCCTCGGGGTCATCGTCTACGAGCTTACTATTCTGAGGAGACCGGACTTCCTAGAAGGTAAAGACCCAAAAGACGTCTTCGTTGACGGGTGGAGGCCGAACCTGAGCGGTGTCACCGATGGCTTCATAAAGAGCATTCTGGAAAGGATATTCGTGCTGGAGCCAGAGAGGAGGCCAACGGCCAAGGGACTGTGCGAGATGCTCGCCACAGCAGACATCCCAGTTAGTGAGCTGGGGCATCGGTGTGTGGCACTAGAAGACAAATGCAGCGCCTTGGAGGCTGCTTTGAACAGTGCTAATGCTAATATCGTGCTTCTGAAGGACGAGCTCAAGGTCGAGTCGGATAAGGTCACTGCTCTTGAGGCAGCCCTCGACGCCAGGTCTGCTGAGATTGCCTCTCTAAAGGGCGCTCTTGAGAACAGGCCAAGTGAGGCCGACGCCCTGGGACAGGAGCCCCGACTCAAGACCACCAGGATCGACGCGCTTGAAGATCAGTGCAAGGAGTATTTAGCCATGATTAAGGCACTGGAGGATAAGCTTGCACAATCTAGTAGTGGGATGAACACGAGTAGCCCCCAGATCAACCTCTCCGCGCTGCCTCAACTGATATACGCTGCACACACGAATGACATGGAGACTGTCCAGATGCTGGCCAACGAGAAAGATTGTATCGGTCAGCGCGACGAGCGGGGGATGACGGCCCTCATGCATGCAGCCCAGCAGGGGCACGGTGGGCCTGTTGAGCTGCTTGTTAAGAAGGAAAAGGGCCTCAAAGATAAAAACGGCTGGACCGCGCTCATGCACGCCGCACACGGGAACCATCCTGAGGTAGCTAGGATTCTCATCCCTCATGAGCATGGGAGGAAGAGCAAGAACGGCCGTACTGCTCTGATGATTGCTGCACAGGAGGGCCATGCGGAGGCTGCTTCTGTTCTGGCTCCGTACGAGGAGGACCTGACCGACAGACAAGGCAACACGGCCCTGATCCTTGCGGCAGAGGCAGGACACGAAGCTGTGGTGGAGGCTCTCGACCCAACCGATGATAGGGGCGTCACAGCGCTCATGCGGGCCGCGAAAAGAAACGACACATTAGCAGTAAGCGCACTCATACCCGTCCAGAAGAAGCGATTGGCACCTACTGGGACAGCGCTAATACAAGCAGCAATATGCGGCCACGTAGCAGCAGTACGACTGCTGATGCCATATGAGAGTAGGGCACGGGATGGTTGTGGTGCGACCGCCCTCATGAAGGCTGCCTCTGAGAATCATGCAGAAGTAGTGCAGCTGTTGATGGAGCGCGAAGGCTGCATGCTGGATCCCCATGGCTTACCCGCTATCGTGCACGCAGCGTATGGCGGCCGCTTAGAGATAGTGAAGCTGCTATTTGAAAAGGAGGGGCATCTAATAGACAAGTCTAATGAATCCTTCTTTGATAAGCTTGAGGCCAAGGGCTACTCTGAGATAGCATCCTTCCTTAGGGACAGCCGTACACCGGGCGCCGATGACTGCAACGATCACCAAGCTGCTCCACGAGCTCACGAGTAAACCCGTCGTTCCCTTCACGAGAAGCAGAAGGCCCTGGAGAACAGGCCATACGGACCAGCGCCCCATGCTTCTGGCCGTGCCAAAGTGCCATGAAACAGCGTCTCCAAGTTTTCTATCAATTATGTCTTATGAAGAGCCGCGATCGCAATTGGGAGGCAAAGAATGGCACTTATTGAGGCGGCCAAGGAGAACAGGCTGGACTACGTCAGGGCCCACAAGGCCGCGGACGCAGGCCAGAGGGACGCAGACGGGAAGACGGCGCTCATGTGGGCCGCCGAGGCCGGGCACACCGCCGTCGCCCTGGAGCTGGTCGACGCAGAGGCGGGCCTGGTCTCGAACGACGGGTCCTTCGCGCTGATCGCGGCGGCAAAGAGGGGGAACCTCGAGCTGATCCAGGCCCTTTTCGAGAAGGAGGGGAGGCTGCGGGACGCCGGCAAGCTCTCCGCCCTCAACCACGCCTCCAAGGCGAAGCAGTTCGAGGCGGCCAAGGTCCTCCGGCTGAAGACCATCGAGACGATGGACGCGGCGATGCTGGAGCAGCTCCGGCAGAGGGTCGCGGCCACCTACACCGAGATGGCCAAGAAGTCGCAGCAGGCCGAGGTCAAGAGCCACAACATGGCCATCTTCCGCTCGTTCTTCGAGGCGTTCTACTTCCTCTCCTGCTCGGGGATCGACCAGGGGGCGGAGATCTCGGAGGAGCAGCTGAACAAGTCCCTCGAGAAGTGCCTGGGCGAGATCCGCAAGCTCCTCAACTCGAAGAAGTACACGAAGTGCGTGAAGTGCCGCGCCAACGCCCCCAACCTGGTCTGCATGCCGTGCAAGCACTACGTCCTCTGCAAGGACTGCGGGAAGGACGTCGCCAGCAAGGTCTGTCCTGCTTGCAACAAGCCGGTCGAGGAGTTCATGGAGGTCTTCAAGTAAACGCCAAGAGGTGCTCCACGTCTGCAGATGTCCACCTAGTCGGGGCTCACCAGTAGGATTGCTTTGGCAGCTGCGCCACGAACCACACAGGACAGAGACGCGGTGATTGGCGCAGCCCCAGAAGGAGCCAGCGGACGCGACCCGTGACAGTCTGACAGGACCAGATTTGTGAAGACGTCTGTCTCTACAAGCCCCTCCACCCAGCGGCCGTAGCCGAGACCCACCCTGGCCCTCTTTCCCATCAGTCCACCCAGGCAAGGTTTACTGTAGAACCGATGCTTCCCGCTGTTCAGTGTATTTGTTTGACTAAAGACACGCGGGTCCTTTTCAGATGCGGCTGCAGGACCATCCCGCGTGGAGCTGGGAGAGCGCAACGGCCTCCTCCGCCGCGTACTGCTCCGGGGCGTCGGCAGGCTGCTCTCGTAGAGCCAGCCGTGGTGGGCCAGCGCCAGCCGTCCTCGCTGCACGGGCTTATGGAGAGCTGGTAGATGAGCTTCGTCAGGTGCTCGCGGAAGGCGGGGAGGCCCTGCAGCTCGAACACCCCGTATATGCGCGAGTAGTCCCCGCCGCGAAGGGCAGTATGTGCTTGGCGATCTTCAGAAGCACGACGATGGACGAAAGGCTGTTGACCTTGGACAGCTGGTACCCCGGGAAGCTGCACGTGAGCGTGCCCGCCGTGTTCATGTTGGCGGGGCTGTTGGTGCTATGTCTCCGCGCAGGAACGCCATCAGGTTGGCCAGGTTGTTCGGGATGTACGCCGTCGGCGGCCTGGAGCCCCGCCCGGGACGCTCTGCGCCGCGGCCCCTGGCTGGCCGCCGTGCTGGAGGGCTGCAGGATGTGCGAGACGTAGCCGTAGAAGCAGCGCGACGCCGTCAGCAGGCAGAACAGCCGCCTGCCGCTCACCAGGCTATGAAGGGGCCTCGCGGGGTCTAGCGCCGGGTCCGGCGGGGCGCCCTGCTTGGCGGGCCTGGCCTGCAGGAGGAGAAGGACGTGGAGGCAGCTCTTCAGCACAGACTCCCGGATGTGCCGCGTGGACGACGGGGTGTTGCTGGAGAACGCGCCCTTCTCGGCGTCCCTCGTCGTGCCCGCAGTCGCCTTGGCCGACAGGACCGTCTCCAGCATGTGGGGGACCCCACACAGCGCCAGGCGGAGCAGCGACGAGAGGAACGCCGGCATGTCGACCTCCCGGTTCAGGTGGTAGAGCTGGTGCCCCAGGACGCAGTCGGCCTCGTTGGAAATGCCGACGAGCATCGCCCGCTGGACGTCCAGGGGGAGCGCGTAGGCGAGCACGTTGACCAGCTCGTGGCACTTGATGCTGCGGAACCGCTCCTCGTGGTGGTTGAAGGACAGCGCCTTCTCTATGCACCGCTCGAAGTAGGGCAGATTGCCCTTCGCACCCGGCCTCCCCGAGAACGGGAAGGACGCGGTCAGCCCCCGCTTGACCCTGTTGAGGTACACGCGGTAGTCGCCGGTGGCCACCGCGTTGCCGAGGGTGCGCTCCAGCTCGGCGTCGTGCCCGCCGTGGAGGTCTGCCAGGGACTGCAGGCCGATCCGCACGTCCGGCCCGGGCGCCGCCTGTTGGGCTGGGGGCGTTGAAGGCCGTCATGACGCTTGCACACTCTGCCATCTGGTCTGCGACGCCCTTGTCGGCGTAGGGGAGACGTTGCCGGACGAGAAGGGGGCGGAAGCCGCTCGACGGTCTCGATCGCGCAGGACCCGGCGCTGCCCTGCTCCTCCAGGGCCATCCTGCGGATGCTCCGGCACGTCCGGGCCTGCTTGTGGCCGCCCAGGGGCCCAGGAGGAGGAGGAGCGCCTGCCTGGATCAGCTTGGAGAGCAGGCGCGCAAGGGCTGGACCAGGGCCCTGACGAAGCCTTCGAAGGTGCGGAGGCAGGGCAAGCAGTCGACCGAGCCGTCCAGGCGGTCGCAGACGGTGACCCCCCGCAGGTTCAGGGAGGCCAGCACAAGGTGCAGGACCTGGATGCAGTGGGCCAGGGGAGGCGGGAGCTGCTTGCTTGCGTTCTGCGTCGACTCCGCCCTCAGGTCCGAGAGGGAGGCCGCGCACTCGCCGGGACGCCGAACCGCTTGAGGACCTGCCTGAAAAGGGAGCCGCCGTTGTGGAGGAAGAGGAGGAGCGCCCGCCTCGCCTCGTCGGCGCCCATCTCGTCCTCGAAGAGCGAGAGGAACGACTCGCTGAGCTCGTAGATCGCCGGCTCCACGTCCGACCACACGACCGGGAGCGGGGCGGTCGTCCGGTTCTAGTCCAGGCTTCCGTCCCCCATGTTTGCGGTTTCATGGCCCGCGCGGCCCTCTGCCCCAATCCATAGGGCCATGGGCTTGAGCAGACGAGCGCTGCCCATTCATCCTCTACTATACGTTTCCACGGATGGCACCGTTCGCGGCAGGGGCACTGAAGCCTCAGGCGTTCCTCTCTGCCAACAACCATGAACTACGGTAAGGTCCTGACTAGGCTGGAAGGCGCTCTGGCGGTGGCACGGGCAACTGCTAGACCCGCCCGCATCGGCCTCTGGTCATGAAGGCGAGCTGGCCCTTCCTTGGTGTGTCCTCCATACTAGTGGGACTTGCCGCGCTTCCCCCTCACGTGCAGCCAAAGGCCATGGCCGACGTCCGCACTGGTCATATAGCCGACCTCCGCGACTCTGGTGGCAGCGTGCTTGCTCGCTTATTCCACGAGGCATGGGCATGGTAGTTACCGGCCTTGCTGCACAGCTCTTGACGGCGCCTTCCAGCCATTGCATCGGCCAGCTGTGCTACTTACAAGAAGCTCGCGCGCGTTCCCAACGTTGCAGCAACGCACGCTTGATCCCCGGCGGTGATTACTTTCATTAGTGGTGGTGCCCGCTCCGTCTCTAATCTGGTGTCGAACACACCAAGGATGATAGCGGCGCCACTCACGTTGCCGACGACTGCTTTATCCTGGCTTCTCAGATTGAAGGAGTGCTCTTGCTGGGCGTGGGCTCCCACGCTCCCCTTCATGGCCTCCTGGCCCTGTGCAATCTCTTCCTGGAAAAACGATATGCTGCTGTGCGCGATGTCGTGCACGGCATGTCGCCGAAGCAATAGCAGGGCTGCGCAATCATGCATCCACTTGGTGGGCTACATGACTTGGCCCGCCATGCTTCTCTGTGCCTTCTTGTCAGTGCTAAGCGGGCACCCTTACGACGGCCAGCGCCTATGCGGCTGCGTGTCTATTCAGCGTATTTGCTCGCGTCATTATCGATTTACCGTACTTGGTCTCCTCATTGAGCTCTGCAATTGTCAGCTGCCACAGAGCGAGGCAGGTTCTTACTCTGCCCGAGGGCGATTATTGTGGGAAGCTCCATGCAAAGAACGACTCCACAGCGGCTCAGTTTGTTATATGGACAGCTGGCAACCCGAGTTGTTCGTGGGGGAGACAGTGCCACAGACACATACCCTCTTCTCTCAATTCTAACAAGCAATCTTACAAGACCAGGAACAGAAGATTGCTGTCCATGAGGGCGGCTCTAAACTGCTCGGCGCATACAATGCACTCGAGAAGAGGCCTCCTGAAGATGTGCTGGTAGGCGCGGAATCGGACGGTCCGATCGAGACGCCGTCCCTGGCAGCCGCTGGTTCTCCTAGGGGCGACGAGCCCCATGCCCCCGATGGACTCCTACTTCCAAAGCCCCAGCCGGCAACGCCTGATGCCTCCAGGTGCTCCTCTCAAACTGACAGATTAAGGAAGTACTATGTTGAGCTAGCAGCCATGCATAGGCAGATTACCGTACTTCAGTCTTCCGTACGCGAATCAGAGACAGAGTGCGTGCCAGTTCTTAGATCCTTGTAGTTTAGTATTCCTAGGGGGTGCCTGGTTGGGGTGGGGGGCTGTGTTGGCTCCGGGAAGTCGAGCTTCCTATTGGCTATTCTGGGAGAGGTGGCCCTTTCGACATCAAGTAGTTCGGATTCCGCTCATATACACTCGGTGGGCCGTATTGCATACTGCTCGCAGGTGCCGTCCGTGTTTACAGGGACCATACAGTTCAATATCCAGTTATTCTTACCCTATGATGAAGAGAAAATGCAGCTTGCAACTCGACTCTCCTGTCTGGATGGGGACCTTTCTGAACTACCAGGGGGGCTTGCCACACTTGTTGGCAGCCGCGGTGTGACACTGTCTGGAGGACAGAAAGCTCGATTATCAATTGCCAGGGCCATCTACTCCGACGCGGATATTTACTTGTTTGATGATCCGTTCGCCTCTCTGGACTCTCATGTTTGCAAGTCGTTATGGAGCGAGACCATCAAAGGGTATCTACTTGCAAGGGGGAAGACCGTTGTGTTGGCGACCAATCAGATGCATTACTTTCGTTCGTGCTTAAAGGTGCTATTTATAGATGCTGGCACGATCAAAGAAGTGACACCAGAGAGCGTAGATATAGACTGTTCTCCTCTGCCCGTCGCAGAAGTCCTCTCACTGACCTCTATACAGGCTGTAGAGAAACACGACTCTGACTATCAAGTGCATCGAATGGCAGCAGTGCTTAAGGAGGAGAAATGCACGGAGCTGGGATCTGTTAATTCTAAATATTACAAGCTATGGTTCAAGGCAGGCGGGACCTGGAGATTCGTCATTTATGTTGTCATGTGGGTCTTCTGTATACTTATGTTGCAACTGGCGTCGCTGCTCATCAACTTCTGGACCGAACAGCGGCTAGGGCTGAGCACAGGTGGTTGCATAGGTCTGTTCTTGTCGTTCTCCTTTGCATTTATGGTGATCCTCTTCGTTGGGCAGCTCTTCTATATGCTGTTCACACGGAAGGCGGCAGAGAAGCTGTACTACAGCATGGAAGAGGGGCTTATCAATACATCGATGTCGTTCTATGACGCACACCCCATTGGACGGATCCTTAACCGCCTGATAGCAGACACAGGTACATGTGATTTGACGGTGAAGAATGGCCTAGCAGCGACATGTGAGAACTCCATCTTTGTGCTGGGTTCATTACTGGCCACTTTGCTGATGAGCTGGCCATCTACGTTTGTGCTAGTTCCCTTGCTGGGACTGTTCCTTTGGATGTTCATGGGATTTCGTGCTGTGTCGCCCCTCTTGCGACGCACCACCTCCCTCTTGAATAGCCATGTGTGTAACTTTATTCTAGACACATACTACAACCTGGCATCTCTTAGAGCGTATAGGTATGAAGCCCAGGCGGCAAGCTACTACGCCAGAGCCGTCCTAGCTATGGAGGCGGCATTTTGGATGGATGTTTCCCTCTACAGATGGCTACACTTTACAACTACCCTTCTATCTATCTGTGTGTCCGCAGTAGTTACTGTGTCCACTATCATAACGTCTTCTTTTGCTAACGGAGAGATATTTTCAGGTACCGTACTCATGAATGGCTTTGATGTTGTCATGATGTTAATAGATATGTGCTTCGGGATTGTTGCAATGGATCTTTCTATGGCCAGCGTGGAGAGGGTAGCAGAGTACGCTACTCTTGAACCAGAGAGTACAAGCGCTCCGCATAGCCCAAGTAGCTTGCCGGCAGACTCTACTCTCGGGCTTATTGTGCAAGATCTTTCGCTACGCTATCAACAGCATTTGCCAGTTGTGCTTCATGGGATCTCATTCACAGCGGCCAAGGGAGAGCGCGTTGCAATCATAGGAAAGACAGGGTCTGGCAAGTCATCCCTTGTCAATGCGATTCTCAGACTTGTCGAGCCAGAGGCGGGCTCTGAGATTCTCTTGAATGGCCTGAACCTGCTGAAGATGGGCTTACATCAGGCACGGTCTAAGGTGACGCTGATACCACAGGATCCTTTTATTTTCTCCGGGACACTGCGAGCCTATCTCTCCGGGGATAGACGGTTCTCAGATGAGGAGCTGTGGCGTGTCTTGGAGAAGACGCACTTGCGTGAATACTTCGCAGCTCAGTCAAAGCAACTTGACTACCACCTTTTTGATAACGGCAGCAACCTTTCGCTCGGACAGCGACAGCTTCTGTGCGTAGCCCACGCGCTGCTCAGAGACACAGAAGTCATCCTATTGGACGAGGTAACAGCACACGTAGATAGTGCCGCAGAGGCGGCTATTCAGGATGCCCTGGGGGCATATAAGGAGCAAAAGATCATTATTACGATAGCCCATAGACTCCGCACTGTTTGCAACCAGGATAGGGTTATTGTTATGGCCGGTGGTCAAATAGTCGAGCAGGGTCCTCCACGCGTGCTGTTTCACAAGCCTGACAGTATCTTTGCCAATATGGTAAGGTGTTCGGTAGATTCGGAAGACCTCGTCGATTTTCTTACGTCGATGTGAATTAGCATATGCTAGTAAATCCACAGAGCGCTTGCGTAGACAGGTAGCAGGGCGATCGACACCCCGCAGAAACGAGTCTTTTGCGGTCAGTGACACCTAAATTGTTGGATTGAGGCTCTGTCATAATAAAAGCATGTGTGGATTGGAAAACAACATGGAGGCCAAGCAGAGGGCGAAGCGTCTCAAGGGATACATGATACGGTATGACAAGCTTGCAAGGCAGCGCACACGACTTATGGACCACACCGAGCGTCTCGCAGACAGCCGCGTATCCGTGGACGAAGAGACACAGACTCGGGCGTCCTCGGCCGAGACATCCTTGCATGTACTATACCTGGATGGGCATGGAAACATCTGCCCCACCGTCCCGGTGCAGCCAGGGCTGCCAAGGTGGGTGTCTCTGCGCGTGAACTCCTGTGCCTCTCTTCTTCTATCGGTTCACAACATCGTAGTCAGGTCGGAGCTTGCCGCACGCTGTGAGACTAACGACGCCGCCGATCGCATTCTTACCAGAATCCAGACAAACCACGGACCTTCCGTCCAGATCCCCAACGAGTGCATCGTGCTCTGTCCCCCGCCGCCCCTCTTTCTTGAGTCCTTGCACTATCTCCTGGTGAAACTGCAGCTCTGCACGGCGCCGGTCCCAGGTGCTGACTCCCGAGTGGTCGGCGAGGTTGCGGCCCGCCCATTTACATTCAGCAGGAATATGACACATAAGGATCGTCAGTTTACACAAATATCCGACACCTACCCAATCGTCCTCGATTCGGAGGTTGTTGGAAGCCTGTGCTTGCGACTGGAAATGCTTTCGCACGACCATACAATCGAGACCACGCGTCACTTCACGGTAGACTGCTCCAGTCTTAATAGGCCCAATCAGAAAGAAAAACGAAGACTGATAGGCGCACAGACACAGACAACTGGATATCTCACTTCGACCTTAGAGGAAAGGCGGCTGTAAAGGCTATGACGGCAGAGCTATAACAGCTCAGGTGGAGCCGAACTCCGCTGTGAACTTCGCTATGCGCGACTTGTCAGCTTGGGAGACGCTCGACTTCACGGCTGCCTTGGCACGCAACAGGCTACTCACAGTGACATAGGGAACCGTCAGCTTATCGTTGGGAATATCCATAAAGTCTTTCTTCTCAGCGCCGGGCATGTCTGATGCTGAAACCTCGTACATGCCTGTGATCTTATTGAGGCGGAAGTAGGACACCTTCTGCAACACGCGCACGGGGTCCATGAGAGCTTCCTTGCACAATATGCTGAGGTCAGAGCCAGAGTAGTTCTCTGTTTGCTGTCCGAGCTCAGTGATATCCTCATCTGCTAGCACATTGGGCGTAGTGCCGATGCAATTCTTTATGATATTTGCTCTGGCAGCGGCGTCTGGGAGGACGATCTCGATGCGCTTCTCGAAGCGGCGGCGGATCTCCACCCAGGCCCCCTTGAACGGCAACTGTGCGGCCAATCCACGAGCAGCTTTCTGTGCAACAATCACAAGTGGGGCCTGTACACAATGCAATGAGGGTTACTTCCTCAAGGACGGCGGCTGCTATCAGACAGATAGACAGCCTGGTAAGCAGGTCTGTAGTAGTGCACAGGGAGGAACATGTCAGACGTGTGCCAACGGACTGCAGGTACAAAGTGGGGCCTGTGGGGAGTGCCACTCTACTTGTGCTACGTGCTCGACTGCAGATGACCCTAATAAGTGTAAGACCTGTGCCACTGGGTATTACAAGACAAGCGATAATGATGGCCCGTGCATGAAGTGCTCTGAGGGGCTCGCTGGGTGCAGACAGTGCACAGCGTCATCCACCGATGCGTTCATGTGCCTCGAGATGGGCGATGGCACTGGCGACAACACCGGGGGAAGCACCAACAAGAGCAGCCTCAGCACTGGCGCCATCGCGGGGATCTCCGTCGCTGTGATTGTCGTTGTGGGGGGCCTTGTGGGCTTTCTCTGCAGGAGAGAGACGTAGACTTAGATAATAAATATGTCACATCAAGGCATCCTGTGCTCAGTGATTGTCCGACAACTGATTCCCTAAACACTGAATGGTATCTAACTGAAGGTCTCAAGAAGAGGTAAACTCACAACGGATAACCGATAGCATCAGGAGGGGAGAACTAGGAATGCCTCTATCAAAACTGGCAGGACGAGTCCGCTGAGACAACATGGGCCGTGCCACACATTCCAAACTATTCTGACATGTAAAAATGTGGTTTTTAATTAGTTTGTCTAATTTAAGTACTCAAGGAAGCCATGAAGCACTCTAAAAGTGAGGAAGAGTTCTTATCGTGGAAGGAATTCACATCGGAGACATGTACCAAAATATATAAACTAGCTGCTGAGCACTTTTCGCGTCGGTATCTCTCCAATATGACCAGGACTGGGGATCCTCGTTTTTGGGGGAATGAAATGGAATCTATTATTTTACAAAAGCACCATAAAAACACATATGCGCTTAGCACTAATCACTGTCACGATCAACTTGCAAGACTTTCAGATAGATTGACGCTCATGCCTGAATTTGCACGGTTTATCCTTGAGTTCATACCTGTTGCTCCATTTGATGAAGAGCTAAGAGGTCTTCGTCTTAGATGTGATGAATATACTAGACATGTCACTGACTTGCTCGCTACAGCGGAGCTAGAAGAACTCACGATTCTTTTAGGCACATGCTATCCAGTCTTTGGGAAAGACTTTTTAATGGACAGGGACGCCTTTAGCTCACAGACTCCCGACCAGCTTGAGCTATTGAAGACCAAAATGCTCGAGTACGTCACTGATACTGGTAGGTATCGTACGCTAGTCTCCAATATGCTTTTGCGGAAGGGCAGTATCTCGTGGGCTACCGTGTCTTCTAGTTGTGGAGACACGTACTATCTCCCAGGGCCTCTGTTTGGTATGGGCTTGTGTGGGATGCATGTCACGATCCAGAGTGCAACCATGGAAGACTCGCGCCTCCTTTACGATGCACTTCAACCCTTGTGTCCGGTTCTCTTGGCTCTTAGCGCATCTACTAGCGTATTGGCTGGGGTTGTTCTAGATAAGGATACGCGGACATCCTATTTGTCTGATGCCATGGACGATCGGCCACTACATGAGCACTCTATAGGACTACCAAGACGCTATAGTGTGGCAGGAGTGTATATTGCAAATCATCCAGCAAATATCCCTCTTTTAAACGACGTATCACCTGTTTCATCAGGGCTCAGTAGTAGATCTAGTGTCATTCAGTCTAGTGGTAATGATTCCAAAATACATGCCTACGTTCAATCTGTTATTTCACATTTTCCATTAGTAGTTTTACGAGATTCTCTTGTCTTCCACGATGAAAGTTTTGACTCAGACTGTTGGGATCAAATACATTCGCTTTTTTGGCCGACTTGTCGTTGGAAAGTTCCCCCAATAGACTCTCTCAAAGGAAGTACGGGCTGGCGCACTGAAGTTCGTTGCATGGAGATGCAGTTCTCCATAGCAGAGAACCTTGCATACTCGGTCTTTGTGTTCCTGCTTTCAAGTGCCATTAGAGACATGGGTCTGCTATTCTACATTCCTCAGACTTTCATCTTACAGGATATGTCTTCTGCAGAAAAGCGTGACGCTGTTAATAATGAGTTGTTCTGGGTAAGAGACGTCTTCCTCGACCTACACTTCGAAAGTGTATCTGGTGCTGATCTTCAACTCGGCTCCTCAGGTATCTTTTCAGAGCAATGCAGACAAATGGCTGTAGAGATATTTTCTTCTCAAATCAGATTGGCACTGGAAAATAGACGAGCGTTTGCAACTCTAAGCTCAGCAGACGATGCTGGTACACATAGGCACACGTGGTGTCCTAAAAGCGTGTGCACGTGTTTCGAGAATAGCATTTCTGATTTTCATCTGATAAAGGTAAGTCTTAAAGAGTTTATGTGCGGGTCCGCTCGATATCCTGGGCTTCTTCCTGTACTTGCTATGTACACAGACGCATATTTTGATACTATCGCCGATCCCACATCCCTGGATGACGTTGAATATATTCACTCTGTCATTTCATATCTTGCAGACCGTGCTGCTGGTGTTATTCCAACCTGTGCTGCAGCAGTGCGAAATCTTATACAGAATATGCACACTCACAGAGACAATAGCTTCGCTGAAGTGTGCTCTAGTATGCTTTCAGAACCAGAGGTACAAATAGTTACCGAGTACATGCTTGGTGCTAGGCGACTATCGCTAGATGGTCTGCGAGAATACTATAGAGCCCACTCTGGTACTGTTAGTATTAGCGTTAGCACCCCCGAATGATGTTACTTGCTCTCCTTCCTATTTCTGTACCAGCCTCCATGGGGAGCATGTTGCTACTCTCGTTCCAACTGGTTGCAACCCAAACAGCTCGGCTTGAGCTTCTGGAAACACCTCGCTCGGAGTCTGTATGTACTGGAAAGGTGGCACTGATGCCAATTGATAATTGGGAGTATGTAGAGACGACACTAGCTCGCTGGTAGCTACTGCTGGCTCGACTAACACTAGCTCTCGACACTCTGCTAGCCATCGTTAAAGGAACTCTTGGGGGATCCAGGGTGGTCCCAGGCTCTAATTGCGAATAGATAGAACCATCTGGAGATCTTGAAGCGGTGGTGCCCGGAGGCGTTACTCTTCGTTGCGGGGCCTTGGATCTACGCAAGTTATCAGCTACACTAGTTTGACTGCGTCTAGCGCATTGTAGAAACTCTTCTGAAGGATCTGGAAGCTCGTTCCGATACGACTGAGTGGCGGACTGGTTAGATCCCGAACGTAACTTCTTAGCACTTTTAGATATAGGTGTCCCTGTCTTCTCGTATGGAGTAATATTTATTGAAGGGGCTAAAATGGAAGATGCCGTGTACAAATCGGATGCTTCTATCGTGCTACTTAGAGAAAGCTCAAACATCATGCTGTTGTCTGGAAATCGACGACTAAAGATGGAATATGCATCATACATCTCCAGGTAGCTACTGATTAGTGCAGAAAGCTCTCCCCGAGTAAGAATGCTGTAGAGCTGAGTTGGAGTAATAGGCTTGTCGTTTATCAACTCCCAAATGCTTTCACATGGAATGGGATCGCTTGAAGAAAATGTCTCCATTAAATTAAACCCCTCTCGCCTACTCTTAAAGACTGCTCTATCGGTGGTTCCTATAGAATAGTCCATTGCTTTGTGCACTGTGCATGTTAAATAAGCAATTTCGGCGGGTCTTTGGCCAACGGTCTTCGGCTTTGAAGTTGCAAGATAATACTGCATACGATCGATCAATCCTGTCTCATAGAAGCACATGTAATAGAGGGAGTTGTCATAGGCCCCTAGTTCCAACATAGAATTGCGTATACGCGTTAGGGGGCAAAGAATCATGTTACAGTTGATGAAGCGTGCAGAGGAGGAGACGTCTGACATGAATTCTAATAGTTCCTTACAACAGAGGCTAGCTGCTGCACCCATTATAGGAGAGTATCGCAGGACCTTGGCAGCATTTTCTGGTGACAGCCATTCTGATGTACCTCCACAACCAAGATATGCTGTGGAGTTCATCTCAGCGCGGCTGCTCTCTGAAGCAATATACATCTCCATCGCCTTTACGTGTATGGAGTCGTATTCTGGTACATAGCTATGCACTAGGTCTCCGAGAAGGATGGCCTCCTTTAACTCTCCAAAGCAACAGAAGAACCTGGCAACAAGAACCAGGATATAATAAACCTGTCGAAAGGAAAGCTGCTGAACTATGGTACCTGAGCAGCACTGGTACGTACTATGTAGCTCTGCTATGACCAGTTTTATTACATCAGACATTCCTGGTATGGCCAGGGGAATAAGATCAACGATAGAGATAGATGTTTCATAGACAGTTGCAGTTTTTCTCAGGTCTTCTTCATTGTAGCGTAAAGTCTCAGCAGAAAGGGACAAGGAAAAGTAAGTTGCTATTAAGTTAATGATATCCATGACGAATGTATCATATTGGCTGTACTGTGCTATGTGCCGAGCCATGTGCGTAGCTATATCAAACACTTGGTCGTAGAAGCAGTTGAGGTCTTCTGGATACTTGCTAAACAATAACGTAAGTGACGTACATATGTTTGTCACGTGATCACTGTGGGGAATGGGCATCTGTAACAGCTTACTTAAATAGCGAAACAAGGAATACATGAAGGTTAGAGGGACGGAGGCATCTTCTTGTAGGAGCGGAACAACGGCACAAAACTTATCTGAGGAGAGAAGGTTGAGAAGTGGCGAGTATTGATCATGCGAAACAATGCTAAGTCCATCCTTCGGGCTGACCTCTGCAAGAGTGGTAAGTATGCTTTTAATTATTTCAAATTGAGAGTGAAGGTCTTCATATGTTTGGTATCCTAGCATAAGGCTCTTAGTCGCCTTTTCCACACCATTAGCAAAGTACCTCTGAAACTCTGCACTGGAGAGATATGCATCTCGAATGGGTTTGCTTCTCAGCATAGCACTGAAGATTGCAGGTAGCTTATCAGTAATTTGCTTTTCCTGAGATGTGGTGAATACTATACCTTCCTCGTTATACTGACCGGAAAAGGCGGCGAGAGAAAGGTTTGTGATAACATCTGGCCGTATCAATGTGGAAACAAGATGGCTAGTTGGGTTGGCCAATTCAAGGATGAAGCTATCCCTTAGTATTAATGAAAGAATTGCTCCACGGGTTTCATGCTCGTGAGACTGGTCTACGAACATGTTCGTAGAAAGCACAGACCAGTAAATACGTTGTGCCCCCAAAGGAGTATCAACGTCCCTGATAAGTTTCATAGGAGTTAGAGGCATCGTGTAAAGGGACGTTAGGATTTCTTTTAAAAATCCGCGTCCTTTTGGTCGGCATTCTACGATGACACAGCAGTTTCTAGCCACACAGACAGACCTAGTGAAGCCTTATGCGGAACACCCACTCATTCTTCGTTCTTTTGATGACATCTACACCCGTAAGGCCCTGCTGCACAAAGGGAGTGATGTGTCTCTATACCTCACCGTCCTGACTACATCCATGGAGCAGGTAATTTCTAAGGAGATCTACTATCAGGAAGAGAACGAAGATCTCGTCTTTGCTTTAACAGACGAGCTACGCTATATCTCTTACATGAATAATCGGTGCTTGCAGCCGATTCTTGATGTGTTCTTCCAGAGACCTGAGAAACGTATCATTGCTGTCTATGCTTCTGTTAATGGGCTCTCTCTGAGGCAGATAATAACCTATAACACAAAACACAATGTTCGCATTTCCGAGAGTGACATGTGGCGCATAGCAGGTCAGCTAGTGAGCGTTCTTTACTACATGCACTTCGTTCAATCTCTTCATCGACTCGTGAAGAGCGCCAATACTGATGCGTTTACTGAGAGCGCTCGTGAGGAGGATTTTGCCGTTATGTATAGACTCTATAAAAACCGTCCGGAGAACTTCTGCAGCGATGATATTCATTATAAAAACTTTCAGCTGGAAGAGCTGGCACGCGTCTCTAATCACTTGGTTCGTGAAAAGAGCATGGAGCTCTATGAATATGCCTGTCAGATAATACCAATCTTGCACAGAGAGATTACCCCGGACAACCTGATAGTCGACAGTGCAGGCTATCTTGTACTGTGTAATGCTAATCCGTATAGAGTCCTCTCGCAAGAATACGGTCCATATGACTCTCCAGAACTGCAGAAATTTGGTATATTTTCAGAAGCAACTGACTTGTACAGTGTAGGGCTTGTCTTGTATGAACTCTTAACCTGTCGCAAGTATCTCGAACGGTCTGTGGACTCTCACTGGTGTCCGCGCCAACTTCCAAATACCCTCTATTTTGATGGGTACTCTACACATCTTCGCAACCTGATCAGAGGACTGCTTCACCCAGATCCAGCGCTGAGGCCTCTCCTGACAGACATCATGAGGCTACCTCGCCTAAGCGATTCATTTCGTGGTGTGGATAGCGTTGGGAAGGTTACCCCAATATACAAAAGCCTTCTTCTACATAACTACACAAATCTTGCTGCGTTCAAGTGATTGATTGGTTGTGGGAGCTACAGTAAGGCAGACACATCGCAGCCAGCATAACCTTCTGACTGAAATAGAACAGTACTTAGCAGTGGTTGTAACATTGTATTTTCCTCATCCAATAACGAACCATCACTTACTTCTTATTGGTCGCTTTCGATGCTTGTGAGATTCTTCACAGCCACATTTTTGACATTCTTCACTCGGGCAGCAAATGAAAGTGTTGAGAGAGTCTCATAGAGTAAATTTGGAAGCGGAGATATATTTGCAAACAGAAGCGTCTTGCTATTATTGCCGAGCGACTGCTGAAGGATCATCGTTAGCTTGTTATTTCTGTACGGTACATAGCTTGCAACTTTCTTCCTCGAAAGGGCTGCAATGACATCCCCGAGTGCACAAAGAGACGTGTTAATGTGCTGGGCCTCCTTAAGACGTAGCCCATTACTGTGGGATTTTGTTACATTCTCACTGCCAGCCAGGTCAGCAAATGTCAGTACCGAGCGTGCAGTTCTGGTTCCTTTTGCTGTTTCGCGGTATGAGGTAATCTCGATTAAGAACACAGTATGTGAACGAGAAGACAGAGAGTTGAGCTTTGTTGCCGCAATATGCCTCCTTTCAAGGCCGTACCCGAGATAGCCGACTAGCTCCTCTGCGCTTGCCACAGTCTTGTAAGAGAGATTTTGTATGTATGTTTCCCCCTTAGCGGTTTGTCGAACGACCAGTTTATCAGAGTTGAAGCTCGGAAGCTGTGTCCGGGTGTCATCCTCTGTATGCAGCAGGTCAAGGATATTATCAAGGTAGTGCTCAATCATCGCACATCTGAGTTCATATCGTTGGGATTGGGATGTGTCAGCCTCAATAAGATTGAATAGTTCTACAATCGAGCGAGGCAAAAGTCCAAGCCTTTCATATGGATTTTTCTCCTCAGGATCCTTTTGCATGGACATCACAACACTCTCAGCAACAGCCGTTTCAGAGTCGTCTCCTATGAGCGTAAATGTCTTTCCGCTCCCCGTGCAGCCATATGCCAATACACAGACATTATAGCCGTCAATAACCGACTTTAGAAGGTGGGACATGTCATGAAATACATCCTCCTGGGTCTTTGTTTCGTCTAGAATCTTATAGAAGTCAAAACTATAATTCTCTTGAGAAGCCACGCCATACGGAAGCTTGAGCTGCAGCGTATGCTCATCCTTAAAAATGAAGGCGTTGCGATAATTAAAGGATCTGAATTTCGATGTCTTTAGCTCTTCCTTTTCATGCTGCAACATCGGACGCATGCGCACAATTACTCTTATGCTTCCTTTCATCTCTTCGAGAGTGTTGTGTAAGGTTTTTCGTTGTTTGTTTTCTACAACCATCAATCCCTGCAATCTGGTGTATTCCCGTTGAAACATACCGTAGTCCAAACTTATTTCTGCGCTTTTCCGCACATCTGGTGTGAAGGTTGGCGTCTTGGAGAGGGCGTAAGACAGCTTGTTCTGAATATCGGCAAGACTGGTTCTTGATTCTTCTAAGGCTTGTGTCATATTACTATGCTCTATGTTTGCTATCTCGATTTCAATGTCGAAAAACGTGTCCATGAGAGAGTATACCTCCAGGTTCTGAAGAATCTCTGTTAGCTCTGCTCGCTCGGCTTCTATTTGCTGTTTAATGGTCTGGATAGCAAGGAGTGATGAATTCTGTTGGGACTTGGTGATCCCAAGAACCTTAGCAGACGGTGGACGTGGGGGCCCGTCACTCTGCCTAGGTCTGATAGTTGTTGGTGTCGTATTGGATGATCGTCGTGCTACATCATTGACATCCAACTCGATGCTCTCGTCTGTAGTGAGAGTACCGAATGTATCTCTGGTGGCTTTGGTTGTGTCAAGGTGAGACTCTGACGTTGGCGGTGGCTGGTGTGTGGCAGTGTTGCTTGAGCTTCTGGCCAAGTCGCGTGCATTTCTCAACTGTTCTACCTCTAACTTCAGTGCAGCTAACTCCTCATCGTACTTGTGTTTGAACAGGCTCCAATCAGACATGGGTGCTTCTTGAAATTGGTTACAGAGCTTCTTAGATCCCTGTAGCGTATGTGCCGACAATACAGACTCATCAACTACTGCATTGCTAGTGGGAGTAGAGGCAATAGTTCTCTTAATAGTGTCCATCTCCTGCTTGATTAAGGTAACCTGCTCCTGTAATTCCGAAACTAGTGCAAGCTCCTCAGTTAGATGAGGTTGCTTCTGTGAGGCATGGTCTCTTGTCATATTTTGTACTGATATATTTTCCACTAGTTGTATATCAGCGCGCGAATCATCATTCATTTGTCGTAATAGCTCAATATCGTCCTCGGTAAATGAGGGATAGTCACTGTCATTTGCCACTTTGCTCTCTGCAGTGGTCTCTTCCATCTCACTGTCAGCTAATCGTGCATGTGGTGTCAACTCAGGCTTTTCAAGGAGACCCCCTTTAGATGCACTCAGAATTGATTGATGCAGTTGCAGGTCGACTACAGATGGCTGGGGCACAGTTATCTTTGTTGTTTTTGCCGGAAATTCTGGCTGAGTGGACGCATACATCCGATCACTCCCGTGCAAGTCAGTCAAAGAAATACGACTCGTGGTAAGTTCCTTTGTCTTTGTATAATGATTAGTAGCCGGAATCAGGGGCGGAGAATCAGTGGGAGAGTAAGATTCTCCCTTGGGGGGACAGGGTTCGTAATTGCTATTAGAAAGGCGCTTTCTGGGAGAAACCGTAACAGCACCAGACTGGTGGGGAGACTTTTGAGGAGTCTGCGGCTTTTGTGGCTGACTTCTCTTCTTGGTGGATTTTGCACTCTGCATTTTGGGGTAGCTCACGGGTGGCTCGAAGTAAGACGATTTGATAACTGAGCGGGTTGATGATGTCTTGCATGTCTTCTGCTGGCTAGAGCTACGCCCTGCTGCCTTCACAACAATACTCTTCACTGAGTCATCGCGTAGAGATGAGGTGGAGCTGTTGCACAGACCAATACTCTGAGTGGTAGATCTCTTGTCTGTACTACCTCGTTGGATTCTTGGACTAGATCTTGTGCAGTCTTTGGTGGGGATTGTGAAGTGCCGGGTAGCTGCAGACTGCAGTGTTGCATCTCTACTCGCCATGTGAGCATTAATGACGTTTGGAGAAGAAAGGTTTTCAGCAGTAGTATTGAGTTCATTGATGGGTGGATTCATAGACTTTGGATGGTAGCCATCAATAGTTCCATTATGACCTTCGAATAGCGGGGCTCCAAATGTATCTCTTCTGTTTGAGTGAGAGGTCTGTCCTTTACCCCTACTTCTGCTCCTGCTTCTGCTTCTACTCCTACCTCTGCTCTTGCTTTTTTCATCTCCATATGCAGCCCCATCCGTCGGGTTGTCCTGATCTCTTATGTCCAACTGTTCTTCTTGGGCTGGGGTCGATGTGTGAAGGACAAAAGTAGTTTCTGGCGATAGCTCGAGCTCGCTGCCAGTCATGCGGTCCGAAAGGAGCTGCTTATTCAGGTACAGAGCTTGGCAGTCAACAGGTATTCCTGTAGCCTGAAAAATGCTCTTCTTCAGCATCCGAACTCGAACATTGGGGACGTCCTCTACTCTGACAGTAATCTTAAATTTTCTCCGTTCAGCCACGTGCACGATGGTAAACTGGAGCCGATCGCTCATCAGATTTCTTCTACTTGAAATTTTACTGGTCCTAATTTAGCATGCGTTGACTCGACAATGTGGCTTATAGCGAAGCAATTTACATAAACGACAATGTAAGGAAAGCATGGTTCTCAGCAGTTGCCAAGGTTTGCGAAAGCTTGCTAAGACGCCTTAAAGACAACAACCCCGGTCATTCCATAGGCCATAGCCAGCTTGTGCCCAACAACAGTGTCTATCGAGTATCCAAAGGAGTTACCGACGCATACATGAAAGTACTGGCCAAACTTCCGGTCGAGGCTCTCCTTTATGAACCGCGCGGCCTGCTCTGGGTCACTGGGGAACTTCTCAACGGCAGTTACAATGGTTTCCGTTGCTTCGGCCCGTTCCTCCTCGTTCATATCGCATTCCACGACAAGTGGATAGTTAATGGAGCTCAAGAAATTGTCCTCGTCGTCACTCATTTGTAGCAGATTTTTTAGGAATTTTTGTCTCAGTACAATAAAAAGGAGATGTTGGAAAGCGATAAGCGATTTTGCCCGCCCAATGGACGCGCAGGGTTGGATAAGAATCAAAAGTTCATCATTACGAGAGTCCAACGAGACTCTGAGGCCGATGAGAACGCTTTCAAAGAAGGGGTAGCCGCCTATTTGAGGAATCTTCATCTTTTCGGTCAATGGGGCAACCCTAGGTATACTGCTGGAAAGGCTATCATTCCCTGCACGGACCTATTCGTGCAGAAAGTTAACACACCAAGCGCCAAGGAAGAGCTGTCAAGAGCCCTCTGTTGCCAAATCGACTTTTCCGTTCAGCGAATTACTAAGTTAGAGTTTCTACCAGAAGTCCGTGAACAACTAGAGCGATTCTTTGAAGCAAAGACCTGGTCTGACACTGCAAGCAACAAAAAGTGCCTGAATCTATCGTCCATTGTGGAATCCTACAAGCAATGGATGAATATACAGCAGAAGTGCTCTAATGGCGAAGAACCACGAGACTCATTCACAGATGCCCAAGAACCTGAGCTATCCTTTGACAACATGCGTTTGGTGAACGTGCTTACCGACTACTTAAGGGAGAATGAAATAAATGTACTAATACTGTCCAACAATAACCTGACCGATTTGAAACGCCTAACTTGCCCGACTGGATTGAAGAATGCAACAACCTTGACAAAGCTGGTGCTCACAAGTAACAATATTACCTCTTTGGAAGCACTGAAATGCCTCACATACATTAAGCAGTTGGAAACTATTGTATTAACAGACAATCCTGTCGTCAATGATCCTGATTTCGTAAGCACACGAGATGCTCTCAAGCTCACTTGCGTCACCCAGCCCCCGCTTCCCCAGCACTTGCCAGACGCCAAGAGCTACAGGTCCTTTAAATATCTACATGACAACATATGCATGGCTATTACGAACGGCGATACAGACATGCTTGCTGCTCCCTACACCCTGGGTTTAGATGGCTTTGGATTTCAGCCCCCTGCGGTCTCCATCATTTACCACGTAGTAGACATGGGCGACAGGCGTGTTCCTATTCACTGTGCTGCGAACAAATATCTGCAAACAATCCACAGATTGCTTGAGGATAGGGTGTTATTTATAGATGGTAGGGCTAATATTCTTGGCACCTCTACCAGTGTCATCCACAACCCCTACTACACTATTGAAGCCAGCAGGGTCCTACCTAACCTGGTGCGTACAACTTACATCTGTACGGGCAATGCGACCCTTCGCAAGCGTAAGCCCAGTGCAGAGACCAAAGAAATTCTGTTATCGTATGTCAGAACCCTCACCCTGATTACTCCCTGTGTCTGGGACGGATCCCTGAAGACGACCTTTGAGAAGAATAACACTAAAGACTTTACTGGTAGAATTATTGCCGATGTGGCGCAGTTCAAGCTGTCTGAGGGCATGTGATGTCTGTGCCTCTTTAGAGAACTCGCACATTACCAGCACACCTATAAGCTGTGCCCTGACCCAGTTTTGTACAGAAAAATGGGCACCACGTCGTCTCTACTTACCGAATACGGTGTGGACTCCCGAGCGTCGAAAGGACGTACAGTTTTCTTAGAGGTAGGAACAGATGGGTCTCAGTATGACCCAAAGCCTTCACAATACATAATCGAAGTAGCCACTGCTAAGGCGCACTACTCTAGCGTCTACTCCCCAGAGCTAGCGAATGCATGACAAGGGTGTAGTATTTGCTTAACCCATAAGCATGGCATTAACGAATGCGCGCCTGGGCTTCACCAAAGTTTTTGAGATTTTGAGACCTGTAAACAGTGGCCCCAATGATTAGTAAAGCACAGTATGCTCCTTACTACGAGCACTCATCTAACAGGTCGCTCAGTAGTTGATTTTCCTCGTGGAAGTCAGGTTTTAGAGGTCCTTCAACACCACTGCCGGTATCTCCTCCCTGCAAAATTCCGTCAACAAAGTTATCAATGTCCTTCTGGGATGGTGCTATGAGCTCTCTTGCGGCATCTGTTAGCTGCCCCTTGACCCCTGCCTTTCCTGCATTAATCTTACTTTGCGCAGTCGCTGCTGAATTTGCTTTGAGCGCTTCCATCATTTGATGCTGTTGAACAACCATTTCTTTATATTTCTGAAGCTTTCTCATTTTGGCTAATAAAGCCACGTGTTCCTTCTTTAGAGTGACCAATGCTGTCTTTTGAGATATATAGGCATTTCTTAATTCAAGAATACCTGCTTTAGCTTGATTCAGGATGGTTTTCAGACGCATAAATTTAGAACTAGCCTCTTCCTTTTCCTTTTTAGCGCTAGCCAACTCTTTTGTTAGCTCTTCAAGACGGATAACCATGCCTTCGCTTGTGGCTTGGCACTGATTCAGCAGAGTCGTTGTGCTCTCTACTCGCGCTGTCTCTAAAGCTAGCTGCTGTGTTAAACTTTCTACCCGCCTGGAGAGTGTGTGACACTCTTCGATAGGTACATAGTGCTTATCAAGAGTGTCACGGAAGCCTTCTATCTCTGTGCGATATTTATCTGCTTGGGATCTCACCAGTGATACGTCCTCGGCTAATAGTCCCATTGTATTCAGTGTCTTCATGACAGACGCCTCGTAAGAGTGTCTGTACGCTTGATCCAGATCACTCACGAGTTGAAGGAGTCGATTTCTGGGAGCATCTGTAGCCAGGTCCTGAAAGCTGATTATTCCCTGCTTAATATCGTGTAAAGCACCATAGAGAGAAGAGGCTGCATTAGCCTCTAAAGCCTCATCAATATCCTGCTTCTTTTCTGCGAGGAACACTGCAGGCTCCTGCATCTTCTCCAACTCACTTTCTATCTGCTTTAAGATATCATCTACGGAGGCGAGTGAAAGGATGCTTAAAGTGTTGATTGGCCGATATAGCACTGAGCCATCAGTCTGGACATAGCACGCTTTCTCCGGATAAAAGCAAGAGGCAACTTCCTCTAAATCTAAATCCAAGCAAGTATACGAATCAGTCGTCTCGAAATTATAGGTGTCTAACTTGTCTATGTCTTCAAATACAACCTCCATGTCATTAATGGTTGCTACTCTTGCTGTTATTGGTGTCGCGCCCTTATCTGCCATTGCGTTTGAAGACATCGAAGACCTAGCCTCTGGCCACAAAGCTACGTCTTGAGGACACCTAAAGATGCTTTGAGATAAATTAGATAATGAATGAGCAGGCATAGGACTGGTGTTTGCTACGCGTGTGCTGACTGGAACTGCTGGTGTTCTTTCTGTAAAGGTTGCACTGAGAGATAGGGGCGACAAGGCAATACTTTGTAGGCAGTGCTCGCTGCCAGATGATGAGAATGCTAGTTTCTTTAGCTCTGGCTCAGTTAGCTCTGTGCCAGATAACCTATGTGCCCCACTCTCTGCAGTTAAATATTCTAACGACCCTGCATTTGCCTCAAGACTTCTGCATCGCTCTTCTAGCTCTCTGACTCTGATTGCAAGCTGCTGCCGTTCTGTTTCTAGACGAATCATTGCATTGTTTTCTGCTAAGACTTCATTGGAGTGGACCCTCATCTCTATGGAGGATGCGTTGCTGGCGTACCTGAGTGTGCTTAGTGTTTCCTCTATGTGTTCGCTTGCCAAGCTTATGCATGCTATCATTGTTGTGTAGCAGTTTCCCTGGAGGCTAGTTTGTAAGATTTTAGTTAGATTGGAATCACGGTAGGGAACGTGAGCGGCATTCGATGTGATAGCAGAAAAAACACGCCCCAGAGTCAGTAAGCTCTTATTAATATTATTTGCTTCTTTGAAGCGCTCTCCAATTGCATTTGTTTTTACCTGGCGCTCCGATCCAGCAAGATCTACTATGGTAAGTGTTGCAGTTCTATAGGAGATGTCGTAGTCGCTTAGCTTTTCAATGCTGTCAGGTGGAGGAAGCTTGTTTGCCTTGACTAGCTCATCAAGGAGAGCTGTATCAACCGACTCTATGGTAAGCCGTGCAATAGCATGCGATCTTGATGAAACTGTGTTCAGATCTGTGGCAGCAACTTCACGAAGCCGGTTCCCGAACCGTAGGTAGGACAACACGTCCTCCAGGGAACCAACTCGCTTTTCCACGCATGAAACTTGCATAGAATGCTTTGTATACCTGATCTCCAACCTATGCTTCTCACCCGCAAGGAGATCCTTGAGTTCTTCATTATATAACTCCCAGTACGTAAAGTAAACAACAAAAAATCGATTGGTAACGGATTGTAAGTTGTTGAAGAGATCTTTCACACACAGTGGCAAAATCCCGGGGCAGGTGTGTTCTAGAGATGAAGTTGACGAAGAATTAGCCTCCAAACAGTCGCCGAAGATAGTGAATGTCTTTCCTGAGCAGCTCTGACCGTATGCAAAGCACGTACAGTTATACCCTTCTACAATGTGAGCCGCAAAATTGGCCATTGTCTGTGCATAGAGCTCACGCGTTGTCACACTGGGATCGTAGACACCATCAAAGCTAAAGCGCTGAAGCGACGCGCCCTGGTGTTTGGAAGTTTCTAAAGGTGATATCGTATTGTCGGAAACAATCCAGGCAGGCTTTTGCTCTGAGGATACCAGTGGGCGGACCCTGACTAGTACTGATATCTTGTTGGTAATCTCCATTGGCAATGGGAGGAAGGGTGTTGAAGCCTTCTGTCTGGCTTTTTAATTTCAATTCATCCAGATCCCTTGGAAAGTAGATTTGTAGAGTAAAGTCCCAGGTAAAGCCTTCGTTCAGCAGGCGAAAGACATCTGAAGTTGAAGCGTGGGATTGAAAAAGGTAAATCAGGATTTTCATAAACAGTTGAAAAATTAATATGAGGTTCTGATGGCCGGGTATCAATTATGTTGATGTCTTTATACAAGCAATTGGCTATTAGAAAATCCAGATGCTTGCAAATGGCTACATACTTTGTGATGAAATTGCACCACATGATGGCATAATTGTTGAAAATAAAGGGATACCCATTTCCTCTGAAAAGATTTAATTTTCTAATGAAGGTTGCAAAATCCCCGTTTGAATACTGAGGAACTTCCAGTGCTTGTATCTTCATAACCCTTGTTATCATTCGCATTCCTCGGATTTTATATTTTGACAGATCCGCACGTGCTCTAATCAACTGTTGGAAGGCTTCTATCGGCTTCTCTGTCATATATATGTCGTTTAACAGTTCTACAAACAGATCCAACATCATATTGGCTCCCTCTAACTCTTTCTGTGCTAGACCATATATTTGATCGGATTGTGATAGTGTAGAATTGGGTTGAATGTCTGATAAATCAAAAGTATATACGGAGCTAAAGATGTCATAGATTGTAATAGAGGCCAGTGGTTCCATTTTCCTTGCTTCAGCTAATAACAGATTGCGCTGTGTATGTGCTTGTAAGACTAGGTGGGGCGCCGGATGCTCTACCTGCTTGTCTGGTTTTTCTAGAGATGTTCTACCTAGAAGACGAAGCCTGTTATAGCTTTCTATATATCTATCACTCCTATCTATCTCTTCCTGAGGTACTACTGAATTAGCGACATATAAGCTAGAAGTAATGGGAAGTGACTCCACAGGTTCAGTTGTAAGACGGTCACCATCGTCAGTGTTCACAAGAATCTCACTTGGGGCAGAGGACGGTGGGACTTCGGCGTGCTTTGGCACAGTCTCATTTGTCAGTATTGGGTCGGAACTTGATCGATGTACAGGCAAGACACCAGCAGGAGGGCCTGGTAAATTGATCAAGTGCACTCTCCGGCTGCTCGTTGATGGTGGGGGTACTCTTGGTGGAGGTGGGGGTAGCAATCCTATAGTTGTCACACCTGCAGTACTTTGTGGACCGCTAAGGCTATTAGGTGCATGCATCACATTCCTTAATGGGCTAATTTTCCTTTCTGATGACAATCTATGGAGAATATTTCCTTTGACAGAAAGACTGGATTGGGATTCAGAATCGGACTCATTTAGATCCTCAGATTGCAACAAACTATAATCCGGTAAAAACTGATATGCAGGGGTATCTGTAATAGTTGAGGAGTCAGAGCTGAGATCTAATATCTGGAGACTAGAACGCTGGGAAGCATCTATCTTCTGTAATCCTTTATCAAAGTGCTGTGCTTCGACTACGCTTTGCACTCCTGTTGTGGCAACAGCCGAATGTTCCTTCATGCACAAATTCACACCTATGAGCGTGGCGGAGCTTTCGGCTGTAGATTCAGTTGCCATCCTAAGGCTTTCAGAACTGCTAGAACTGGTCAGCACGTTCCCAGGCCTCTCATCTACAGCATGACTAGAAGACGCCAATATTCGAGAATGCCTAGGAAGCTTTTCTAGTAATTTCAGTGACTCCCGCAATGGTGAGTTGTTCGCATGCTCTGTTTGCGTCAGTGGACTAGACCTTACTTGCATAGATAGTGTATGCTGTTTGGATTCATTACAACCATACATTTGACGAAACTGCCTGTATCGCTCTAAAACATTGTTCTTCTCTAATGTAGATTCATTGTATTGGTACTTTGTACCTTCACGTGAGTCCTTTTGATGATATAACAGCCTTCTCAATTGAGATGTGTTGTGGACTTGTGCATTATTAAGTCGTTGTATTGAAGATTGGAAAGCGGCATCTTGTGCATACTCTGGGATGGGGCTGGACGCTATTGAAGCTGTACACAACTGCGCAGGAAAGACTGGCTGCAATGTTTTCTTATTGTCTGGGTTGAGCCGTTTGTGTATGCCACTCAAATTAAGTGCTTTGAAATCTATTTCTGCTTCCCCTACTCCATGGTCCGGTGGCAAGTTACGCTTAGGTGAGCCGCGAAAAGGTTGTTGTGATACTTTACTATCAGCAGTACATGGCTTAGTACTAGTGTCCACCATTTGGTCGGCCCGAGGAAGCTCTACCTTAACCAAATTATTTAGTTGCTCACGTAAAGGATTCAGTAGTAGTGGGGGATCAGAAGTAAGCTCGCTTGGGGATGTCTTGCTATCACACTTTCTGGATATCTCACGTTGGGAAAACAAGAGAGATCCAATGGATGCTAATACAGACGGATTTTCGGCCTCCTTTGTATCATTACATACGTTCTCAAAGAAATATGGGTTGGTATCAGCGATGTAACTGGTCTCAACATTAACTGGCGATGGCATATTGGGCATAGACAGCTTATCTTGCCTGTACCTGTATGCCTTATAAGGGCTCTGGCTCCTAGGTGGAATATTAGTTCGTGGCTTCCGCGGCAGATCAACTGAGGGATCAGGGCTAAGCACGTGGAGATCTCGCTGAATTTGCATTGTGGTTTCACTAAAATCTTCAATAGCATATGGTTGCGCTATTGAAGATTCATAGGACTTTGAAATAGGAGGATTGATTTGCTGCATATAATCAAGTTCCTTCTCAATATTAACAACAACTGTCAAGGTATCCAGCTCTGTATCGCTACTAGAACTGAAGAGGTCGTGCTTTTGTGAGGATGGTATGTTCTCCTTCTTCCAAAGGTTCTCCAGGGAGCTCAGCATCTGCTGTACTTGGCGATCCTTATGCAGCCTATGCCCTCCAGCGTTAGCTATATTGCGTACTGCTTTTAGTCTTGCCTTCTTTGGCTTGCTTACTTCCGGCTCGCTCATAGCATTTGATCGATAATCCTCCAATCGATAGAGCTCCATAACTTCATTAGTTGAGAACAACTCTTTCGAGGATCTTTCCTTTGATGATGGTCGTTGGCTTAGTGGAGGTAATGCTCGTCTCTTTCTGCTTTTGCAGAAACAGTCCGACATATCAACCAACTCTCCTACTGTACCAGCCTCCTGTTGTAACTTATCACTCGGCACAGTAATGCTAGAGATGCCCAGCATGTCGTCTGGATTGAATTCGTAATCGGAGCACTCTTCAGAACCATGCATCTTACGAGATTTTTTAGGTACTAGAACAACCTTACGTCCACCTCGCCGCATCCTCCGTGCAATCATTCGAACTGTGGTCGAGTGGGAGTCATCACCATCGCTTCTTGTATCCTTATCTTTAGATGCTTCCATAAGCAGCCCCGTATGACTAACTTGGCTATTGTTTAGAGAAATCGACCTATGAGAAATATCCGGAGATTCCTTGGGTAGAGTTGATTGCTGGAGGATACCTGGAGTTACCAGTGTTGGCAAACCCGAGTTATAGTATTTCATGTTAGACGCAGCATCTACCTTGCGCTCATCAGTTGGAAATCTGGTAAAGACTGATCCTTTTAGTCCTTTTGGAGCTAATCCTTGAGAATAGATCACGTTCATAGATCCTTCAGCATGCTGTTGTAGCGAGCTATCGGTATTTTTAAGTGTTGTTGAGCTTTGACTGCGTCCAGAGGTGGCACAGGATGCTATAGAAGAAACAGAAGCAGAATAGATATCTTGAACTGAAAAGCGAGGAGTGCTCATTTCTGTGTCCCGTAACTGCATGGGACGCCTAAGTGCCCTGGTGGGAGACGGACTAGCAGAAAGAGCCTTTTCAAAAAGCAGTTGCTTTTGACGAAGCTTCATTTCAACAGCAATAGTAAGCTCTGATAAAGCTCGATGTGTAGAAGATACCTTTCCTAGGTTCAAAGATGTCTTCTTTAAAAGAGTCTTTTTATCTTTGACAACCTTCTTAAGTCGTTGCACAGAGGATTGTATCCTTGAAAGGTATAGTTGTGTATATTGATACAAGGGCAAGAGGGAATCCATGATAGCTTTTATTGCCTCTATATGGTCCACATATAGCAGCTCAGAATGGGACTTAGAAAAGCTGAATACGAACTTTCGCATATCGTGCCCATATCGCTTAATATATTCATATTCTACTTCCTGGTTGGTTATCTTTATAGCCTCACTCCCATGGCGACTCTGACGGGACGCCCTTGCTAAGGCGTAGAGGTCCTTCTTGATGGCAGATTTTAGTTGCGCTATCTTGTGTTGAACTCTTAGCTGAGCACTATGTTGTGCTATGATATCTGCTATATCATTGTAGAAGAACTCGGACTGGTCTAAAATATGTTGCAATTCATCAATGGCAAGAAGAAGATCCGGTTGGATCATGTAGATGGAATTGTATGTCAATTCTGCATAGCCTAATGTAACCTCCTCCTCACTTTCAACCTCGGTAGTATGCGTATGAGAAAGAGCAGATCCAATGAGTCTCGGAGATGATATGCCTTCACTAATCACATTCTGTGTTCCAGAGCCGAGTATAACAACCATGCCCTTTTGCTTTTCTAGAGCCATATACACCTCTGGTGGAAAAGAAATTACGGTAGAATTTGGCCGGCGAAACCCTAAGTATGATCTTGCATCAATCAGATCTTGATGGAGGTGCTTTGGAAGCTGCTTGATAAGATATTGACGATATGGATCAATGGTCAAGGCAGTTGCTAATGACTCTGTAATGACTTCACATAGGGATTTGTTGATAGATGATTCTAATAATGATCCTTGTGATTCCTCCATCAAATGTCTCGGTGTATTCTTACGTGTATTAGTGCGAGGCGATGGCAACATGCGGGTGATTTTACCATCAGAAGCTCCACTCTCATAGTCGGCCTTTCCGCGAAGAAGAGATGTGAAGCTAGAGCAGCTTTTATTATCTATCGGATTGGTTTCCTCAAAGCTCCCAGTAACACTCTCCTGGTTCTGATGTCCATATGTAGAGACTGACTCTATAAAATCTGTGCAGACATTAGCGATGGTATCCAATTCATAACTGGGGTTGCGCTGTAATTCCACAGGTTTGCGCTTCCGGGTATCCATCTTCTCCTTCGCAAGCAGGCCAGCTGCCAAGTCTCTCATGGCGCTGTACATATCAGTATAGCTGGTATCTGTAGTTGATATAGAGGACGGCTTGGACTGCCTTCCAGAACTAAATACAGTAACATCTGTTAACATAGGATTAAAGCGCTTTTGGGAGAGTCTGGCGGTACACCCTAAGATGTCTTGCTTCAGTACTTCCAAAAGAGAGCACAGCCGAAGGTCGGCAGTGACTGCCAAGAAACGATCGTGGATTGCATGATCCTGCTGTACATGTAGTTCATCAAGATTGTTCTGGTATTGTGCCCGAAGAAGGTCGATCAAACTGGTAAAAAAGGTTGTGAGGTTATGCTCCTGCCCTTTGTCCTGTAGATTGATGTCCTTTATATCAGAAATCAGGCTATCTGAACATACTCGTCTTTGCTCCAGTAAGGACCGTAGCACTTTGCGCAGTGCATTAGTATCGTTATTTGTTAGGGCTTTGGTCAATTCCTCGGTCATATCTTCCGGTATGTGAGGAAGGTCTGCAGCGTGCTTTATAGATCTATACTTCTCATTTTTCTGCTTGATTATGCCATGAACTTTATTAAGCATGAGGTCCCCTTGCTGCTGAAGCAAATGTATTTGGTTATCTGTGTACGATAATGTTCCCAACTGCTGCTCACGGTACTCCTTAATGATGTCTGATTCGCCCTCCATAACCTTCGGCTTCTCGTCTATATAATTTTGTAATGTGTCCATATCCCTTGAGGCTATGATATCGAAATCTGCAAGTATCTTACGCAACCTGTTTGCCTCACTGGACTCTATCTTGACCACTTTTTGAACTGACTGACTCTCTTCAAATCTGCAACAATCTTCCAATTGTCTATCATTCATGCGCGAAAATATCTTGAATGCAACAAAGTTATTACACTCAGCTTGGTGTGACCTAGCAAAAATAGTTGCACAACGTTTGCAGCAGCCTAGAAAGATACTACAATTGGGGCAATAGACTGCGGTTGACTCTATCTCGAAGGATGTTGTTGTTGAAATAGTGTGCATATAACTTGACACGATCTCCCTGACAGCTGGCAGATACCGGGAATGCTCACGCGAAAACTTGCAGTAAGTGATGAAAGATGACATCTGCGCACCTAGTTTATCTATCATTCTATCCTTTCGCTCCACCCCATCTCTGTATGATGGAGGCTCCGTTTTCGCAGAGGGTGTGGGCCAATCTTTAATAATTGTTGGATCTGGGGTGCAACTTGAGGGTTGAGAAGGTTTAGTACTTAGTGAGCGATTTCTCTCTTTTGTCATGGGTCTGAATTGAGGTTGCTTAACGTCTGCTGACATGGACCTACTCACAGGCTCGGAACTAAATCGGTTTGAAAGGATAGCTGATGAATGCAATATAGAGGGAGGTCTGTGCTTTATTCTCTCTCCAGAAGATTTTGGAAGTGAATAAGCAACTGCAGACCGAGTTCGAGACGCAAAAATGGCTTCTGTTCCAATAGAGTGCTGGTAGTAATGAGGCTGGACTTCGTCATGCAAAAGGCCCTTGGCAGAGAGTGTCTTTCGATATTCTGCCAAGATATTCTGCAGGGACTCGGAGCCTTCTTCGGGGGCTTCATACTGTCTAAGCTGCATCGCAATATTATCAACAGACGACGGAGAGACGTTAGAGATTTGCCTTCCGAAACTACTCTTGTCTCTGCAGCAAACATGGCAAAAATCGGGAAGATAAAGAAAACGTATGATTGCCTTGACCAACTCAATACGTTGGCAGATATCTAAATCCTCCCAACTGTTCACACGGAGGTGCAAGCCCAACAGTGTTGCGTTATATTTATTCATATCCTCTGCAGATACTATAGCATATTGTAGCTCTGAGTCATCTTCATAGGTAGTAGATAGAGGTGTGGATCTATTACTAGAGGTAGATGATCTTTCGATAGCCAACGTAGCCAATAGAGAATGGTGCTCTCGCCTAGGCCGTGGAATGCTAGCTGGAAGAGGACATGGGTTGACAGGTATAGATGATGAAGGCCCTGATATAGCTGGCTGGGCCGGTCTGCTTGAAAGTCTGACCGAGGCTGCACGGTTCTGGACTGAGGACTGGGGATCGAAAGGAATCTCAAAGGCATGAACGGCACTGGCAAGTCCAGCTACCGATGTCACATGGCTGTTACTAAGTTGTTCATGACTAGAATTAAGACTACAACTGGTGGATTGACGTTTCAGTTGCTTTAAAGGCTGGCTGAAAGAACGTTGGAATGGTCCCGCTTGTGATAAATTCTCTACAAAGGGGGTCAATATATCGCTTACTGTATGCGTCAGTTGAACAAGTCCTTTGGTACCTAGGTCTAGATCATGATCTGCTTGCATAGAAGTGTTTGAAAGTGCTTGGACGTCTGAACAGATACTCTGCAGATTGAAGTAGGTCTGTGCAAAGGAGGGGCTTGTGGTTAGGTTGTCAAAATGAGGCGCTAATTCAGCTTCAGCGTTCTGGCCTCGAAATAACCGTTTTCGGAATTGGCATACCAAGGTCTCGGGTGGAGCAGAGGTTATGGGCCCAGTCTCGGCTCCAACGTGGAGAGCAAAGCATACCGACTTTGTGGACTGCTTACTTCTTTCTCGATCCTCTACCTCCTTTAAATATTGGTAGGCAGGATCCATGGAATAGAGGTAGCGTCGCTGTATAGGGGATACAGAGAGATGCTCTTCCTCAATGCAGGTCCGGACATCGTCTGACGTTTCCAGTATTCGGGGAATACATAGGTCAGCATTAGCATACCTCATACAGCTATCTTCGCATGTGTCTAGATCATTGTAAGCTTCCTCTCGTGCCGCCTGCATACACTGCGCTACAAGTGCTTCATTCCTCTTGATAGCTCTTTTCTGCATAGCTGTTAGCCTCAGACGTATCGACTTATAGGCATAAGTAACTGCTTTCAGGGCAGATATAGCCTGATGCTCCTTATAGGATCTAATAAGCTGCACCCCATCGTAGACAATTAAGTCTTCAATGTCTAGTTGGTGGGCTTGCCCTAGAACCATCCGTGGGGGTATCAAGAGGTATATTGTCTTGAAACAGATCGCTGTCTTTTCAAAAAGCCCATAGTACTCGTCTCCGCTAGTACTGCGAGCATTGAGATCCTTTGGATTTATCTCAGAAAAGAGCATGACGAGGATTGTCGGCATAGACATGTCGTTGAAATCACTGATTTTCTCCAGAGTATATTGAATACTTGCCACAGCCTTTCCGATGTGCTCCTCATTATGAGTACTATCAGGTGGTTTCACAACTAGGTAACGTGGCAAGGGATCAAAGGTAAGAAACGGAGACACCGCGTCGACAAAGTGGTACAGCAAAGCAGTTTCTTGGCGCGTGTACAGCAGATCCATATATATCGCGCTTCTTGTGACAGAAATCTGGAGATACTTTCCCCAACGGACATCATTTATGGACAGCATCCAGTTTTTTGAAGGTACTCAAGTCTCTGTTATCACATGCACAGAATGATCTTAGCCATCTCAATAGCGTAAGGCACCATTGTCTCATCGCAAATGGCAAGGAGGCCACAGGGGATTCACTCGAGTTTCGTCAATTGGATTCAAAAAAATAAAGCTCAATTCAAAGATTTTGACTAAACTAGCAATGTGCAGAAATTTACCCATAATAATCATCTATCCTTGTAGGATCCTTGTAGGGACTATAGACAATGATAGCATATTACAATGCAACTCTCATAGGGTTCCTGCTCCTGAGCCTACTTCATGCTTCGCTTACTAACTTTTGGGCCGCAAAGCTGTCTGAAGTTACAGTAAGAAACCCTCTATCAGTTTTTAAAATAAAGATTGAATCCGAATTAAAAAAATTGTATATGAATCATCCGGGCGTAAAGCTCGCCATTGCAAGGTACTCACGCACAGCGATTAACAAGAATGCTAGCGAAACGCAGAAGCCTCTTCTCATCACCAGCATTCACATAGATTCTGGAGGCTTGACATCTTTGCCTCGGCTTTCGTTTTTCCCGGCTGCTACAAAGCTCCAGGCAAGCCATAATAAGATTACAGAGATTTTGGACAACTGGAACGACAAAATTGAAGACGTGGACCTGTCTGATAACCAGCTAACAAGCTTTCCAGAGATAGGAGGGGTCATGCTAATGTCCTTGAATCTGAGCGAAAATGCCCTTCGAAACATAACAATTCCAAGGCAACTTCCGCACCTTATGGAACTGAACCTTTCAATTCAGTGCGAGAAGCAGGCCGCGCCTACTGACTCTGGGGGCTTCTGCAGCGTGTTTTCGGACAGCTTCTCCCAGTCTCTCTTCGACAACTGCCCGCAGCTTCAGTCAATAAATATATCTATGACAGGAATTACTAGCCTCTCGTGTCTAGAGAGGTGCGACAGTCTGAGGCAGATAATCTGTCTGAAAAACCCCATAGAGAACTTGCAGGATGTATTGCCGTTTCTCCATGACCGGCTCATATACCTCGACTTGTCTGACTGCCCAGTTGCCAAAGATAGACGACTATTCGAGGCTGTCTGCGCCAAGTGTCCCGATCTTTCATTCTTTAACAGCAAAAGATATACCGAGCAGCAAGTAAGGTTCACAGGGAGCAAGTACCTTCGTGAGCAGAAACGGAGAGACATTTCTAGCAAGGATCAAGCCAGGAAGAGTTAAATTGACTGATTAGTTGCGCCGCAGAAGTGCAGCAGCTCTGTTTATGGGCATAATACTTATCGTCATTGCCGTAATTAGGCCTTGAAACGTCAACACATCAAAAGTTCAACATCAAAAGGTTTAGTAAGTTAGTAAATGTAAATTAGGCTTATGGATCCCTTGGCTACACAGCAGCGTATAGTCTCTGAACCCACACGAGGGTCGGAAAGGCCAGGTAATGACATAAAGTCTCTCGTAATCTCATTTTTCACTACGTTCACCAGAGCAGATGATGTCCAGCCATACATTCGCTCCATCAAGAATATCTTGGAAACTCATGACTCCCTTGTCATCGATATCGGAGATATCCGAGGCCATTCTCCTCAACTGTATGATAGACTCGTTGTACAACCCGCGCACGTGCTTCAAGTGATTACCCAGGTTGTTGAATCCATGCTAGCTGAAGAGTCCTCCGGCTCTACACCTTACCTCAAGCCAAATATAATACTGCAGTATACTTCACTGGACGGGTCCCTACGTCCCTCTGAACTACGGGCAAAGCATATCAACCGTTTAGTTTCTGTTCGAGCGATTGTCTCTGGAACCTCCCGGCTCCGCTCTAAAACACAGCTGCTTGTTGCCAAGTGCCGCGGTTGTGGCCACAAGTATCGCCAAGCTCTTGTTAGTGGACTGGATGCAATCGTTCTTCCCACTACCTGCCTGAGTGAAAAAGCACAAGGTGACTCTTCCAAATGTGGAAAGTCACCATACGTTATTAACCCGCATAGTTGCGTGTATATCGATCAACAAAGCATCAAACTCCAAGATATACCCGGAGACATGCCATTCTATAGGCCGACAGGAGGTGACGATATCGAGGGACTTGGGGGTCTCGAGGGAGGTGCACAAGCAGGTACAGCTGAGGATGGGGGCTCTACTGTCTTACCAGCTGTTTTAGAGGGTCATGTGGTAAAGCCGGATCTTCTGGCCGGATGCAAGCTTATTGTGACGGGTACCTTGGTTGCTAAGCCAGGAACAAAGATAGTGTACTTGCTAGGACATGGCATACACGTCGTAGACTCAGCAGATGAGTTCGATCATATTCAGACAGTGCAGAACTTCTACTCTGCGGAAGATATACCAAAGTTTCACGCATTTAAAAACCAACCAAATGTGATTTCAGTCATAGAGTCACTGATTGCTCCTCAAATTGAAGGTATGGAGGATGCCAAACGAGCTATTGCATGTCTTCTTTTTGGGGGAACTAATAAGTATACGCAAGAGCTAATACGACTTAGAGGCAACATAAACGTTCTCCTAATATCGGACCCAGGGTTGGGGAAGAGTGAGCTGCTTTTGGAGGCGTCTCGCCTGGCTCCAATTGGCATCTATACAAGTGGCAAATCAACCTCTGCAGTAGGGTTAACCGCCGGCGTTATGCGCGATAAGGCCACAAGCGAGTTTTTTCTAGAAGGGGGTGCGCTTGTCCTTGCAGATAAAGGGATTGTTTGCATAGACGAGTTAGACAAAATGAACGAGACAGATAGAGTGGCACTCCATGAAGCGATGGAACAAGGATCCATTTCAATTAGCAAGGCAGGAATCTCCACCACGCTTAATGCACGGACATCCATACTTGCTGCAGCTAATCCGACCCTCGGTCGTTTTGATGACTTTCAGAAAGCAGCTGACCAGATAGACTTCTCCGTGACCATCTTAACCAGGTTTGATCTTGTGTTCATGCTGAAGGACAAACAGAGCCCAGAAAGAGACGCAATGATTGTCAACAAAATAGCTAGGATTGCAGCGGGAGAAAGACCCGCCTCTGTGGCTTCACACCAGGAGCAGAACCCAATGTTTACCCAGTCATTCCTTAAAAAGTATATAGCCTATGCGCAAGCAACCTGTACGCCCAAGTTAGATCAGAGCTCTCTAGAAATCTTGAAGGCTGCCTACATAAGGTATAGAGCAGATGCTCTTAAGAACAGCTCTGCTATTCCCATCACTGTGAGACAGCTAGAGGCACTTATACGCCTCTCTGAGTCGTTTGCAAAAATGCGTCTTTCCCCAGTTGTGACAGTGGAGGATGTAGAATACGCAATCGACATCTTCCAGAAGAGTACCGCAGACGCACTTCAGGCAGGGATATCTGACCCCTCGTTAACTAACTCTACCATAATTGCACAGGTGGAGCAAACACTCTTAAGAATGATACCCCATGGTGCCATACTTTCCAAAAGCGCTGTTCTACGGGACTCGGCACGCTTGGGTCTATCGGAGGCTGTAGTTGTCTACGTCATCACCAAATTAATCAACTCCAACGTCCTGGAGGTAATTCGAGGCACCATGTTGAAGAGAAAATAAAAGCGAGTGAACAAATTTAAAAAAATGAGTTCCAACGGTGGCAGCGAGGCTGCGGTGGATCAGACTACGGCCCCCATAGATCCGCATGTGGTCGCAGAGGAGTCCCTGAAGCTGGCATGTGATAGACTAGAGAAAGCTGTTTCAACCAAGCGAGAGCAGGCGGTTGCTGCTGCTGTAGACAACCTGTACAACCTGTTCAACGATTCCAATTCGCCAACGACTGGGGTTCCAATTGTCCTCCGATACATAGAACCATACATCAATTCACTGATTGACTACTATGAAGCATCCAGAAATAAGAAACTGGGATCAATTGCTCTGAAGCTCCTGCTGATTTATCGAGTGGACTCTCCCGATTTCCTTCAGCTCTTTGGGTGCATTTATTATGAAACCCACGCCACTGCATTGGAACTTTGGTCAGTGGAATTCTTATGCGGTGCTGCCAACTATTTTGCACAATTTTATGGTAACTACATTTATCTTAGGAAGGAGAAAGGCGAGGCATTGATCTCTGATTTATGTAACTGCATCAACAATTTCCATATTAACTGTCAGACAGCTTATGAAATCTTGCTCTCGGATGTAGAGCGGCTTACACAGAAGAACATGGAGTCTGAAGCAATAGATTGTCTTATTGAGGCCAGGCTTTGTACCAATGTTAAGGCTCTTACGACGATTATTAACAAGGGCAACATACATGGCCTGGCGGAATACCTCTATCAATGTGCTGTTTACGGAGATCCTGCGCAACGTAACCAAATCATCCTGGCGCTGGTGCAAGTTTATCTATCTCTTGATATGGTCTGTGATGCTTTTGTGCTCCTGCTCTCTCTCTGCTTCTTCTCCTATGCCAAAAGCATCCTATATAAAACAACCCTAATTAACCGATTGCTTCAAATGGCCTACCTTATTGCTTGTAACGGCTGCTGCTGTCATTTTTCCCGCAACGATTTTCGAAAAGCTTTGGCATCCAGTTCTTCTTTTGCAGAGGATACAGATAGCTTGGAAAAGCAAACAGATGAGCTCTGGCTGGTTGCTTGCAATGCATACACACATACACACCTCCTCTCACTTGTCAGTGAACTGGAACTAAATGTGCCACGTAGTGTTGCAGAGATCCTTAAGGCTGACCAGCTCTCATTCAAGGCAAAGCATCTCGATAGGCTATATGGCCCCTTAGGAGACTATCTAATGAACGGGTTTGCTAATGCGGCAATGGGGACCGACAAGCTATTAGCCTCTCACAAAATTTACCGTTACAAACAACGTGATGTTAAAGGAAAACCCATAACAACTAACGAAGACATTGTCGTGCCCGCTCCCACCGAGCTCGACCTTCCTTTACACTCTGACAGGGAAGACGCAAACGCGGAAGGTACTGGCTCCAACGGTTTAACGTCGGAAGGCAGCACACTCTTGGAACACTCAGTATCCCCCATCACTTCCATTATCCAGACCGTTGGAGCAGCCTCAGTGGGGCTTATATACTTGTATCACGGGAATGGTCACGGACAGGCATTTAACGTTATAAGTAGATACTTCTCGTCTCCTCATCACTGGGTACGTGCTGGTGCTGTCTTGGCTTTGGGGCTCTCTGCTGCCAACACACAAGACCCCACGGGACTGGATCCTGCTCTCCGCATGATGGGTGGCGTGTTTAATCTATTTCATGTCAATCCTGCTGAATCATTCAGCTTCCATGAATATTTTCCTTACAGCTGTAATATTATCAGAAAGCAGCTTTCGGAACTTCAATCGGGCTCACGCCCAAGCCAATCATCAAGAGGTATAAACAGCAACCCTCAGACTATTTCAGAAGAAGGCCGTGAGGAGGAGTCTGTTTTTGCCAATGTCCAATATATGGTATCCCAAAGGGTCTCAGCCTCCCACTCTAGAGAGAGCGACACTCGAACAAGGCAGCAGTACATGGAAGACTTAAAGCGTATCATAAACAATCCACACATAGAGAAAGCGTATAGCATTATTCCTCATACCAATTTCCCGTCACCTGCTATTAGTATCGATATAAAGGACGAGCATGAGTACCTGTACATGTCTCAGGCCAGTGCTGCACTTGGAATAGGTGTAGCATACGCGGGAACTAGCAATAAGCTGGCAATAGAGATACTATATCAACGCCTCTCTTTGTCCTCGACCAACGTATGTAAGCATGTGCCTATACTTGAGAAGAATCCTCGATCCACAGGCTGCCTGGCTCTTGGGCTTGTACTAGCAAGTACAGCAAATATGGATGCTGCAAACTTTATACTGCGGGTTATGGCAGGAAACACTAGGAATCAGCGATCCTTACGGTTTTTCCCGCTGAAGCCAGTTGGGTTGGGATGCATCTTTATGCGTGCAGGGCGCACAGAGGAAGGTCAGCGAAGAATGAAAGACTTCTGTGATAACATGTATGACAAGCTACTCCAAATAGATACACCAGACAGTAAGCAAGAGCACGGCCCAATGCCCAGTCCAGAGGAGCACCTGTATCTGGCAGCATACGTTCAGTCCGTAATCACCGTCTGTGGATATGCCTTTACAGGAAATATATCTATCATTTCAGAAATAATGCAGAGCATTTATGAGACAATCTCCGGAAGAGTTGCAGCGGAGGAGACCATTAACTTGAACAAGCTTGGTTCAGCAACTAAGCCGGGGTCCCGCTCTAGCTCTAGACCTGTGGATTCTCCAGACGACACTTCCTCAAACACGTCTAGATCACAGGGCAGAACTATTGCTCGTCTGCCTCGTTCAAGATCTGAAAGGAGTCAGAGTCGTTACAACGCAGACGATCAAACACGAGCAAACAATATGGCGGCTTACACTGCAGATAGTGGTATGCCTCTGCAACTACCTCGTGATAACACTACTCTCTGGCCGGGCGAGAATTTGGATCCAGTTGGCATATTAGTCGCGGGCCTTGGGCTTGTTGCAGGTAATGACCCCGTTTGCTCAATGATGGTCACGCGCTTTATCAACAGGATTATGCAATATGGTAGTAGCTATGCCAAACGTGCATGTCCATTGGCCCTTGCCGTTATGAATCTGTCAAGACCGGCTCCAGAGCTCACAGACATGCTGTTTCGAATGGCCTCACAAAGTGACGAGAGCCTCAGTATTAACGCAATTATAGCTCTCGGGTTGATAGGTTGCGGATCGTGCAACTCAAGGATAGCACAGAGTCTGAGACAGCTGGCAGACTCAAAGTATTTATCCATGCCTCACACAGACTATGGCAGAGAGTTGACGAATATGATAATATTAGCAATCAAGCTTTCCTTAGGACTAGTGCATTGTGGACGGGGTCTCATGCATATCAGTGTGACCCATCATCATGGAAAAGCCATTAGCAACTCCAGGCTTTCGTGCATAGCAGCTTTAATTCTGCTTTTAGCATCTAATTCACGGGTGATGGTGAGACCGAAGTTTATTAACTACTTCTTTCTCATAGCAGGGGCTCTTCGTCCCAAGTACTTGGTTACAGTTGACGCTGCAAACAAGGAACAATCCAATCCTCTTAAAACGGGGTCCTACATAGACACAGTGAGCCTTCCCGAGCCATTCAGACTCACTGGCTATCAAACAAACACAACGCCAATAATCCTTAGCCACGCGGAGCGTGCAGTCCAAAGTGATGAGAATATTGTTCCTATGCTTAGCATACTTGAAGATGTTGTTGTGACCACGCGTACCATTTCAGTAGATATGACAATAGACTGAGGATTGCTTATATTACTGAGTGAACGCTATTTATCTGTAACTTTTTCTTTCTATTTAAAGAGGCAAGGATTTAGGAACGTTGGGAACCATCCTAGATACTGTAGAGATTGTAGAGAGATTTATCGCCTGTTTAATTTCTTAGTAACGCTATGCAAATATCCTTGTTGTACTTGCTAACACGCCAATAGGGGTGCTCTGCATAGTACAGGGCTGTGCGGCCAAATGCGTCCTTTAGAGTGCTTTCCTTAGGCTTCAACAGTGTAATAAGTTCGCTATTTCCATACTTTGCAGCCCACATAAGGGCAGAATGACCGTCTATGTCCTGGAAACCTGTCTCTTCGTTTATGAGTAGCTTAACGCAATCTACATGATTATGTTGGACAGCCAAAATAAGAGACGTCTCATCTATGGTATTCTGCATTTGCTTCTCAAAGGGGAGGAGTAACTTGCAAGCGTTAAGATGGCCGCGGATCGCGGCTTCCATAAGGGCTGTGTTGCCATAATCGTCTTGCATACACGCCTCGAATCTCGATAGCTTATCAATGACTTCTAGGTAGTCATTCTGCGCAGCAATCATGAGAGCAGTTACCCCATCACCTGTTTGGAGTTTGGCTTCCATGGGAACTAGGGAATCTATTACATTAGGCCAGTTGTTCTTCGCCGCATAGATCAGGGCTGTGGACCCGTCCCACCAGCGCTGTCTTCCGGCTTCTGTCTTAAGGAGCAGCTCAACGCACAGTAAGTGCCCTCTGCTAGCTGCATACATTAGCGCAGTCTTTCCTTTTCTATCTACTATTCCGGCTTCTGGCAGCAGAAGCTTCATTACTTCATAGTTGCCCTTCCATGCAGCGAGCATGAGAGCAGTCCTTCCATCTTCGGTTTGCATGCCTAGCTCTGTCAGTAGGTGTCCTGCAATCAAGATATTTCCTTTCCACGCAGCAAGCATAAGTGCAGTAACATGTTTGGCAAAATAAGAGGTCTTCAAATTTAGTGTTAAGCAAATGATGTCGCGGCATGCGCAACGAGCACAACCGATGTGCTTAATAACATCCTCTTTGGAGTCGTCTTCGACAGCTTTCAGTAATGGGGTTTTTTCCCGTGGAAGAGGTGTGTCCAGAGAAAGCTCTGAATAGCGAAGGTGGATACCATGTTCATAGCAATATGTCGACAGTGCAAATAGTTGATTACTATCACGCAACTTCATAAGGGCTTCAAACAAGGCTTGCAACTGTCTTTCGCCAGAGTTTGTGCTGCATAACGTCCTGTAAAAATTTAACTGCTGACGACAAAAGTGGAACCTTGCCATGGTTAGCTGTAAGCGAATGTCTGATTCCGTTAACAGTGCCTGTTCAATGCAGGTCTTCTTCTCAGGGCACGGTGGATCGGCATCAGTATCAGTAGAGCCATTTTCTAAATATTTATACCGCTGAGTAAGCTCTTGCAGTTTGTACTTGTGATTTAGGTGAACGAGGGCCTCGTCTATACCAGACGCTGTAAGAACAAGAATAACTCCTTGGAGAAGCTGCTTCATGCCTGCATCAACAGTGATCTGCGACAGTGTATCTATTAAGACCTTAAGACCTTCTCTTCCGGTAGTATCTTTAGTATTGTATCGGTCAGGTTCAACAAGGTATTCACCGCTGATCCCAGTCAGATCGACAACAGTGAAGCCTTCAAGAATAACGCACTGCGGCACGTAACTTGGTGTTTGTCCTTGAGTTTCTGACTTAAGCGCAAGTTGCAAAAGGCTTTCAGTAAGGCTCTTCGCATCAATCCGTGAAAGTAGATCCTTGTCTCTAAGACAGTGGTCAATAAGCTCTAGGAAGGATCTCCGGCATTTCCACTGATCCGGCTGGCCATGGTTGGCCTGCATAATTACCAACCTCTTTTAAAAAAGATCGTTTCATTGTACCCATGACAGCAAAAGATCTTACTGAGCCGTATAAAAAGGGGCTAATCTTCATGGCATGCTGTCGGGAAGACATAGGGACTCCATTGGAGAACACTCCGCGGCCTGTTAGAATCTATGATAGCCGCGAAGACCCCACAGCTCGCGGGAGCTACGAGTATTATGTTTATTTTGGAGGGTACAACGCCCGCTTGGCGGATTGGTACCCGTCATCGGCCTTACGAAGCATTACAGATGAAGAAAGGCAATTATACGCAAAAGAAATATGGTTTTTTAGCCAGGCAGACAAGGAATTTCTGCCCAGGAATATAGATAAAGTGGTGATCTCTCAGTACGTGATGTGTCCGTGGTACTTCTCGCCACTCCCCGAGGAGTTTTTTGCCTCCAGAACTGTCTACATCTGCGAGTATTGCTTCACCATGTTGACCACTGAGCGGATCTACAAGCGCCATGTGGCCCGGTGCACCTGTAGATCACCACCTGGTGACCTCATATATAGAGATGACGAAGTCTGCTTCTTTGAAATCAACGGCAGTGAGCATACTAACTATTGCCGTAATATATGCCTAGTTGCGCGGCTTTTCCTGCAGCATAAAACATTGGTGGCAGACGTAGATGTCTTCCTCTTTTATGTTATGTTTGCAAAAACCAACAACAAAAAGGCTAATAACCAACAACTATCGGCAGCCCAGAAGGCTTCCGATGAACAAGAACAAAGAGCTCACTGCGAGCCTGAAATAAAGCGGATACCCGATTGGCAACAGACGGGACCGGGTGATCAGGACGATGACTCATACCATTTTGTAGGATTTTTCTCCAAAGAGAAACAGCAAGAAAATAGTCTCAGCTGCATTGTTGCACTTCCATGCTTTCAGAAGAAAGGATATGGAAATATGATGATAAACTTTTCGTACATGCTCAGTAGCCGTGAATGTAGACTCGGAGGACCTGAGATGCCCCTGTCGGACCTTGGCCTCATGTCCTACTTAAGTTATTGGAAGCGCCGAATTTGCGAAGTGCTGGTTCGCAACACCACTTCAGAAATCAGCCTTTTCGAGATTAGTAAGCAAACAATGATCAGCTACCGCAATCTAATCATGGCAATGAATAAGTACGGGCTTCTGAAAGAAACACCGTCAAATACCGCTATTTACTTTGGAAACGAACTAGCAGATGAGTTGCGCACGTGTTTAGAGAAGGAGGAAAAACGCGGAGTACACCGTCTTGAAGACAAGTACCTCCATTGGGTCCCATATGTCAACATGTGTTACGAGTACAAATAGTCAACGTAGACTGCAAAGTTGTCCAAGTAAATCCCCCTCGCGAGTCGCTGCACTGGACTGGCTACCTCTCGCTCGCTCCCATCAAAGTCCAGAATCTGAAACTCAAATGTCAGCCAACTCCGATGGAAGAAGAACTCTTATGCTTCGTCTCCCCAGGAAGCCGCTGCTCCTCACGTTACCTCTAAGGTTTCTCCCATCCTCTGGCTAGCTTGGAGCAACCACCACCTGGCACCGGTGGGCACCTGCTGTCTCGAGCCTTGCGTCGGTCACAGCAGTCTGGCCTCGAGAGCAATTGACTCTGGCCATGTACTCCGGAGTAGCTTTGTAGTGTTGGTGCTCTACGACAAAGATCACACGCCACGGCCCCGGGTGCCTACCCCGTTCCTCGGGGTGCCTCTTCGTCTCTTCGTGGAGGGCACCATCTGTTCCATTATCAAGGGTGCGATTCCCGTACGCCTCTATCTTGGAATCATAGTACGCGTTCGTGGATGTCGATGGAGTACTCCCATGCGCTGGTATCAGGGGAGAGGCCCATCCCTCTGCTCATGGATCGCAGAGGTGCTCCGTCACCCAGCACGAGACCGCGTCGACGCTCACCCTGTGCAGTGCGTCTGGCTCAGTGATGTGTGAGCTGGTCCATCTGCACAGCACACTTGGGGTGATGCTTCGGTCTGTCGAGGCGTCGTCCAAAGCACCAGGAGCAATCAGGACCGGTTCGCTGTCAGGTCGTCTCTCTACAATCGGCACTCGTCTACTCGAGGGTGTCAGGCACTGCCAGCTGCTGCGGCAGATGCTCGGCAGGTGGCCCAGGCCGCCACTCTCCGGTGCGGGCAGGATCAGTCCGCTTCTACCAACCAGACACCCCAACTCCTATTTCTTGCCGAGGGATTCATATGGGTCACGTGTGGGTCCGTCTCGACAAGCGGGGCGAGTGATTGGTGCCATTGCCAGCCTCGGACGCTCATCTGCATTCGCTATCACCTCGAGGGAGGGGGCATAAATCTTCCCCGTCAGAACTGGACGACATCCGACTTTCGGATTCTGGGTCTCAGCTAGTGAACGAGCGAGAGACTGCCAGCCTGGGGCGGCGGTGGCTCGCATGGAGGACCTGTTCAGGCAACAGCTGACAAACTAGTCTCAGTGCAATAAGGTAACTGGCTAGTTTGAGAGGAGCACCTGGAGGCATCAGGCGTTGCCGGCTGGGGCTTTGGAAGTAGGAGTCCATCGGGGGCATGGGGCTCGTCGCCCCTAGGAGAACCAGCGGCTGCCAGGGACGGCGTCTCGATCGGACCGTCCGATTCCGCACCTACCAGCACATCTTCAGGAGGCCTCTTCTCGAGTGCATTGTATGCGCCGAGCAGTTTAGAGCCGCCCTCATGGACAGCAATCTTCTGTTCCTGGTCTTGTAAGATTGCTTGTTAGAATTGAGAGAAGAGGGTATGTGTCTGTGGCACTGTCTCCCCCACGAACAACTCGGGTTGCCAGCTGTCCATATAACAAACTGAGCCGCTGTGGAGTCGTTCTTTGCATGGAGCTTCCCACAATAATCGCCCTCGGGCAGAGTAAGAACCTGCCTCGCTCTGTGGCAGCTGACAATTGCAGAGCTCAATGAGGAGACCAAGTACGGTAAATCGATAATGACGCGAGCAAATACGCTGAATAGACACGCAGCCGCATAGGCGCTGGCCGTCGTAAGGGTGCCCGCTTAGCACTGACAAGAAGGCACAGAGAAGCATGGCGGGCCAAGTCATGTAGCCCACCAAGTGGATGCATGATCGCGCAAGGGTCATCCTTCCCACGTATATGAGCTCTTGACGCCTACGTGGGTGCATTCGACTCCTGCACAGCTCCTGATAATTATAGGCCTTTATCACCCGTAGCCCTGCTATTACTTCGGTGACATGCCGTGCACGGACATCGCGCGCAGCAGCATATCGTTTTTCCAGGAAGGGATTGCACAGGGCCAGGAGGCCATGAAGGGGAGCGTGGGAGCCCACGCCCAGCAAGAGCACTCCTTCAATCTGAGAAGCCAGGATAAAGCAGTCGTCGGCAACGTGAGTGGCGCCGCTATCATCCTTGGTGTGTTCGACACCAGATTAGAGACGGAGCGGGCACCACCACTAATGAAAGTAATCACCGCCGGGGATCAAGCGTGCGTTGCTGCAACGTTGGGAACGCGCGCGAGCTTCTTGTAAGTAGCACAGCTGGCCGATGCAATGGCTGGAAGGCGCCGTCAAGAGCTGTGCAGCAAGGCCGGTAACTACCATGCCCATGCCTCGTGGAATAAGCGAGCAAGCACGCTGCCACCAGAGTCGCGGAGGTCGGCTATATGACCAGTGCGGACGTCGGCCATGGCCTTTGGCTGCACGTGAGGGGGAAGCGCGGCAAGTCCCACTAGTATGGAGGACACACCAAGGAAGGGCCAGCTCGCCTTCATGACCAGAGGCCGATGCGGGCGGGTCTAGCAGTTGCCCGTGCCACCGCCAGAGCGCCTTCCAGCCTAGTCAGGACCTTACCGTAGTTCATGGTTGTTGGCAGAGAGGAACGCCTGAGGCTTCAGTGCCCCTGCCGCGAACGGTGCCATCCGTGGAAACGTATAGTAGAGGATGAATGGGCAGCGCTCGTCTGCTCAAGCCCATGGCCCTATGGATTGGGGCAGAGGGCCGCGCGGGCCATGAAACCGCAAACATGGGGGACGGAAGCCTGGACTGGAACCGGACGACCGCCCCGCTCCCGGTCGTGTGGTCGGACGTGGAGCCGGCGATCTACGAGCTCAGCGAGTCGTTCCTCTCGCTCTTCGAGGACGAGATGGGCGCCGACGAGGCGAGGTGGACGCTCCTCCTCTTCCTCCACAACGGCGGCTCCCTTTTCAGGCGGGTCCTCAAGCGGTTCGGCGTCCCGGCGAGTGCGCGGCCTCCCTCTCGGACCTGAGGGCGGAGTCGACGCAGAACGCAAGCAAGCAGCTCCCGCCTCCCCTGGCCCACTGCATCCAGGTCCTGCACCTTGTGCTGGCCTCCCTGAACCTGCGGGGGGTCACCGTCTGCGACCGCCTGGACGGCTCGGTCGACTGCTTGCCCTGCCTCCGCACCTTCGAAGGCTTCGTCAGGGCCCTGGTTCAGCCCTTGCGCGCCTGCTCTCCAAGCTGATCCAGGCAGGCGCTCCTCCTCCTCCTGGGCCCCTGGGCGGCCACAAGCAGGCCCGGACGTGCCGGAGCATCCGCAGGATGGCCCTGGAGGAGCAGGGCAGCGCCGGGTCCTGCGCGATCGAGACCGTCGAGTGGCTTCCGCCCCCTTCTCGTCCGGCAACGTCTCCCCTACGCCGACAAGGGCGTCGCAGACCAGATGGCAGAGTGTGCAAGCGTCATGACGGCCTTCAACGCCCCCAGCCCAACAGGCGGCGCCCGGGCCGGACGTGCGGATCGGCCTGCAGTCCCTGGCAGACCTCCACGGCGGGCACGACGCCGAGCTGGAGCGCACCCTCGGCAACGCGGTGGCCACCGGCGACTACCGCGTGTACCTCAACAGGGTCAAGCGGGGGCTGACCGCGTCCTTCCCGTTCTCGGGGAGGCCGGGTGCGAAGGGCAATCTGCCCTACTTCGAGCGGTGCATAGAGAAGGCGCTGTCCTTCAACCACCACGAGGAGCGGTTCCGCAGCATCAAGTGCCACGAGCTGGTCAACGTGCTCGCCTACGCGCTCCCCCTGGACGTCCAGCGGGCGATGCTCGTCGGCATTTCCAACGAGGCCGACTGCGTCCTGGGGCACCAGCTCTACCACCTGATCCGAGAGGTCGACATGCCGGCGTTCCTCTCGTCGCTGCTCCGCCTGGCGCTGTGCGGGGTCCCCCACATGCTCGAGACGGTCCTGTCGGCCAAGGCGGCTGCGGGCACGACGAGGGACGCCGAGAAGGGCGCGTTCTCCAGCAACACCCCGTCGTCCACGCGGCACATCCGGGAGTCTGTGCTGAAGAGCTGCCTCCACGTCCTTCTCCTCCTGCAGGCCAGGCCCGCCAAGCAGGGCGCCCCGCCGGACCCGGCGCTAGACCCCGCGAGGCCCCTTCATAGCCTGGTGAGCGGCAGGCGGCTGCTCTGCCTGCTGACGGCGTCGCGCTGCTTCTACGGCTACGTCTCGCACATCCTGCAGTCCTCCAGCACGGCGGCCAGCCAGGGGCCGCGGCGCAGAGCGTCCCGGGCGGGGCTCCAGGCCGCCGACGGCGTACATCCCGAACAACCTGGCCAACCTGATGGAGTTCCTGCGCGGAGACAATAGCACCAACAACCCCGCCAACATAAGCACGGCGGGCACGCTCACGTGCAGCTTCCCGGGGTACCAGCTGTCCAAGGTCAACAGCCTTTCGTCCATCGTCGTGCTTCTGAAGATCGCCAAGCACATACTGCCCTTCGCGGCGGGGACTACTCGCGCATATACGGGGTGTTCGAGCTGCAGGGCCTCCCCGCCTTCCGCGAGCACCTGACGAAGCTCATCTACCAGCTCTCCATAAGCCCGTGCAGCGAGGACGGCTGGCGCTGGCCCACCACGGCTGGCTCTACGAGAGCAGCCTGCCGACGCCCCGGAGCAGTACGCGGCGGAGGAGGCCGTTGCGCTCTCCCAGCTCCACGCGGGATGGTCCTGCAGCCGCATCTGAAAAGGACCCGCGTGTCTTTAGTCAAACAAATACACTGAACAGCGGGAAGCATCGGTTCTACAGTAAACCTTGCCTGGGTGGACTGATGGGAAAGAGGGCCAGGGTGGGTCTCGGCTACGGCCGCTGGGTGGAGGGGCTTGTAGAGACAGACGTCTTCACAAATCTGGTCCTGTCAGACTGTCACGGGTCGCGTCCGCTGGCTCCTTCTGGGGCTGCGCCAATCACCGCGTCTCTGTCCTGTGTGGTTCGTGGCGCAGCTGCCAAAGCAATCCTACTGGTGAGCCCCGACTAGGTGGACATCTGCAGACGTGGAGCACCTCTTGGCGTTTACTTGAAGACCTCCATGAACTCCTCGACCGGCTTGTTGCAAGCACGACAGACCTTGCTGGCGACGTCCTTCCCGCAGTCCTTGCAGAGGACGTAGTGCTTGCACGGCATGCAGACCAGGTTGGGGGCGTTGGCGCGGCACTTCACGCACTTCGTGTACTTCTTCGAGTTGAGGAGCTTGCGGATCTCGCCCAGGCACTTCTCGAGGGACTTGTTCAGCTGCTCCTCCGAGATCTCCGCCCCCTGGTCGATCCCCGAGCAGGAGAGGGAGTAGAACGCCTCGAAGAACGAGCGGAAGATGGCCATGTTGTGGCTCTTGACCTCGGCCTGCTGCGACTTCTTGGCCATCTCGGTGTAGGTGGCCGCGACCCTCTGCCGGAGCTGCTCCAGCATCGCCGCGTCCATCGTCTCGATGGTCTTCAGCCGGAGGACCTTGGCCGCCTCGAACTGCTTCGCCTTGGAGGCGTGGTTGAGGGCGGAGAGCTTGCCGGCGTCCCGCAGCCTCCCCTCCTTCTCGAAAAGGGCCTGGATCAGCTCGAGGTTCCCCCTCTTTGCCGCCGCGATCAGCGCGAAGGACCCGTCGTTCGAGACCAGGCCCGCCTCTGCGTCGACCAGCTCCAGGGCGACGGCGGTGTGCCCGGCCTCGGCGGCCCACATGAGCGCCGTCTTCCCGTCTGCGTCCCTCTGGCCTGCGTCCGCGGCCTTGTGGGCCCTGACGTAGTCCAGCCTGTTCTCCTTGGCCGCCTCAATAAGTGCCATTCTTTGCCTCCCAATTGCGATCGCGGCTCTTCATAAGACATAATTGATAGAAAACTTGGAGACGCTGTTTCATGGCACTTTGGCACGGCCAGAAGCATGGGGCGCTGGTCCGTATGGCCTGTTCTCCAGGGCCTTCTGCTTCTCGTGAAGGGAACGACGGGTTTACTCGTGAGCTCGTGGAGCAGCTTGGTGATCGTTGCAGTCATCGGCGCCCGGTGTACGGCTGTCCCTAAGGAAGGATGCTATCTCAGAGTAGCCCTTGGCCTCAAGCTTATCAAAGAAGGATTCATTAGACTTGTCTATTAGATGCCCCTCCTTTTCAAATAGCAGCTTCACTATCTCTAAGCGGCCGCCATACGCTGCGTGCACGATAGCGGGTAAGCCATGGGGATCCAGCATGCAGCCTTCGCGCTCCATCAACAGCTGCACTACTTCTGCATGATTCTCAGAGGCAGCCTTCATGAGGGCGGTCGCACCACAACCATCCCGTGCCCTACTCTCATATGGCATCAGCAGTCGTACTGCTGCTACGTGGCCGCATATTGCTGCTTGTATTAGCGCTGTCCCAGTAGGTGCCAATCGCTTCTTCTGGACGGGTATGAGTGCGCTTACTGCTAATGTGTCGTTTCTTTTCGCGGCCCGCATGAGCGCTGTGACGCCCCTATCATCGGTTGGGTCGAGAGCCTCCACCACAGCTTCGTGTCCTGCCTCTGCCGCAAGGATCAGGGCCGTGTTGCCTTGTCTGTCGGTCAGGTCCTCCTCGTACGGAGCCAGAACAGAAGCAGCCTCCGCATGGCCCTCCTGTGCAGCAATCATCAGAGCAGTACGGCCGTTCTTGCTCTTCCTCCCATGCTCATGAGGGATGAGAATCCTAGCTACCTCAGGATGGTTCCCGTGTGCGGCGTGCATGAGCGCGGTCCAGCCGTTTTTATCTTTGAGACCCTTCTCCTTCTCAACAAGCAGCTTGACAGGACCAATGTGCCCCTGCTGGGCCGCGTGCATGAGGGCCGTCATCCCCCGCTCGTCGCGCTGACCGATACAATCTTTCTCGTTGGCCAGCATCTGGACAGTCTCCATGTCATTCGTGTGTGCAGCGTATATCAGTTGAGGCAGCGCGGAGAGGTTGATCTGGGGGCTACTCGTGTTCATCCCACTACTAGATTGTGCAAGCTTATCCTCCAGTGCCTTAATCATGGCTAAATACTCCTTGCACTGATCTTCAAGCGCGTCGATCCTGGTGGTCTTGAGTCGGGGCTCCTGTCCCAGGGCGTCGGCCTCACTTGGCCTGTTCTCAAGAGCGCCCTTTAGAGAGGCAATCTCAGCAGACCTGGCGTCGAGGGCTGCCTCAAGAGCAGTGACCTTATCCGACTCGACCTTGAGCTCGTCCTTCAGAAGCACGATATTAGCATTAGCACTGTTCAAAGCAGCCTCCAAGGCGCTGCATTTGTCTTCTAGTGCCACACACCGATGCCCCAGCTCACTAACTGGGATTTCTGCTGTGGCGAGCGTCTCGTGCAGCTCCCTGGCCGTCGGCCTCCTCTCTGGCTCCAGCACGAATATCCTTTCCAGAATGCTCTTTATGAAGCCATCAGTGACACCGCTCAGGTTCGGCCTCCACCCGTCAACGAAGACGTCTTTTGGGTCTTTACCTTCTAGGAAGTCCGGTCTCCTCAGAATAGTAAGCTCGTAGACGATGACCCCGAGGCTCCACACATCGGAGGCAGGGCTGGTCTCGTTGTGGAGGAGCACCTCGGGGGCCATGTACGGCCTTGTTATCGCGGTGATGCTCCCGCCTCTCAGGGCGTTCCTGCAGAGGCCGAGACCAGCGATGACGAAGTACTCACCATCTGCGCTGATAAATATATTGGCAGGCCTGAGGTCGCGGTGGACGAGCCCCCTAGTACCTATCCCACTGAGGCCGTAGAGATAGGCGAGGGCGGCAGCGACCTGCCTCAGGACGGAGAGAATCACAGCGATAGGGACGGGGATCTTCCTTCGCTTGTGTTCAGTGAGGAGGCACTCGAGAGTCTTGTCGTGGCGGTCCGTGACGACGTAGATGAAGTCATCATCCTCGACCACTTGATGGTGCTTGAGGACCCCCGGATGGGAGAGGTCGAGAAGGGTGGCCAGCTCTAGTCTGATGGTGTCCAGATCCCCCTTGTCCAGGCCGTCGAGCAGGACCTCCTTTACGGCGAGGCCCAGATAATCCTTGAGAGAGTAGACTGTTCCCGCGGGACTTTCATTAAGCACGTCATTCAGTTGCTTGTAGAGCCCTCTGAGAGTGAACGGTGGGACACTGAAAGCTATTGTTGCGGATCCAGACGAAGCAGCGTGCATCCTGGTTTTATTATTTTGGTAATCTACAGTTTTGGAAACGATCCGTTTCCACAGGAGTTTATGTCTACAGATCTGTAGTGGTCCAATACTTGCGGAGGGCTTCTGCATCAGGAGCGAGAAGGCCACCTGTGCGACCGTTTCACCCACCGGTGTCCTAGCGCTGACCGAGGGTGAGAAGGTCTGTTCCCCCTGGCCTCTGCGGAAACGGGTGGCTGTGTGACCCACTAACAGCCACCACTTCATTAGGGTGTCTGTTTGCTGCACAGCTTGAGGGGAATCCGATCTATCATCAAATGCAACCAACAGTTAGGCGCGTTCACTCACGGGCTTTCTGGGCGGCATCCGTAGACAGGGCTCCTCCAGTCCAACGCCTTCACTCTTGAGAAGAGACACCACTTTGGAATGACCGTTCATATCAGCTACGCAAAGAGCAGACCTGCTGCTTATGTACTTCTCCTTCTCCAACAGCAATTTGACACACTCCAAACAACCAAAGTATGCTGCAATTGTGAGGGCAGTCCAGCCCCTGTCCCTCTCCATGCAGCCCTCAGCATCCAGGAGTAGCCTCACAACCTCGATACGCTCGTTGGCTGTCGCCCACATGAGGGCCGTGTACTCATTGTTACTCCTCATGCAACGCTCGTGCTTCATCAGCAGCTTCACCGCCTCAACGTGTCCGAGCACCGCGGCGACCATCATGGCTGTCCCCTCGTATATCTCTACCATCCCTGCCCTGACAAGCTTCGCCACCATCCTTGCCTGCTGAGGAATGTAGCGCTTCACTGCATCCACGTCGTTTCGCTTGGCCGCCTTCATGAGGTCGGTGACGCCATCCTCATCCTCACCAATTGCTCGCGGAGGCCTAGCGGGGCTGTTCTCGCCCACATCCTCCTCATCTGTGTCCTTCTCAGACATGAGGGGCGGGGTGTCGTCGTGCTCCTGAGAGCAGTGATCTGAATCATCTGTAGACGACATTTTTATTCCATGGTCACAAAGGAAACGCGTGCACTGGTAAACTTGCGATTCACGGTATTGTTTACAGATCATCCAGATAGCGCACCAAACACAGATTGTACGCCCTGGATCCCCTCTGCCCTTCTTGCCTTGTGTGGTAAGTGAACAGTAAGGGTGGCCTCGGCCATGATGTCAGGAACGCTGTGAGCAGAAGAATTTACTCTGTTTCATCGAAGTTTGTTTTTCAGCTGCCGTTCGAGCAACTCCATCCATGCGGGCCATCATGCTGGGCGGGTTTCTTGTTCATTCACCCATTCGAGATTCAAACTTCGCAAGTCAGATTATCATCCACTTCTGACGGAAGAAGAACTTTATGCCTCCCTCCAAGGTGATAATGAATGCACCGGAGAATCTGCAGCTGGCAGTGGATGCGCCAGTCACCCACCAGCCAAACCGAACTGGTCGAGATAGACTCACCACGCGACCCCTACGGATCCCTCGGAGGGCAGGCCTGCCCTGTGGACGCCTGGCTCGGGCAGAAGCGGACCGAGCTCCTGGCTACGCAGGACAGCGGCGGTCGGGAGTCCACCACAAGCAGCTGCGCGGTGCTTGACACCTCGACGTGAGACGTGGCATCACAGCAGGCTGCCGAGCGGGACGGCCCGTGGTGGGCAACGCATCATACACGAACAGTGCCCTGACCGCCCCGATGCTCCCGGACATGCCCCTCGAAGAGCTGTGGCCGGGCCAGCCTCTCCAGCTGAACGACCCATGGCTCCACGTACACTCTGCGGCACGGATGGGTGCAGACCACACCAGCCGAGCCGGCACACTGCACAGGGTGTGTGCCTGCGAGTGTGTACTGGCTGCTGACCATCTGGCACCACAGGTGCACTACGGTTCATGAGCAGAAGGGCGGGCCGGGCATCTCCTCCGCGCCAACCAAGGGTCGACATGGGGGTCCATGGACACATGCTACAGTCCAGGAGGACACATGGCGAGCGCACCCCGACAGCAGGACCGATGGTCCACTCCACGAGGAGGCGAGGAGGAACCCGAGTCGACACTTGAGGCTATGACACGTACGATCTTCGTTATGGAGCGCCAACACAACAAGGTGACCTTGGGCTACATGGCCAAGATCGTTGCCACAACTGACGGTAGGCCCCCTGGGGCTGGCCATAGAGGGGGAAGTCCTTAGAAGGCACTGCAGGAAACCTGCAACACCTCCCAAGAGAGATGAACATAAAGTTCTTCCCCTCCCGCCGGAATCCAAGAGCATCAAATTTTCGGGTTCTGGATTTCAGACAGATGGACAAGCAGGAGACCCGCTTGGTGAAGCGGCCCGCACAAGGAGATTTACTCAGACAATAGCTAGCAAACTAACCTTGACAATTACTTGTAAACTAGGCCATGAACCTGTGCGACTATGTAAATTTTATTGACCTCCGAAGAGTTCTATAATTGCAGTACGGGTCTGCTTGAAAGTATCCTGCATAGACATCAGAGCTTGTGTTTCAAACCTTGCGCTTTCTAATTCCGCGTTTTGCAGAGATAGCTTTAGAAGGTTAACGCCGGCAGAGTGAGCAGCTGAGACGTCCTGGGCAGCGATACTCATTGACAGACTAAGAGCAAGCTTCCGCTTAGCTTCTGCTTCCGCTGACACGTCTTCGAGCTGTGTGTGGATGTAAGAAGATGCTTGGTCAAACTCTCCGAGAGCCTCCTGATATTCTGAAGCAATCGCGACAATATCCTCAGCAGCCTTTCTGTGAGCCACGTGCAGGATGCGCACGCGCTGATCGTCGTCAAACATAATGCAGCCATCAGAAGCCGATTCTGTCATTTTTGGGCTGTTTGCAATTTACTATCTCATTGTGAGTCGCTACATAGCTCAAAGCACCTGGAGGATCATCGCTGTGAGGACCTGACTTAGATGATTGTCTTGGCACTCTGCCATAAAGACCTCCAGGGCAGAATCCGAGTTCATCCCCCGATGAATCTTTACTATCGCCCGCTTGGCCGCAGCCAGAGTCTGCTGGTCTGATGTGCTCCTAAGAAACTCATCCATCCTGTCAATCAGTTCCTCTGACAAGTCTAGCGCCTGATGATGGGGCCTGTAAACCCGCTTGACTATCGAGTTACTTTCCATAAAGGACTGAGTAAGAGTACTGACACTGCTGTCGATGTTCGAATGACCAGGGTTGCGTATTGCTCGGAGTCCTTGAAATAGATCCTCTAAGTCAGCAACTAGTGCGGCCTCGTCTCCTAGAAACGCGCCAGAGTGCCTCTTTGGTCGCTGCCTCCCTGGTGCGGGACCATCTGTGATCTGAGAGGACGCCACAACAGCTGTTCGGGAGTCATGGATGTCTGGCACGTCGTATTCACCGCTCTGCAGAGAGTATTGCACATTGCTGTTAGAACCTTCTCCTCGCTGATTATACTGAGTTGTCTCGTACCCCTTGTATGCCTGGTCCCGCTGGCTCTTAGACCCAGCCATCGCCGCTGACTGCACGTCGTAAACATCCCGCCGGCCAGGTTTTCCGCTTCCGTTGAACTGATGATCACGAGTACCACGTTCTGTACGATGGCGATTTTCTATGTACTGAAGCAGCTCTTCATCCTCCATTTCCCTGTTATGTTGTGACCTAGCGTTATATCGGGGTGGTGGACTGCCCTCCTGGCCATAGTACTCGGTAGTCCCCGCGGCATCATAAAGATATGGCCTGCTGCCCCCTGGTCCCATGCTTCTAGATCCGTGACCCCGGGAAGCACGTGATCCCCTAGAGAGAAACGAGGCGGACGGAGAAGAAACGCGGGTGCCATCTGTCCCGGAAATGTACTGCGCCGGTTTACCAAAGCGCTCTTGAATCGTCCGCTGCATATTGTTAAACCGACGCACGTGTTCTTTGAACATGAATCCGTCGGACACAAAAGGAAGACGACTTGTACGATTCTGCACACTTGGTGACAAGGGCATTTTGTCAGATTTTTAATTTTCCGCCGATTCACAATTTAATGCGGAGTCAGACGCTACATTGCGCCGCGTTGGACTTCCCAGCACAGGGATTCCAAAGAAACCAAGGTGAAGTGAAAAGATTGACGCCAGGTCACGAAGGTGTCTTTTTGACATCTTTGTGTCTTGACAAACAAGTGCTGTAAGCCACGGAGTAGACGCCCCATAGCGCTGCACTATGAGAATAGCAACATGAAGTGCCACAAAGGAGCATCCAGTTTGGGTCAACACTTCGAGTTGAGCTAGATCGAGCACAAATGAGTTCAAAAATGGAGCAAGCGGGCTAGTTACATATTGATTGATCAGTTCTGTCTTTACTTTATCGCAATCTATCTCCTTTTTAATTATCTGTATTGCACAATCATAATCCAGACACCTCCCTGCTTCTGTAAGAGCGGCTATGTACCAATTTAAATTTGTGCCAGATGGATCAGGATTTATAGAAGGTGCGGTATTCCAACTGTATTTGCATCTGCACAATGAGCACAAGCTTGGCTCCACACATTTGCTGCCAAATATGCAGTGCTCAGCTCCAGCTTTGTGGGTCTGCTTAGAGCGCTCACAGAGCGCTAAGAAATAGACGGAGCAAAAGGGCGAGTTATGGGCTGTCAACATAAAAAAGGAGGAGCCGGAAGAAGCCAACGCAGTTATTCCGATTGGCTTCACCTTTGTGGATTGCATGCTAATGCAATTCTGTAGCGACATCCGTTTCAGCTGTGATTTGGATAACGGTGGGAACCTAGCTGTCAACCGAAAGCACTCATCTCCGCAGGAATACACAACTGCCAGAGTGTTTCCCATAATATTACTAGATAGTATTCGTGAAGAAAAAGCATCCAACAGGTCCAAATCAGCTGTTGATGATATAACAATCGAATAAGCTGTATCTCCATAGATTAAGATAATCAGTCCGCGAAGAAGCAAGAGAACTCCTTGTTTATCAACTGTTTGCTGGATTTGTAGAACGGCGTTGTACGTGGTCAAAGTATCTCCGTGGCTGGTACAGAGATAAGCGGTCATATTGGAACGAAGAATGGCGTACGCAACTTTCTTCCCAGATACAGCAACAAGCGAGACAATGCTATTGCTCTCAAAACTGCACACCCGCACTAATCCACTGCATGTTCCACTGTACACCGTTCCTGTCGAAGACATGGCATGAACCTCTGTGTAGTCAGTTGATATATGGGTCAGTACCTTAGCCCCATGCGGAACTAAGTGCGGTTGCAGTTGCAGTGGCGGCACAACGTGCACACTATTAAGTTCTGTGGAGTATAGACGACCATTAGAGAGAAAGTAGAGGGTATTTTGGAGCATAGAACACATTGTTACGTTATATCCAAGGACAACCTTGGAGGATAAGATGCGTGAACTCATAGATATCATGCACAGAAGAAGGGACCCGGCAGATGTTACAAGGACAACATGACATATATTGTCTTTGACAGTTACAGATACAATACAGACGGGCACATCTGCGTCGGTCAGTGCATGCATTGGATGACACATGTCAACAAGAAAATCAGTGCATCCTTTAGCATCACCTCCATGACAACCCTGGGATGGGATCTCCACTCTCATGTGAACGGAAAAGGGAAGCTGAAGTAAGGACATTGGTTGTGTAACAGCACAAGATTCGATACTTATGAGGGTAGCCCCTGACCTAGATGTCCAGATGGGAACATCGTGAAGCGTGAGGCTTGATGCATTGGCTAATAGTCTGCTTTTTGCCTTGCGCTCATGAGGAAGACGACTATAAGGCATTCGATGTGATAATCCCGTGATGGATAAGTGCACATTTTCTTGTACGCTGGCCGGCAGAGCTGCAATTATTTGGCTGAGTTGTACACGTGTTGCTGTTGTCGTTGCTTCTGGTGCAATTGGATCGCACGTTTCCTCGAGATTGCCAGGCATCTTTTAACTTTATACTACGATTGGCTAGTAGGGCTAGCTTGGCTCCCTTTTGAGCGCTTGGCCCACGGATTAATTGCACTGAATGATAAATAGCAAAGCATAACGTGCATAATTTGACATTCCACCTTGTAATTCCTGTTTCATGATTCTATTAATTTGCCCAATAATTCTTTTCCTATGGCTCCTCTTGTAGACAACATCAGCGGGAAGCTGCTCAAGATGTCTGGGAGGGAGCTTCTGCAAGTGGACCCTCTCCTGCAAGACTATGTGGGCGTTGTGGAATCAAGGTGGGAAGACTTCAAGCACATGCTTAGTTACATTTCTGATGACCTTGGAGGCTTTGACAGCGTTTCAAACTACGTTGATTATGGCTTCTACGTAGAGGTAGATGATGCCCGGTACAGTCTTAATCAACTTTCGGACCTGGATGACATCTGTAAAGATGTCGCCACTTACAACGGCCGCATTCATCTTATTTACAAGGAGTGGGCAGAGAACGCCGTGTTCTTATCTATTATAGGTGACTTCAATTTCTGGGACAAGGCTGCACACCCAGGAGTCAATAAAGGATACGGGATCTGGGAGTGTCGGATCCCTTTTTACGTCAACCAGGAGTTGAATATGCTTCACTGCCCAATTCACCATAAGGCAAAGTTCAAGGTCTTCATGGTGACACGTGACAAGAATGAAGAAATCTATCGCATGCCCCAACGAACACTCTATGCTGTTCATAACCATGAGAGGTGTCAGTTGGAACCCTTGTTCTATTGTCACGCAGCAGACGCAGATGCAAGAAAAAGAGAAGAGCTCACACGACCATACGCATTCAAGTCACAGAGTCCACAAGGGTTGCGCAAGAAGGTACACAGGATTTACGAGTGCCACGTTGGCATGAGCTCTACTGAGCCAAAGATAAATACCTACAGAGAGTTTGCAGACATTCTCCTCCCCATCATCAAAGAAAAGGGCTACAATGTAATACAACTAATGGCAATCCAAGAGCACTCTTATTATGGGTCGTTTGGTTATCAGGTCACGTCATTCTTTGCCCCCAGTTCAAGATTTGGGACGCCCGACGATCTAAAATACCTTGTAGACAAAGCACATGAGGCAGGTATTGCTGTTCTTCTCGATTTAGTTCACTCACATGCATCGAAGAACGTTGAGGACGGGATCGCAGACTGGGACGGTAGTACGATGTTCTTTTATAAGGAGGACCATCCCCTGTGGGACAGCAAGATTTTCAACTACAAGAACCCGGAGACTCTTCGTTTTTTGCTCCAAAATGTGCGCTGGTGGCTCCAGGAGTTTAAGATCGACGGCTTCAGGTTTGACGGGGTGATGTCTCTCATGTACTATCACAGGAGTGCAGGTGTTGGGTATACAGGCCGTTACGGAGAGTACTTTGACGAGCCCCAATCAGCGGTTGATGTTGGTGGACTAACATACTTGCGATTGGCTCATGTCCTCATTAAGATGATTGAGCAGACTGAAGGCCGTGACATCCTGACAATAGCAGAGGACGTCTCAGGCTACCCGTGCATGGCGACACCAATACTAGATGGGGGTATAGGATTTGACTATCGTTTTCAAATGGCTGTCCCAGATCTGTGGATCAACATGATGAAACATGGCTTTGACACAGGTCTCAATGACTTCGAAAGTATTGATGTCAAAAAAATAACGCACACACTCACAAACCGTAGGTGGCAAGAGAAGCATATCGTCTATTGTGAGTGCCACGATCAGGCTCTGGTTGGTGACAAGACATTGAGCATGTGGCTACTAAACGAGAATATATATGATCAGATGAGTATTCTGCACCAGGCAAATGAAAGAACTCTACGTGCGATCCGTCTCCACAAAGTTATTCGTCTGTTAACGATGGGTCTTGGAGGTGAGGGATACCTCACTTTCTTTGGCAATGAATTCGGACACCCAGAATGGATTGACTTTCCACGCGTAGGTAATAGCTGGAGCTACCATTACTGTCGAAGGCAGTGGAACCTCGACTATTGGGGGAAGGACGGTCAAACAACACGCTATGCAGACCTCGGCCGATTTGACAGGGATCTTATGCACCTCAATGCCTGCCATGAATGGAACGTGGAAAGGGAATATATTACCCGTGATGATAACGAGGAGAAGCTCATAGTTTTCGAGCGGAAGAATCTTCTTTTTGTATGCAGCCTTCACCCCTTTAACCCTGACTATGAGGCCATTATACCTGTTCGTCAACAGGGAACATATCGAGTTATCTTCCACACAAATAGTATTCAATATGGAGGAGATGAATCGGGGACCACGGAAGGGAATGAACTGGTAACACGCAACAAGATGAATAAAGAAAGTAATGACTTAAAGGAAGATCAGTGGGATAGAAAGATGAATGGGTTGCAATATTACATTAAATTATGGATAAAGCGCCAATGTGGCTATGTTCTTGAGCTTTCTAAGGGGACTGTCTCCATTCCAGATACTGTTAAGAGCTTTGAGGAGCTATTTCCCAAGAAGAATCCACCATTATAGAATTGGCAGAGTTCCTCTAGCATTTGAAGCTCAAGAGATTTTGTGCTCTGGAGTAAAATTATCAATTTTGCGGATGGCAGAGGTGCAGCAGCTGCCGTCAAAGTTCATCTCCGTCCACGGTCTTTCGGCTGCTCGTGGGAAGAAGTACCTCTGCGTGATCTGCAATTCAGAAGGGTCCTTTCTCTGTACACAGTGCCGGAGTTGCTATTGTTGTCGCGAGCACTTGCTGCTGGATGACCTTGCATGCCATTCATTGCTTTGCGACAGGCAGTCAGCCATACGAGAGATAATGAAACTCCCTCTGGCCACACGTACTCGGCCAGAGATTGCTACAAAGCTTACCATTCTTCAGGACGAGTGTCGGCGCGTTGCATATTTGGAATCACGACGGCATGTACTAGAAGGGAACAATGAACTGGCCCTTCCGGCAGCTGAGCGCTCTCTGATTTTTGCAAAGGCTGTCCATGGGGACAACTCTATAGAATTAATACCACCCCTCCTAGCCCTTGCTGATGTGGCGTGTCTGGCAGGAGCACAAGACGCGGCACGTGGATACGCTTCGCGAGCAAGGTGGCTACTTCTAGGCAAAGAGACAGAACTGCGGTTGCTGGTGGAGACTCACCTGAGACCTTATGTCCGTCAATGCAACGAGGTGGTGAATAGGCTTACTGGACGGAATACTGGCTGCCTTTCAGCGAAGCTATCTAATACAAAGTCGCAAGGATTGCAAAAGCTAACAAAACCCTTTGGAAAAGCGTTCTCCAGCACTAGTACTCGTCTAAAATTACCATCTCATCCTGTGAGTAAGGATCTATCTACAGAGAAGCTGCAGAAGGCTGAGGAGTCTTCGAGCTCTGAGCTATACCTAGACAATTGCATTAGTGACGAAATATTTCGAACGAAAGAAGGGATTCGACTTGCCTTTCTATCGTGCCGCTATTGGTCCACAGAGACTCGTCTTAGAGCAGCCGAGAACCTATATGTGGAGGCTTTGGACACAGCAGCTATAGCTTGCTACTTTGCTGCACTGGCATCCGGCCCCACTAGCATGTCAACGTGTTTGCAATTGTACGCTGTTTCTAAGCTTCTTATTCTTTCTATGGTATCCCAGGAGTCTCATGCGGTTTCAGTAATGCTGCAAGCACAGGACATGCTGCGGGGGACAATTATCCAGTTTTACGCACCATATGTTATCGGGATACAGCACTACTGCACTGATAATAGCTGTGAGCCAGATAGTCAGATACTTAGCAAGTTCATGGCAGAGTTCCAACGATCAGATAGAAGGCGCGAGGAAGACGAACGGTTGGCTTTCCGCGCAGACATCAAGGAGGCTGTGCAATATATCTTATTTACTGTGGACTATCTAGAACGACACTACGGTCACAAAGCCAAGTGCTTTATCGAGTGCGTCATGTGTCTGGCTCTGTGCCTAGAAATAGTGGAAGATGCCAGTAGAAGCGAATACATCACAAAGGCATGGGAGCTTGTTCGCAGCGTCGACGAGACGATAATCAATCCAGTCTTATTCAAAATCTTTATCTTCACTTTTCCAGTTTAAGCAGACCTATCTATAGTCCTACAGAATCCCAAAACAGGTATTAATAAATATGGGTGTGCGAATGGTTGAGGGTAGTTTGGCAGTAAATTCAGTGACTGACGTGGAGTCCATAAACGTTAGAATCGTCGTCAAAACCGAAGGCAAGAGCTTCATCCCGCGTGACATGATGGGCAATTTGTGCTACTGTCTCCGCTAGCTCCCGACTCACTGGATCTAAGCGGCGAACACTATTGGCAATGTCTGGATCCTTGCTGCGAGTCAGGCTGGTGATTTCGGGGTTCTTCGGTATATCTGTGTATGCATAGACTCTGTCAAGGTTTGCTTGGGAGCGTTTGGTATTATCCGCTATTCTAGACAAAACGCTCTTAGGCGTGAGCTTATCCTTGGGGGTCCCCTCACAGAGAGAAGAAGCGAGAGCTGACGCATATTTATGGACAGAAAACAGGCCTGGCTTCCTCTGGAACGCACGCACCGACCGTGGAGACATGACAGACATACTCGCTTCGGAAAGGGCACTCCTATTCATAGAATCCACTAGTGCAAGGTTCCGCTCTGAAAGGGAGCCCACGGGTGAATTTCTATAAAAGACACGAGTGCCAAGGTCTCGAACTGAGCGTGTTGCCCCTGTAGGATTCAACCGGGCCGAAGTGTGCATTCGCGAGGAAGCTAGTGACCACGGGGTCCGCGAATCTGCCACTTCTTGAGATATGCATGAAGAAGACTCGCTGTTGCTAACTGAAAAGGAATGCTGCTGCTCTTCGGCAAAATTCATTCGCGCTCTGGCGATTAATTTAAAGGATAGGCGCTCATCTCCCCTGTACTCATATACGCATTCGAGGAGATGATGCAGATTTTGGCCTCTTTCTGCGCCTCTCATACGTCGTGCCACTGCTGGTTGCACGCCTTTGCGGGGTTTGCACACGCGCCTGGAAAAAGATTGAAGATTGGTCGTGAGGCTGCGGCTTAATAGCCGATATCTTCAGAGCATCTATGTTATAGTTTAATTCCTTCATTATCTCAGGAAGCTGGGCCAGTGTTATAGTCTCTCCTTGTTTATAGTAAAAGTACGGTAACAGATTGACAACATCTAGCTTGGTAGAAGAACGATTTAGCGCTGACTCTCTTAAATCAAAGACTCCAGAGATGATGTTGGAAGAACCAGGGGCTACATATTGAGGTGTGGAGGAATTATGCCTGTCCTCCAAATCTTCTAATACCACGTGTTTTGCCTCTTGCTCTACCTCTTTACTAACATGTCGCAACAGTGGTTGATTTGCAGTGGTGCTAGAGTTCGATGGGGACCTTTTATATATTTGCAGGTTGTGATTTGGCGGAGGAATAGGTCGAGCAGGTCGCGCTGGAGGCTTAATGGTTTGTGGAGGGACAATTCTTTGCCCTGCTTTAGTATACATCGGCTTACTGGGCCGTTCTCCCTGCAGTTTTATGTCTAGAGATCTATCTAAGGTCATGGCATTCGGCTCCATTGTGGCTGTGGTGGCGCGTCTGGGCTCAATAACCATGGTTCGTTTGGCTGATGCTGCATTCACTAAATCTTCATCTATGCTTCCGGTCCTCTGTGGGTACACTAGGGAGGGATTAGGGCTATACAATGTAACGTCGGTCATGTCCATGTTTCTAATGGGAGAGGGCGCAATGGGCTGTGCATATGTTGGCGATAAAGCAACATAATGCGGGGAGCAACGAAGTTCACCACTCCGTCCTTTGGGTGTGTGGTCCTGATCATCTGTATAGCATGCCTCCTGCGCTGGTATCCACTGCTGCTTTGGCTTGACTCTAGGTGAGGCTATCCGTTGTGGTCCAGTAAATATACAAAAAGAGGTCTTCTGGGCAGACAACGATCGTCGAGCGCTGGCATCTCTGGAAGCTGAGGCATTCCGGTGAAGTGTTGCAAAACTCAGAGCTCTCCCATTTAACTGGTCACTAATCCATGTGGTTTCTCGACGCATTCTCTTGTGTGCAAGTGCCTGGCGCTCACGTGGAGTAAGTTGATGGCGCTTTGGTGGGACTGGAAAGACGAGACGCGCAGCTGGCTTGATTGATGTTCGAGCATCACTACTGACGGACCTAATGTGTGGTTGGCTGCTAATTCGGGGTGGCTGTATTTTGGTAGATGTACTACGTGGTCTGCTAAAGGAAGAATCACGTCCACTAGAACTCAATGGCCGAAATAATTCTGGCGGCTGCTTTCTAATTGCTGATGCAGAAACACCTGGTGTACCAGAGCTCTTGCTAAAGGGTATCTGAGGTACAATATTTCCTCGCACGCTAAGAGCCCGAGCTGCCTTTGAGCAATAAAGCAGACCCCTATCAGGAGATGCTTCAGATGCTATAAACCGGCGTGCCTGGGCTTGCATAAATGACTTCTTTGGGTCGATGAATACCAGATCGGTCTCTGACAGCCGGTCGCTGTCTTTGGATTGGACATCAGCGGGAAAACTACATTCAGCCTTAGTTGACATATTCTGCAATGATGTTCGTTGAATATTAGTTGTCTCAGAAATAGACTCGGACGGAGATTGGATCTCGCCATGCATACTTCTCAGCTGTACTGCATTGATCTCCTCTACCAAGTCAGGTACAGGGCGAGATCGAAGCTCTCCGCTTTCATCTAACGTAGACTGTGTCGAATAATACATTGAATTAGATCCTTCTGCACGGGTCTTGATAAATGTCACGTTTGCAAAGCATTTGCCAAGTTCTCTACTGCGTGCGGACCGCGTTGGCCGTGGGGACCGTCTATTGCTCATCACTGGCCTTGGCTGGTTAGCATCGATAAGACTCATCAGACTAGAACCAGGTGGTTTCTTGAGTGGAGACACGGCACGCGAAGAAATACTTTGCGAAAGTGCCGATGCCGTGCGTCCTAGAAGAACGTTCTCCAGCCTGCCCCTAGTAAGGGTCGCCCCTTGAGACTCAGCCCTTATTCCAGAAACTACCGCCGTCATATGCTGAACGGCTCGAACGGCAGAACGAGGAGATCCAGGGTCGCGTTTCGGAGATTTTCTAACCCGACCTGTGGGCGAAACTATCCGCTCCATTGACAAAAATTAGAATTTATTGTACTTGCTTGGAGTACGTTTCTGCAAGAACCATCGTAAACAAAAACAATATCAAACAGCAAGTTATTGTAGAACTAAGATGGCGCAATACCGAGCGGCGAGACACTCTAGTGCCACTTTTTAAAGGGGACTATTTCTGCTAAGTCATCTGTCTTCCCCAGCATAGAATCTGCAATCTCTGTGAACACAGACCCAAACTTCTGAGCAAACGCCTTGATCTGCTCCTTTTGGGTGTCTGTCAGAGTCCCTTGTCTTGGTCGTAAGGGGACATACAATTCAAAGGCAAGGCGCGTTACAACGTCTTGGTATTTTTGTTTAAAATCGTCCATCAGTGCGTCTTTTAAACGCTGAACCTCTCTTGGCAGCCTCATAAAGACAGCTCCCTGCTCCGTCCGATAAGAAGAAATTTTTAATCGTCTTTGGAGCTCCAGTACATGGAGTTTATTTTTCCAGATGATCACAGATCAAATGAGCCTGCCTCTGAGCACATTGAGTCTGCGCATATTGACCAACAAGATTGTGACAGTAAAAAGTCCGCAGTCCACGTTGCAACGCCTTTGGTAAATGAGCCAACCAGAGCTTCGAAAAGCCTGCAGTCTCTAAGTACAGCACTTCGCAGAACATTCGACTCCATACGAGAGAAGAAGGGCGATCATGACCCATCCATCCTCTCCTTCACAGAGGCAAGTATAGTCCTTCCATATTATCAGGTAGGAAAGACTGACATGCGGCGAGTCAGTCTCGGTCTTTATGCTATATACGTCTTCTTAGCATCAAGCTGGGTGGCCAACAAACTGGAATTTGGGTTTGAATACAGCAACAAGGTGTATACTCTGGATGAGGCGTCTACGGCACCGGGTTTAGCAGCAGTGATTCGAAAGACACTCCCTGCCGAGAAGTTTCTGTTTCGATTCACTGAGCCGTTTGACAATTCCATAGATTGTGCGCTTGCTAATGCAATCCGTGCTGCTCCATCCCTGATTCAATATCCTAAAGGGTTCTACTCTCTAACCGGGGTGTTTGCGGATCCAGGACTTAACCGTTACTTAATAGATGAAGCGCTGAGTTATCAGTATGGGATCTTGGACGGTCTTGTGGCCCGGGGAGTTGTGCAAAGAAAAAAGCGGCTCTTTTCTACGTCGTATCAGTTTTCGTCCACCATCATACCCGTGCTAACATGCCTAGTGCTGCATGTACGGAGCATAATGTTATCTAATTTTAGCTCTAACAGGCAGGATGATGAGAGCGAATTCAGCAAGTTAGATTGTGAAACATACAAATTGGCGGCGTTGTACTCTGCTTTCAGTATTTCTAAGCTTTCAGTAGACTACGATCCCAGCTTCCAGATTCCTCGGGCCAACAAGTCCAGACTGTCGGACCGCGTACGCATGCTTGCTAGCATGGCGGTGTTTCTTTGGAAATCTCCAGCTTTGATGTTACAGCCAGAGAACGTAAAGGCTCGAGACGCTGTAGGGGCTTCCCTGCTAGGGGAAGCGATGGCACTGGGCGTCCGCGTCTCCAATAGCGTGTTGTGATCGTAAATTTAAGCAAAACATTGGAGTCTTTAAGGTCAAGGCTTTAGGTTGGTGCGCTCAATGGGAGACATTAAGACGGCTACTTTCAAAGACTTATGCCCAGAGGATCGGGCGAAGATCCAAAAGCTACTTGGCGAGCTGGTCACAGTAAAGAAAGAGAAGGAGCTCCTAGAAGAGTCTGTGCGCGTTCAGTCGAGTAACCATCGTCGTGAGTTAGCCAAGATGAAAGCAGATAACCGCAACTTAATGGATAGACTCCGGCATTACATGTCTGTAGTGTCCCAAAGTACTGCAGGGGATGGCTCCCTATCTTCTTCAACAAATGGTCGACCAAAGTCCGCAGGCTCAATAAAGCAGAATAACGCAGACAGTTTACGAGACATACTGAGTTCAAAGAAGCCAGATACTGCGTGTAGAGGTACTCTTACGGAGATCAGTATGCAGAGCGGGCGGGTGGCAGAGGTGCAAACAGTGTCCTACCCCTTCTCTAGTTCAGGGCGTGACCTTCCTCCCATGGGCCCTGGTACTCACTTAATCTATCCGTACCCGCTTCAGCCTATGCTTGTAGGTGCTGACCAGTACAGCCACGAGTTGATGGCTCTCAAAGCGCAGGTGGCTGCCCTCTCTAGCGCTGTACCTACAGTTAAGTTTACTGGTGTGGATAGAGAAGAACGCGTAAAAGCCTTCTCCCCCAAATCGGCCACAATTAACAATATTAAGCTTAGCAGCACGTCTGCACGCGCACTGGGTGCGTTGCCGAGCGTTGAGGACCTCAATAGATCTCTTCCGACACTTTCCTTGGCCAACTCATCACATCTTATGACGAGCATGGATGCCGAAGGCAGGGCAACACAAGAGAAGAGCGCTTTCTCTACTGATTCGCTTAATATTTCTACATATACTCCATACGTACCAATCTCAGGTTCCATTTTGGATGCCATTCAAGAGACACTCCCGAATTTGAATTATATTGGAGGTTATCATCAAAATGTTAGTTCTCATCCAACAATGCCAAAAACTGACGATCAATACCTGGAGTCACCGCTCCAAGCTGCTGATAAAGCAACTAGTGTGTTATCTGATATTGCACGGCCAAATATCTCTACTTCATCATATCCTAGCAAACCGTATGACTTCTCCCAGTCACAAAGCGAAAGTCTTGTAGAACGACACCGAGATCCCAGCAAGGAACTTCTTTCATTAATTAACCACACCCATAATTTTGTCACACCCCCGTCTCAGTGTTCGACCCTTCCAGAAGACAGTCATAATATGGATACGCCCCAAGGGCCCGTCTCAGAAGCGTCTGCCTTAACTGGTACAGCAACCCGCCCACTGCGCAAGGTACATACGCCACAGAGTGTGCACAAAGACAAGGATGTGTATGACATCATGGAACCTCCTGGAGCGAGCTTTACCACTCCCCAGGTATACTGCGCCACTGCACAAAGGGGTGTAGAGACGCCAGTGAAGCTAGAAGTCATTGAGCCTCCGTCAATGCTAAGGAACACGCCTTCTCCGGTTGTAGAGCAACTAATTAGCAGATCACCCACAAGCTCAAGCATGCAGCCTATGGTCACGTTACCAGGGTCTGATCGTGGATATCACGAGCCACTTGATCGTCTTTCTGTCGAAAGTGCACAAACTTTACCAAGAGACATGATCAATCTTCACACAAACAATCAAGATCAATTATACCCTCATGAGTACTTGCTAGACTTTACTGAAAGACGCCCATTTCCATCAGACTTTGATCCCTCTCCACCTGCTGCTCCTGTGCAACTCAAAGGAACCCGGCCTAACCAAGATATCATAGTAAAGAGCATGACCAAAGCTAGTGCAGAAGGTTGGAGAGGCGGGGGGAATCACTACATACATAGTACACAGATCAGCGACGATACACAGACAGTGGTGCGATTTCTCAATTCCTAACTTGTATCTCTGTAAATCGAAAACTGACAATGACCTTCTTGGCGCTTTTTCTCCTTATAGGCCTTGCCTCTATTTTTTGTGGCTCAGTATTGTCATCGCTAACCCTGCGGCTCATACTGGAACTAGCTCCCAAGCTGGAAAAGGCCGGTTTGTCTGGCAGAGACCTGAACAAGGCTGTCTCTGAGAAGATCCCTGAGGACGCTGGCCTGGGGCCCTCTGCGATGTTTTTACTTACTATATCTCTTTGGAGTCTCGTAATGCCCCGCTCTTCTACGCTTCTGAGCGCTGGGTTCAGCATCATGGCATCTTCATTCCTGGGGTTTGTGGACGACGTAGTGAATCTCAGATGGCGTTACAAACTTATCGTGCCCTCCATAACCTTGCTCCCTTTGGTAGGTGCATACAGTGGTAGTGGACTATCTCTAGGGCCTCTTCGGCTTACCTCCTCTATGACAAAGCTGTATTGTCTTCTGTTTGCCATCTTTTCCCAGAACGCGGTTAATATTTATGCAGGCATTAACGGCCTGGAGGTGGGACAGTCCATAGTCGCGTGCACTTTTCTTCTTCCAATAGTTCTTTACAAGCTCTATGTGGCATTAGATACCACACGCTATGCAGAACATCTTGCTCCCTGGCAGCGACTTCTGTCACATCCTTCTTTATTGTCATCCTTGGTGATTATAGTATGCTTTCTGGCAGTTTCTCATCCTGTGTATTTACTAAACAGATATCCTAGCAGAGTGTTTGTTGGGGACATCTACGCTTACTTTGCAGGGTCTGTCTTTGCATCAGCGTGCATTCTTAGCGACACTCTTATTGCAGGTCCTCTCTTGTTTCTTCCGCAAATACTTAACTTCGTTCTTTCAGTACCGCAATTATTTGGCATTGTGCCTTGTCCCCGACACCGTCTTCCCCGTTTTTCACAGGACCATGGAACTCTAACGGGCGTGGCCACACACCTCAATCTTATAAACCAGTATCTCCGCATCCGCGGACCCCTTTCTGAAAAGAGGTTATGCCGTGAGCTTCTCTCTATTCAGGCAATTATCAGCGCTTTTGTTGTATTGTTCTTCGTGCTTGCGCGAGGGAAGGTTGAAAATAGTTTTGTCGGCGTTCACCGAAAGCTCTAGACTCTAAGCTGTGACTGCTCAACCAACTGCAACAGCCACTGAATCATTCCTTCATATTGGAACGCTGGAAGGCAGCCCTGTTTACTTTTTCTTTCCCTTACTCTTGTTCTTTTTTCCTGGATTGGCCTCCTCAACTTGTTCAACTGCTCCGCTTGATAGGGTACACTCATACTCCCCTTTGCACAAGCTCTCCAACAAACTCATAAGCTGGTCAACGCCCTTGGGGCTAACAGAAAACTTCACGGACCAGCCTGTAGAGGTATATTCCCCGTCACCCAGGAAGTTTACGCCTATTTTCACAGCTGTCGCCTGGAGTTTGGAGACCGCGCTATATGGAACCGACAAAGAGCCCTCTATACCTCCTGGGTGCAGTAAAATGATATCCTTCTTTTCTAACATCTCTACAATCCCCGGTGCCTGCGCACTTGCTTCTATAAAGGGATCTATCTTAAGCCCAATGACTTGGTCCATAGCCGCAAGAATCCGGGCAACCGGGACTATGGAGTTGGTGTTGCTCAAGTAGTTATTGTGTAAGAAGCCTGCTATCTCTTGCTTCTTTTCTTCCACACGCCGCCGGCGCTCCTGAGTCGACAGGGACACGTGGCCGCGAGTTAGTATTTCCTGGATGGCCTCTGCCTCTGTTGCGCCCGCTTCCTTAATAGCAGCATCTGTGGCGCGCTCCCCTTGCTTTGCATCGGAGTATATCACATTTGTCACCAAGACGTTGTCCAGACTCGTGCTCTTGTTTTCTCTCCACTTGATCACAGCATCCTGATAGCAAATAACCTCGAGCACGTTCTTGGAGAGCTTTAAGGAAACAACCTGGTGGTTTGCTGTAGCCATTGTCGAGTCCTTTAAAATTCTTTTTGCGTAAGAAGGACAATGACAACTAAAAACTGTCTGAGTCATCGGGGTCCCTATGACCAAAAATGGAGGTACTCTGCCGTTCTCTGCTAACATAATTGATGATCCCAGTCTTTGCTAGAGCCACTTGCAACAATTCGGCACTCGGTTTATCGCCTCCAAACTCGTCAAATCCGAGAAACTTCTTCTTAAGGATGCCTTTGTCAAAGACACAAAGGGTGGGGAGGGTCTTTATCTTCAGTTTATTGACGAAAAATCCCGCTCCTAGGGCATTAATCTTGATAAATCGGACCTTAAGGTGTATTGACGCCACATTTTCTAGAATGTCATTCAGAACTTTGCATGTATTAAACTCAGGGTGGAAGAAGTGACACACTACAACCTCAGACTGTTTGATACTGTCCAGAAACACAGCCTCCTCGACTTCCAGGAGCTTCCCATGATTATGCTCCAGAACCTCCTTTTGCAGGTTAAACTCATTCTGCAACTCTTCTCTGCGCTTCATTATGTACACATCTAAACTATTATCGATAGCTAGGTCATCATCTGAGCTACTGAACGAGGGAGTAGAGGACGCCATGATTCAAATTTCAATAGTTCAAATTTCAAATTTATATGCAACCTTGTTCTTTTATGCAGTTGTTCCTTCCACGGTTTAGTTACGACTTCTTACTGTCCGGCTTCTAATCTATAGTTTAAAATTTGAACTCTGGACTGGTAAGTCTCGGGATTCATGTCCTGCTGGACTTACTATGCGCTGGCCATCTATATCTTTATACAGAGAGTGCATCCATTGACTCCTTTCTCTGTCTCGGGCGTTGCTGTGTAACTGCAGGCTAGACATCTTTGCCCTGTGGACGTTCAGAAATCTACAATGCCTAGTCACGGAGTTTTTTCCAAGGGTGTCTACCTCTGCCTCTAGGCTTGCTCTATCAGCAGTTATTGTGCTTACCTATAGCTATGGTCAGCATACTACCTCCATTTCAATGGTTCTCTCCTAACAATCCGATAACTCAGTCATTAACCTAATCTGCTCTTCTACGGTAGATAAGCCTTTGTACCACCTATGACTAACTATTGCTAGTTCTGTCTTACATACTATATAGGATGCACGTAACTACATGCAGTTAGGTTCCTTGCATTTACCATTAGCAGTCAACCGCGAGCGCTCTGTACTAGCTGTCGTCTCCACATTGCACTTTGCTTAGTCAAAGTGCATGCTCTAGCTAAGATGAGGTCGATTTCTTCGCAGAAAACACAGCAAAGGCTGATAGGACAACGAGCAGAGTACACGAGCTGTCGCCAGTGACTGTCTGAGGCGCTTCTACCGGCAGGACTATAGACTCATGATATTCAGTGGCTCCGTTTACTGGGTCATATCAGGGACTGGCGGTAGTCGTAGGACTCGCCCCGCATGAGCGATGTGTACTTCGCCCCGCGCTTGGGCCGGCCGCCCCTCCTGAAGACGAACCACCAGACGAGGAAGCCGGCGACGGCCAGGACGAGGAGGACGACGATGACGATGGCGGCGATTGCTCCCCCGCCGAGCCCGCCCCGCCGGTAGTAGCCGGGGTCGAGGCAGTTGACGCTCCCGCCGCCCTTGTCGGTCAGCTCGCAGGTCGTGCACCCCGCGAGGCCCACCCAGCCGTCCATGCCCCCGGTGTCGCTGCAGCCCATGCACGCCGTGTGGTAGACGTCCGGGGAGATGGGGACGGCGTTCTCCGCGCAGCTCTCGCACTTGAGCCCCGTCGCGCAGACCCGGCAGTTCGCGATGTCGCACGGCTGGCACTCCCCGAGGTCCTCGTCGGGGTACGTCGAGCCGCCGCAGCTGGCGCAGTCCTTCGTGCACGCCGCCGTCCGCGGGCAGAGGTACGCGCCGGCCGTGCAGTGCTCGCATCTATTGGGGTCGTCGGCCACGCACAGAGCGCACAGCTCCACGGTGCATGTGGGCGGGGGCGCCTCGCAGACGGTCTTGCCCTGGTCCGTCTCCTTGAGATACCCGTCCTTGCACTTCTGGCAGACGACGTTCTTGGCTCCCCCGTCCCCCACGGTGCTGCGGCAGACGATGCAGTGCTGGACGCCTACATAACCGTTTCCATCGGAGTCACACTTCACGCACTGCCCAGGCTGCCCTCTTCTCTCAGTCGCGATGTAGTATCCGAAGAGACACGTCGTGCAACCCGTGCTGCTGCCGTCATTACACGTTGAGCACCCGGCGGCGCACGGCCTGCACGCCCCCGTCGAGGAGTCGCTGCCGGACACCTCGAGGTAGTACCCGTCTGCGCACCGGGAGCACGAGGTCCCGTCTACACAGGAGAGGCAGTTCTCCGCGCAGCGCGCACAGGCCCCGCTGGCGTTGTAGTAGCCCGGGCCCAGCGCCAGGCAGCTCCCGAAGCACTTCGTCTTGTCCTCCTTCATGATGAGAGGCTCGAAACAGGCGTCGCACGTCGTGGCAGAGTCCTTCAAGCACGCCTGGCAGCCCTGGACGGCACACCCTTCGGGCGTTGCGGGCGGGAGGGCCCGGGGGCACGCGCCATCCTCGCCGGGCTCCGTCGAGTCCGAACACCTGGTGCACACAACCTTGGCGGGGTCATCACTGGCGAGCGAGCAGCCCCCACAGTTGGCCACTCCCCCCACCGTGTCGTCCCAGCAGGCGAGGCACTTGGATGACTGGCCATCTGCAGTGATGGTTATCACACTCGAGGAGTCCGAGGACGCACATGTAGTGCAGACCCCACCGACCACTGCGGAGCAGATCGACTTCCCGATGGGGTGGGTGATGTCGTAGCAGCCGCCGTAGAACAGGAAGAACTCGGGGGTACCGTCTGCGGTCTGCTTGGTGCTGCAGGCCGTGCACGACCCGCCGCTGCACGTGTGTCCGTCGGTCCCGTCCGAGCTCTGGCCGATGCAGACGCCGTTCAGGGGGTAGTGGTCGGGCTGGGCGCACCTCTTGCAGAGCACCCGGCCGTTGACGTAGATCTGGTCCTCGGCCGCGCAGATGGCCTGGGCGAGGGGGCCGTCGACGGAGTAGCAGCTCCCGTAGAAGAGCATGAAGCCGGAGGAGCACGCGTCGCAGAGCCCGTTGCCCCGGGGGTCGGAGCACCCGGCGAGCGCGGCCAGGGCGGAATAGTTGGAGAGGCACCGGCCGTCGACGGGCACGTAGCCTATTTTGCACTGCGTGCAGAGGGTGGGCTTCGAATCTGCGCTCGTGAGCACGTTCATCCGGCAGCGCTCGCAGAAGAGGGTCCCGTCCAGCCCGTAGCACGCGAGGCAGGAGGTGGCAGACGAGCTCGCACTGGGGTTCCTGAGGAACTTCGACCCGCAAGAGCCGCAGACAGAGCCAGTGGTGTCAGATTGATTAGGACACACAATGCTGCCGGGAGAACTATCAAACTTGTAGCACGACCCGTAGTGGAGGAAGTAGCCGTTGCCACATGTCGTGCACACGCCCTTACTGCATGTGTTCCCCGCAGCACTCCCAGCCGGCACGCACACCCCGTCGATCGGGACGTCGCCCTCGATGGCGCATGCCCCGCAGTACATCCCCTCCTCGACGATGTGCTTCTCCTTGCATATGGCGTTGATCAGGGATGCCGTGCGGTAGCACCCGCCCCTGTAGAAGAGGAAGTCCCGGATGCAGCCCGAGCAGGAGCCCGGAGTGGGGTTGCTGCCCGTGGGCACTATGCATATGCTCCGCGAGAGGCTCAGCAGCCTGCAGTCTCCGTTGACGGGGACCCGCGCTCCGTCGCACTTGGAGCAGTACTTCTTGCCGCCGATCGTGACGTTGCAGACGCCGGTCGCACCCCCGCAGTCGCTGTCCTGGGTGCACTCTGAGAAAATACCGTGCAGAAGAAGAAGGATGAGAGCCCTCATGTGAATCCCTGAGGATACAAGTTTTTAATGTGTCCGGATCAGCAAGGATCCGCCACACTACCTCTGCTGTGGAGGCTCCCGGACGCCCAACCTCCGCATGGTCGAACGGCGGCCCCGGAGTCGGCACGGAGCAATCCTCGGAGGGCGAGTCGAGCCCTGTCCCTCGGGGCTGCACAGGTCCTGCCACTCCGTGTGCCGGTCTTTTGCAGAGGCCAGCCGAGCGGACCGAGTGGGCGGCGCCTGCACGCAACGGCCGGGCGGCGGGTCCGAGCCACCCGGTGCAGGGACCGCCCATGCTGCGCCGGCCTCCCACGGCTGCAGGCGTGGCTCGGCGCCTATGCTACGCAGTCGAGCACCCGATGCTTCGGCAGGCCGGGGAGCGCCATCGAGCGACGCGCTATTTTAAATCCACGGCCGAGCTGTCCACTGCTCTGCACATCAGGCATTGCCTCCGGGGGTTCCGGGCCAGAGCGGGTCTGTTGCAGTGGGAGGGGCAGCACTGAGCGCTCCGACGCACCCGTGCCAACTGATAGGGGCCGTCGGGGGATCCAAAAGTGCATTACGTCCAGAGTGCAGATTGACGGGACAGCCGGGCCTGGTTCGTCTCCGTCTTCACACAAGAGCGGGGAGGTGGGTTTACTCGTGAGACCCTTGGACCGCGGCTGCAGGGGGCTCAGTACTAGAGCGCTAGAAATAGCTGGCTGTCGAAGTAAATCGTCGCTTTCCGGGGATGACATCTTCCTCGACCAGGGCAGCAGAAGAGACCCTCAATGCATCTGCCGGTGTTGGGGTGCATCCTACCCGTCAGCGGCGCTTCATGGCTCCACCGGAAAGCCCGATCGTCCGCTTCTTGCTGTGCTCAGAGGACAGAGAACTAGGCAGGCGTAATCCCATCCGCCCACCGGAGGGCTATGAGTGCCCCCCTCGTCCCATCGAGCAGCACCAGGCGCAGAAGAGGTCTGCCGGAAATGCGCCAGATGCAGTCAACGCTTTTCTGGGTGTAGTGTTAACAGAATCACACGCTACGACGCGTCCCAGACAGGCTCCACCTGGCAGCGGCGCCCCAGAGACGGGCCCCGGGGGACAAAGTATCTCCGGCTCTGCCCCTGCTCCAATGCGAGCGGCCCGCGGACAGAGCCAGGGACGGGGGCCAGTGCTCGGCCTGCTGCTGGTGCGGTAGCGCCGGGAGACCACCGGACCATCGACTCGGCCGCGGCAACCGGCGGAGCGCCCTGGGCTGCTGCTGTGTCCACACGCCTGGAGTGCACCGCAACAGCCCGGGATGGGTCCGCAGACAGGCGTGCCGCCCCAGCCGTCCCGGGGGCCGGCTCCTCGTGGCGGGCGGTCCTGCTCCCTTTGACTTTTCAAATGGAGAACGCAGTTATGGATCCTAGCCCTGCTGCAGAAGGTGCCTTATGAGACGCAGCACAGTCACACCAAGCAGTATTGGGGCTGAACACTCCTTGGGACGGGCTCCTGACGCATCTGAGAGACGCTCGTTGCTGTGCACTGCCTCTCGGGCCTTGGATGCATGTTGTGCAGAGCTGCAGGGGTCGCCCTTGCAGTTGTCGGTGGGCCGTTGATGGGGCCATTGAAAGCTCTGGACCGCTACTGGGCCGTGCTGTCCCAGTGCACGTGTGGCAGCTTTGGCTCGCACTGGATGGTCCGCAGAGATTGCAACGGAGCCACGAGGTGCACTAGTATGACATCCACATTGAGACAGTCGCAGTTCTATTCGGCTCAATCCACCTCCTTCTGGCCCTGTGCCGAGATTGCAGATTGCAGAGTAGTGTTCGCGATAGACCCGGTGAGTGTTGATTCCATCAGCGCCTGTGGTCAACGTGTGTCCGAAGGATCAATCAACTGCATCAATCGACGTGGATTGACTGATGTACCGCGAGTATGTTCCTACCAATCTATCAATCGGGCAATGTTTGGCAGTTTTGTTCTCGCGGGGGTACTCGTCCAGATTGCATGGGCAGAAAAAGTAGCAGAGCGCGCGGCTCAATGCGCAGATAACACTAATTGCGCAGCAGAAGCATGCAACGTTCTGATTGATGGTAAATTGTATTGCTCTAAATGCAAGACAGAGCTCGTTGGTCACGCTCCTGTCAACGGGGTATGCGCAGATGTGTCGTCAAGCAAGGAAATATGTAAAATAAACGCAGAAGGAAAATGTACTGAATGCGCTGGGCAATCCTTCATGTACAAAGGCGGCTGCTACCAAACGAGTCAAGCACCTGGCAGTAGCATGTGTCAAGCGGCAGATGCTGGTAAATGCACGACAGCTCCCGAATCGAAGGCTTACTTTGTAGTTCCAGAAGTAGATAGGAAGCCAACCGGACAGACCGTTGTTTCGTGCGGAGACGCGACGGGCGTGACGCTTGCTGACAAGACGTACAAAGGCGTGGATGGGTGCACGAAGTGCGAGGCACCTGCGCCAGCCGATGCCAGCGGGGCTAAGGCGGCGACGTGTACTGCGTGCCAGGCGGATAAGTATCTGAAGACAACTACGGACTCAGCCACCTCCTGCGTAACAGAAAAAGAGTGCACGGATGCCGCAGGCTTCTTCGTCGATACAACGGGCGGTAAAAAATGCAGCAAGTGCGATCCTGGTTGCAAGACCTGTAAGACCGAGGCTGCGAAGTGCACCTCTTGCAAGGACGACAAGCCGTACCTGAAGAAGGATGCCGGTGACACTGGCACGTGCGTCACTGAAGCTGATTGCAAGAATGGAAACACCCACTACGCCGACGACACTGAGCCGAAGACGTGCAAGACGTGCGCCGAGGGGACCTCCGACGGGTGTGCGACGTGCGAGAAGAGCGCCGATGGAGCAGTCGCCTGCAAGACGTGCGGAAACCAGAAGAAGGTCCAGCCAAACAAGAAGGGGTGCATAGCAAAGTGCCCGGAGACGGTGAGTGCCGAGAAGGATGGCGTTTGTGAGTGCGTTGAGGGCTACGTTCCCGACAACGCGGGCACCGGGTGCACGAAGAAATCCGACCCCCAGTGCAACACCCCCGGCTGCAAGACGTGCAGTGAGCCGAAGACAAGCAAGGAGGTGTGCACAGAGTGCGAAGACGCTAAGGCCCTCACGCCCACGGGCCAGTGCATCGATAACTGCGGAGATCTGGGAGGCTACTACGCGGGCACCAACGAGGGGGGCAAGAAGGCCTGCAAGAAGTGCGAGGTCGAGAACTGCCTCCTGTGCAATGGGCAGGGACAGTGCGAGACCTGCAAGGACGGGTACTACAAGAGCGGAGCCGCCTGTGCCAAGTGCGATACCTCGTGTAAGACGTGCGCGAACGGGAACTCCAACGGGTGCACGAGCTGCGAGTCTAGCAAGGCCCTCAGCTACGAAGGAGAGGGCACGGGGACGTGCAAACCAGGATGCGAGCCAAATGCTAACAACTGCGAGAAGTGCGAGCTGACAGTCGATGGCACGGCCTACTGCTCCAAGTGCAAGGACGCCAGCCAGTTCCCGCAGAACGGAGTCTGCTCGGCGGCGGCCGGAAAGGCTATTACGTGCACTACTCAAAGAGATGGTGTCTGCAACAAATGCGCCAACGGATTCCTTCGTATGAACGGGGGCTGCTATGAGACGACCAAGTTCCCCGGAAAGAGCGTCTGCAAAGAGGTACTGCAGAATGGGGATACCTGTCAGACTCTGGCCGACGGATACAAGCTGGATAACGGTGCGCTCACCACTTGCTCGGCCGGATGTAAAACGTGCACTAGTAACACCGTGTGTACTGAATGCATGTATGGGTATGCAAAGACTAATAATGAGTGCAAAGTATGCACCACTGGCTGTGCTACGTGTGCAGGATCCACCTCAAATTGCGACATTTGCAGCACTGGGTACTACAAATCTGGGAGTACCTGTGTGTCTTGCACAGCAAATACCGCTGATGGCACCATCACCGGCGTCGCCAACTGCGCCAACTGCGCTCCTCCACTTAACGATAAAGGGTCTGTCCTCTGCTACCTCGTACAGAGTGGCGAGAACACCAACAAGAGCGGTCTCAGCGCGGGCGCTATCGCGGGTATCTCCGTCGCAGTCATCATTGTTGTCGGCGGTCTTGTTGGGTTCCTCTGCTGGTGGTTTATGTGCAGAGGCAAGGCGTAGACTTAGATAGTAAATGCGTCGACGAATTCTGTTTGTGGGTCTGACCTAGAGCCACACAGGCAAACTGTCCCAGTATGGTCTCTCTAACCGCAAAGTGAGTCAGTGTACGGGACCACCGTCCCTAAGAGAAGCAGGCCCTCTAAAGATGCCTTCCACCTGTTTTAGCTTTCAAGAAGAGCATGCGCTCCGACCACAGAGCTGCGATCCGAACATGATGCGGACGATAACTGTACCCAGTGCTAAATGAGTAGAAGGCCTGTTACAGTATGTTGCCGGGCCAGACATGGGCATCGTCCAGTAGCTAAATCGCTAAGTCTAATGAAATATAGAATAAGGTACCTCTGAATATCTACAAGAAACGGCCTTCTTCGCCCTCAAGTCAAAGAACATGATATTCCACAAAGCATAACAAACTAAGTAAGAAAAGACTGTGTCTATAGCTTGGCTTCAAAGGTACTCTCAAGTCAATAAAAAGAACAGACACCGAGTAACACTTGACATACGAGCCCTGGTCAGACATGGATGCCACCGAGAGATTCCAAAAATGCATTGGTATCGAAGTGCAAAACTGGCGGGAGAAACCCAAATCTGTGATCTCCCCGTACTTTTGAAAAGGCTACAAAGGAAGGGGATTTACCTGTGCGACTTCTAAATCAGTTCTGTAGACAAAGGGCTCAGTAACCCACTACTAGAGCTAACCAGTGTATGGAGTGAACCTTTCTTAAAAATAAAAATGAATCTTCCAGACCTAAAGGAGCTCCGGATCTTCGGGGTCTCAAATTGTAACTCAAGCATCTTAACAAGCAAGCAGTTTCCTTTGTATCTGGACCTAGGATACCACATGGGATTGATGACCGGGGCCCAAAGGGAATACATCGACACTCTCTGCGACCACGCTTCTGTGCAGCGTAAAAAGGTGAGAGATCTCCAGTGCACTCTGCGAAAAAAATGTGAGGGTGCCGCAAACATATCACACTCGTATACCTTGGAAAAGTGTTCGTCACTACGACTCAGCAATCTGCAAAACACACAACCTAATGTCCAATCAACTCCTGTCAAGCCATATCTTTCTTTTAAGTATAATAAGAATACAGAACTCCCCGTAATAATAGACTGTTTTGCTGACTCTGATGAAGATTTTTCAAGCCTTTTAGGAAAGATAGCAGAAAGAAGGTCTCTCAGTCCGTCAGCCATCAGAGAAGAATGGTTCTTCAAACGATCTGTCTCTCCAGAGCGGCAGGATAAGCTCCCGAAACTCGGCTACACGAAGCTTCGAGAAAAGCTCTCTCCCCCCAAGTGCCATAGCACATCCATACCATCTTTACCTCCCCTAGAATAGATGTGATCTAAGCAGTTATTACAATCAACTTACAACGTCGCATTTATTTCCCTTGGAGAGCCAATAGAATGTTCGCACACACACCAACGGCAAGATCTAAGTAGCACGGCTCAGCGCCGGTAGAATCTACGAGAGTATAGCCCTCATCGCTTTGACGTATCAACGCGCCGCAGTGAAGCATGCGTGGCTTCCTGCGCTTCTCTAAGATGGCACGACGGGCAACCCACTCATCAGTGACCTCCGTTAACTCACTGAAAAATCGCTGGGCATCAGTATAATTTGCTGACGCCTTGTACGTTGCTATATGCAGAAGAAGCTTGTTCACGGCGTTGAGAATGATAGGAACAGCCTCCTTCTTGATAACAACTTTGAAGATACCATCACCTGTCTCCGGGAATTCTATGGTCTCCGGAGCCCACTTTAGGCACGCCTGAAGAATAGCATAGCGCGCCTGGCAATGCGCCTGCAGCCACTTTTTACTTTCCGGCGAGTAATGGATCAATCCCATCACTCCAGAGAGAATCATTTGATAGACGCTAAAGTAAGGCAGCCTCTCTGCATCGTCCGGACTAAGCTGGAATATCTGATGCACCACCTTAGATGTGCAGAGGTGTAAGGACGTCGTCTCTGCTTTGCACTCCTCGAAGGCATTGCTCATTGCCCCAAAGACGCTTGAGTACGTCTCTCCATCCTTGTAGCATGTTGTTAGCTTTCCTCCATTCTCATCTAGAGGATTCAAAATCCCGTTCTGCAGATCGCTCTCCTGTAGGAGCTTTGTTGTCCCGTGCCCGAAGAGTTCGTGGAGTGCGACATTTATTGTTAAGGTCATAAGCGCATACTTCATATAATCATTGACGATATCATCAGGAAGGTAGTCTGTGGTGGTTCGTGAGGTCGAAGAGGCCTGCATAACGTTAAGAAGGCTCACATTCTTGAATCCAGTGTTCGTGCGGACATCATCGTAGTTGGGAATATTAATTCCAATGGGCATGCCTGTAGCTGGAAAGACCATAATATTGATAGCGTTGTAGACGGGCGGGATAAACTTGTCTCTCTCCAGGGCGCGTGGGTAGGGAAGAAGGGGGAGTATCTCTGAGGCACGCTCCACCAAGTTGTGCAGGGCCTTGGAGACATCGGGGTCGACACATGCGACGAAGGCCTCATACTCGGCGCGAACACCGCTGGGGTCGCGGTACGTCTCCACGAAGCCTTGGTACGTTTCAACAGTGACGTCCTTATCCTGGACCCAGTGCTCCGAGTATCTCTTGTGGAGGTCGCAGTCCCCTGTCCTGTAGTGCTCGACGAGGGCATCAAGCATCTTCCTCTGCGAGTCGTTGTCGGCGAAGTCTCGCGCCTTCTTGAGCCAGTAGCATGCCTTGGCCAGCTCTGCAGACCCTCGTCCGCGGGTCACGTGAACCTCCTTGCCGTTGCAAACTCCTATTGGCTCACCCCTCTCTGCAACCTCAACGGAGGCGAGGGAGATCTCGTACCAGGTGTCGTGGCGTATCACATGAGAGTTTTCATGCATCATCTTCTTCGCCGTCATCAGATCGTTGATCTGCTTGGCCTCGCTCTCTGAGAAGTCCGCCGGCTGGTAGTATGCTGTGCATCCCGCTGGGTGGAAGCCAAGCGAAAGCTGCTCGGGCGCTGTATCGTACATTCCGTCCCTCGCTGTATAGAAAGCATCAACGAGCCCTGTTCCCTTGTGTGTTGACTCTCCCAGAAGCTTGACCACGACTTCTAAGCTCTCCTTAGTGCAGCGTGGGATGAATTTCGTATCCCCAAACCCAAGATACTCAGAGCAATTGAAGTAAAAGTGTCCAGCGTAGTCGTGCAGATACTGGAGTGTTTCGCGGTTATCTACCCCAACTGCAGTCTCAACAGTCTTCAGTGCGGCTCCCCTGTCAGGCGCCTCTATGTGGATCTTCAAGTACTCCGCAAGGAACGCGTGGATGCGGCGCGTGTGCTGGGAGCATTGATCGAAGAGGACGGGGGCTCCAGCAAAGGCGGCGAGGGAGAGGAACGTAGCATACTGCTGCTGCCGCTCAGTGAGCTTAGCGAAGCTCTGCGATGGCTTCAAGTTAGAAACGGGTCCATCTGTCGGGCAAATATACTTCTCAGGCAGCATGGAAATTTATATTCCCCCCTCAGAGGCTTTTTAGTCTTTTTTGAAATGGCACTAAGAGACTCAAGCACATGACTCCCTACTTGTTTACTAGAGTGCTGGTGAAGTAATAATACCTACGGGTCATGAATGTATGTCCTTAGATGAGTTTATTTGTACCAGGCCTGCGTACGGTTGACTGCAGATGTAAAGCAAAAAAGATCTCTCAACGCTGCGTGTACATCTCTGCTGAGTTTGTGGGATTGAACTTTTAGAAGCAGAAACTCAAGGATTGTTTGGGGACGCTGAAACCATGGAATAAAATATCTAAGATACCTTTCAACAACTACATTTCCACATGCATACGAAAAGAGAGTGCTAAGGGATGTGGGCTCGTGAGACTCCACAGGAGAGTGTCCGAATAGTGTCCACACTGTCGTGAATATACAATTTAGCTCGTTGGTGACATCGTATGCTAACCACATATGACACAATAATGAAGTAAATAAACCACCAAATGGGTAAGCCCGCAGGGACTCTGTGACACAAGACAGTACTCTGCAGAACAAGGAGATAGGAATCTTGTATTCATGAAAGGCCTTAAGCAGAGTGTAAACTTCAGGATTGTGGATTGCGAGTTGTGTATATCGACGTTGCATTACATTGAGAATATTATAAAACCTAATACACAGGTGTTTTGCTTGTATCACAGAGTCAAAGGCAAGAGGTGAGACGCAAGTATCAAGGGTTCCGCAATTGAAATGGAAGTATCCATCAAGTGACTTTCTATAGTGGTAATCCAGGACATAATCATACCTATCATCAAGCCTGCATGTCCGCAACGGATCTCCAAAAAGCTCCCTGTAGATTAAATCATGTAGAGCTATGTCGATGGTGTCTTCAATGGCACAGTGAGCTTGTTTTGTTTTTCTATTTCTTGTAGAAGCAGATGTCCCGCCACTCACTGTTCGGCCTCGCCTACGCTTGATCTGTGGCTCAGCAACCTCAAGTAGGGTCGATAGTAGGCTGGCAGATGAGTTATCCACATATCTACAGACTTGAGGACCTCTCAAGAGAGCGACCTGATTAGACAAATATGAATGCAGTGTCTCATATGTCGGAAACCTTTGGACGGTCTCACTAGACGACTCCATTGTCGTAGCCTCGTCCTTCGTAAGCATCATATCTTGGCTCTCTAAGGTTGCGCCTTGAAGGGTATTGTCGAACACTATGTCATAGAAGCCTTTGGACTCCTCTGTTGAGGTTTCGCGGAGGGAACCGCAGCAGAATACAGGGCTGATGTCCACAGCATAGTCGTAAGAAGAAAAGTAGCATTGCTGCGAATCAAGATATGTATTGGAGACGTCGCCTAATAAGTTCCTCAGAGTGTGGGATTGGACACTACTGGGGATGTATGGAACGGGAGAGTTCGCTGCCAATGAACAGTACGGATAAACCAAGAAGTCATATGTACGGGCCAGCTCAACCACTTGTGATGGAAGAGGTCCCACCAAGCATTGATTACCCAAAGCACTCTTTCTATCTCCACTGGATTGTCTAATTGTAGAACAGTTAGAGACAAGTGTGGATTTATATTTATCAATTGTTTTGACATAGTCTGCAAGAATGGTCAGTAGTTTGGTAAAGGAGATTGTCTCTGCAAAGAAACCCTCCGAGATTGCATATACCTTCTGGTGATTAGAGGCTCTCAACCAGCCCATTAGATAGGAGCTCACCAAGATCTCCTCAGCGTGCACTTGAAAAGTGTACTTTGTACAGAGGTGAGAGTAGGAGCTCTTGCAAGGGACGGTGCCATGGCTAGCAGTAATGCAGGAGGAGCCGTCAAATTGAGTGTGTCTTTTACGGTAGATGGTGGTAGCAGGAGACCACGTGTGGACGCCCTTGGTGAAGTTAGCTTCCGAGTATATGACTATAAGCTCGCCGATCACAAAAGGCCACCAGTGCTCCATAGAGCTGTACGTGCTAGCAACCCGCTCCAAGGAATACGTGTGGAAGGGCGGTCGGCAGAAGCGGTCTCCCAGCTTCATCTGATCAACGATCTTGATGGATATACCGGGCGGGGTGGTTGTGTTGTCAACAACGAGGTATGCCCGTTTCCTGGATGAGAATATATCGTGATACAACAACTGTGAGGGCAGCGCACTACAAACCAAGTCCCCGTGTGCCGGAGAGTACTCGTTGCAGGCAGTTCTTCGTAACCGAGCTTTTTCCGCGCGTGCTTTTTCAAGGTAGATAGAAACGCTACTATTTAGATGCGGATGCTCTACTTCAGCTTTCAATGCAGTATGTGATGCGATAACAGGCTGGGCTGGACTCAGATCACACGTTCTAAGCTCGCCAACAATGTCATGCGGTAGAGCGAAGATCATAACTCCTCCAGAGCAGATTTCCGAGTATCCCGCTTCTAGTAGAGAATTAACACGCTCGGAAGTATACGTAGCACCCTCGGAGCCCAGGACTTCGCGCTTAGATTTCTTTGAGCTGCCCGTGTTCGCCTCCTTAGAAACACGCAGCATAGCCTCAAGAAGCTCTACCCTTTTCGTATGATCTATGCGACTTGCACTATCAGGCCCCAAAATGCTGTGGAAGCAAGAAGCAACGGGGGCGAGCTCATAAGGCATGCATTTTCGTTTAAGCTCATGTTCAGAGTGCTTGATTCAACGGATTGGAAAGGACAGAGTCACCCAGGGATCAGTTTATTACAACATTCCACAGCTTGATACATGCATCTTTACCCCATGTTAGAAGAAGGGTGGAGGATACCTTTCCGGGGTCATAGAGGGATGTGACGTGATGGAGATCCTGATCCATAAATAGCATGCCCATCACCTCGTCCGTGTGAGTATGGAAAGATCCGATAGCGGCAGAGCAAAGGACGTCCCACACACAGACCGACATGTCTTTGCCACAGCTATAGAGTAGTTTAGAACTGTCGCTCCAGAGAACGCACCGTATCTTGTTGCCTTTGTGACCCACGAGCTGGCCAATAGGGGGCTGAGGGACTTCATTCCCTGGCTCCCCTGCCTGAAAGATGAGAATCTTTCCAGAGTGGTCACAGGTAAATATATACCGGGAAACAGGGTGGAAATCTATCCAGCGAATAGGAGACCCATGGTTCGGGGCCTTCTTATCATTTCCTAAGCGAAACGCGAGTACGGGAGGCGCATTGACTACCTGTCGAGGCTCTTCCAGATTGAAGACAGGTATTCCGAGACCCTCGTGAGTACCCAAATAGAGCTTCCCCCCGACATCGTCGTAGTAAATGTGCCGTATAAACTCCGATGCAACTGTGTAGCTACAGAGAACCTTGTTAGATACACAGTCATAGAATAGTAGCCGCCGGTCGAAGCCTGCAGTGATTATCATGTCGTGATGGGGCAAATAGAGAATGGACGAGCACTCGCGGGTGTGCCATTTGTTACTCGACCGGCGCCTGAGCTCCAGAGTAGGAGTTAACTCGAAGATGTCCACCGTTCCAAGAAAGCAACCCACATATATTCTTCGACGTGTGTAGTCGTACTCCACTGTCTTTGCCTTGTTGGTGCATGTGGCCTTAGCAATAACTTCATAGAGTTTGCTAGAGGCATTCCAGATCATGACTGCTAGCAGCTTGTCATCTCCCACAGACATCAGGTACCCGTCCCTAGTCTTGATGACCTGGTTGACCCCCTTGCGGTGGTGCATGAGGGTGCTCCGGAGAATAAATGTACACGTCTTAGGCATTTTATTCTCAGCTTATGCAAATGGTTATGCAGATGGGCCAAGACGTCACTGCCTCTCGAGTGTTGCTATTTATGAAATTCAATTCAAAAAAAGCAAAATTTGACTGCCCGTATGATTCAGCCCGAGGCATTGCACCAGCTGATCTATGATCATGTGTATGTGAAGTATGGGCACCAGCTGGCTTTTACGATCAGAGCATTGCTTAATGCAAAGGAGCGATGCATGAGCAAACTTGTAGCCTCAGAGTCTGAGCCTTCTGCTCTGGAGCTCCTTGTAACATATGGTTTTACAGAAGGAGATAGCGTGCACATTAAGACATTCACACAGTGTAACGATGCTCTTCTGGTGACAGGTTCTTCTATAGAGCCGACGGTCGATGTGCTACAAACCCACCAGGACCCGCCATTGCCCCAGGAAATTAATATCACACAAAACATCATGGGAGATCAAGCTATCAGCATGGTCGTGGAAGGCAAGAAACAACTGCGCGACACGTGTATGACGTGTGATGCTGGAGATTTTGACCGGTGCTTATCTAGTAGCAAGCACCATCCGTCTGCAGACGTGGCTGTCTCCTCCACTGCAAAAGTCGTCCCTTCTGTGAATGCAACAGAGCTAGTCCTGATGTCAGACACTGCACAGGCACAATCACCCACAGAAGAGTTTTACCCTATCCCGGCCACTACCATCCCATGTGAGTTCAAGCCACTTAACGCTGTATACCTTGCGTACCATGACATTGTCGCGACGGAAAACGTACTGCAGAACGGGAAGCTCGGTCCTACGCCATTCTCCTACTTCTATGACCGCACGCTGAAGGTAGATAGCAACTGCGAAAGAGTGGGGTACACTATGTACCCCGCGTGTAGCGACTACTGGGTAAAGCATAGACACTCTGGAAATGATGCCCTGGGAAACGAGAGCACAGACGAATACAGTCAACCAGACGATCCCGGACGAATTGTGTACACGTATGATTATGACAACGACAACATCCTTAATTCCACTTTTGAGATTGAGCTACATTCCTTTGCCCAGGTCATGCAGGAAATGGGTTCCAATCCCCTGGGAACCGATGACCTTCTTCCAGTCGAGAAACCCGCCGTTGCTCTTGGCGATCAGTACACCACTGTCACCCCAACCTCTCCACAGGCACATGGTGACAACACGATAGCCGAGGTGGAGTTTACTGCTGATGATGAGGGTGCCATGGATAACAGCACAGATGAGCAGGCTCCAGGGTACGTCCCTGTCGGAGATAACATGGATCCAGGCCTGATTGACCAACAGGTACTCCATAATGCCGAAGCCCCGGGGTTAAACAGAGAGAAGGCTCCCGAACACATGCCCGAGGCCGCATTTAAATCTCATATAGCAAAGAAGATAGAGGAAACTGAGCGGGCCGTAACGCCTTATGTGGTCCGCAAGCAATCTGCGATACGCCATCGTGATAAGGATAGACAGTACATAGTTACCGGGGACACCATGCGGGCAGATGTGCTCCAACAGATCTACAAGGGAGAGACAAGAAACTCAAAGTTACTGGATCTTGTAGGGTTTTATAATATTCCTCTATATTATGGTTTGTATAGCGAGTTCAAGGGTCTCCATGAAATGCGCTTTAAGAAGGGCGCCGTGCTGGCTGGGAGGTACGAGATTTATAAGACAATCTTCGAGGATTCGGCCTTCAGTGTGACTCTGAAGGCTCGGGACTTAAAGGAAGGAAAAGATGTCTGCTTAAAGGTCGTAAATAATGAGAAGGACACACTGGACCAGTGTCTCAATGAGATTCGCTTGCTCACATATATTAATAAGCATGATCCAACAGGGAAACATTTTGTGCGCATGACTGATTACTTCTACTACGGCCATCGTCTCATAATTATATTTGAGCTCCTAACCAGTAACCTCTTCTCGTACTACTCTGCGCGCGAGGCTGCCCTACCACGTACGCTCCTTAATCCGCTTGCAACAATCTTCACTATGCCGAGGCTTCAGCATATTGCCCGCCAGATTCTGGAGAGTTTGGACTTCCTTCATAGGCTCAACATCCTGCACCTTGATCTCAAACATGAAAACTTACTTCTGGTCAACGAAGACGACGACTCCTTCGATATTAGGCTTGTCGATATAGGGTCTTCGGCCTTCTTGTATGACGAGTGTAGTACATATGTTCAATCCAGGTCCTACCGCTGTCCTGAGGTCATCCTCGGCTTGCCATATGACGGCCGTGCAGACGTGTGGTCGCTCGGTCCCATCCTCACTGAGCTCATCACTGGGAAGGTCATGTTCCCGATACCCCAAAAGGCAGATGAGGATCACAAGCCCTATGCCTCTATGCTGGCCAAGCTGATTGGCATCATAGGTCCTATCCCACGTGATATGATTTTAGCTGGGCGTGAATCACATAAGCTCTTCACGAAGGATCTGTTCCTCTTTGAAACGCGTGAGGCTATTCTTGGAAACAGGGACAAGGCTGAGGGTCTTAGACATGCAGAAATAAAGGGAGAAGACTACGTTTATGTGTTACCGAAAAAGACGACCATTAAGGCTATGCTCGGCTGGGATTCCCATCCAGAGTACTGCGACGACTTGTTCTTAGACTTTATCGAGACGATAATGAGGATTGATCCTCGAAAGAGACCCACTGCTGCGGAAGCGCTAGAACATCCGTGGCTCAAGCATGTGTACTAGTCTATTTGCTGGGGTAGTAAACGTACGGTAGATTATTCACGGTCACCTTCCTTCCTCTCTTCCCTCAGCCCAAGCAAAAATTGATGCCCCTCCTCAAAGAGATCCTACGTGATGTCTCCGGTGAGCTGGCCGGAAATCCGGATGAGTGTAAAGCACTCGTTTTCAACCTGCTTACAGAGAGCTCTGCGAACCCCGATGCGCTGCAGGAGGAACTGCTTTGCTTACTTGGATACAGCAACATAGATGTGATAGGTAGTTTATTAACAAACAGGCATCAGATATTGAGGGAGGAGCTCAACCTTACAGAAAAAGAGTATCTAGATGCACTGACTGCAGATGTGGATGGCTCTGATGATGCATATGCGAACATGTCCGACGCGGAGCGGCTTGTCCTCTTCATTATGGAGAACACTGGACTTACAGAACACATTTCCACCCATCTTCTACAGCTGCATGATTGGGATCCCTTGGTGGCTCTAGATGACTACACTGCCAGGACTGTAGACCAAAGTGATTGGAGCGAGCAAAGCGTGGAGCACTCTGATACCTCTACAGAAACCTCAGCAGACCTCCAAGACAATTGGGTAATAGCTAACAAATCTTTTCAGCCATATGATAGAAAGTTTTGTGCCCCATACTCCTTTGCAGAGCCTGATAAGCGACTATATGCTCTTAGCCCAGTTATTACGACAAAGGTCGTTGGCAAAAAAGAGTCTGATCTCCATTATATGCGAGTCTCGGAGGCAGAAGAGCACGTTAGGCGCACCATAAATCAACTGATAGACAAACTGGCTAAGCGGTCTGATAAGGATCGCTGCATTTACTATTACCACATAATCACTGGCAGAGGCCTGCACTCTTCATCTGGCCCGGCCATAAAGAATGCAATCACTACTATGCTTTCTCAAAACGGAATACGTTACCGCATCAACAATACCAACGGGGGAGGGAGCATCAACGCCACGATAACAGGGTCCACACATTATCTTTGAACTAAACCGGAATTCACTTCGTCAAAACTTCATTGAATATAGAGCGAACTCACTTTCTAGATGGATCCACCGTTATCTGCGGCTTGATAAGGGGGTTTATTTGTATTGCATATGTGCAGAACCACATGAGCCAAAAGCATAGCGTCGTGCCGCATGCGGTTACGATAACGGTCGATTTGTGGCCCTTCTTAGCTGAGAAGCTAAGAAGCACTGCAATTGCTCCAAGAGCAAAAAATATTCCTGTTGTAACACCCAGCTCTGTCCACTGTATCTTCACGCTATGCGGTACTCGGTTGTCACTCGCCATGCAGACCTGCTCCTTCTTAATTTTTTGAAAATTCGTCAAACCAAACGTAGCTATCAAAATTGCCTGGTTGTAATTCTGAGGAAGGGTCGGCTATTTATATATGAGCTTTGCGATGTAACCCACCTTGACCACCTCCTTGTTTAATTGCCACATAAGGATCTGGCGCAAGGTCAGTAGAATGATAACTTCAGCGACGACAATCCAAAGCGAAATCACAGTCACCTGCTGAGAAAATCCACTATTATAATCCGTTAACAGAAGAAGGAAGTTTTGTAGCTTCCCTAGTGCACCTCCCAGCGAGGATAACCACGTTATATAATCATGATAGAATGAAGTGGACGCTTTGACGTGGTTGCCAATCTTATAGGTGCAGTCTATGAACTGAGTAAAGGTTGGTCCGGACTCCATGATGCTGCCATAGATCCTTTCTTTAGTCTCTGTTTGTTCTACTTTCTTGGACACCACATTGATCAGCATGGAGAGGGCATTGATATCGTGTACGAGCATGTCTTTTGTTAGCTCTCCGTACTGTCCCTGAGAGAGTACAACTATATGTTTGAAAGAGCTTCCTATGGCTCTCCGGAAATAGTAGAGAAACTGTGCCATCATGGAATAAAGTTGAAGATCAATCTCGGCGGCAGAAAGACGGATAATAGAGTAGGCCATTATAAAAACTATCGTAAAGATTACGAGCGAAAATATCGACGCATATACTATGAGAGTCGACGTACTGTACTGGAATATCAGAGGCTTGGTGCTGAAGATATTGCAAAGTTTTTTCAACGAGGCCACGAAGTTCTGTGAGACATTCTTTAGTTTTTGTGCTTGCAAATGGCACCTAAAAGGTGATTGCGAGCGTGCTTTATTTATTTCAAAAACGGCTCTCATGTCCACTGGATCTTTTTCTTCAGTTTCTCTGTTTGGTGCTATCTGATTTCCACCGGGTGTCTCAAACCAACCCTGTTGCTGCTCACTCTTCAAGTTCTCTACATTTTCCACAGTTTCCACACACTCGTGGCATCTATACAATGGTATGGCATGCTTGCACTTATACATGTGCTTTGTATTTGCATGCAGGAAGCCCGTTGGAAGAAACTGTACCGCGTTAGGAAGATGCTTTAGATATGCTTTGCTACACTGCAAATGCTTTATTGCGTGATAGGAGCAGGACGTGCCCTTGTCATTGAGGTATACCACCTCGGATATGAGACCATCTAGGCAGCTCGCGCAAAGATGCTTTGGAAATAGCATGCGTACAAATGCAGGGTATATCTTTATCTCATTACAATGCTTGTATAGATATTTTTGCAGGATCTTCTTTGAGTTTGTGTGCAGAGACAGTTCAGGTCCAGTGCGGCAGTAGTCCACCGCAATTTCCATGTCGCCTGCGTCGGGGTATACCAGAACAGCAGTAAAATCCGGCCGTTCTGTGATGAGCTTTTCAGGATTATAGGATATTCGCTGCTGGATCTCGCTCCGTACCAATTCTCTCATTTCCGTGGTTAGCTTAATATACTGGTAGAGGTCAGCATCTGGAATTTCCGTGATGCTTACTACTCTGTACACATTATTACTTTTAGATAGAATTACAATAAAGGCGGGCTTGAGGTATCGCTTGCCTTCAATGATGAGGTCTGGTGTCCCCAGAGTATCGTAATAAATAAGCGATCCAGATTGCATAAAGAAAGCAATGAGCAAGAGCACAATGATAGCCATGGTATACGCTATTATCCGCACATATGGAGGCGTCAAGCGCATCTTTTTCTCTACCATTTGGGCTAGACTAGCAAGGGACGCATTAGTGACTATTACCTTCTTGCCATGTGTGCGTATAAAGTATAGTTCCTCGTGCTCCTTGTTGACGCTAATCCTATCAGCAACGTTCATTACAGCGCCTTTGATCATGGCTGAATAAATATCGAAAGTGTTGGATAGACTACTATATGTGTAGACAAGAGCTAATTTCACGTCATCGAGCCTGTGCACGTGAAGCCCCAGCGCCATTTCATTGAGTCGTAAATCCGCTTCCGGTAGATACAGCAACGAGCTTTCGGTAGATGGAAGCATACTTGAAGCAACTGAGGATCTGAGCAAGCTGTTTATAACGTGATAGTAGTATTCATAAATCATGCTACAAAGAGTTAGACTGTGTGAGCTATTGTAATGAACCAGTTCAAGAAGCTTCTCGACATGGGTGGGATTGCCTTGAGCAGAGGAAGCGATAGTGTGCAGAAGAGCTTGAACACCCTCATCTGCTATGATATTTGTGTAGACGCCGGTGTGTGGCATTATTTTGATGTCTTCAGTAGCAAATAAGGGCATGCTCAGATTCAAGTTGAGGAGGACGGAATGAAACTCAACAAATCTAGTTCTAGTTTGTGATCTGTTCGACATTGTCAGGTTGAGGAGCGTCAAAGTATTGATGTCGCCCAACAAGTTTTGATATAACTGCATTGTATCCATAAACATGACTATATCGGGTTCAGCCCGTGTGTACGTGAGATTCTTCAACGATCGGATATCTATGATAAGGAAGGCAAGGACAACAAACTCCAAGATCCAACGGAGCACGCTAATCGATCCAAAGATGTACTGGGGAAGTGTGAAGCTGTGAAAAACACGTCTTAGGAGCAATAATGTAAGAAAAATGTCACAACATATCATCGAGGACAGCATCACACACAGAACCGTCACCGTCAACAGCCTATCAGCCTTGATGATTGTTACTTGAGACGCCTTTTCATAGGTTAGTTTGTTTATTGCAGCGTAATGATCAAAGATCGGGGTGAGATACTCTAGCGCAGACATGTATTGAAATATGGTTTGCTTATTAATTTTGTCAAATTTTTTTGGACAATCTGTGTATATGAACCCTAGCGCCGTATTGGATTGAACTGTTTTTTGACAAAAAATATTAGCCATGGCGATTCTCATTTGTATGGCCTCTGCAATCACTTTGTACGCATAACTATTGGGCGGCTGCAGTGAGTCGAAGACAGCTGCGCATGAACTAAATTCGGGATTGAAGGACAAGTAAGATGACATGTTGTTATTTCCAAAATAATCAGTAATGGCATCAGACACCAATGTCTTATGCCATTGATCTTCCGGGGGCTTATTTGTGAACTTTATCGCTAGGGACTCTGCGATGTAGTCCTTTCCGTATAGAGTGAACAACTCACCAAAAGCCTGATCAAAGTAATGCTCCGTTGTTGCTCGCTGGATAAGATCGTTATAAAAGCCACCATCTGGGCACATAAAAGCTAATGTATACCCCATGGAACGCAATTCGCTATTCAAAAGCTCCATGTTATACTCTGCAAGTTTCAAGATAATGCTAGAGGACTCTGGATACAGGGTCATCATCGCTTCTATTTGAAACTGTATCCCAGTGTTAAGTTCTGCCCAATCTGAAACTGTAGTGGGGGTACCAAAGAAGGAATAACTCATAGCTTTGGATGATCTTTGTAGCAATAAAGCGTAGACATTTGCTAGGTCATATGAATATGAGTTCTGCCTCAACTTATCGTTATAGTATGCACGTTGGTTGATGTAGCGCATGTCATCCAGAAAAGCTAGCGAGATCCAGAAAATGAAGAACAGAATTCCAATCAGAAAGCGCCAGCCCCACTGCTGCTTCCAAACGACAGTTTTACACCTAGAGCAGTTTGCTACATCCTGGGTCTGCTCGTTGAAATCACGCCATTCGTTTTGTAGACAAGCCGAGATGTCTTCTGAAAACGCCCCTAACTTGAAGCTGACGGTATCTGTCATAGCATCATCAATATTGAGGTTAACTCGCTGAGAAAGCGGCTCACTTTCGACAGACAAAATGCTCTGACTAGTTTGAGAACAACATGGTGAGAGATTAGAAAGTTGTGTGGCCGCGCTGGTTGCGGGCGGGATCAGCTCGGATTGTATTTGCATTCTTGCATAATCGTTACTAACATTGGAAGAGGAGTGGCTGATGTTAGTTCCATTTAGAAGCTGCTTCATAGTGAAGAGCATGGTTGCGTGGTTGGCCAGGACGTTGTTCTTCTTGTATACTGGGTTAGTGTCCAGGTCATAGAGCCCGCCTATACCGTAATTGTCAATCACATCCATTAAATAATTAGATAAGATGCATCGAAGGCTGTTATTTTTCCTAAAAAGCCAGTAAAGCAATCTTGTTGTGTACACACACGCAAATAATACGCACACAATCTGTGCTAAAAGAGGAATAACTACTAATGACGGGTTAAAGCCGATTACCTGCTCTTCCATGCTATGCAAGGAGAGTGTGAGGTAGTCGTCAACATCTCTGCTTGTCAAGGGCGTTTGGTAAAATGTAAAGGTGTTGATACCTGGGAAGAATGACAGCAAGATATCCCCTATCTTCTGTTCATAAGTTAGCTTATTAGTGATCGACGATGGCACGGTGTCTTGGTCAAGCAAACTACTATAGTACATATATTGCAGCTTGTTTAAGAGGAAGGATTGCTGTGCTTGCTCCAGGGTGTCCTTGTAGAGGCCCTTATCAGAGACAGATTGAAAGTGCATTTCTGTTTGATAACAATTAAGCTCATTGACAAATTTGGCAAAAATGCTTTTTCCATCTGAGTCAGTGATTGTATTAAGGAGGGAGTAGGTATTCTGTTCTGTGTCCTGATAGTAGGTGATGTTCAGTTTCTTGTAGAGTCCGCTGAGGGCATAGATGATGCCGCTACCAAAATTTATTAAAATATCTGAAATGGGTGACCAAGACACAAAAACTGGCATATCTAAATGGAAAAATTGACGGAAGTACTGCCTGCTATCTAGTCTTTTTTCCATATCTTCTTGCGTTGTATCTACATATGACTCCAATAGAGAGTAATCAACTATATTGATCAAAAACGTATTTTCCAACGTACGTGGCTGCATGCTATAAGCTATTTCACTAAATGGGTGTGCAGCAAACGTCAAGTACCTACCTTCTGGATCGTATCGAAGGGACGGGCATGATAATAGGAGTATAGGGTCTGAAATATAGGCTTTCGGGGTGAGATTCATGTCACGTACACCGCTGTATACGTTAGCAAACTCTGGGGACACGTTGTAGGCTGGGCATGCGGCAAGCGAAAGGTCAATGATGTGCTCCAATTCGTGGGAGACTGGAATGTACAGCTGAAACAACACCGCAAATACTATTGTTAGGGTGGAAAGAATATGCGAGAGATAAAGCTTCATGAAGAGAAGCAGCTTAACATATGCATTTTTGATGGTGACCAAACTAGAGTGTGTGAGCCCGTCCAGAATCAAGTTAGGTTGCCCAGCACCTGTGGAAAACTCAGTAAATGGACTAGGCGAAGAAGGCGTTGCCGCTGTCGTATTCAAGAGCGTCATCATCAACTTGGCTATATATTTCTGGTACTGATCTCCAATGATACTGAGTAGATAATCTCGGTTATAGAACCGTGTGTCTAACTTCTTAAACGCGTAAGAGACAGAGTTATTCTCAGGTTGGAACCAGATGTTATCGAACTGTGCGTTCTGTTTAGTGTCATGTTTCAGAACTGAAAACAATGCCTCCATGACAGGGTCGTCCGCTGAGACAGGGAGAACGTAATTGGGGAGAGCAGAGACAGAGGAGTATAGACCACGATAGTAGGACAGGGCCATTAGCTGCCCCATAAGGTTAAGAATTGGCACATATCTACTGAGTTGTTTAACAAGTGCCAGGTACCACGTAAAGAAAAAGAGGATAAGCAGGATCACCACCAGTGCAAAGACGGCAATAAAATGGCCTAGCTCTGCGTACTCTTGCCGCATTCGCTGAATCAGATTGAACTCTACCTCGCGGTCAATCCCCTTAAAGACCCCAATAGGCTTCACGTCATTATTGCGTGTTTTACCTGTGTGTGTCTCTGCAAGTGCATCATCTTCCACATCCCCCGGGGCACTGGGAAGCAGCTGGGGTGTGAGAGCAGGTGGTCCTCTGATAAAGCGGATGGGGAAGTAGCAGGGGTAGATCCTTGATGAGACGTCGTTGATTGCCTGATATATGGTGCACAGCGCTGTTTTGACGCTCATTCCGATAGTTCCAGTGTTTGAGCTAAGCAGTACCAGCTTGCACACAATCTGCGATACACATTTGCTATTGCGAAAGCCTGAAAACGTAGCTACGATCTTCTCAAAGTAAAAGTTGAACTCGTGCTTTGTCTTGACGGTTGTCAAAAGCTTGGTTGCCGTTTTAGCCAAATCAGAGCAGATTCTTATGAACCGTAACTGAGACCGCTGAATCCTGTTGGTTTTGCTTGAGATGGATATAACCTGAAATAGACTGTCATCAAAAAGACGTGTTGCGACTTCAGCACGTTCACAAGCAAGTTGTTCGGTAGACTTAGAAAGCGGGACATGTCTGTTGGGCCTTATACCGTAGTTCTCACTGGTCAGCTCGAGATTTGCTGTGTTCCTTAGAGCGTCCAATGAGCTTCCAGGCCTCTTATTAGGCCTTTTAGGCTCTGCTCTGGGCATATTAACATAGACGTTCAGGCTTGCCGTTGCACTATCGCTGAAGAGAAAGTCGTGAATAGTCAGAGGGTACCTGTGATGGTCCTTACCTTTGAGTATGTCAAAAAGCTGTGCATAGGTTCCATTTCCCTTTAGCATGAGGACTGCGATTCTTTTGTGAATAGAGCATCGGCCAAGAAGAGACTCTCGACAAAGATGGCACGCAGAGGTGAGGGATTCTGCCGAATTCCTAAGTACACCGACATAGTGATCAAGATCAGGACCATTGCGCTTGATCAAGTGCATGATGTGACGTGCATTGGTGTTCCGAAAGGCTTCGGCCACTGTTGTGAAGGATGGAGTTAACGGAGTCCCATTCTGGGCCGTGACGCTATTGCTCATATCACTCTGAGCTCTATCCTTGAAGTGTAACGAGTTAATTATAAGGTCTCGAGTTGCGTTCTTTTTCTCAATAAATGGTCTGCGATTAAGGTCGGACATTATGTAGTCTAGTAACAAGGTGCTAAGATGTATGTTTTGTGCCTTGGAATTAGGTGGGGCAGTGCTTGTGGCAAACTGTTCGCTGGTAAAGTATCCTGCTCCTAAAACCTGTAGGGCACACGCTTGCTCGTACTGAATCAGATGCTTTTTACGCCAAGAGTAGGGCAGCATATTGTAGAAGTAACTATTGTAGTCGATGCGGTGCACCAAAGTAGAGAGATACTCTGGCGTTACACGGGAGCAATTGTATTTTGATATCGGACCATAGATATCAAAGATGTTGTCAGTAGAGTAGAAGCTTAACAAGTATGTATAGATGTTCTCCAAGGCTGTTCTATTGTGAAAGTCCCGATGCTTGATAGAGTTCATGGATGCCTTGAAATTAACCAGTGGAAGATAGAACGAAAGAGACTCCAGATGAAATTCATATCTGAGCGTCTCTAGCAAGACTAGTATCGTGGGATTGTCGAGTTCTTCTTGGAATAGAGTGAGGTAGAGCTTCAGACAGTGCTTGAGTGCTGCTTGATAAGCATTGAGTTCTATCTTTAAAAAGCGCATCACCTTGACCGAGTCAAAGTCGGTGTACATGTGACTAATCGTAGAAAACATGGAAGAAATGACTGGGTTTGCTTTATGCTTGCTAAGACGTAGATGTGATGAGATCATGAACGCATACATTTTTATCTTGAACAAGTGCTCAATGGCTTGCTTATAAAATCCACTGGCCTGCTTGAACAGCATTCTTCCGCAAATGGTGTGGTTTTGCGAGGGACTAATAAAGTGATGCAGAGAGTTTAGCTCTGCATACAAGACCTTTAAGCGGGGGCTTTCGCGAGACAGTATTTTCATACCCTTTCTAAAGCATAGGCCATTGGTCAGTTTCGAGAAGGCAGAAGGGTCCGACATGGAGTTAGTTGATGTCACAATGTGATCCTTCATCTTTAGTTGCCTCAGATTTTCCTCTAGAAAGGCGTAACCGTATTGCCTCGTAGGATCATCATCTCCGCAAGACGGCGCCTCTTCTTCTCCGTCGCTTCCAGGCTTCCACTGAGTGGCTACCTTCACATGCGTGGGGCTCTCGCTAAGCCTGGTTGCGCCGCCTTCCATCATTGAGTCAAGAAATTCGTAGAAATTGGTTCTACAAAAGATTTGAAATTCCTTTACCCCTTCTAGCTCAAAGTTGCTGATAAGAAAGAGAATAAATTGATAGTACAACTGGCTCACTTCGTAGAGCAGAGAGAATAGTTTGAACTGTTGTGCGATCAAGTATGCCAGATTCTCGGGGGTTGTGAACAACTCAGGGCCCATGTAAATTTGTGTTAGCTGCGACAGAACAACCTCGTATGCTTGAAACCAATTTTGCACATCCTTACTTTTCCGCTGGAACTCCTTGTGCATGGAAAAATAGTCCAACTCTGGAGGCAGGAAATCGGTGTCATCTTTGCCAGAGCCTCCACTTCTGGAAATAGATCTAGAGTTAGGAAAGTCTTTGCTGGCAGCCCCGGCACCAGTGCTGGCACTCCTATCAGCTGCAAATCCGGATCTAGGTTCAGATCCAAAGGGAGACGGTTGGTCAGGGATCTTTGCATTTGGGTGGACCTGGCAAGATGCTTTAGTCTCCAGTTCCTCAATCGCCTTGAGCACCCCATAAACCTCATTTTTTGTGATGACATCAGATAACTTTATCAGCTGAACTCTGCACTGCATCTCCAGCCGCCGTTTAACTAACTTGTTAATAAACAATGCAAAGTAGTTTGTCCTGGGCGCAATATCCACGGTGTTCAGAAGTTGGTAGCAGTCCAGCAAACGGTGGTAGGCAGTTAGGTATTGGATATAGTGAGAGCCCTGCTTACAGAAGTGGGGACGATTCTTTATCATGAAAATGGTGCGCTTGAAAATCTCAAACAAAAAGACGTGGACAAGAAACATGCTAAAGATGATTCTTTCAAGCTGATAGTTAAGTTGAAGAAGCAGAACGTCGGTAATATGGTTAGAAGACGATGACCTGTGTAGCGAGCTACGCCCAAAATTGAGAAGGCTTTCTCTGTTCGTAAGCAGCCCTTCATAGCAGTGCTTGTAGAAGGCGCACATTCTAATCCACGGGAGAGCCGCCGATGACATTGTGCCCAGAGATCCTCTTAGTATTCGCATATAGATGATGTGCATCATCTTCTTTACCGACTTAGGATTTCGCAAAGAATGGGTAAGAACGGTCGATGCCGCAGGTGGCGGAGACTTGGCTTGTTCAAAATAACTTTCATTACTATCACTGGTAGTAGACCCATTGCTAAAAAGCTCACTGTCGACTGGGTTCTCCTGATCTACGCATGCTTGGTCGTGCCCTGACGTAGGCATCTCTGTATCACGAAGAATGTCCGGCATGTGATAACTGAAAAAATTGCGGTAATAGCTCGAGTTGGAGTATACTAAGGCAAACATAGCAGTAGAAAAACTGTACAGAAGGAACAAGTGGTTATCCGAAAACTCCAGGTCAGTCCGCCGAAGGGCAGGAAGATGCAAATCAGTCCTAATATTTGCTTCGTCTGTAATGTTATTAACGAAAAGAGTATCCTCAATAAACTCTCGTAACTTCTGTATAACTCTGTTTTGAAAGAACTGATGCACAGAATCGGGCCCTTTGAAGTCTTCTGCCACACCTTTTAAAGCGTCTATATTGACATTACCATTAATATCCTGTGACGATACGTTGTTTGTAAGGCCTTTACCCTCATTTGCGCCTCCATCGATCTCAACCTCATCAGTGTCTAAAGGCATCGAGCTCACCTCATCTAGTACTGAATCACCCGGACCCCCACTTGTGGTACCTAAACAACTAGTATCCTCTGAATATGAAATAGTGTTCAACATGTATGTGCATAGCACGATCTTAGTATAGTTGGACGTATAGTCTCGGAGCCAGGAAAACTGCAGCAGAGACATCACGTACTGCTGCAACTTATTAATTACCATCATATCGATTATGTTTTGATAAACAGACCCTCTAATGGTTAATTTAGAAAGAGCCATTCCCTTTCTAGAGAAGGTTTCAATTAGATCAGAAGTGGATTTAATACTGCTGAGACACGTCAGTATATACGCTGCAGCAGTTGGAAGATATGTGGTGGAGATGCCAAAGCTTCTAACGCTGTCAAGATAACCCTGCACATCTAATTCGCTTATAGATAGATAGTTTGGCAAGAAGATTCGTGGCACCTTAGACATATACATATTCTTGAGTACATGGTGCATCAGAAAATCACCTGGAATGGTGGTGAACTCTACTCTCTGGTGAAAAGACGCTGCCTCACTCTCGGAGTTAGCGGTATTATCATGGGATGAAAGGCTTATAGAAGAGCGTTTGTTGAACGTAAATGTGTGCAGGTAGGGACTCTCTATAAGATTTGCGTCAGGATCGTATGTCATCTCTCCCAGAGCGCCATATCCTGGTCCTCTAGACATGGTCCACCTTTCGTCGTCCAACGTTGTAGCAGTTATGTCTGAGGCCAATGGAGAGCTTCTGTTTGCAGTGATGTTGGGAGTTAGGTTGGCAGAGGTGACGAGTGCGCTAGCGGTCCTAGGTTCCTGCAGGAGTGACATGCCCTCGGCAAGATCGAGTCTGCTTTCAATAAGGTCGCGTGAATACAGTATATTAGTATCTAGAAAAGTGTCACGGAACTTTGTGAAGATCTTCTCGGTGTATTTGTAGTTGTAGGTAGGGCTGTGATGAGAAAAGGTAAAGCCGTGGACTCCGAGAAGCCTTTGGATAATTTTAACAGAAGCCAAGTTAGCTGTTGTATTTGGCAACCCACGGATTCGGAGAAAAATATTGTGATACAAGTAGGGTAAATAGAGGGTCACCCGAGAGATGAGCTTCATTTCATGAAACACCTTTAGGAGTCTAATATTTAACCGGATATAAAAGGTAATGACGGAGATAGCTACAACAACAAAGATTAAACCAGTAGAGACTCCCAGAGCCAACTCATAATTGGCGAACGGAAAACAAAACAATAGGGTAGGAATGGCAGCTAGAGATCCAATGAAAGTAATTAGTCCCACAAAGTACAGATCCAGACCAGTATTTCCAATGAGTGTGGGCGAACTTGCAGCTAGTGTCAAATGACAGCCCATAATAAATGCAAGCAAGAATGCCGACAGCTGTGGATACGGCTCAGCGATAGAGCGCAATAAATGAATAAGAATAAAAGTAAACCCGTACGCTATATCTGCAAGGGGATACGTGGGTAAGAACTCCGTATTCAGCTGAAGCATTGGGAGAACAAAAATATTGAGAAAAACCTCCTGACAGAGGATAATCAAGAGGGTAAGAATATGCATATTCAAGTACACGACCTTCCAGAAGGAGGTAAAGGCTTGATAGAAGAATAGCTGATCAAGAAGGTAGGGGGCAAGGCAAATTTGCGTAAAACAGATTGACCACATAACCAGAAGACGATACTTATGCTGCACAATGCCGTGGTTCTTCTTGATGATCACTAGAATAACGATGGCAGGAAAGATGATGGCAAGAAAGACAATGAGAAGCGTCAGGATGGCGTTCCGTACCGTTACTGCAGGAATCTGAAGAAGAAAGGACACAGCATAGTAGATTAGCTTTTGAAATTTGGTGAAAGGCCTCGCGTCATCCAGGGAATAAACTATCAGAGTATAAGCCGGAATTACAAGGCGAAGAGTCGAAAAGTAAGACAAGGTATTAATGAAAGCAATTATCCATCGTGTGCTTTTAAGAGATGCAGTGCTGAAGAGCTCAATAAGCAAAGATCCGAACGTTGAATTCCAAGACGATGGAATGTTAGAAAATGGCATATACTAAGTGCAACGAAACTCTAGGTGGCACGAACACCTTTAGAAACAGTATGGCTTGTGGAAACGCCGGTTACAGAGCAACGGCACACTCCGGAACTTTCTTTTACAAAAAAGGTTTGTTAGAGCATGGGTTGTGCCGCATCAACTCCCGATGTTGCTGATGCCACGGCAGTAATGGGAAACCACGGCCCGGAAAAGCATCGTGCTAAGGGTATGTCTAATAAAGGCATATCTCTGAAGTCTATGGAGAGCATTAGATCTGCCATTGAATCTCTCTTGATTAACGAGCCTGAACTGACCAAGCTGATGACGTCTTTCAGCAAGGAACATCTGTTTATGTTTGCAAAGGATTATCAGACTCAAACGGGGACAGACCTGCTATCCCTTCTGCGCGAAAAACTAAATGGTCCTCTGGAGAAGCTCATTCTTTCTTCTTTCAAGCCAGACGTTACTCTGCGGACAGAGCTGATCAGAGAGTCTCTTCAGGGAAAGGCAACAGATATTGAACAACTCACAGACGTTGTCCTTACTCTAAGTGAGTCTAGGGCCTGTGAAATAGTTCAGAACTACGATTTACTGTACGGTGGCTCTGTCATTACAGACATCAGACACGACTACAACGGCGATAAGCTCTGGCAGAGGCTGATTACCCGGATTCTATCTTCTAAACGTGTGTCCAGGTCGTCCCTTGCTATGCAGAGCACTACTTTGGCCTCCGATGGTGATGTCGATACACATGCAGTGGGTGCGGAGGCCAACACTGGTACTCTGGGAAAGTTACTGGTGGCGGACGCAGAAAGGCTTGTGATGGACATTCGCGAACGCAACTTTGAACATCTCCTGCTCCTCATGGCCACTGCGCTCCCCGCAGAGTACGTCTCTATCTGCAAGAAGTACTTTGAAATGAAGGGAACTGTACTACGCCAGGATATTGCAGATGCGCTTGAGCATCGTCCTGAAGAACGGTATGCACTGCTTCTTGCACACGATTACCTGCATAGTCCTGCCGCTGCCTATGCATTCATGGCCCACACGGCCCTGGTGGCAGGGATCTCCAGAGACGATGCTCGGCTGACTCGGGCTGCCATATTGAGCTACGAAGAACACCCCGATGTTCCAGCGGTTTATCGTGAGCTATATGGCGTTACCCTAGAGGATGCAATTGAGAAGACAGGGACTGGGAGCTACGAATCCACGCTTCTAATACTTTGGAAGATAGACAGACCAAAGGATCCTGCGGCAGGACCCGAGGCCGAGAACGGTCCCGCAGAGACCGCTGCGCACGCTGGAAATAAGGCAAAGCAATCGTCAAAGGGAAACAAGAAGAGCGACAGCAAGGCGGACAAAGAGGGTGCGGCGACGCCCGTTCTGCAGAATGACACGGTGGAGGAGAGGCTGCCTACGCCTGCAGCGAGCGAATCCTCGACTCCCCGCGGCGACTGACAAGTGAACTCGATGGACGGAGAGCGGGGAGGAGGCGCTCAAGTAAGCTTGAGTAAAGGACTGTGCGGGCCCGGATTGAGGATGGACGGGATCCGCTCCCCACCTATGACCCTGGATGTAGGCCTGTGCACGCTCGCAAGCGCCAGCGGGCAGCTGCACCGGCCACGCGTTTAGAAAAGGACTATAGGGGCGGTGATTAGGCTGCGTGGCGCAGCCGTGCCTTCCGCTCCGCCTGTGTCCTGGGGATTGCTCAGTGCCCCGGATCCTCACCACGAGTAAACCCGCGGCTCAAAGAAGCGCATTATCCCAGGAGGTCTAGAAACTGACCTCCATTTTTGTCTTTCGCAAGAAATGGTTTTTAAATAATTTACTATTGGCTAAAGTCCTGCACAACCTATTTGCCCATGAGCTTTGGGAATCCCTTACTTTGGTTAATATTCGAGTCCTTTAAAACGGCAATAAGTCAAATAGTGCTAGCAAGCGATATTCAGCCCCGGCAAGCACTCCAAAGTCAATACACACGGACCACCCGTGAATGTTAGCATCGATTGCTCTACTCGATATTCTTGCAATATGCTTGTGGTCTTGAGATTTGGAGGAGAGCTTTAAGGCTATCTTTTTGTCCACGTATGTAAAAAGATTGTTTGCCTCACTTTCTACCTCAAGCCATGACCGAAAGTAGTTCCGCAAAGAAACTGGGAGCGTTGACAAAGCTGCTGAAGAGGATATGACCTCTTTTAACTTTGCAATATCATTAGTGATTGCCTGCTCCTTCATGCGTGCCAAGCAGCTTTGCAGATGTACAGAGGACGTACTTTTTTCACCATGCTTTTGTACTGTGTGCTCGGTTGTTCGAGCTACTGTTCTTTTTAACCTTCTGTTGATTGTTTTGTATGCAGTGTAGCGCAATTTAACCAGGTCACTTAAGGTTGCATCAGCACCGGTTAAGGCATCTATAAATCTTGACCGAAACTCAGCTATTTCTCGCCGAATAGCAGGTAGCTCTGTATCTCCACTGGGGAAGTCCTTAATTGTTTGCTCATATGCTTGTTTGAGCTCAGCTGCACGTTTGGCTAATTCGCGTTGACAAAGAGCAGACTTAATCGACCTACGCTTTTTCAACACACCGCTTTGAGGCCTTTCAGACTCGGTTATCGAACTAGTGGTTATATTCGAAGCCTTGTTGCAAGCGAAAGGCAAGGATAGTCCTGGTACGCTTTTTGGCCTAGGAGGAAGGCCAAGCATAGGTGGATGAGGGAGAATGGCGGATTGTTGCTCCTTTATATCGTTTTCGCTATGCACAATAGTGCTATTTATATCCTTCTCCTCCTGTTCTTTAACCACAAGGAACTGTGTAGCACGGAACTCATTCTCTGCAGTGAAGACATCGATATTGATTGGACGTCTGCAAGCATGCTCTATCCCGGAAACAAATTCATCGTACGCCAATGCTCTTGTCAAACTCGGGTACAGAATGTTCAACTCACACGTGTATTTCTCTAGGTCGTCACGTGCGCCAATAATACCTCTTTGGATAAGTAGTTGGGACGTATCATATACACCATTGTTTGGTACGGAAGAAGCAGGAGAGGACGCCGTTTTCCAGGTGCTTTGGTTGGTATCATACATATTGGAGCAGATTGTTTCATCTACTTGCGCAGAAATGCTTTGTATATTATATAACGCATTAGAGCTATTTTCTGAGTCTTTGGGGGGATGTGGACACGGCCGCGCAGATGCCGGTGAGGGCAGCTTGTCTACTCGCTTCCTTGTCAGCTTTTGCCGGAGCACCTGTTCTGCATACTGTGTGAGAGGTGCACCTTTACTATGATCACTGTTTAAAGGAAATCGCCCATATGGCTGTCCGGCTTTGTGCTTGGGCGTGAGGAATCCCGTTTGCGGCGTACTGGCCTGACCTTCCAGATAGTTGTCGGCTTCTTTGTTAAGGTTGATAGCTATACTATTTCTGCGTGCTCTACTCTTCTGTTCTTGCCGAGATGACAGCGCCGCCTGGGAATGGGGGTAGAATATTCCATTGCGGATGTACACCGAAAGGATGTGTTGACACTTTCCAGATGCAGCCAAGAACAACAGCGAATGTTTTCTGCACACATATGTGCCACAGACCTCTTTCAACTCTTTAATTTTTTCTTGTGGAAGAAGCGTCATTATGCGGTCTGCCTGTCTAGATGAAACTGACAATATATCTTGGATTAGATAGTTAGTTAGGCGTGCATATCCAGATCCAACAGATTTTGCGCTTGTTTGACGCAAGTCGAGGGGGAGACTGGGTAGCTGTAAGTACTGATTCTGCCTTGCTCCATTGCGGCGATCAATCTGACCCACAAAGCTTTCATTTTTTGCCACAATCTGATTAAATTCAGATTTAAACTGCTTAAGTTGCTTGGTTTTCCCGCCGATCTTGGCCTGGATTGCACGCGACTCGTTTGTGATGGCGTCCAGCAAGTCAGACATCTGTGATAGCTTTGCTTCCAAAAATGCAGCTACATCATATGCATTACTCATTTGTTCTTCTGTAACAGAGAACTTCACAGGCATCAAAGGCCAATCTCTTATACTATCCTTGTATATCGGACACAGGGCATTAATTCCGTGAGGGCAATACACCCTAAGTTCGCCCAACATTGTCTGCATTTCCTTCATGGCTTCACAGTAGGAGATGAAGTTTTCCTTGGGAAATTGCTTCTCCTCTATTCCCAATGCACTAAGGTCAGTACTTCTCTTTATTGTCGACCCTTTAAATTGCAACATGCCGATACTCTGCACCTCGCTCAATAACTGAAGGATCTGAGGCTTAATAGCCAACGACTTCAGATGCCGTACTTCAATCTGTTTCATCTGTGAGTTCTTCAAATTATTTGTGCATTGACTCGTTGCTCCTTCCTCTGTGGTTGCCTTGTCAATCCTGTCGAACTCATGTCGTACAATAGAAACCGCAGAGTCGGTTAACTCTATGAACATTTCCTGGAGAGAGGTATCGCTGGTATGCTGCACGCTTTCGTTTATGTCGCCTGGTTGTGCACATATAGTACGCCCATCTTCAGAGATAAACGCCTGTTCTACCACTGTTTGGGTTTCTAGAAAGGATGGAAGAGCCCTGAGCGGCAAGGAGCGCAATAGATTGACAAAGGTAGAAACACACTCAATGAACTCAAATCGATGAACTTGGTCTTGATAGTCCATGGACAGTATCTCCTCTTCCACCTCCATAATCTTCTCTTTCAAAAGCATCAATTGCTCCATGTAGGCATACCTCATGCGCGAGATCATTTCTGTAAATATTTCTGGAAAGATTGATTTATTGTCGAGAAGAAATTCCAGGATTGCCCGTACATTTTCGTCCTCATCACCAACATTTTCTACTAAAAAGTCTCGCACAGCGTCAGAGCTTTCTTTTATCCGTGCGATCCCTTCGTGAACATCTATGACACTCTTCCTTTCCTTGATATTTAACATTATATCCTTGAGATTGTTTGCAGTTACATACAGCCGTTTGGAGCCGGTTTCCGGCCAATAGGTTGATTTGACCTTTGCACAGTCCAGATTATGGTGCTCTTTTTTAATATCTTGGTTGTCTATACTTGTTTCAGGATACTGATTGCTTTGTTGTCCTGAGACTAGATATCGTTCCAGTTTGCAAACGGCAGCACTTGCGTCCTCAAGAAGAACAGCTACTGCGCATCTGCTTTCATTCCATGTCTCGAAAATCATCTCCGCTTCTATAGTTGTCTTAGAACCAATGCTTTGTAATTGATCGAAAAGAGCCCTGTTACCCTGCTCTATAGCGTCTACAAGATCATCTGAGGAGAGTGTTTGGAAGATAGCGACGGGGAACAACATATCACACTCTGCCTTATGCAGTGCAGAGTAGCTACGGGCACAGTCGGTGCAGCAGCCAATTGCGCAGCCGCAGCGATGGCAGATAGTGTAGCTTTCCACAGACATCGAACTGCATACAGGACACGCGATGGGTGTCACCACATCGCGGCATGCTTTCGTAATGACAGAAATCTGAGCTTGAAGCGGCATGTCAATCCACATAAGAAGATCGTGTCTGAGAGTGTCCAAAAGTAGACTGTATGCTTTGATAACAGCATAATGATCTTGTGCATACTCATAGCAGTTATGTGTAGACTGGTTGGGTGGAAGAGGTACACCATAGTCACCAACACCCATACTCGTGAGCTGCTCCTCTGACCAGCCAATTGGCATTCTATTGTCTTTATGCTGTCGCTTAGCCCTCTGTGCTATGGGGAGCCTAGCATTTTGATACGCAGGAGGTAGTCTAAGACTTTTTAGCTCACCAATCCTAGTATCACATTCCTGTCCAATCTGTTCAAGAATTAAATCTGAGCCTTCCTCATCAGTGTACTCCCTCTTGGTGCGTGGATCAATGGAGTGCTTAAGGCTCACTGCCAACAGAAGTGAGCGATTGGCAAGAGAGGTGTAAATATTAGTGAGCGCTTTAAACGGACAAAGTGCGTTTCTGTGTGCTGCTCGATGCTGCAAGGTGCTTTCGTTAACACGACTAGTAACAAGAATATCTGAAATGCTCAAACAGTAAGGATCATCGGCCAGTTTCCGGGGAAGAATAAAGATTTGAAAAGCTTTGGTCTGAACCATGTTTAGAAGGGATTCGATAGCCATGTCATGCATAACTGTCCTGAATTGATTGCTATTCAGAAAGGCAACTTCCAACTTAAGTATCACCGGTTGAAAAAGGTCGTTAAATGTCAGTCCACTGGAAAGCAGACATGTTATTTGGGTACTAATTGACTTATCTGTTATTCCAATAGCAGGACTGGCTGTGCACTTGATTTTAGGAGTTGCCTCTGTTCTAATTCTAAACGCCACTCCTGACCGTTTAACAGTGGTCTTGAAAGAGCAGGATATCGTGTTTCTGATTGTCTCAATGGAAAGAAAGCGGCCATATTCGCTGTCAAATACAAATATTACACGCTCATTGTGGAGCATTCAGTTTTACTTCCGGAATCTTTACTGCGGTTTGCTACTCTCTTTAGTGAGATACCCGTTTACTCGTCGTTTCACTGGGGTGAGGTTGTCCCCTGCTACCTGACCAGGTCCTCCATGCGAGCCACCGCCGCCCTAGGCTGACAACCTCTCGCTCGTTCACTAGCTGAGACCCAGAATCCGAAAGTCGGATGTCGTCCAGTTCTGACGGGGAAGATTTATGCCCCCTCCCTCGAGGTGATAGCGAATGCAGATGAGCGTTCGAGGCTGGTAATGGCACCAATCACTCGCCCCGCTTGTCGAGATGGACCCGCACGTGACCCATGTGAATCCCTCGGCAAGAGATGGGAGCCCTGGGGTGCTTGGCTAACAGAGGCGGATTGATCCTGACCGTACCGAAGAGTGGTGACCTGGGCCACCTGCCGGGTGTCTGCTGCAGCAACTGGCAGTGCCTGACATCCTTGAGTGGACAGGCGCCGGTTGTAGAGAGACGACCAAGCGGTGAACCGGCCCTGATCGCTCCTGGTGCCTCGGATGACGCCTCTTAGAGAGGTGACCCTGGACCGACGCCTCGGTGGACCGACGCATCACCCCAAGTGTGCTGTGCAGATGGACCAGCCCACAGGTCAGCTAAGCCAGACACGCTGCACAGGGTGAGCGTCGATGTGATCTCGTGCTGGGTGACGGAGCACCTCTGCGATCCATGAACAGAGGACTGGACCTCTCCCCTGATACCAGCGCATGGGAGTACTCCGCCGGCATCTACGAACGCGTACTATGACTCCAGGATAGAGGCATACGGGGAGCGCACCCTCCCGGTCATACTCGGGACTGATGGTGCCCTCCACGAAGAGACGAAGAGGCACCCCGAGGAACGGGGTAGACACCCGGGGTCGTGGCGTGGGATCTTCGTCATGGAGCACCAGGGTCCCGGGCCACGTGGAGGCCAGACTGCTGTGACCGACGCAAGGCCCGAGACAGCAAGTGCTCACTAGATGCCAGACAGTAGCTGATCTCATGGGATCTGAGTGAAGAAGTGAAAGGCCCAAACCAATATCGCGAAGGACAGAATAATGACTTCCAGACCGAGGGAGCAGATACTTCCCCTTTTCCCCAGAACTACATCATTCAGATCTTGGATTCTGAATGCAATGAACAAGGATACAGTTAAATGTGGTGGCTTGCGGATGAATTTACTGGCGTAAATTCCTTGAAAAACCAAATTTAAGATAAAATCCGAAAAATCTCGAGAATGTTTCTAGGATGCAACAAATACGACCCTACCATAAGCCATGAGCTGAACATGCGCCGACGAGATGAATCTCAACGGCAATTCTACGAAGCGACCGTCAAAGAGGATTTTAACAATCGCTGTCTAGCAGAGTTTGAACACCGCTCAATTATTAAGGGCAAGATAGCGTATGTGAATATGCGTATGGCAGACCTTATACAGAAGAACAAAATGGCTATCGAGGGGCGTCGTGCAGCCCTTAAGAAACTTTACGACGCAGAATTTCGTGCCTATCAGGATGCTGTAAAGGCCTCTATTCCAACAGAAGAAGATAAAATACGGGCTATGGAAGCAGAATATGCGTCCGTCATTCAGAGAAATACTGCTGTGAAGAATCAAAGAGTTGACGTGGCTCGCGAGAGGCAATGGGAGATCAATTGTGATGAGCTCCGATCAGCAGCCTCTATGCTAAATGCCCGTGCTTGCAAGCTAGCATGGGACGTTGCGAACTGCGAACGTGTGCAGAAGCGCCAGCGTGACCGAGAAGAGAAAGCTGCATGGCAAAAACAGGTGAATGACAACCATGCTAATTTCCTCAAGGATGAGGAAAGCAGGATCGCTGGCGAACACGAGCGCATGATGAAGAACAGACAAGAGCTAGAGCAGCAGTTGACAGAACGGGAGAGACAGAAGGCAGAGGAAGCGTATCAACGGGCTCTTGAAAATGAGAAGTGGAACGAAAACCGCAGACTTGGGGACGAGATAGACAAGCTTGAGCGCGAAAAACAGGAGCAGGAGAAGTTCTATAATCAGCAACAGCTCCTAATGCGTATGCACATCGAAAACCTCCAACGTGCGCACAACAAAGAAGTGAGTAGAAATGATGGAAAAGAGATGATGGCTAAAATAGAGGCCGAGATACGTGAGGAAGCTGAACGAGACCGCAAAAATAAGGAAAACCTTAGAAATGAGCAACTCCTCTACTTAGAAATCTTGAGAGCCAGAAAGGAAAAGGCCTTAATGGAATCCAAAGCCAGGGATGACTACTTAATGGGCTTAATGCTCGATGCAGAAAAGAGACTGTCTCAGCGGGAGCACGACGATTTGCAGCGCCGTAAGCGCATGGCAGAAGATTGTAAGGACTTCAATTATAGCCGCATGAACTCTGGGGCAGAGGTGAAGGAGGCAGCGAAGCGTGAAAAGGAAGCTGAGCTGGCTGCTGCATTGGCTGACTTGGAGGCCTTTGAAAAAGAAAAGCTGGAAGAGCTAAAGAAGCAATATGACGAGGCAAAGCGCTTTGAAGAGTTTCTGCTGATGCAGTCAGACGAACACAAACAGCGGATCCAGGCAGAAAAGGATGCAGAAGCTAAATATCAACAAAGAAAGAAGGATGAAGCTGCTGCAGACATGCAGAGAATTAATGCAAGACTAGGGTCACTAGAATCAAAGATAAGAGAAGTCAATGAGGTCCAATTCTGGGACAATGAACGCCCAAGGCCAAAGAAACAGTGGTACAACGTGTGAATTCAGGACAATCACTCCTTATTTTAATCGGCGACTCTCAACTCTGGTTTCAAAGATTAGGAGTTGAAGTTCGAAAATAACCAGCGGAAGCAATACAACGCCACAAATGCACAAGATTATGTCGGCTATTAATAAAGGATAAGAAAAGTCAGAGAACTGCTTTTGGAGCTCCCATATGTAAACAAGTGCGACACACCCTGCTGTTAGTGAGATGAACTTCACTGTAGAGCCAATCAATATACGCCCACGTTGCTCCAAAAATGCATCTACCATATAGAAAAGGCTAAGGAGCGGTGATAACAAGGCTTCCAGTCGGAGAATTGTAGTATTATCCGACAGTTCGGACTTTGTGAGTTGCAGACCAAGCTCTAAATAATATTTAGTAAATTGTGGAGACAATAGAAGGTAAAAGATTGCACCAAGTAGACTAGAGATAGTAAGTGCTATAAAGAGGTAGTAGTAAAATGCAATGGCTATCTTTCTATAGTGCTTATCACGCGAGTTAAAAAAGTAGATCTGCTTGAAGATATACGAAATGGGGATAGTAAGAGAAAGAAGGGCTTGCCTCACAAAGACGTAGACTCCACAAATATTAATGTTGAGAAGAAAAAGATTGATATCCTTAATATTTATATAAAGAAACACGATAATAAAAAGGGCCAAACCAACATGACCGAGCCTACTCAACCAGCGATAAAATAAATCTATCATAAGAGTAATAAGCAACTTAGTATTTTTGGGAAATAGCTTGCCATACCTGAACATTAGAAGAAACGGAAGATCATGCTGGTAAGGGGTATCAGAGTATGGTCTTCGGGTGAGGATGGTCGATCTCTGAAACGCACGCAAAACTTGGAGGTGAGATGCAGTCTCCTGAGATGGGAGAGCCGCAACATCGTGCTTCCTAATGAGAGAGACAGTAGTAAGCTTTTCTGAGGCAGCAGAATGAAAGCTTCCAGAGGTGCTAGCGAATTGAAGATCATATGGGAAATGTTGCTCTTGGGGCGGTGTGATGACAGTATTCAGTTCTATCGGAAATCTATGATTATAGCACTCTTTGTAAGATTCATAAGAAAACATGCGCAGAACGTTTAAGCACAGAAAGATCGAATCTGGAATTAATATGGCTATGATAATCGGGTAGAGAAACACTGAGCCGCTGAAGTATTTCGGCACGATGGTGAGTAGAGAATGCTGATCATCACTCGAGTCGTCTATAAGAGTACTGTACAGAAGTGGAAACAGATACCCCAAGCTAAGAAGTACGGCTGTACCAAAGTAGCTGATAAGGCGCTGGATTGTTATCACAAAGAAAAAACCTGTCCTTTCCAGAAGGGCATTTGATAGATGAAGGAAAGGGGAAACAAACGGAGCGATAGTAAGATAGATAGACAAATCCTTGAACGAGTACTCATACTTAGATCTAAAGTATGGGGTAATATAAACTTGCTTAAAGAGAAGACCGACAATGAACATGACCAATGAATAGTATAACGTCATGAATATGGAGAGAGAATAGAAGCGGTGCACATCTTCAATATCATTATGCTCGTGCATTAGTCCCTCGGTTATCTGCAGAACGATATTATCCCCCAGAAGCTCTAACGGTAAGGTCAGGAAAGAATAGTGGAAAAGAAGTAAGGTGTCTAGTGCCCCTACAGTTGCATACGGGGCCATCTGGACAGTGCTGATGTGTACATATATGGTGAGAAGACTGGAGAGAAGAGACGTGAGACCAAGTATGGGGAATTTGTACCAAAGCAGGCGATGAAGTGACTGCTTGAGAAATGTCTGCCTCGTCTCTTCCCCGCGGAGAATCATCAAGCTTCCTGTTTCCATAATCCACTCCTGGAGGAACTTTGCATCAAATCCCGCTCCAGATTCTAATTTGGCCATAGATAAAAAGTCTGGATTTATTTCTGAAAGGCACGGCTAGTGTTGGCAGCCTAGAAAGTGGTCCAACATAAATCAGTATTTGTGGCCTATAAAAGGGATCGATTGATGAACCCATTAAGTATTCAGATTTATGACGAAGGCTAGACAAAAATAAAAGTATAACTGGTTAATCGAGGAATCCTAGCACTTACTCTTAGTCACGGATTGTTCTAGCTCATCAATCTGCCTTGCCATGTCCAGTAGCTCCTTTTCTGTCGGTGTCGAGTCTCCCAGCTTAGCAAGGAGCTGAGAGACAAGTTCTTTCGAAGGGCCTTCTTCGATGACAGAGTTGGCGATTTTATACAGTTTCTCCTCTAATGAGTTACGCATCTGACTACGCCGTAGAGCAGTTCTTTCTAATGTTACAAGATTATTATTTATGTGTTCTAGATCCTTTCTGAAGGCCTCAAAGTAACCAATGTCCGGTTGTGTACGTGTTATCTCCTTAATATGCTTATCATCAACACAGATAGATTCTAGGGTAATCTCACGGGAAAACGATAGTTGAAACACCAAAGCTACAGTAACAAGTTTCGACCCATGGAAGCTACTCAATCGTGGAACAACGATTTTAAATTCTGCTAGGATCTCTTTACTATCACTATGGATACGAGCCAAGAAAGCAGCATCACTGGCAACTTTAACCATTACTGACTTTTGGTCTGGGAAGTGATCTCCTGCGGAAAACACATATGTTCCCATACAATATTGCTGAGTCTCATCAGCAGACACACAATCTAAGAGAATGTTATGGAAGCAAACGTCCCGTATAGTGTAGCTAACTTTTCTAGGGAATTTGTCTAGCGTTAGTATCGCAAGCCAAGCAGCTCCCTCAGCTAAAGCAGTATCTGGATTAACTGTTTTGTCTATCTGAATGGTGTAACCTGGCCTTGCCTTCTCCTCGACTACCCGCATTACTGCAGATCTAAGGCATGGAATGCGGCTCCCGCCGCCGGTGAACTGCAACATGGACACGTCTCTGAATATGTTTGTCGAGGCTAGGTGTGCTATTTCTGCACATAAATGCTTTGCAGAATCCTCAAACTCCGCAAGGCTTACCCCAAACGAGATTGTCTCGGCCATCTCTCCAACACCCTCCACGGTCATTACCGCAGATCTGTTCACTGTAAGGATTTTCTTGGCTTCTCTAGCAGCTAAGAAAAGGCGGAGGGCGAGCTTTTTCGCAGGACCACTGGGGTTTTCAAACTGGAATTCGCTGTAAAGATGCCGTTGCGGTGAATTCAATAACCGCTTGAGAAAAATGTCGCAAAGACAGATGTCAAAGTCTCGTGCACCAAGCTCTGTCTGGTAATTAATGTAGATTGTTTCCAACAACGTAGGCCCGAGTCTATAAATAGCACAGAATGAAGAGAATTCCCCGACATCTATGAGGCCCACAAGGATATTTTCGTTATTCAAGCGATCCTTATTCTTTTGCATAAGCGTAATCAGACTGTTAGCACCCAAGGCCAAATGGGAGGAAAACATCCCAAGACATTTCTTTCCAAGGGCTTCTGTTGTTACAATAAGGCGACGAAGCTTGTGAAGCCGCCAATATGGCTGATATGTGAGAACAATGCTGTCTGAATTGTGGGATTCTTCTGCAACGAGGTCCAAAGCATGGGACAATAATGACAGAAGGAGAAACTCAGAGGGACAAGTGAGCTTATTAATGGCTATTCCAAGTGTATGATCTGAGGCTTCAGTAAAGGTTCCCCCAATATATGAACAAAAACGCAAAAATCGGGACGTACGTAAAAAAGAAGCGTCTTCAGCGGCCACGAAAGGCGCAGCTGTATACACTGACTCGTGGTGATGAACCAATGCAGCAGCGGCCTCACTGCCATAAACTCTACCATTATCAGTGAATCTTACTGCAGTTTGCAAGAGGCGACCAGCAGTACCTAGTTGACACAGCGACGGTCCTGTGTTACGAGCCAATACTAACCTTAGATTGCTGTTTCCCATGTCGACACAGACAATGGATGGATTAAGCATTTTAAAAGTATGCAGTCGCTAAAGCCGCGGCTTCTACAGTCTGTACAACCAACATTAGTGGGGTCCACCGAAAACTCCTCTTTTCCTAGTCAGCCTCGCTCTATGGCTAGAAAACTAGCTGCCATGGGGTCTCTCAAATTCTTAGTTTATGCTATTCGGAAGGCTCTGGAAACTATGCCACAGCCTTGGGAGGCGGTCAGGTATGTGACTGTAGCACACCAGAAGGCGGGGGCACTGACATATATTTTGAGCAAAAGTACTTCAAGCGAACACGACCTCATTAGGCAATGGACACGTGTTTGTGACTCTATCCCAAAAGATGCTGCCCCTCCGTCTTATCCTATATTTGATGGTACAGCCCCATATATGTGCTACAGGGACAATCTGGCCTTTGCACGACCCTTGCCACTCTTCAAGACAAATGCCATCATCAGATTTCATCGACTAAAAAATCTATGTGCTGATCTAAGTGCTACGCAGAAAATATTGCTGAGTGATTCACGTAGAAGTTTAAAGAGTCGAGATAAATTTTCGTTCGAGCAACACCTACCATCAGTATTTACTAACCTCTCCTCTTTCCATGGTGATGACAACTTTTTAATGTACCAGCACGTTTACCTTTATCATGCTTATACAGAAGATCAGTTGCTCACTTATCCAGCCCTATACTACCCCATCTCCATGCATCCTCCAGCTAATCTCCCTATCTTTCTTTCACCGTCTCCTTCTGCCTTTTGCGGTACGTTTCTTGATCGAAGAAAAAGCAATCTCATGCACATTAATAGCTCTGCTATGCTTTCTCGCTCGGCTCAAATTAACGAGTATAGTGATGCAATTCAGTCCTCTTTACAAACATCTACTTATAGATCACCATCCTTACTTAGTCCTCCTCTCAGTTCCGCTAGAAAATCTTTTCATAAGAGAGAGATAAAGAGCAAATCTGTTACAACGATACTTCGCACCTCACCACAATTCTCTATCATATCTAATGTTGACTGGCTTGAGGCAGCTCAACATCTCCTTGCACAAGCACACGATGCCATGACTCTTATGCTGCATCGCAAAAATATCACATTCCTCTCTCTCGATTATAACTTTAACCTGACTCACACGAAGGTCCTGTCTACAAAGGAACGTAAACAAAGCCGCTTCGGCAAGGCATTCCACTTGGTGCGCGAGCTCACGAAATTTCTTAAATACATGGTTGACACCCATATTGCCCATAGATTGCTTCTAATAGACTATCCAACTTTTTTAACTGGCATCCATCATTTGTTTTTAAATATTGGAACTGTGACATCTGTATACCGTTATAAGTATAAGATTTCAAACCAAATAAGACAGCTAAAAGCCCTTGGAATGCTTTGTGGAGATGTACCTTTTTATCACCCGCTGCAGTGCGTAATGAACAGCTACTTAAGAGGCCTTAGTCCCTTGCTGGAGGCATATCTAAGTCGACTCTTGGCGAGAACCGCAGGAATTATTGACAAGGACTCTGGAAACTCGTCTAGACGAGTCACCCACCAACGATCCCTAGCAAACCAAATTGTGGAGCAGCGAAATAGATACGCCGGGCGATTTGTTTCAATGTATCCTCAGTTCACCACAAGATCTGCCATGACAAAACTATTTTTGGCCCATTTGGCAGAGGCCTGGCTTTGTTGGCGGGCTGGCATGGCCTACGATCAAGTATATTCACAAATGTCCCCTGAAGTAGCAGATCTTGTTCAAGCTTATGTTTCTGAACGGGCAGATTTATACACAGCTTCTATTGCATGTACAAAGAAACGCATTGCAAGCAATAAGTGGATTGCAAAATCAGAGCATTACAAATATTGCGGTAGAGCTGGAAGGCAAGATATGCGAGAGCTGATCGTTGCTAATGCAGCATACCTTTGTGAGCCTATTCAAAAGGATCTCAGAGTCTCTCTTGGGACCGTTTATAGTCTTGCTTATCTTTGCATAACTGTTGCAGCACGAGTGTGTGCGTGTGGATCACATATTCCCTTCCCATCCCAAGAGTTTGAGTATGACGGAAAACTTCTGGAACTGGCGCTCAGGGATTTACGTGAAGATGTGCTCTCCGGCTCTATTCTTACAGTTGCTGATCGCCAGCTCCTAACACTTATTGAAAAGGCGACTTCTCTTCCTCATGAGTTTCTCATACGGATCAAGGAGATTCTTCTCAAGAAGCGTACATTTGATGCAGTACAAATAGAGTATGCCGAAGCACGAACATGTGTCTATCCCATATACCTCACCACTGGACTCACTCGGGTTGTTGATGTTTATTTCACATATTACCTAAGCTACCAGATCACATCCAGCCCCCTGCACTATTTACTTTTTAAGCGAGGATTCAGCTCCATCGATCTAAGTAATCCATATTCTATGGAGCTCCCCGCAGAGCTCACCATCAGATACTGCAAGCATGTTCACAGTACGTGCTCGGGCCTCCCTGCAACGGATGGTGAGGGGTGCTTTCTAGTCCACATGCATCTTAATACTGATAGCTACTTTCGCGGCTTTAATCTGCACGTCATTGGTAAAGTCATTAGCCTACTCTTTGATCCTGTCATCTCTTCTTTCCTGATAACTCGCCTTTCCTCAAGTTTTTACTTTAAAGATATGACATATACAGCAGTGCGTGGTGTTGCTCCTTCTTTCCAATTTTCTCATTTTTTGTTAACACTTCTATTATCAATCCTTGACTTAACTATTCTACTACATTATGATGAGCAGCCCTTTTCTCCGACGATTATTCTGAGAGTGGTCACCTTCATTATTGCGTTCGCAAAGGATTATCGGCAATCAGGGGTGCCTCTCAGTCAACTCTGGCTTCGTAAAGCATGTCTTGAGAAGGGGATTGATCTATCCCGGCTTTCTATTTTTTACGGGACGTATAAGCTTCTGAGCTATGTTCGTCAAGGAGAGAGCCTATACTTAGTTCTTCAAGAAGATAGGCAAGCTAATATTGAGAGTTCTAAAACCACTATCATGGAACAAGTCATGAAATCTATCCCCCAATCTATTGCATGCTACATTTCACGGCAATCTTCTTTCTGTGACAATCAGACATTCTACTTCGTGTCTCTCGTGAACCAGCCCATCAGATTTGAATTTATGGGATATATCATTTTGGCTAAAAGTATTAAGGATTTGGGCATGTCTACTAATATATTGCACTCTGTTTCGGCTACATTTATTGCCAATTTTATTTATCATGCAAATCAATTAATTTCTAGCGCCGTGTCTACGTCCTTTTCAAAGATCATTGCTAAATGGAACTCCTTGCTACTTAATTGCGTTATTTACTATCGCGAGGCACTGCTACAATCACCTAGGTTCTTACGCATCCTTATGGCTTATGAAGAGAAAGTCTGCAACAAAATCAAGCAAGGACTTAATTCAAAGATGCCAAACCGCTTTCCAAACGTCATCTTTTATTCGCCCAGAGAGTTAGGCGGGCTAGGTATGCTATCCGTTGGATCTGCAGGCGTATACCCTTCTAGCGAAGAGCTAAATCCAAAATATCCCGTTGCAGAGCGGTCTCGTCGTTGGGATCAGAAACACCAGGAGGTGCTACTTCCAAGTGTCATTCACTTTATTTCTCCGTGGGCTGATGAGCTTAATCGTAGCTTCCTTGGGTACCAGCGTCTTCTGTCTATCTTCTGTGAGTTTTACAATGGGCGGTCCCCTCTCTTCGGCGCACAAACTGGGTTTTACGTGTATGAATATGATGCGTGTGGGGCAGAGCAGCAGTATAGTTTCAAAGAAATTAGCGAATGCTTATCCAGTCAATGGACTGGATTTGCAGTCAGTACCTTCCGTGAAGCAGTTTTTCAAGCACTCTCCCAAGGGTCTAATAGTATTGAGCAGCAATCTCCTCTTGAGATTGCATGGGCCAATGGATGCATACCGCGGCTAACAACTCTGATACATTACGCCAAAGACCTTTATTGTCTGTTGTACCGCAATCCGTTTCTACATCACTTGGCTAAGGGCATCAGTATAGGCAACGCGCTAACTCTTAAAAGTTGGTACAACAAAAAGCTTCTGGGATCACTGTATGATCTTCAAGGATACAAGAAGATTATCACGGCAATATTTGGTGGGGTAGAAGAAATATTGCACCACACACTCTACCCAGCAACAGATTTTAGTGATTATAAATCCGTGGTGTGGAGCACAGCAACCGAACATGAGACTGGATTGGCAAAAAGAACAAACCTAACACGTGCAAGGAGACAGGGGCTTTCGCAAATTCCGAACCGACGCTTTGCTCTCTGGTGGAGTCCCACGATCAATCGTAGTTCTGTCTACATCGGATATCGTTCACAAATAGACTTAACCGGAGTGTACATGTGTGGGAAATTGGCCACTTTAAAAACAGCATATGTTTCTCTGTTCAGGGGCCATGCTTGGCCAATGATTCACTCCTCATTGGTCAAAACCCTTCTTGCAATCTTACAAGACGCTTTTCGGGGCCTTCCGCTTGATACCATCAAGGCAGAGTCCGTACATCCCCGAAAGTCATATCATTACCATACAAGCTGTGCAGACATTTCTGTAACATGGACACGTTCATTGACTGTTCAGCAGGATTATTCCATTCAGATACAAAAGGGTTCATCAGAGCCGCACCATAATTCACAAGAAGAGAGTAGTGGCGCACACGCGTCTTCAGGAGAACAAGTCGATAGCTGCACACATTTATGGTGGATAGACCTCCATCTCACGTGGGGAAACGTCGATACATGTACTTCTCTCGCGAAGTACTCTAAAGACCGTCACAAATATTATACATCTGATCGTTCACGAGGGATATACAGGAGCCCACACGGAATTATTATTTGTATTGACTTACTATATCGTGAAATTGCAGCCTATGGATCTGTCCCAACTATAGCGATTCCAGCCATAAACAAGGCCATTTCAGAACTGTTGGAATCCTTACACAGTAATACTATGATGAACATGCTTGCAGACAGAATCAGGACGCAACTGGGACTAAGTTCTTCAAGTGTGCACAAGCTCACAGACATCACTCCATCCTCCATCGGAGATCTGTTCACTGGCAAGGTAATAATAGTCGATGACTCCTTGGCATATAACTTCAGGATGCTGAACAGAGATGATACGCGTGCATCTCGTGTTATCATCAATGGGTTCATTTCGATCTTCAATCCCCAGACTGGCCGCTTGGTACTTTCGGTCGTCCATGCAGATACGTATGCAGGCCAGAGTCGCCGGGCTTCTCTAAGCCGCTGGCGTACGGCAGACTTACTAACGGGGTACATCTCTTCGCTTCCACAGGCCTTACGACCCACGACAGTGGTTGTATGTTCCAGGCAATCTATTGATCCAATTAGGACCCTGCTTAGTGTGCTTAATCCACCTATTGTTGTACGCGGAACTAGTTTGCACTGGCAATTTCAAAATATACGTAGCATGGTTATCTGCGCAGAAGGGCAAGAAGGGCATATTCGAGGAACTGTGAATGAGGTGATTCAGCTTCAGCAAACCAGTATCTCTTTAAGCATTGATTTATATGCTCAGTTTCGAGGCACGGATGAGCAGACGGGGTTAATTTTGGAAGGTACTCCCATCCAACATTTTATTGCTGTCCTACTTATGTTGCAACTTGCTAATCTTTCACCACTCACCATATACAAAATAATATCTCAATCAAATCTGGAGTTGAAAAAATCCCTACCAGAAGCGGAACTAGCTTACAGACCCACGTATGCATCACTGACTACTAAGTCTATGGAGCGACTCTCAACCATAGGCAACCTCACAGACTTTGTCCTGCATCTTCCTCGGGCGCCTTATCAACAATGGTGCCCAGTGATCTCCGCGATGACCGAGCGCGTAATAAATGAATCTGCTAAAAAGCTAGGAGTACGTTCAGACTGTTTATCTCCAGCTGAAAAGAAGGACCTTGTATTAGGCGCAGAGCTGGTAATATCTAATGCTCCCGAACGCAGAACAAGCATCTTCTCACGACTTGTGTTATCTGCCAACACTCTGGGCGAACGGATGCTTTCATCGACACAACCAAAAGAAGTCACTGACGTTAGATCACAAAGCCGACTCAGCAATTTGCATTTCGGTGAGCAATGGTTATGCCTCCAAAGAAACGCTATTTTCTGCAAACTATTTGCGGCATCACAACCCAAAGCAGATGCAGACACAGACTCATCTTTTTGTAGATCGATTATTGACCAAGCTGTTGGTGCTACTACAGATAACAGTTCACGACTTTGTGTTATAATTGGGCAGGTCACAAAATCGCAACCAATCTTACCATGCTCAGGCCTGCAAGCACCAGTTGCTCTGACATTTGGATTGCAACATAGTGTTACTATGAATGGGAAGCCCCGAACACTTATTGAGCTACGACATATACGTGCTTATCTGGGAGGATGGGACTTCTTCTCGTACGCCGCGATACCAATAACGGAGTTATTACAAGATGTTAAGTTCACAGAGGAGAAAACAGGGATGAAGTTTTACGGGGTACTGGTGGATTTTTCACGGGCAAAGCTTTTCCCAGATAAGCTACTAGAAAGTTCTACATTGAAAAAATCCAGTGTCGATATAATTTCTCTGGTAGGAAGAACAACCTCCGTATGCTTACTAACCTTCTATTTTGGGGCCGATAGAATAGAGAAGCAATCCAATTTTTGCACGTATTACCTAAAGCAATCAAACACTGACAAGACTGTGGATCAAAAGGAGTTCAGTCGTGTGCGAGTACACGTGGCATCTAATTACAGTCTAGAGTTTTATTGCATTGATCCCATTACCCAATGCGAAAAGCCAGGTGGCATCGATCAATCAGTATCGTATCAATCATGTATTCAGTTCTCCAAGCTTTTTGCCTCAACGCAGATAGAATGGGAAGAATTGGAATGCCATGTGGATCGAATATGAGTAGAACAGTCATATTTGGCAAATCTAATGGACGAATCGTAGTTTGGCCTCAAGAGAACGGAATGCTGTGCCGCTGAAGCTCGGCGTCGGCGGAACCCAGCAGCCCAGAGTAAACCCCTCATCTTCCTCACACGCTCCGGGACACCAGACTGATCCGCAAGCCGCTGGCCACGCTGGAGTGCCCCGAGGCGGCCCAGGAGAGTGCGCGTGCTGAGGCCTGTCCATTAGACCCTCCTAGCAGCAGAGCGCCGTCGTGGCAGGAGAGCATGCCCCTTGCATCGGTCGGTCGGTTGCTGAGACCCCTGGTGCTCTGTCTGTGAGAGGAGACTGCCCATGAGGGCCCTGTACGCTGCTCCCCTGCACCGACTGGCACAGCAGGGGGCCGGATGCCGAGGGACACCTCCAGAGTCTCGGGTCTCTACAGGACAGGACACACGGCAGAGACATCTGCATGCGGGCCGGGAGTCCTGCTCGGCCCCGTCCCTCGTCTGACGCCTTGGTCTCTCGGGAGCCCTGTCAGCACCACTGGAGGCAGGGGCTCTCCAGGAGCGCCGCACCGGGCCCGCATGGAGTGGATGGCCCCACAGCCACTGCACGGGCCTCTCGGGCAGGGGGTCTCTCTGCCACTGCAAGCTGCAGCAGCGTAAGGGTCGCCCCGTGTGCTGCCCTCTTGCCGTGGCGGGGCTTCAGGCATGCCATCGGGACTGTCCGACGGTCACCGGTTGAGCCCTGTGTGACAGCAACAGACGAGAAGACTGCCCCACAACGACATGCCCTCGCTGGAGGACTGTCAGCAGAGCGGAGGAAGCTACGGCCACTGGGGGAGTGAACGATCTCCGTGGGTCCAGGGGCGCTGCACTGCGGGCCTGTCGGCTCGGCCTCTGATGGGTACCACGATCACTCTGCCCGGTCTGGCAGATCACGAGGGGTCTGAGGCCGGCCTATTGGGAGGAGGACCGGGACCCTCGCTGATGGTTGAGCAGAATCACTACAGGGGGGCACGAGCTCGAGTAAGTGGGAGCCTTCTAGCAGGGTGCATGTCAACCGAGCGAGGAGAACGACATGGCAGTCATCAAGGAGCCATGACCTCTGAGCCTTCTGGGCTCTGCGCCGGGCCGGACATCAGCACAGCCCGCCTGCCGGTAGCACTGCCGCGGGGGTCTCCGTCGTGTGAATGCCTGGGGTGAGCCGCTTGGGCACGGAGACGGGCTGTGCGGCGCCCAAGAGTGGAAGATCGCCACGCTCTGGTGCTGTGGGCCGAGTCGAGACAGGGGCTCCAAGGTAGGGGTGGAACAGCGCTCCCCCCGTGTGCCGTGCTGGGTGGCCACAGACGGGCAGGGGCCGCTGGGGGCAGGCGTCGCCGTCGAGACAGAGGAAGGCCAGCCTCGAGCATGCCAGTGCCAGAGCGCATGGCAAGTGCACAAGGACACGGCTCCCCCCTCTTCCATCGGGGACGGCGGGCCGGGGGCTGAGAGGTGGCTCGGCACAGACGGTGGCATCAGGGTGCGTCCATGGCCGGCGCAGGGGCCACCGCAGAGGACCCTCTAATGTTCCAACTGATACCCCTGTTCATGGCAAGCGCGCTCATGGCGCCTTGTCAGCCAGATGGGAATCACCTGACCACTTGCGCACACGAAAAGTGCGAGACGGTCGGGTCAGCCGAGATTTGTACCGAGTGCAAGGTCGGAGGCGTCCCGGTCGACGGCTTCTGCCGACCCTTCGGCTCCATCCAGGCCGCGGCGGCCGGGTGCACCAAAGCAGACGGGGCTGCTCTCGACAAGATGACAGCAACCTGCGAGAAGTGCGGCGACGGGTACTTCCTCTTCATGGGCGGGTGCTACAAGACGAGCCTGTGGTCTGAAGTCTGCACAGCAGCCAGTAATGGAGTATGTACTACTTGTAATACAAAGAACGGCCTGTTCAAGAACCCGGCTGCAACAGTGACTCCTGGTAACGAGTGCATCCTGTGCTCCGATGCTACAGATAGAAACGGGGTCATGGGAGTGGAGAATTGTCTCAAGTGCACGGCGCCAGGTGGCAATACAGGAGCAGCCGCGTGCACTGCCTGCAAGGCTGGCTTTTATGGGTCCGGTCCATGCACAAAGTGTCATGACGATTGTGCTACTTGCAGTGGCGCAGCAAATAATCAGTGCACATCTTGTAAGGCTGGAAAGTACCTGAAGACCGATACTAACACTTGCGTAGATGCTGGTAGTTGTAATGGAAACACTTATGCTGATCCAGTGACAAGGACATGCAAGGATTCTGCAATAACTGATTGCACCACGTGTGAGTACAACCCGGCAACTGGGGGCCCAAAGTGCACAGCCTGTGGTAACAGTAAGAAGGTGAAGACAGCCATCGACGGCGCCACAACGTGCGTGACGGTTGCATCCGAATGTGTGGATGAGAATCACTTTAAAGATGACGGTAACACTATGTGTGTGCTATGCAGTGATACCAGCGGGTCAGACCCAAATAAAGGGGTAGCGCAGTGCAAGACATGTACTAAGAATGGAGCTAACAAGCCTGAATGCAAGACATGCCTCGAAGGGTATGTTCTGAAGGGGTCTGGTGCTGACGCCATTTGTGAGTCTTGTGGAAACAACTGTGCAGTGTGTACCGCAGCCAATGATATATCGACTTGTACAGGGTGCCTTCCCGGGTACTTCCTAAAAGCCGAGGGTGGAACAAAAGAGTGCGTCCCGTGTGATGACACAGCCAAAGGTGGTCGTGAAGGCTGTAGTCTATGTTCTAGCAACGGTGGATTTAAGTGCACAGATTGTAAAGCGAACTACAGGAAGCAGTCTAATGGAGATGCAGGCGATGACTATACATGTGTGAAGACCTGCGAGGACCCTACTGTGTGTGGGGGGACGTCTGGAGCCTGCGATGCCATAGTGATCGATGCTAATGGAAAGGAGCATTATTACTGTTCATACTGTGGAGAGACCAATAAGTTCCCCATTGATGGACTATGTACTGATAACAAGGGAACAAATGCTGGGTGTACTGATCATACTTGCAGCTACTGTGCTGCCGGGTTCTTCCTGTACATGGGTGGCTGCTACAAGATTGATACAGTACCAGGAAGCTATATGTGCTCCAAATCAACAACAGCAGGTGTCTGTGATACACCCAATGCCAACAATAGATTCTTCGTTGTCCCAAAGGCAATAAGTGCCGAACAATCTGTGCTGGCTTGTGGCAACCCATTGGGCACAATTGCAGGCGGTAATGCCTACGTCGGAGTGGAGGGGTGCTCCCAGTGCACGGCCCCCGACGCTCGAGCTGATGGCGGCATGGCGGTTGCCACGTGCACGGCCTGCGAGGACGGCAAGAAGCCCGGCAAGAGCGGCACCGGGTGTGTGGCGTGCCCTGATGCTAACTGCAAGAGCTGCACGATGGATGACGTATGTGAAGAGTGTGCTGATGGGTTCAGTCTAGACAATGGTAAGTGTGTGTCTTCTGGCACTAATAAGAGCGGCCTTTCTACCGGCGCCATCGCTGGCATCTCCGTCGCAGCCATCGTCGTCGTCGGGGGCCTCGTCGGCTTCCTCTGCTGGTGGTTCATCTGTCGGGGGAAGGCGTAAGTAGCATCCACTTAGGTAGTAAACGCGTCACTGTACAGCCTACTGCTCTTTCACGATGCCAGTAGACCCTCAAAGCCCGGTTTTTCCTAAGATCTCACCCCTTCTATGCAGCGTGAAAGAGTAGAAAATCCAAAAATAAGCAGCGGGACCGCCCGGCATGTCTACCGCTCTTCTGCCCTGGAGCCAGCAGACGACGGCCCAGATGCCCCCGTTGTGATCGGGACCTGTGTGAGCCTTCCCGGCGGCGCCCCGGCCTGGCTGGCGCTCTAGTCTCCTCAACCAGCTCTGCGCGATCCGGCCCCCCGCCGAACCCTGTGGGCCACCGTACTTCTCCGTGCCTCAATAGCGTCCTCGTCGCCCGAGACCGGCCGGGACGCCCTGGCCGCTGCAGGAGAGGCGCGTCGAGCGATGATCCTCGACCGAGGCCGCCCCCAGCTCCATGGCCATCTGAACGTGCCCGCAGTGGCCGTGCCGCGGCAGTGGATTAGCCCGAGGGCGACCCGTGCCGCCCGATCTACGACCCCTGTTTTTGGATTTCTGCGAAGCAAGGCCTAGTTCTGTCATAGGGCGGCTATAGTAATGGTTAGCATAGCCCGATGGATACAGAGCCGGAGAAGACGCGGACCGGATCTTGTGCTAACTGATGGCGTGCCGTCTACTGTCTACAGCGCAGAGGTGATGCGTAGACGCACCTGCCCCCGCTATAGGTGGTCCTTGCAGTACCAGACCCGGTAGAGTGGGCTGCCGTCAGGAGCCAGCACAGCGGAGGGCGCCATGTGCCGATAGGAGCGTGCCCGGTCGCCCCTGGTTACACCGTAAGCGACGCAAGGGCGGGTAGGCGCGGGTCCCACTGTAGCGACACGTGCAAGACACAGCCGCGCGTCATCAGGGCCTCAGAGAGCACTGGCTATGATACGGAAGGGCTACAGCCAGCCCGTTCCAAAGAAGGGGAGCCACACAGGCCCGAGGATCACGTCTCCGGAGAAGGGAAGTTCTGTCCCGGTGGCCGAGATAATGAAAGGGCGATAACTGGAGTGCCCGCTGACCTGAGCCTGAACAGCTCGTGGCACGCATGCAAGGCGCTCACTCTGGGACACAAGCGGACATCCGGTTCACGGCCTCGTGTGCTCCGCTAGCGGTGGCCTCCCCTTTGGTCCTGCTTCATAGCGGGCGAGGGCGGGCCTTTGTGTTCGTTTTACAAGGCTTCCACCTGACTCGACGGCAGTAGCCGTTGGCGCTCTGGCTCCACTGGCGGTCCTGATTCGGTGAGAGTCTATCTTGGCAATAGGAAGTGGATGAGGCCGTGGCTCGCTATGAGGGAGCGTCGTTATTTGTCTTTGGTCGCTGCTTCCCCTGGGAGCGGATATGTCTTCTGTCACTGTGGCTCTCTGGAACTAGTGATAGTCGCCTCTGTTGCCCCTCGGTGTCCGTCCAACCGTGGTTCTGGGGTAGCACGCCTTCTCAGTCGCAGTCACTCTGGTCCCACAGTGGGTCCAGTTGGTGATTGGAAATAGGCTGACAGGCGGCAGTTGCTGGGTATTCATTGGCTGCCACAGGACAGCGAGGGCCGGACAGAACTCTCGGTGCCCGCGGGGCCCTCCTGGCGTCTCTGGAGTGGGGAGCCGTCCATCCCATAGGTGGTTGAGAACGTCCTTGTGTCCCTGTCTTCTCACTGTGGTATCCCTCTGGTTGCTGGATGACACCCACGCCCACCGCCTTGCACTTGTGACGGGCTCTGCTCTGGTCGCCGGGCTGGTCTGATCTCCAGCCTGCGTTGCACTCCCCGAGACACGGAGGCAACGATCACACAGGGCCCCTAGTTGTCCCTCTGCACCAGTGGAGGAGAGCCCCTGTCTGTTGTCTACAATCATCCCATCCTCAGAGAGCCTGGCCTGGGCGGGCTGCCGTGCGGGCTCTGAGTGCGCCCAGCAGCACAGCCCTAAAGGTAGCCGGGTGGAGTGAATCATCGTGGGATGCACGTAAGGAGCGCACAGGTCCGGGGCGCCCGAACAGGCTCAGCCCTCGCACCGGCTCCTCCCCGGCCGCCTCAGTCGCGGCGCTAACAGGAAGACGCGTGTCCTGTTCGACGACCCGGCACACGGACCGACGGCCGGCGAATGCACATGGCAAGGTGGAATAAAAAGTTTGGAACGTCGGCGCTCGCGCGGATCGGGATGCGGCGTTCTCCAGGCTGGGAGGCCGTGCGTGCGGGCATTACCTTTAACATGTTCCTCACCACGGCCCCAGGCTGATGGGCGGCCGAGGCCTTGCCAGCGTCACGCACGCCTCTTGCCGGCATTGGGCCGCTCGGGATCGTACATAGGCAGGGCTGCAGAGGCCTTCCGCGGCTCCTGCGGGCAATAGTCTGCCACGGAGAGCACGCCCAGCTTGGGAGCTCCTCAGGATCACCGTGCAGATCATCGAGACCGGTTCGACGGGCCCCACGTTGAAGGAGGCGCACGGACCGGCGAGCGTGCCGTCTTTGCAGGCAGGCCCTCGCTGGCCGGGGTGGCGGGGCTCTCCTGTATCTCCGCCGGAGGACGCCCTATCTACTGGCAGCATTTCCACAGTTGCAACGCTACAGGGACGGGCTGCAGCTCTTCCGCAGGATCTCGTCGGACAGGCAGTTCGGCGTACTCTCACGTGCACTCGCAGGAGCTCCAGGGGCTGCTCCCCGCCCTCGTAGAATAGCACCCCGCACGCCCCAAAGCCAAATCGAAATGCAGCAGGTGCAGTCGACTCTTCTCGGGTTGTGGCGCTGATCCAATCAGACGCCGCGGCACGCCCCGAGCAGGCCTCGTCCAGCAGCGGGTGCTCTAGCCGCGCCCCTGAGGCAAGTCTGCTTCTGACCCCGTCCCTGTGCCGACCCCAGCGAGCCCCCGACGGCTCCGGAGAAGGAGCGCCTTGCGGAGCCCCCTACTGATCCCTCGGTGCAGGAGGATCCCCGGATTACCGACTTGCGTGCGGCAGGCGGCGGAGCACCCCAGGCCATCCTTACATCTACATGCCCAGCGAGCGCTGTAGCGGGCCGAGATGAAGCCGCGGGCGCCGATGCCGGGGCGCTGGCCACGGAGGCTGCGGCCCTACAACCATGCGACCCCTTGGTTCGCGTTTTAGTTTTTGGGGTCCCAAGTTAGCGCCCCCGGAGCAGCACCGGCTGTACACTGTTCACTGCACTCGGTCGGTCGCATGGTGTAGCAGCTACGGCTCCTCTAATTACGGCGCTTGATGTGTTTACTACTGGGGGTGCTGCTCTCCGTTCTACGGGGTGGCAGGAGTGCTCCCGCGTGCACGGTAGTACCAGTGGACGCCCCTCAGCTGCCGGGCCGGAGCAGCTCTTGGATGGGTGGACCTATCTTCCTCCGTGCAGCCGTTCCTCGGGCCTAGTAGACGTGCTTTGCTGTGTCCCGCAGCCCGGATCCTTGCCTTCAGACGCCAGCACGGAACTCTCTAAATTTGTCCTCCTGCGGCGTCCTATGCTACCATGCACACTTCGTTTTCATTAAGCCCTTAGGGTTGCAGTCCAGGACTACCGGCCCCCGCATCATCAGATATGGTTGCTGACTGCGGCCGCTTACGCAGTCGCAGCTGGTTCCGCACTGCCCCTGTATCGGTAGCCTTGGCCTGCATCGCCGGTGTGCGGCCCACTTTGCTCTGCGGGCATACCACACACAGTTACTAGCCTCGTGATGTGGTGCACCGCTGGGGCAGATAATAGCAGCAGCAATCCTGCAGCCCCGTGTGGTCGTCTGGCAGTGGATGCGAAGGTTTGCAGGCGGGAGCGGAGGGCCGGGGCTGCTCTTGCTCACGTCACCGGGCGCCGTGGTCAAGGGCTCCGGAGGCACGCCCAGCCCTCTGCTGGACGAGGATCGATGGGCCGCTCAGAGCCCCGCAAGCTGCGTCCAGGCTGGTATTAGGTGGCCCAATGACGTGGCGACGGGAGCTGTGAGGCGAGACCTGTCGCGCGCCGAGCGTCGGGCCATTGCTACACCGACTCCCCGAAGGGACACACTCAGCCCGGGGCCGGATGTCCGCTTGTGCCCCAGCGTGAGCGCCTCATGCGTGCCACGAGCTGTTCAGGCTCAGGTCAGCGGGCACTCCAGTTATCGCCCTTTCATTATCTCGGCCACCGGGACAGAACTTCCCTTCTCCGGAGACGTGATCCTCGGGCCTGTGTGGCTCCCCTTCTTTGGAACGGGCTGGCTGTAGCCCTTCCGTATCATAGCCAGTGCTCTCTGAGGCCCTGATGACGCGCGGCTGTGTCTTGCACGTGTCGCTACAGTGGGACCCGCGCCTACCCGCCCTTGCGTCGCTTACGGTGTAACCAGGGGCGACCGGGCACGCTCCTATCGGCACATGGCGCCCTCCGCTGTGCTGGCTCCTGACGGCAGCCCACTCTACCGGGTCTGGTACTGCAAGGACCACCTATAGCGGGGGCAGGTGCGTCTACGCATCACCTCTGCGCTGTAGACAGTAGACGGCACGCCATCAGTTAGCACAAGATCCGGTCCGCGTCTTCTCCGGCTCTGTATCCATCGGGCTATGCTAACCATTACTATAGCCGCCCTATGACAGAACTAGGCCTTGCTTCGCAGAAATCCAAAAACAGGGGTCGTAGATCGGGCGGCACGGGTCGCCCTCGGGCTAATCCACTGCCGCGGCACGGCCACTGCGGGCACGTTCAGATGGCCATGGAGCTGGGGGCGGCCTCGGTCGAGGATCATCGCTCGACGCGCCTCTCCTGCAGCGGCCAGGGCGTCCCGGCCGGTCTCGGGCGACGAGGACGCTATTGAGGCACGGAGAAGTACGGTGGCCCACAGGGTTCGGCGGGGGGCCGGATCGCGCAGAGCTGGTTGAGGAGACTAGAGCGCCAGCCAGGCCGGGGCGCCGCCGGGAAGGCTCACACAGGTCCCGATCACAACGGGGGCATCTGGGCCGTCGTCTGCTGGCTCCAGGGCAGAAGAGCGGTAGACATGCCGGGCGGTCCCGCTGCTTATTTT